GGGAGAGGGAGGAGGGGGGGGGAAGGTTTGGTTGTGTAAAACTTACCTCGGCCCCGTGCCACCGCCTAACAACGTCGTCACTCCGCTCGCAATACTCTCATACGCCTGCTGCGGGCAGATAAAATGAATATGGGTATCAATCGCGCCCGCCGTAACAATCTTCCCCTCGCCAGCAATAACATCCGTACAGCTCCCGACCACCATTCCCGGCGTCACTCCATCCATCACATCCGGATTGCCCGCCTTCCCGATCCCGCTAATCACCCCATTCTTGACGCCAATATCAGCCTTATAAATCCCCGTATAATCGATTACCAGCGCGTTGGTAATGACCAGATCAAGAGTGTCTGCGTCCGATCGCCCCGTCGCCTGCCCCATCCCATCCCGCAACACCTTCCCCCCGCCGAACTTGCACTCATCCCCGTACACCGTAAAGTCCTTCTCAACCCGCACCCACAACTCCGTATTCCCTAGCCGGACCAAATCCCCTGTCGTAGGGCCAAACATGTGCGCATATGTCTCTCTGTCCAAGGCCGCCCCCTGAATCAACGCCGCATCCGCTCCCGGCTCAGGAACATGCGCAAACCCCATCTTAACTAACTTCTCCACGATCTCTCCCGTGCGAGTGAAGTCCACTTTGCCATTGACGATCCCGTTCCCTCCCTTAATAACCTTGTTGCCGCCGATCTCGACCAGCGTCACGGTTCGGGATTCACCGGGCTCGAAACGCAGCGACGAGCCGGATGGCACGTCCAGTCTGAAACCGTACGCCTTCTCCCGGTCGAAAGACAAAAGCGGGTTGACTTCAATGAAATGGTAGTGGCTGCCTACTTGCACGGCGCGGTCACCTTTGTTAGTAACCTTCAGCTTCACCCTTCTCCTTCCCTCGTTCAGCTTCACAACGTCCGGCTCGCCGGATGCAGTCTTAACCACGACTACCGCGCCAGGGGCCTTCTCCTCCTTTGGCAAAGGAAACAACCTCTCCTGTTCCTCTTTGCTGGGGACGGGTAAAAAACTTCCGTACAGCGCCCTCGCCAAGTCGCCGTCATCTGTAGCAATGGGGTTCTGCACGGTGACTAAAAAGGTGCCAGAGGGGAACGTGCCCTCGACTTGCACCATATGCAGGGTGTGTGGGACGCTGGGTAAAACATGACGGCGGCCGAGGAGGGTTGCGCCGAGAGACATGAGGTCGGAGACGGAGTGAGCGCCGTCGCGGATGAGTTCGTGGAGGACGGAGGAGATCAGGGCCTGGACGAAACATTTATAGTAAGGAATCGAGTTTCAAAAAAAAAGAGAGAGAAAAGAAAAGAAAAGAAAAGAAACATTATTTGGGAGATACGAAAGGGAGCTTACCGCAGCTTCGGCATGGTTTAGTTTGACGCCTCGCGCAAGGCGGCGTTGTGCCAATAAGCCTAGCTGGGCTATGACGAGCTTGTCGAGCTTCACACCGTCAACCATGTTAGCTCACATCGATTATAACCACTCCAAGTGTATAAAAACTACGTGTCATGTATCTCACCTCCTTAGGAACAAGATGCATCTTGCCTGCTCTCGTCCACGTGAAACTTCAATTGAACTGTTCGAACCACTTCAGCCCAGTTTCACTGAAACACCAGCGATGGCTCACAAAAGCACAGGTAGGTAGGACTGAAGTGAACTAGGACTCGTAAGAGAGAGAAGCACTCTTTAAAAAAAAGCACCGTGTCACCCACCACTCGGGCAGTACGTGTGCTGTGTGCAGTGGTCAGTGGAGGACTCCTCCATCCGATACCCCGCACTGGCTGCTGATAAGGCAGGCTGATGGAGGGGTGCTGGGCGTGGCGTTTGGTGTTGCTGTTACTCGATCGGAGCGGGCCGATGATAAGGACTGCCTACCTGAGCTCTGAGCTCTGGGACCATTGACTCTGGGGCTCTGAGGGCTCTGGGGCTCTGGGGCTCTGGGGCTCTGGGACTCTGGGACTACTGGGACTCTGGGACTCGGGGGGGGGGGGGGGTTGGGAGGGGGGAGAGGGAAGGGGAGCGGGGTTGGCCATATCTGGAGCTCCATCACACGTGCTGCTGAACAGAGGGGTAAAAGTGCTTGTGTATGTGGGTGTATATTACGTATGCTGTACTGTATTGTACTGGTTATGTATGAGTGGTCCCTGCTGCCCCTGAAAAAATTAACTTCATCCAAACGAAACAAACGCCAACGACGTTTCTAAACAAAACCGTGAAATCCTAAAAATCCTTAGCCGGTGATATTAATACACGTCGTCTTTCCCAAATCCATATCCAGCTCAACGCCAAACTATCCCAAGACCCTGCATAACAAAACCCCCGGCCTTTAAGCACTCTCGATCAACCCTTCTCGGTCTACCTTCCCCCTTGCCAGAACCTCCCTTATCCTCTCATTCTCCACCTCCCTAATCCTTCTCCTCGCCCCCTCGAGCCTCTCCACGCCCCTATTGATCGTCTCAATATGCACGCTCAACGGAACCTCCACGCCCCGTTGCCTCACCAGCCCCGGCTCGGCCACCCGTTCCCTCAAGTCTCCCAAGCCGGCCTGGATCCTCTCCAACTCCGCCACCAACTCCGTCACCTGTTTGACCGCGTCCATGCGTTGCTCGTCGACCTTTCGGAGTAACTGCAGCTGCCCGTTGAGGCTCTCCAGTCTTCTGGAATTAGCCCCGACCAGAGTCCAGAGCGTCCATAAGATTTCATCGCGGCGTGACTGAATCGTCTTCTGCGTACGGGCGACAAAGGTATGGATAATGCCGAGATGATCTTCTGCGCGGGAGAGGATGCGGAGCACGAATTGCGCTTCGAGGATGAGCTCGGCGATTTTTTCGGACACCAGAGAGGTGTGCTCGATGTATTTGTCTAGAAGGGCGCGTTCGCTGAAAGTGGCGGGTTGGAAGGGGGAGAAGAGCCAGGATGCCCAAGACATGATCAGGCCTTGGTCCGACGATGATAGGGGAGCAGAGCTCGCGTCCAAACTGTCAAGATAACGCGCCGTCCAGCGGTTGATGCTGATGACGAAGTCGACCGTCGACCCGACGTGGGTGTTAAACCTCTGTAGGGAGTTGGACGCCTGCCGCGCGGTCTCGATGTACCGGTCGAATTCTAACACCAACTCATCCTTAGCATGCAGATTGCTGTAGCAAACCATGGTCCTCAAATCCCGTATCGACGCCTCGGAGCGCTTCATTTCCAGCGGCAAGGACACTCCTTGGGCCGACTTTTCGAGTACCTTCTCAAACTGGTCTTGCACGTCCATCAGGCTGTCGAACTCGACTGGGCCTTTTTCTTTCGGCTCGCTGGTGCTGGGCCCGGGGCGGAAATTGTACACCGGGCAGAACGGCAGGTCGAGGAACCCTGCGCCAGGGATCCGACAGAGGGGGGAGAGCGCGGTTTGGAGCGGCTGTGTCGCCATGTTCTGCAGGACGATCATTCCGCCGAGTGTGACATACAGTGACACCAGGATGGCGAGAGGCTTCTGCGCGTAGCGGAAGGCGAGCGCTAACACGCCGAAGACCCAGTACACTGGCGCCAGCACCACGCTCCCAGGCGACGTCCCCGAGCCTTGCGCTGCCTGCTGCCCTCTCTCTCCCCCATCATGACCCCTCTCTCCCCCAGCCCCAGCCCCCTTCCGCCTCCTCAACCCCTCCGGTGACGGGGTTTTGACCGCCGAACTGCTAGTTCTCCTTGACGACAAGAACCCCGACCCGCCCATATCCACATCGACCTTCGGCATGCGCAACTCGATCGTCGAACTCCCCATCCCCTCATCCTCCCTCTTGATCTCTTCCCTCACACTCTCCCTCACGCTCTGCGGTACCGACGGTCTAAACGGCGACCTAAGCAACACGTCCCCCCGCTCATCGTGCTCCGCCCTGGTCAAAAAACTCCCTATCGGGTCACCTTCTTGCGACTGGCTCGGTTCCTGAGAGCCAGAGATGCTGAATGGTTGCGAGTCCCCCCCAGATATGCTGAAGGGCTGGGATCCTGTGCGCACGCTGCCGCTCGAGACGATGAAGTCTACTTCGTCGTCGTCGTCGGCGTCTACATAATCAATATCTTGCGAGGCGGGTTGTGTCGAGTAGTAGTAATCGTCTGTCGCCAAGGGCGCGGGGAGGACCGAGGTGTCAAAGGAGTCGTTGCTGTCGCCCGTTTCGACCATGCGCCAGGAGGAGGAGGGATGGATGGAGATGGGTTGCGGGTCATTGTCGCGCCGGCGCGAGGTGCGCGTTGCGCGGTGGTTGGGGGTCGTCATGGGAGAAGGAAGGGGGGGGGGGGGGGAAAGGGGGGGGAGAGGCGGTCGCGCTCGCGCAAACCGACAGATACGTAGAGGGTGGAGGAAGTTGGGTAAGGCAGGGCGTTCGTTTACTTTATACCCCTTTTTGACGAGAACGAATCAATCAATCCAGGCACACAGGCTCAAAACGCGCCAGGCAGCCAGGCATGCAGCGCGGGTACGTGTCGCGGTTATGTATGGCAGGCAGCATGGGAAAGGTACACTTTCTAGTCGCAAAACAGGTGACCAGCTCGAGGCAGCAAATGCTGGTCGGGGTCTCTTATATGTACTGATACGGAAGGGTGTGTAAAGTGGGGGCGTATCTCCTGTACTGTAATCGGGCTGTGTAAGTTACGGAAGACCCCTGTGCTGCACGTTTGCGGTATTTGCCTGGTGAGTCACGGCAGGCGCCAGGCAGCAGCGTATATGGGAAGGGAGAAGAGGCAAACAATTGAACGAGGTCAAAAAGGAAAAGCGATGCATTCGGTTCTGATGAAGAGCGAACTATTATAGGGCTGCTGGGGAGCTCCCTGGCTAGCCCTCACTTGCGTGGGGAGAGGGGTCAAAACGGTCGTGCAGCGCGGAGATGCGGTGATGCAAGGCCGATTCGTTTGGCGGGAGGTAAGTACAGTGTGAAGTACAAAAGGCACGGTGCATGCCAGGCCGGGTCCAGCTTCCGCGCGTGCGTTTCCCCCCCCCCCCCCACACCCCTGGCTATCACCCCACAAACCCATTCAGTCTTGGCCGATCGAAGTTCATCCCGTGATAAGATATTGAACCTGAGTGAATCTCAGACCTCACTCTTCACCGGGACACCCAAAACCCTCAATTAACTCAACAAACCTTTACTTAAGCAGGATGCCCCTCCTGCGGGCATCACACTGGCCGCGTGTGGCCCGTGTAGCCCGCGTGGCCTGTCTGCCCCTCGCACAACTCCCTCACCCAGCCCGACTCACCCCCCCCTCCTCAGTCATTCTTCAGCAATATCGTTCATGCTCCTCCTGTGACGCCTCAAGCCCAAGCCTAAGCCCCAATGCCAGCGAAGACTCCTCCAGACAAGAGCCAAACATCACAAAAGCATCTCCTGACCACCGCACACTAGGTGTCCAACAAGAACTCTTCATCCAATCCCCCTTCTCCCCCGGCTCGCCCATCTTCCTACCCCGCGGCGCCCTCGTCTTCAACCGCCTTCTCAACTTTCTGCGTCGGCAGTACGTGAAATACGGCTTTCAGGAGGTGATCACGCCAACCATCTACAAAAAGGCGCTATGGGCGACATCGGGTCATCTGGAAAATTATGCCGAGGACATGTACACCGTGACCTCGACCTCCCCCGCCCGCAGGGCAGCTGAACTAGCTGAAGAAGGCGAAAGCGAAGAACACGAGTTCGGCCTCAAACCGATGAACTGCCCCGGTCACTGCCTGATTTTCGCGTCGCAAACAAGAAGCTACCGCGACCTGCCCATCCGCTACGCCGATTTTAGTCCGTTACACAGGAACGAGGTCTCTGGTGCCTTAAGCGGCCTCACCCGCGTGCGAAGATTCCATCAGGACGACGGGCACATCTTCTGCCGGCCGTCGCAGATTGAGGGCGAGATTGCCTCGACGCTGGACTTCATCCGGCAGACGTATCGCGTTCTCAAGCTGGGCCCCTACCGTTTGGTTTTGTCCACCCGGCCAGAGAAGTACCTCGGTTCCGTTGAGGACTGGGACAGGGCGGAGGACGCACTGCGCAGGGCTCTAGATAAGTCCGGTAAAGAATGGACCGTCTCGCCTGGGGACGGTGCCTTTTACGGCCCTAAGATCGACGTCATCTTGAAGGACTCCGACGGCAAGGAACACCAAACGGGCACGATCCAGCTCGATTTCCAGCTGCCGCGGAGGTTCAACCTGGAGTACACGGCGCCAGCGCCGGAGCATGAGCAGCGTGGCGAGACAACAGATGATCCGGCTTTGCTGAACGAATATGGGCATGTGCGGCCAGTGCTGATCCATCGCGCTGTGCTGGGCAGCGCGGAGCGGTTGATGGCGCTGCTGATTGAGCAGTACAATGGACGGTGGCCGCTGTGGTTGAACCCCAGGCAGGCAGTTGTGTTGACGGTGAATGATACACAGCCGGTGGTGGAGTGGGCCAACAGCGTCAGGAGGGTGTTGTTGGGATTGGGGTTGGGGGATGGGACACATGGGGAGGACAAGGATGCGCCGGTGTGGCCGACCGAGCTGGCGGTCGATTTGGACGATAGCAAGAGGACGGTGGGGTTGAAGGTAAGGGAGGCGATGGTGAAGGGCTATGGGGTTATTGTGACGGTTGGGCCGAAGGACGTGGCGGATGGGGTGGTGAGCGTGAATGCGACTGCATTGTGTGGGCCGGAGGTAAGTGAGGAGGAGAGGCAGAGAATGAGTAGGATGGTGATGAAGCCTGAGGAGTTGAAGGAGTGGATTTCGGAGAAGGTGAGGGCATATGAGTAGTGTATTTTATGTTAAATACTGTATAATAGAGTTGGATAGTTGGGTATAGGAAGGATAAGATAAAGTGGATGGTGTTCGTTTACTCCTCCCTAAACCCCTAATTAACCCTTACCCCTGAGGTACCATACACATACCGTACCGTACCGTACCGTACCACCTCTGACCTGGCACAATGACGCATGCGTTGTCACTGAAGTGGGGTTAAGTACAACAACAACAACAACTACCCCTCCCCCACTCAAGCTTCTTGCCGGGTTCCATCCTCTTGACCCCAACTTTCTTACTGTTTGCTGTTCAGGCTTAAGCCGCTCTTCGACCGTTAAACTTTCACCATCACCACCGCTCGACTTCTCATAACTCTGTCTCTCTCTCTCTCTCTCTCTCTCTCTATCTCTCCTCGTTTCAAACAACAAACTCCCGTCCCTCCCTCCAACTCTCTTGAACTCCTAAAATGGACGACACCTCAGAAGACACCCCCCAATACATCGCCGCCGCACGCGAACACAACATCCCCTTACGGCAATCCGCCCCCATCCGCAAGGGGCCCCTCCCCTCGACCTCCCCATCCTCACCTACCTCCGCTCCAAGCGAATCATCCTCGCCAGTGCCTCTCCCCGCCGCCGCGCCCTGCTCTCCCAACTCGGCCTGCCCAATCTCGAGGTCATGCCGTCCAACGATCCGGAGGACATCGACAAGAAGAGCGTCTCGCCGGAGGAGTATGTCTCCCTCACAGCGCAAAAGAAAGCGTTGGCTGTGTACCAGGAGGCATTAGAAAAACAAAAAGAGGGCGAGGAGGACCCCGCTGTGGTTATAGCCGCTGATACGGTAATTGCTACAAAAAGTCAACAGATCCTAGAGAAGCCAAAGTCAGAGCAGGATCACATCCGCATGCTAACCCACCTCCGCGATACGGTCTCGCACCGCGTCCTTACCGGAATATGCGTCCTCGCCCCAAAACACGATGCGTCGCACCCAGGCTACGAACTCGCCACGCATGTGGAGGAGACAAAAGTGTTTTTCGCGCAGGCGGATGATGGCCTGCCGGATGAGGTCATCGTGAGTTATGTCAAGACGAGGGAGGGTTGTGATAAGGCCGGGGGGTATGCGGTGCAGGGGTTGGGAGGTGTTGTGCTGGTCGAGAGGGTCGAGGGGAGCGTGGATAATGTGATTGGACTGCCGGTGAGGAGGACGTTGCAGCTTTGTGAGAAGGTGGTGTTTAGACAGGGGGAAGGGGAGGGAGAGGGGGAGGAAGAGTAGGGGAGTAGGGGCATTTCAGAATCAGCTTGGGGGAGCAGAGCTTGGGTTAAGCTTGAGGATAGAGGGCTATATGTGGATTCTGGATGGCTTGATACGTTAACAAGGGAGAGGTCCGGAGCGAGCATGTTGGGGGGAATTGTGGTTTAGATGGGGGAGCACGGAAAAAGTATTGAAGGAAAGGACGGCGTCATTCAACAGACGAAAGAGTTCGGTTGGGCATGGAAATGGCTTTGACAATGACCATCATCCATAGAGAACTGATCTCCAAAAGGCGCCACCATTCCTGTTTGCTCACTGTCATCCTTACTACCGAGGATGTCTAAAGGCAGCCCAACATACGTCAACTATCTCCGGATCAAGAGTTTTCGGGGAGATACAAGAGTCTTTTCGTGCCGTAGCCCCGGATCTCAACTTTCATGCAGGTGTCGAGAGTCAAACCAGACATTTCCACAAGATCTGGTCAAACAAACATACAATAATTAAGACAAAGAAGGGGGAGAGGATGCGGTGAGCAACGAGCAAAAGAAGATATCCAAGAATAAAAGTTAAAATAGAATGGAAAGAGGGATGGGAAAGCATAAAAGTAAGAATAGATGAAAAGTGAAGACATGTCTTTCGCTCTTCTACAAGCAGACCCATCCGTCAATCCTTTGAAGAGTCCTACTTTGCAAAAGCCTTCCCATGTTTTGTAGCGTTTTTTTCCCTCCACGTAGGCATTGCTCTTAGGACTACTACTACGGCAAGGTAAATTACAAGTTGCAGGGTTATGACAGAAAGTATCGCAAACCGCTAACGATTCCCATGCTATCCATCATCAAGGAACAAGCAATGATGACAAGGCCCGTCTTGTGTCCATGTCTTTTGGGCACTCAAAAGAAAAGCCAAGCAAAAAAAACATACAACACGGGGGATTCCCCAGTCGTCACCGACCTGAGTACTAACCCCGCCCTTGCTGGCTTATCTATGGGAGAGCGGACGGGATCCCGAGTTTTCCAGCAGGTATGGTCGTATGTGATGGAATCAGGCGTCGAAAGTGGTTCATAAGTGCAGATTAGAGATGGGAGCTTTGAGTGCATGCAAAGAAAATTTGGAGTATTTTGACGGCTAACCTTTGAAATTGTTCGTTGTCGTCTGATCTGGAAATTTTGAACGTCTTGAAACCCCACATTGACCACCTAAGTTCAGTATGAAGTGGAGATGGAAGATGAGCCAAAAAAAAAGAAAAAAAAAGAAAAAAGTTAGTCAAGAGGGCTGGGATACTTGGGATGTGTTGACGCAATTGGTTAAACTAGCAAAAGCTAAGGCAGGTAGGACTGCTTTGAAAGGGCAGCTTGGTTTACACGGCAAGCTAGAGCATTGATGCACAGCTTTGTAGTCGGAAGGGGAGCATTTGAAAAGGTTGCAGTCCTACATTACAACAATCTAGACTTAATGCCTGCTTGTGATTATGAGCTCATGTTCTTCTCCAAGTCCCTATCTATCATTACGTTTTATACCTAGTTGACCTTTCAACAACTCGTCAAGAGCTGAAAAGGAAACAAGAATAAAAAAAACAATAAAATTAAACATAGTTAACTTTACCTCCGTGCATAAATAGAGAGGGACCAAAACCATGGAACCACTCCGTTTAATCTGGACGTTGTTGCAAATGCCCTTTGGCAGAGTTCCCTGCACATTTGGTAGGACGAATAACTTGTGTCCCCCACGTTGACCTTCTGGACTAAGAGCAACAACACACTGATGAAGCACTGGCAGTGTATTATTCTCGGTCCCAAACCATCCTGTTCCAGACGGGATGTTGAGAACACCTTAGGAATTCTCACCAAACTATATTAGCAATCCTTCGATTGGCAGTCATTTCCCCATTCGATTAAAGGGTTTGGATTGGCTCAAATTCTTTCGCTATTCATGTTCACGGATGGGGAAGTAAGCAGGTATGCGTCTAAAGGCAGGTGACGACTTCATTTTCCCCCCCTCCCCCCCCTTTTTTTTTTCGAAGTCGTTATGAAGATGTGCTCGAGCTTTCATCATCCTTGGCCACAAAATGTTTGTATAGCAAACACTACTGATTGAAAAAGGATTATAGAAGCATCCGCTGTGGTATTCATACACAAAATATTTACCTTAGAACCCGTATCAGTACGCTGTTGTGTGTAGGCACTTATAAAGTCCGACTGATGACAAGTTCGAACTTCCCAACGCCAGCAAATTCCCAAGCTCCAACAACAGTAACCCAAGGAATAACACCCCTGACTGTGCAAATACCAGGACATGTTCCATGGTTCAGGAAAGCAGGTTGATGATGACCATAGAAGACCTGGTCAGCCGTCCAGGCAGTCAGCCAGCTAGTCGTGCGATCACAGCACTGCAAGCATGCATTCATCCATATATCCCCATCCCCAGTCCGCCCAAACACTGTGGTCCTGAACGTAGAGAAGCCTAGGCAGGTACATTTACGCAAGCAGTGCATTTGTACCACATATACCATACCGTCATGACAAAATGAGCTCGACTGAGTAGTTCTCCCTATAAGGATAAGACGGTGTCCATAATGATGAAAATGTATAAGCTACACCCCGAACCTAACATGAACCCAGTCCATTACACCACAATACATACCCTATCCAATCCTCATACTATGTCTAAAGCCCACGACTGAAACAAGTCTAATTAAGTACGTATCAATAACCAGTCCCTCACTAATGTTGCTCATGCCCATTTCCATGCTCATGTCTGCTCCCCGGCCTCTCGTCCTCCTCTGACGAAGGAGAGCAACACCCTTGTCCCACACAATCATCCACACAATCCAGCAAACACTGGTTCCTATCGGCTAGGCTGCATCTCTGTAGCCTGCGAGGTGGTTGCTGGTGCCATGATGAAGATGAGGACGTCCTCCTCTGCGCCCGCTGTTCTGTATTCCCATGTCCCTGATCATGGTCGTGATCACGGTTATGGTCATGGTCATGGTCATGGTCATGTTCCTCCCCATGCTCAGCATGGTGTTCGTGTTCCTCCTCATCATCATGCAACCCATCTCCACCCACCGCAGGAATCGCCCGTAGTTTCTTCCTCCCTTGCGCATGGTGATGCCCATGCGCATGCTCCGCGTCCGTACAAAACTCCGGCTGAATAGTTGCACTATGAATTCCATACGCATGCAAGCACTTCCTCGCCATGCGACTCAACTCCATATACTTCTCCCCACCGGCCTCTGAGATCGGGAACGCGACTTGGATATGCATGCTCGCCACAATTTTGGTATCCGACAGCTGCCAAATGTGCACATGATGACAGCTAATAACCCCCGGCAGGGCCTGTATATCTTCCCGTACATCGTTCAGGTCGATGTTATCCGGTGTGGCCTGGAGCAAAATTTTGCTGGACGCGATGGTCAGCGGGATCGCACTACGCAGGATGATGAGCGTGATGAAGAGCGAGACGGCTGGGTCCGCGTAGTACCGGCCCGGCCAGTCGGTCAGCCAGATGATGAGGGCGGTTATTATCACGCCGACGTTGCCTAGCGCGTCACCTAGCACGTGCAGGATCATGGCGTTCATGCCCATGTCTCCGTGGGTATGACCGTGCTTTTTGGAAGGGTCCTTGGGTTTGTTGTGGTTGTGGTGGCGGTGGATGTAGGAGCCACGACGGGGACGGGTTGGACGGTCGGTTGTGGTAGAGTAAGACTTCGAAGAGGACGACGACCCCGCGTGCTGCTGCTTCTTAAGCAGCGGTGTCGTCTCCCTCGGCCCAGCTCCAGTATCCTCCTCCTCCACAATGGCCACCTGATCTACCATGCTCTCGTTGGACCCAACCACCTCCTCCGCATCCTCCTCCTCCTCCTCCTCCTCCTCCTCCTCCTCACTGACCTGCGGCCGACTAGCAGCAATAATATCCTGTCTGAAGCTGGCGGGATGGATGCTGATTTCATCCAGGCTAGTCAACCTTCCCGGTCCGCTGCTACCCCTTGCGCGCCGAGTCTTTCTCCTTTGCCCAGTTGAGTCGGACCTCTCCCGCGCGGTGCTTGCTTCGCGCGAGGACGCAGGTCGAGTATGTCGTGGGGCCGAGTCAGGTGTAGACGCCTGAAACCGTGCGACGGTCGCTTCGGGGAGCAAGTCTGCCGCGCGGCCGGTTGCATCAGCCGCGGCGAGTTCCTGATCAGTCAATTCATTCGTTCCAGTGGCGAGGCCCTCTTCAGCGGCGGAGATCTCGTCGTGGCGGTGTTCGTCATGGGCATGCCCTTCATCGGTATGGGAAGATCCGTGGCCATGGTCGTGGCTCCCTGGGCCGTGCGAATGCCCGTGTCCGCCGAGGATGGCAAAGCCGAGGAGGTTAGAGGAGAGGCCCAGCGAACCGACGATCAGGATGAGCTGCGGGTTCGTGATCTCGGGCGGTTCGATAAACCGGGTGATGGCCTCGAGGACGATGGAGACGCAGAGGGCGATGAGGAACACCGCGTTGAAGAAGGCTCCTAGGATTTCCGCGCGGAGCCACTACACATCGAATTAGTCTTGTTCAGACAAAGAGACTGAAAGATTGAGCGTACCCCATATGAGAAACGGTCAGTGGTCGCCTTCCTGGCCACAGACACCGCCCACAAGCCAACCAGCAGCGAGATGATGTCGTTGAGCATGTGGAAGGCGTCTGCCATCAAGGCCAGCGAGTGGACGGCAAAACCGGCGCCCAGCTCGAGACAGAAGAACATGAAATCGAGGACGAGCATCAACTTGATGCGCGTCGACTTGGACCAGGCCATGGTGACGGTTGGTCCTGCGCGGGCGCGAATCCGGTATGCGGAGCTGCTTTACATGGAGCGCTGAAAGCTATAACTGAAAGGGCATAAGTTAAACTTGAAAATTAAGAGAAAGTCTAGAGGTCGTAAGATTTAATATGTTTGCGGCCCGTTGGCGAGACTTTTGTCCGATGCCAATGTCAGGTTGGGTGTGACGGTGACAGTCCCAGGCGCAATCCGTTGGCGAGTCAAAGTGCGGCATCGAGGAATGTCAAGTCCGCTGCAGTCCCGAGTCGTTCCTCGTGAAATCCCGTCACGCAGCGGCCCCTACTCCCTATTCTCGCCCCTCCCTCCTTTGGCTCGGCGATTGCGTGCAAGGTTCGGCAGTGGGTCACAGCACAACAGTCAGCTAGCCCCAGCCACTGTTGGGAATGTCGCTATCAGATCTCGGGAGTGCCACCATCTGTGTGGGGTTGTAAACGGTGTTACAGTCTTTTACGGGGTAGTGAGACTGAATTTCTACACTTTTCACAGTAGGTACATAGTCCCGTTGCACTTCTGATATTCAAGTTTGATATTCAACACCATTTAAATTGTATCGTTCTCGATCAATGACACAAAAACGCAGGTCCCCAACAAATGCAGTTCGCAGCATCTCGCAGCGGAATGTCCCGGCAGTGGTGCGTGGTGACATCAGTCAAAGTGACAGCCCACAGCAGCCACCCACTGGAGTCATTTAGATTCTTTCACCTGTGGACGCCCACATCCACACCGCAGTAGCCAGCGATCATCATGGAGAGGATGGTTGCATCTCGCCAAGCAGTATTTTTTTTTCCTAATTTTATTTTATTTTCCTTCTTTCCTTCCTTCCTTCTTTTTTTTCGCTCTGAGTCAGCACTCAGCAGCACTCGGCTCCCCACCATTTCTGCTCATTAACGGTGTCATTCCGGGCCGTGATCGGGTAAACCTGCTCTCTTGTTAGGGATGTCCTTAACTCCATCGGAGCTTTTGAGCAAAATTCAGGAACCTTGATAACTGCTGGTTGTGGCTACCTTGGCGAGGGTTCGTGCTCCTAGAAGCAATTCCTATGGGTTAGAGCTGTACTTTGGTCTGATTCAAACGAACTGGGTTGTTGATTTAGCATTTGGTATTTTGCAATGTGATTGGATCGCTGCTTTTGACAAGCAGCCGCTGTCCAAGACATCCTCTGGCTATGTTACGAGTTGCAGCTGCTTAGCCTCATGAACGTATAATCCGTCAGCCAGCCTTGACTCAAGCCACATGAAAACATAAATCTCCCCTTCAATGACGTGAAATCAATTGTTGACGCCATACACGGCACATTTGGGAAGAAGCCAGACTTGGTTGCAATCCTCACACATTTTCGGCTGTGGCGCGAGCTTTGCTTCTCTATCTCTTATCGATAGAGTAACTTACACAGCTGATAACGTAACCTTCCCCATTACACGCAGCTCTGCTTCTGGGCTCGCAGTATCAACTGACGACACGTCCATCCACCCACATCCAACGACCACGACAACGTCCCGACCCAGAGGACAACGCCCGGCCACACCAGTGCCGTCCCAACCACAGCCACAGTTCAACCCGTGCTGGTCGGTCGGCTCCAATTGACCCCATCTGTCCCCCTAGATTCGAACACAGTCCCCGCTGAATGGCCGCCATGGGGGCCGCTGACAGCGGCAGCGCTTCTTCCTCCTCTGGCGCCGAGGCTGAGCGCCTGCCCGTGCCGTCTAAAAACCCTTTGCCTCTGTCTGCCTCACAGGAGGCACAGGTCAGGGAGTTGTACTATGCGAGGGTGAGGAGGAAGTGTAAGGATGAGATTAAGGGTATGCCTTCATGCCATTGCTTTCTCCCCTGGTTATACCCCTCTCCTCCTACAGACTAGCTCTTGCCTACCATGGCGCTGCTTATACACCCGAGAAGAATATAGAGATGCTAACTGTGATGTGTGCAGCTTTCGCCGACTGCGCCCGAGGCCGGACCTTCTCCGTGGCCTGGGCCTGCCGCAACCTGCACATGGCGATGAACAACTGCATGAAGGCGCACGCGACGCCCGAGGAGCAGGACGCTGCGCGCGAAGAATGGTTTGCGACGAGGCTGCAACGACTCAAAGAGCGGGAGCGGAAAGCCAAGCGTGCGGCCGAGCAGGAAGCCTTCTTCCGCGAGTGGTGGGGCTTGCCCCAGAAGGAGAGGGAGGAGATCGAAAAGAAGCTGGAGAAGTTCAAGCACGTGGAAGAGAGGGTTGCGGTGGTGAGAAAGAAGACTCCAGGAGAGGAGCGGAGGTGATGTTGGGTTTGGGTTTGAGAGAAAGGGTAATGGGAGAGGGATGTGAGGATTGAACAGGCCCTGTGTATCAGTTGTGATATTTGAATAGGTTTGGACGGATGGTGAGAGGTATTGTGCTGGATTGTGCGCTAGAGAAGGACTGGCATGGCGTTGGGTGGAATCGAGGCTGGATGCCCTCACAGCTCTGTATCATTGTACATATACACAACATCTTAAACGAATCATGATTCCCTAAACCTCACGTCAGATATGTACTAACCTGAAATTCAGAGACATCAAAGAGTTGGGTATACAAGAAACCATGAACACCACTGAAGATATATATATATATATTCAGCAGCCCTAGAAATAGCCCATGTTATCCAACCAATCCTACCCATCATCGAAAAAAAAAATATCGCTAACCATACCGATAGATCCTCAAGTCACACTATCCACTATCCATATTGATAGATCCTGAAGAAGTCATTTACAACTTCCCCAACCCACAACACCTCGCAAATAACCCCAAACATCCCAAAACCGCCTTTAGCATGACCGTCACACACCAAACAAAACACTTAAAGGTCACCGTCACGAGCCCAACCAACGCCCTCAAACATCCCGGCAACTTCTCTTCTTCCTCCTCCCCCTCCCCATACGCCTTCCCCAACGAACTATTCTGGCTCTCCAAATCCTCCATTTCATACTGCTCTCCCCCCGATCCTCTACTCCTCTTCTTCTTTTTTCCGACCCTCACACTCCTAACCCTCCCAAACCCCGATTTGCCACCTCCAGTCCTCTGACTCCCTCGGCTACTCCTCCCCCCCGTGGCATGCTCTATCACGAAGCTGAGGACACTCCCGCTTCTTCTTCCTTCGGCTACTATGGCCGTCGGAGGCGGCGGCGGTTCGAAAACTCCGACACCTGCGCTGCTACCCCGTTCTTTTTCGTCTAAATAAGCAACAATCCCCAACGCCGCAACCGCCACATCCACGACATACACCGCGCCCTGGACTCGTCCGGCAACGGAGGTGTTTACCTCCAGCCAGCCCCTCCCCGTCCCGTCGCGGACGATCCTCCCTAAAAAGGTGGGGGATTCGTCGTGCTCGAGAGAGTATTCCGTCCGGGAATATGCATGATTGCGGGCGATGGCGACGCGAAAGGGGAGGGCCAGCGTGCTATGGGTAAGGTAGTGCGAGGAGGTGTCGGGGTCGTAGACGAGGCGGGCGCTTTCCGTGTTTGGGTGGGGGAGGTGGGCGGCGAGGAGGGGTAATAAATGGGCGATAAGGCCGGGGGAGTTTGCTTCGTCGTCGAAAGAAGAGTCTTGCGGGGGAGGTTGTTGGGAAGGGGTATTGGAAGTGGAGGGGTTGTGTAATGTGGTGGTGAGAACGGTTGTCCAGTGTTTTTTGTATCGTTGGTGTGTGGTCGCGTGGGTATGGGGATACGGCACGCCTGTGCCGGAAAGGGAAGCAATTGACGGACTGGGACTCGGCGTGCCCTCTCTACTCCTATTCCCCGTCACCAAACCCCCTAGCATCCCGCTAACCCCCCCTCCCGTCCCTGGCTGTCCCTCCCCACGATCGCCCTTGAACCCCTTATTGGGATCGTATCTCGCCAGTGTGACAATGCCAGCCGTAGATGTCGGATCGATGCGCAGGCTGTAGAAGGGTTGGCCCGAAGCAGAGCAGAAGGTGTAGGTTGGGGCGTCGGGCGCTGCGGCCATTTGTAGACAGTAGGTCTTTCCTTCGCCGGGGGGCGCCCTCCAGCCGTTGGTGACTTTCCAGAGGTTGCGGAGGTCTTCGGTTGTGGAAACTTGGCTAATAGCAGTAGGAGTATATGGTCGTCGAGGGGCTTGCTGAGGGACCAGTTGAGGGGGGGGTTGAGGTCGGGGTTGGGGCTGAGGTTGAGTCTGTATTATTGATGTTACCGGAGCTGTCACCGGTGGAGGAGGAGGAGGAGGCGGCGGGGGAGGTTGTGACACTGATGATGTTGGCGCCGGACGGGGGGAATACACGCCCCGACTGATCGCCGAAGGGGGGATATGTGTCGGGGAGGCCTGCTGGGGATAGTACTCCTGCTGTTCGAGGGGTAGAGAGGGGTTGTAGCGGGGGAAGATGGATCTGATAGCCACCTGCTCCTCTGTCCTATCCCCTCCTGACGATGAGGAGGCTCCCAGCTGGGCTGATGATGATGGCCCGGCATATGTCAACGGCGGCTTAGCGACTGAACTGACGCTGGGACTGCGAACTAGTGTTCTTGCCTCTGAGAAGGCTGTCTCGCTGCGGGGGATCTCTGCTCCCACGGCGGCTAGGTCGATTTCCTGATCGTCTGAGGGCCCTGCCTCGGGATTTGATTGTTGTCTACCATGTTGTTGTTGTTGTTGTTGTTGTTGTTGTTGTTGTTGTTGTTTCTTCGCATCCAGGGCATGTTGCCACGGGTTTCTCGACTCGCCAGTGCTTGCCCGCGACCGGGTCGCCCCTGATGAAGTCTTGCGATGATGAGTCCCCGGCGGGGGCGAGCTGCCTTCGGCTCGCTCCGGACAGCCCTCCCGGGGTATAGAGGCTCGGGTTCGCGACTGTGAGCGCGAGGATGGTCGTGGTGAGCTAGTGGTGTTGGGGAAGAGGGAGAACCCTCCTGTTGGGGCCGACATCTTGTCTGCCTATGATGAATTGATGTGATGTTCTTGGAGTATACTGCTGGGTATCTTTAACGAGTATATGTCTGCTGGCACATCCAGCAGGGCTGGCCGTCGGTCTATCGGTTCATGACGTGCTCGTCGTTTATCTCGATCCTTAATATCGCCTCAACACGACCGGGCCACCAGTGACAGCAGCAGTAGGAATAGCAGACAAAAGGTTTTTTTTAAAAAAAAAGAACCTGGGATCCAATCCGTTTTATTCGGCTTTCCTACACCAGGCAGGATAGGGCAGACAGGGTATAGGTAGGTAGGTAGGTAGGTAGGTAGGTAGGTAGGAATACCTACTTAGATTATACCATAAGATAGATATGAATGAGTGCCGCCCACCGTCTCCCGTGCTCGGATGCAGAGGCTCACGCACTCGTCAACCTATGCACATCCATTCATCCTCAATATCCGTACCGTACCCTACCACAGTCCTCCCCCACGGGCCAGGGTGAGTGACCGCTCGGCAGAAGCGGCTCGCACGCTTGTGCACCCCTTGGACTCTACCCTATCGCGGGTCCGGGCTCTTCCCAACCTAGCAAACCTGCCTTCCGGGCAAAGTCCCTCCACGTAAGGTTGCCGGGTCCCCTAAGCGCCGGCATGTCTCTTGCAGCGGGAGCGCGGTGAGCGCCTAGCCAACGGGCCACCAGTCGGCTGCATTGTTCTGGGCCGTCTTGGAACCTTTTCTCTTTTCTGAGTGGATGGAGAAACATCACTGGCGAGAGTCTCTCGGGAGGGGCTGTCGCTTAAAATAGATGCCCCTGTTCTCTCCAGGCCTCAAGAGTCCAATCACAGCGCGGATCACTTGCAGGTAGACGCCGGCCAACGGCGTGCCTTCTTGGCGGCAACTGAGACTAAACTCTCTGCGGGTTTTCTTGTTCTTTTTCGTTGCCTTTTCTTTTCTCTCTCTTCCGTGAAAATCGCCGATTTACCAGGTTGCCAGGCAAATTTGGCGAGGCTGGAACATAGTAAGCTCGGTTCGATCGACCCATTGGCGTCGTGGTAATATCACGGCTCTATCGCAAAGTTTATTTCCTTAGACGGTAGAACCGTTTGGGGCCAGTTCCGCGATCTGATGTCACCTTTGCCCTCAGATCGCCCGGCGGAGAGAGCATTACACTACGGAATTGATTCCTTGCCCATATTCTTCTGATGCTCTTTTCGTTGATCTTATTATTCCATTTTTGCAGCAGCAAACATATATTTTCTCAGCCTTTTTTTTTCTCAATTCACGAACCAATTCACGAACATCATCAATCCGTCACCAGCTAAGGTTCCCTAAGAGCTACATAGAAACAAATTTTCTGAGCGAGCGAGTAGCGATCAACCCAGGAAAAGCTTTTCCATGAAACAGAAAAATTCAAGCTCTTTCAAATGAAGAAGCTTTAAAGATGTGTCCCGACACTGCATCGGGATCTCCCAGTCCCGTAGTTGCATACCGGCCGTGCGCTGATCAAGAATAGCTCCCGTTCGCCGCGTACGGTAGGTCGGTCGGCCAGACCGCGATCTGGAGTGCAGCTGCCGGCCTGCAGTGCAACGAACAAAATGTAAAACTCGGTCCATGCCGATTATTTAATGCAGTGTCGAGATATCCCATTAAGATAGCTTACATCTGGTTGTTTGACAACAACTTCATGTGATGTGCTAATAATTGTGTTGTTGATATCTTTTTTGATCTCGAAAAGATGAGAATAGAATAAAACAACACTACCCGCTTACAAGTTGCAATTTAGTGCCTGCTTTTTTAGGACTCAAAGCAAGGGAGTCCACTAGAAATGGATACACAGCATAAGCTTGACAGCTTGTTGGGCACCTTGGCCCTGGAACTAGCCAGTCATGTGGCGATGGCAGCTGCTCCTTCAGCATGGCGAATCCTACTCCTGTGTGTTGGATCCTTTGAACTGGCGGAAGGTTCTTGTGTTCAGTGTCGGTAGAGCCTCTCCGCAGCCTTAACTGTCTGGTTTGCCCGGGTTCTGTGGGGGGACAACTTTGATCTGGCGGGGATCTATTCTCAGCTGGTTCTAGCTCCATGCTGTGGGAGATCCGGTGGTGTGGATCCTGAGGAAGAGCAGACAGAGATTATGTTGGGATCCTCTGGAGCAAAGGGTCCAAAGCATTTTCAGAAGACAGGGGTTGTAGGGGGGGTTGCGAGGTTAGCAAAATCAAGTTTCCAGGATCATTCACTCCGGGGTCATCTTCCCAGCCAGTGGCCCAAGTCTAATGCAATGCCGCTACTAAAGATAGCCTCCAACAGCTCAACTACTGTAGAGCTCACACTTGAGAAACTCTGTTTGACTTTTCTTTTTCCTAAGTTTAAATAGAGGCAAGCAGGTGGGATCAACTGGCACTTTGACCCTTCGAGTCCTCCCTAGCTTAGACACTCCTGACCAATAAGTCTGCATCCAAATTAATAGAAGACTTCTTGATGCTGATTCCGTCATCAGTGAATACTTTCGGCATGCTCAAGCTAGTGTGGCTGATTTGTGTATGGAGAAAAGCAACACAACGGAAGAACCTAGACTGATGTGCACACTCTGCCTTATATGGATGCTAAAAAGACATCGAATCTATTCTTAGCTCCCAGGAGAAATGGCCTTGTTAGAATCCGTGTCCCACCAGCTGCTAGTGTCCAAATCAAGTTTAACGCGATGATGTCACCGTCTGAACCCTCGGTCACCGCTCTCCGGGACGGGCCCATAACTCCATCTCAGGCCGCGTTTACCGGGGCAATGATGACCGAGTGGGGCTTCCGTCGGCGGTGCGGGGCCGTTTCTCCGCTAAGCTGATCGTGCCGGAGGTCCCGTTGGGTTGTTCTATGCTCCATCATCTTCCCTGAAGCAGAGATTCAACAAGTCTGTATTAGACAAGCTCCTGAACTCCTAAGTCTCTTTAAGTAATCGGGACACCAGAACAGAAGAGTTTGGCAAAATGACACAACATGTCGTCGTAATTGGGTATCTTCCCTTTCACTATCCCCCAATCTTACAAATCCGGGCTAACACCTCCAGGGCGGGCGTCATCGGCATCACAAGCGCTATCCGCCTCCAAGAGGCTGGCTACAACGTAACTATTGTCTCACGCGACTTCCCCGGGCCCTTCGAGACCATGGACCCCATAGCACATATCAACTATGCTTCAGCTTGGGCTGGTGCCCGTAAGTCTTTCTCATACCAGTCCTTTTATCCTTACCCCTGACCCTTCCACACTCACATCCCTTAGCTTCAACGTCAAACCATAAGCCAAAAAAAACCCCTCCTAAGATGAGGTAGATGCTAATTCATGACCAAAGACAACCGCTTCATCCCCCCACACCCTTCCTCCCCCCCCTCACCTCCACCGCGAACACGCCTGGTCCCTCACAACCTACACCCACATGCGCTCCCTCTACTCCTCCCACGGTGCCCTCACAGGCCTAACCTTCCTCGACGGAATCGAGTACCTCGACAACCCCGGTCCAGAATACCTCAACCTTAGTGCTTCAATGCTCCCAGCAGATTGTGAGTATCAGGTGTTGAGTAAAGAGGAGCTGCCCGAGGGAGTAAAATGGGGGTGTCGCTATCGAACGTGGTGCGTCAACCCGATGGTGTATCTGCAGTTTTTGTTGAGGAGGTTTGTGCATCGTGGGGGGAAACTTCTTAAACGGGAGCTTCGTCACCCCCTTGAGGCGTTCTCTCTTCAGACAGTCTCAGACGCTTCCGTCGGAGCGGTCGTCAATGCGTCCGGCTATGGATTGCCAGCTGATCCAGCCGTATACCCCATCCGCGGCCAAACCGTCCTCGTCGCCTCCTCCGTCCCCTACACCATCACCCGCCAACATTCAGATCCCATGAAGTGGACCTTCTGCATCCCCCGCGGCCTTGAATCTGGCACCATTATCGGCGGCACAAAGGAACCACACGACTGGGAGTCGAATCCACGTCCCGAAACCCGAGCTGAACTACTCTCCCGTATGAAAGAGACGTATGCCAAGATCGTACCCGAGGGGAAGGACGGCGTGACGGTGTTGAGGGATATCGTTGGGAGAAGGTGGGCTCGGGAAGGAGGGCCTAGGGTCGAGGGGGAGGTTTTACAAGAGGGGAGGTTTGTGATGCATGCTTATGGATTGGGAGGAAGGGGGTATGAGGTTAGTTGGGGGGTTGCGGAGGAGGTTGTTAGAGGGGTAAAGGGGTTTTTGGAGAGAGGGGTGAAACTTTGATGGAGGGAGAAGGGTTGGTTTAGGAGCGACAATAGGGTTGGTGGGGGGGGGGTGGGGGAGGGGGGAGTAGTACCCAGGACGTTGGGTTGGCTGGCTGCTGTACGAAAGACTACTCTAGAGTTCAGTTGTGAGATCATACCGTCGACTGGATCTAGATAGACCCTTATAAATCTATTGTCTAGACCTTCTCCAAATCTCCATTATCTGGCCTGGGTATATACACGAGCGGGCCAGTCGCTCAGAACCCCGATGAGAACGATTGAAGAAAAAAAAAAAAAAAAAAAACCTAATCACAAGCACTTGCTCAGCGCTTCCTCTCCCGAACCTTAATCCTCCTCCCCGACTTCGTAAATCCGCCCGACGTCGCCGTCTTCGCCATCTTAGCCTGCTGCAGCTCCAGTTCATACTCAGCATCCGCTAACGCCTTGAGCTTCTTCCTCGCAGCCTTGACCTTGCGCGCAAGCTTCTCCAGAACGAGCTGCTTCCTGCGCTCTTCCTTCTCCTTCTCCGTCATTTCTTCCTCATCGTCAAAGTCATACCCATCCTCTTCCTCATCATAATCTTTCATTTCCTCATCCGCCTTCTGCTTCTCCAGCGCCTGCTGCCTCTCCTCAACCCCTTCAAAGAAAACAATCTTTTTCGGCTTAGCCTGCTTTGACCCCGACTCCTCCTCATCCTCATCACTATTAAATTCCTCCACCGGCTGGTCCGCCCCTCCCGCAAGCACATACCTCTCTTCCAATTCCTTGAGTTCCTTCGCAGCAATATTCCTCATCGTCCTGACATACCCCAAATCCTGCGTCTTGAGCAACCTCACCGTCTCCACACTAAGTGCTTTATTCCCCCTGTCTCCATCTACCGTCCCGGTAAAGCCTTTACCCCGAGTAAGCGCCGACCCAGGCCCTTTCCGGGACATCATGCCGAAGTAGAACTCATCTTCGTTGCGCTCGGCCGCCTTTTGGCGGAGCGATTTTAGCACAGCCTGCTTCTTTTTGTAGTCGCGCGCGCGGAGGCGATAGTCTTTTTTCTTTTCGAGGATGCCAAGTCTTTGGCGCTCCAGAGGCTGGGCGCGTTCTTTGTGCGCGCGGCGCTGGATGCTAGCTGGAGTTAGTGTCTTGATGAAGCCCAAAAGACGAAGAGGATAGAGGATGGAGAGGAAGACGTACGCGTGCCGCAGCGATGACATTGTGCTCAATTGATATAATCCAAATCTTGGGAGTGTAGAGCTCTATTAGAAAAAATTTTCTTGAAAATTGTCCAAATACCGGATTTTTTTTGGGAAGTCGGAGTGATGCCGATGGAAGGTGTTGAGGTTTTGAGGATGGTTCGTAACGCTGCTGCTGTTCTTTGCTGGTCGCTTCCTCAAAATTTGGGAGCGATAAGTGCGATAAGAGGCCCACTGTATGGTAATGTAATAACTACGTAATTACTGTAACAATTCCCCGCATCTGCGGTGGGGCCATCAGGGGCAGCGGGTTGGGATTCCTCCTTAGCTAAACCTTCGATTTCTGACATTAATCCAACAACTCGAATAGCAGCAGTGGCCAGCTCGACAGTTATCACTGAATTGGACGCACTCTCTGAGACTAGCAGAAGCTCCATTAACTCTAGTTCTAAGTAATCTCTGAAAAACTTAGAAAAGATGCCACACATAATATCTGTGCGCCCAACAGCTCGACTCCTCTTTTCTGCTGAATAGCTTCTCAAATCGATCAATAACGCCGTGAATCTTTGACAGAAGATCAGCGCTGACATTTTGACATGGACTCTGAACCCGGGGCTCAGTATATGGGCAGTTACCAATACAGTTAATTGGACTTTGGTTCACTGGCCTTTGGATGTCCCACAGCGCGTATCCCTACAGAAACAATTCTTATATCAACTCCATGCACAGTATTTCAATGAAGCTGCGTGACCGCAAATCCCAAAATCACCCACTATAACACACTATTGAATGGTTGACCGTCTGAAGATGCACCAAGACCAGGCATGCGAAAGCTAGGGTCCCCCCGCCAAGACCCCAGCGCCCCTAAACACTATTTTATAGGGCGAAGCGCCTCGAGAGCCCGGCATGTGAAACGTCACGATCAACCTCACCTCAACGCCTTGACGGCGGCCATAATCCTCTTCAATTCTATCTCGACAGCCGCCCCCCAATGGGCAGGCTTCTCGCCGATGGCCATCTTCCCCGCCCGCCGTAGGTTCGTACGGCTTGCCCTAACAACAGTCCTCTTCCTCACCGTCTACCTCTTCTTTGCCCAACCGCCCGCCCTGCATCCTCCGCCGCCGCCGCCGCCGCGAGGACATCATCATAGCCAGGAAAAAAATCATGCCGGCGCCCCGGAAAAGCCCGCATACAAGCCCACTAGCTTCGACTGGGCCTCGCGTCCTGTAGCCCATCCCCTCGATGACTCGGAAATCGGCCGCCTGCCAGAGGGCGAGCCGCTTGCGCTGCCTCAGATCCAGCACGCCTTCACGACCACCGAATTGACAGCTTCGCACAACGAGACGCAACGCAAGCGCCGCGAGGAGGTTCGTGATGCCGCCCGAAGGGCGTGGAATGCATACAAGAAGCATGCCTTCGGCCGCGACGAGCTCACCCCCCTTACCCTCTCCTCTCGCGACACCTACGCGGGCTGGGGCGCGACGCTGGTCGATTCGCTTGACACGCTGTGGATCATGGGACTAAAAGATGAGTTCTATGAGGCGGTTGGCATGGTGGGCAAGATAGACTGGAACAAGCCCCGGTCCAACATCTGCTCTCTCTTCGAAACCAACATCCGTTTTTTGGGCGGGCTCCTGTCCGCATACGACCTCTCCGGCGAGGAAGTCCTTCTCCGCAAAGCGAAAGAGCTGGGAGATATGCTCCTAGCCGGCTTCGATACATCCACACACATGCCCACCAACAGCTTCGACATTTCCCTCGCACGCAAAGGACGGCTCGTCCCCAGCTTCAGCGAATCCCTTGCCGCGGCGGGCTCTCTCTCCCTGGAATTCACGCGCCTGTCCCAGCTGACGGGGGATAACCGGTACTACGCCGCCGTAAACCACGTCACGCGTGCGCTGGCAAGAGCACAGGAAAAGACCGCCCTGCCCGGGCTATGGCCCGTGTTTATCGACCTGCGCTCGCCGCTGCTCACGGCGGGAAATACCTTTTCTCTGGGAGCGTCCGCGGATTCCGCGTATGAGTATCTCTCGAAGATGTATATATTGCTTGGTGGGCGGGGGGACGTGTATGAGAAATTGCATGTGGATGCGATGCAGGCCGCGGCGAGGTATTTGCTTTTTAGGCCAATGCCACCTCCTCCCGGCAAGGGGTCCTCTTCGGATTCCATCCCCCTGGAGGAGGTATTGTTCACAGGAACAGCCTACGTCTCCGGGCATACATACACCCTCCGTCCCGAGGTCCAACACCTAGGCTGCTTCGCAGGCGGGATGTTCGCCCTCGGCGGCCGCTTGTTCTCCCTCCCCGGACATGTCCAGATAGGAAAGCAAATCGCGCTCGGCTGCGCTTGGGCGTATTCCCGCTTCCCTACGGGTATCATGCCCGAAGTCTCGCTGCTCGCGCCGTGCGACGGTGCGGGGATGAGCAAAACCGTCGACGATGACGACGACGACGACGACGACAACGGTGCAGTGTCCAAGAAAAAGAACGTGACAAGTCCCGAGGACGTCCCGAAGTGCGAGTGGAACCAAGCAAAATGGGAGAAACTCCTCCGCCAACAGGGTTCGTCGGCAGATAAGGATGATGAGCTGCGGTTACCGAAGCCGTGGACTTCGGTCAAGGATCCGCAGTATTTGTTGAGACCCGAAGCTGTGGAGAGTTTGTTTATTCTTTGGAGGGTGACAGGAGATGCAGCGATGCTCGACCGGGCGTGGGAGATGTGGCAGAGTGTCAAAGACGCGACGGAGGTCAAGGATAATGGGGCGTTTGCTGCTATTAGGGATGTCAGGATTAGAAGGGGGGAATGGCAAGATTCTATGGAGGTGAGTCCCTTATTTCTCAGAAGTTGGTTTGGGCTTTGGGATGAGATGCTAACAAAAATGCAGAGCTTTTGGATCGCCGAGACGCTCAAATACTTCTTTCTTGCTTTCTCGGACCCAGACGTCATCAGTCTGGATGACTATGTCTTTAATACGGAGGCGCACCCGTTTAGAATTCCGAAGCCGAGACGGGAGGATGGGCCTGTCAAGGGTTTTGAGAATAGAGATCGCGGCCAGGAGACGCACCAGCAGCACCAGCAGCAGCAGCACCAGCAACAACAACAGCAGCAAGTGATGTGAGATGAGATGGATTGGTTGAGATGTGTAATAGACACCTTGTTATAGACAAGACTACGTACGTAGATGGTGGTGGATATGTGTATGGGCTTGGGTTGCACATAGATCTTAAGCTCTATAGGAGGTGTTTTGATGCTGCTTCAGGTTTAGAACAGCCATCTAGTCTTAGTCATCAATGAATTGCGTCGTCATCATATTCCACCACCTTCCCCTCGCGCTTCGCCTTCTGGAGCTCCTCATGGTAAAAATAAGCGATTTCATCGTTTGTCGTCAATGTACTCAGTCGGTTATGCTAGAAAGAAACCGAACAAGAAGAGTCCGGAACACTAGCCCGTGTCCTGGACCGGCAATGGATATCATGGATGGATTACACAAGCGCACAACAACACAACAGGTTGTCCCGTTCTCGAGTTCCAGTCCAGGGTCGTGTCACCCGTTTTCAAGTCTCGAACCTTGTCTCACAGGTTCGCAGGTCATGTGCCTTGATGTCTGATCAAGATCGTCGAAGCAGCTCACTCGTCCGCCTGATCACTATGATACGTCCAAGAATATGACAAGAAGTCCACGGAGGGATGGTCCTTCCGGAAACCCCATCATCTTACTTTTCCGCGCTCGGCTGCCATGGCATGTATATCCATCCTCGATCCACTACCGCGGATCTGGCCCGAACAAGTCAGGCGCTTGGTGTTTTTATAGAAGCAATGAGCTCATACCGGCAAACCACGTTGTCATCGATCCATGCTTTCGGAGCAGCCAGTTGTGGGTTGTGGAGTCGACTGAGTGTGGGATGCGGCTGGATGGCACATAAAAATAGCATCACTGAAGAAGCGAGGTAGTGTTTGACATGGGGGTAGTGCGCCCGGGGGGGGGGGCATTCACCGAGCGATTGGGGAGAGAAGGGGGAGGGGGTTGCGGAGTTCTAGAAGCTAGCTGGTGTTTTGTGGCAGTCTAGTGTTAAAAAAGATATTTGTCTAAGAAAAAGATAGGTTAAGGAAGAAAAAAAAGTTGAGGATGTGATGGGAGGTGATGAATGAATGGGTGGGTTGTGGAAGTTGAGGGAAGAGGTATATTCTGTCTACTGTTAGCTGACTCTGCCGAACCAAACATTCGCATCCCAATCATCCTGCTTTCAGGCCAGGATCGGATGCCATAGTGAACTTACACCTATTTTATGATCAGCAACGAATGGGGAAAATCTTCTGGGAGTATGTCTTGGCCTCCCTGAATTTCCAACCCCAACCTCAACTCACTTCTTCCCCATCCATCCCCCACTCAACAAACTCTCAATCCCATGGCTAGCTCGGTATCATGTTGAACGAACCTATCGGAAAACTCTTGGTATGCCACTTGGTAAGCACACGGGATCTCCCTGCGCCCCCTTGATCTGCAGTCCTACAGTGCTAGGCTTTGTTTCATGTTTCAAGCTCCTTGTGGATGCAACCACGGATGCTAGAAAGCGGAGCCAGAGCTTGCTAAGCTAACTGCACAAGACCTGGCTAGGGAAAAAAAAGCCGTTGGTACACTGCAGTTCAAACCCTTGTTTATCACTGCAAGTCCCGGGACTGCAGTCAGCCGATATAGCTGCCGAACTTTTGCGTGCCCTGGATAGTGAACAGAGACATGGGGGAATTAAGGTGAGCTAGGCCTCATGCCAATGATGATGAATGATGATGAAGGTGAGAAATGAATCTGTTGGATGGGGCCTGACTTGACTTCAGAAGCACAATCAAGCTCAAGTCGACCCTGACTGAGCTATGTTTAAGGCACCAGAGCCCACTTTCTCACCCTCTTTTGAAGACTTCTTCAGGTAGAGAGTCCCATATATACAAGGACCATAAATAAGTTCGCCTCTTACCGAAGCTGATCGCGGGGCTGGAGTGCTGTTGGCGCAATGTACATTTGTCCACTACAGACCGCCGATAACGAAACTTGTCTTCAACTCTCTTCTTCATTAACTCTGCCGTGCCCATGTCCTCAGTACCTCCCCATACCCATAGCCCCCTCCTTTTTACTCTAAAAATCACACCGTGACTGCAGATCCCGTCCCGGCGCAGGGGATGGTGTCATCCCTATCTTGCCATCCATCCCTCCATCCATTCAGTGCAAGTCGGCGAAGGGCCCCATTCTTACTGCCACGCTCCATGGTAGGAATGCTCAACCGAGTGTAGCTCCTCTCTCGGTAAGGCCGGCGGCTTCTTGCTCATGCTCTTGGCTCTCATCGCAGCACCATAACCGCACCACCGAGAGCCCATGCCCATGTCCTTCCCCGAGAAGCGGCTCGGAGGGGTTTTGTTGAGTTTTCTGCAGAAGCTCATGAGCCAAGGTCGATCTATTCCTACATCCCACTGACTGCACTTAGCCTCTGCCCCATAGATACCTACAATGCATTCATACAAGAGCTGACTGACATCGTACCGTTTGGCTTCATCTACGCTGCTTACTTACACACCTGCATGCATGCAAACTCGGACAAATCCCATCTTGCCCATATTTTGCAGATTGCCGGATCTGTTCCCTTCGTCCCTTATCTTCTAAGCCTCTGGCTAAACTGAGCGTATCCCCTTTCCTTGATCCCATCCCTTCCCATCCCTTCACCACTTACACTCAGTATCCGGTACGGCTAAGTAGAAGAAAATGGCTGCGTAGAAGAAAACTGCAGCCGGTAAATACCTGCTTTTCTAGAGTCAAAGTATGTGAAGCGATGCCATGAAAGCTCCCAAGCTCAAAGCTAACGTGATGCATGTACGCTCGGCGACTTGCATATCTCTCAAAAGGTCTGGACACACGAACCATACACGCACGCACGCGACAATCAAATACCGTCGTCGTCTTACTTAATCTCACTTACCTACTGACCTATGTAGGTGCCGAGCCTCCTCCAACTCCAACTCCGGCACGGGAGGTCTGATATCATCATCAGCCTCGCCACAAGCTAAACAGCTGGTTTAACTCACACAGCCAAACTTATAGCTAATACTTGCTTACCTGCTCCCTTGCCTAGAGCTTTCTCGCCACCTTAACCCTAGCCCATCTGAATCCCTCCCATAAACCTACCTCGGTACTTACGTATCAACATAGCTATACGAAGGCAAGCAAACAACTTACAAAGAAAGCCTTTTTTTTATTTTTTGAAAGCCACAGGACCACAGCATGAATGGCAGCAAACCGCCACCAGCACGACCACAATCACTATCCCTCTTGTCTGGACTCGAGCAGCATGTCTGCCCCTCCTCCCCAGAGCTCTTACCCAGCTCATTCCCAACCCGAACTCCAACAACAACATTACTATCCCACAACGACCACCGCCGGCGATGACAACTTCTTACCGCCAACAACCCTCGACCACAATCCAAGCCTTAGCCTCGTCCCAAGCTCAAATCCAGACCCAACCCAAACCTTCACTCCTGACGCCGATCAGCCCCACCTCCAGCGCGAACATCCGACAAGCCAAGGTTCCCAAATCCACCGTATGAACACAGTTCTCTCCGCCGTGACCTCCGCCACAAGTCGCTTCACCGTCTCCCCGCCCAGCTCACTCCCATCGCCAACATACCCCGTTAATACGACCCTAAACCCAGATCCAAATACCAATGCTGTTATCAGTGATTTCAGTTTTGATGGGAATCCAATCCCTGGAGCTAGGGCTGAAGCTGAACACAATCCCGTAGCCGGAGCCAGTCCTCAGCCAGAAGCCGGAGTCCCGGGCTTGCAACTCCCCCCTCCTGGTATCGGGAGTGGGAATGAGGGTGGAGGGGAAGCAGAAGGCGTAGGAACTTACGCGTCAGGATACAGTTTCAACACCACAGGCTCAGGGGAGGGTTCAGGCTCAGGGTATAGTCCCATCTCGGGGATCCAATATGCGTATGGGTATCCGTATGGGTTTGGGAGTGAGTTTGGGTCGGGAGGACAGGGAGGTACGATAGCCTCCAGCTCAGGGAATGGGAATGAAACTGGCATCGGGACGAATGAGATACTGGCGATAGTAGGAGCAGCACGGCAAGATCTGGGGGCAACACAGGGCCAAGGGGGTGAGGGCTCAGAATCTCGGGACCAGGGACATCAACAGGGAGGGAAGAGGGACACTTGGCCCGCCCCCCTCAACATCCCCATCTCCAAGGAATCAGCACCCGTCCCCGTCACCACCACTGCCACATCCTCCCTCCCCTCGATCTCGATCTCGCCCCCCCTTCCCTCATTAACATCAATGACGACAGCTGCTGGTATCCCAACAATAACAACCTCCCCCCCGCCAACCCAACCCTACCCCTGGCCCTGGACCTCCCACCCCTGGGTCCGCCCGCTCGCCCCTAACCTGTGGCAAACCGCCCCGCACCCACGGGACATCCCCTTCCCAGTATCAGCCCAGTGGCGCGGGAGCCGCGAGATGCAAGAGCTTGAGCGGGCGAGGGCTAGGGCGTTAGAGAGGGAACGGGAGGAGAGTCAAGAACGAGAAGGAGAAGGAAGGGGACAGCAGGTTAGCGATGAGAGCGAAGAGGGGGAAGATGGTGAGGGAATGAAGATAATGGGACTGGGGAATGAGTCGGGGGAGGTGACGATTGAGACAGCGGTGAAGAAAGTTATTGGACGGGGGAAGGGACCGAGTCGGGCGGAGGGGGAACCGGGTTCCGGGGCCTGGCCGGGACCGGTGACGGCAGCGACGACGACGACGACGAGGGCATCCGAGCCAGTTACTAGTATCTCCGCCGACCCAGCTCCGACAACCCGGCGGAGCGAGGAGAGAAACCAACCCCAACAACCCTTCATGCACTACGAGGACCTGTCCTATCCAGGCTTCGTCCCCAACTCGCCCACCTCAGACGACTCAATGCTCCCAGCGCGAACAGAAGACGCAGCCCACCAAGAGCGACCTCTCCCTCCTCTCCCATCTGCGACGGCCCGAGCAGAGACGGCAGCTTCTGCTTCAGTCCCACATAGCATCAGCATCATCCAGATGCCGGGTCCAGAAAATGAGACGCCGTCTAGGGAGACGGTGTTTCGGTCCTCGCGAGAGAGGCAGACGCCCCCTCTCCCTCCCGTGCCGCCGGGAAACATCTCCAACCAGAACAACGATAGCCTACCCGAACCTCGTAGAGAGAAACAACCACGCGCAAAACGCGTCCTCCTCCAGTCCCCTTCATCATCATCAAATTCACGCCCCCCGGGAAACCTCTGGACCTACACGCACCCCTTCCTCCCCGAACTCCTCTCCCTCATCTCAAGCATCGTCTGCCTAGCGAGCATCTGCGCCCTCCTCAAACGATACGACAACCACAGCCTGCGCGACTGGCCCCTCCAAGTCTCTCTTAACACGGTTGTCGCCTTTCTCACAGCCATATGCCAAGTCGGGCTGTGGAGAGCGCTCAGCGAGGGGCTGGCGCAGCTGAAGTGGAACATGCTCGCGCGCGGGGGGGCGGTGAATACCATGAACAAGACGCTGGGGGATTGGGAAGTGATCGAAGATGCCAGGAGGGGGGTGGCGGGGTGTGTGAGGGTTTTGGTGGGGAGGAAGGGAAGGTGCGTGTTTTGATTCGTATTGCTATCGTCGACATTGTTGTTGTAGATCGTGAGAATGGCCTGGGCGAATGAATAGGCGGCTGACGGTTTGTTGTTGACACAGAACCCTCGGCATAACCTCCGCCACGCTGCTGCTTACCTCCTTCCTGCTCACACCCCTCACCCAGGGCGCCATCACCTATCCCTATCGACACCTTAGCGCCGGCAGCGGCACGGCAACCGTCGCCCGGAGCGAGTCGTATATCCATCCCACACCATACAGTAAGCCCCCTTCATCTCTCCTCTCAACCCAACCCCATCTAATCAATCCCCCACATCCTTCCCCTAACCCAACCAACCAGCACCCAGAATGACTAACCTCTCCTCATCCAGCCTCTCTCGACGCCCGCGAGAAACAAGCCATCCATGTAGGCATCCACCACCCAGTCGATGAGTCCATCCCGCACCTGCAGCCCACGTGCAGTTCAGGCGACTGCCAGTGGCCCGACTTCAGCTCGCTGGCCGTGTGCGCGGCCGTGGCTGATGTATCAGACCGGCTGACGATAACCCAAACTAACAACACGAGTGGTGGTGGTGTGTCGTTGCCAGTGTCCAACGAAACGCAGTTGTTGTACAAAGCAACCCTTCCCAACGGGGCCTTCCTCCTCGGCGACGCGTCAACGTGGAACCTTAATATCTCGTCTCCTGGTGCCCCGCAATCATCCAGCTCAACCAGAGGTGGCGAGAACGGGCAAGATGATGATGATGCTTATGACGGAAATTTTCTCCCGGTCCAAACAAGCCTAGCCTTCTCCTCACAAGACGGGCGTGTGCTAAGCGGGATAACGAACCTGTTTTTTGTGTATACCAACACTACCTCTGCTACCAACCAAGCCTCCTCAAGAAATTCATCATCAACGTCGACGGGGCAACGGCATATTTTCCGCGCTGCCGAGGTACTCCTTCATTTCTGCGTCAACACGTATCAAGTCTCAACCAGGCGCGGCATATCGATCAGCACGGTGGTACATTCGTCTGCGCTGACGGTGCTGCAGCAGCAGGGCGTCGTGACGACGGCAAGGACAATTCTTCGTAGTAATCTCAGTAGCCCTACCAACCCTGACACAGGAAGCAGCAGCGTAGGACGGCGGGCCGTCCCGGATACTCCCCGGGCCGCCGTTGCAATGCTGAGTCTATCGACGTCAACAACAGTCGGTGGCGAAGAAAACCTCCACCCACTACCTCCACAGCAGCAGCAGGTGGACGTGTACACGGTGAAGAGGGACGACGTGGAGCTTCTGAGTCGGTATATCCGGGGAGTGTTCGCGGGCTCGTATTCCCGTCGGTACGGTAGCGCTATCGGGGGCGAGACAGCCGTCAGCGAGGCCATTGGCACGGCTCTATTTGATCGGGGCACACTCTCGGAGTCGATGATGCTAGAGACTGTTTGGAATGTGTCGGCGAATGTGGCTACCAGCTTGACTAACACGCAAGTATCCTTCCTTTTTTTGTGGTTATTTTGTTTTTTTTTCTCTTTCGTTCTTTATTTGATTTCTCCTTTTTGCTTTGTAGACGTTTCCCCTGACTTCCATCTCAGGGGTAGAGTGAGAGGGCGGGGGGGGGGTACCTCAAGCAGATCGGGGACAAGTCACTCTTGTCGGTCTACTGCCATCTTCCGGACCTGCCCACGTTTTTACTGAAGAAAAAAAATCAATCATGCCAAAACTCAAACAACACCAACCAAACCCCCAGCTAACGGACACGTGTCTAGTATCCGAGCCATGAGTTCGACAGGCGGCGTCGTGACCGGGACGGTCCTCGCGACCGAGAGCTACGTCCGCGTGCGGTGGGCCTGGCTCTCCTTCCTGGCCATCCAGGTGGGCTTGACGGCCAGCTTCCTGCTAGGCATCATCGTGCAGACAGCTGTATGGGATGTCAAGGTGTTCAAGGGGTCGCCCACGGCCGCACTGTTGGCCATCTCGGCGGGCGATAAGGAGTATCTGGAGGAGCAAGGGATACTGTTAGACACCTCCCTTAGTAGTGATGATGATCTGAAGCGAAAGCTGCAGACCATAACCTGCAGATTCCAGCCTGGAGAAAAGGGTTGGACTCTGCAATTGGGAAAGAGACAGCAGGACGGGGACTTTGGAGTGTAGAGTGCAGCCTCTGTCATCAATGTAGTGTACATAGAGCATCTGTTAACTGTACTGACCAATACCCCGCCCATCACTCGATTAACAGCGGGCCTAGGCTTGGATACAGTAGTAGTCAGCAGTCAGCATCGTCCCAGGATTGTGGGCTAGTTGTGTAGGCCGCGGAAGACGATAACACACAAGCCGATTTACCCACTTCCTTCTCAGACGTCACAAATAGGCTCACTACTGGATAGGCTGTGCCGTGCTGCGAGTGTCCGTAAGGGGTTTCGCGCCTATGCAAGTGTTCATGAGGCCGAAGACGGCGATCATCACGTCCTGCTTGTGCATCGGGCCTTTTCCAGATCGGAATCAAGGCAACAACGGGAGAGGAATTCTCCAGTTGTTACTGCAGAACCAACTGTAGAAAGGCCAGTTCTCGCTGTGAGCTCGGAATCACCACAGCTGCGAGACGAGGCTCGGTACCCGATGGCAGAGAACCTAGCGTCCCGGGACGACCATGGCACTCAGTGTGCCATTGGGCACCCGAGCAGATTGCGACATGCATGAGGTGGTGGTCGATATTGCCAGATAGAAGCTCCGATACCTAGATACCTGAGCTATCGCGCAGGCAACTCCCTCCCTCTAGATGCCGGCAAGTCTGGAGGTCCGCGGGACGCACACCGAACGAGACGCCTCTTACGTTTGTCTCACAACGCGTGAACCAGTCGGGGAATCCGAGACTGCTGACCTCGAGTCTAGCTATTTGTCAACTGTTTTGTCTTCTGCTCGGTAGGTAGCATCCACGGGACATCAGGATTTTGTACTTCACATCGTCACCATCCCGGTGAAGCTTCACTCTTGCTGCCGGTCCTGCTTGCTCGTCTAGGCAGTGCGGCTTAATATTGGGCACTAGTAGGGCCGAGGCGGCTTGAGTATGTCCTTCTCTGCGTGGCTGAGACGGTAGTACTGTATGTACGTATGTGTCCAAGGTGTTCGTTCCACCAAGGATAACACGTAGGCGAGGTAAACGTTGCTGCTGCGACCTGTGGGAGGAAATGCTCTGCTGTTATGACACACACTGATAGAGAATGTAACGACGGGTCGAAGACCTTCTTTTTTTTTTTTTTTTTCCCTTCCTTTCTTCAATCACGGGCAGACAAGCCCTTGGCGAGAAGGCAGACAAAACCAAACTGGTCAACGCAAAAACATTTTTGTTTGGTTCTTCTCCTCTCGGCTTTCGGCGCAGTGTGAGCCGCGAGACGGGGCACCGCAGCACTCCATGTTGAAGAAGACTTTTGAGACGGGAGAGGCTGCTTGTAACAACAGACACACAACCACTCAGCGTCCAGTAGGTCACTATTCCAAGACTAATGCCGACGACTCAGAGGATCGGACTGGTTGTACAGGTACCAATGCAGGCCGATGCAGACGCTGAAGGCGGCATCATTGGAGTGGTGCAACTTGACTTTGTGGGGTGAAGTAGAGGGTGAAGGCCCGGGGAATTTGCAGTTTGACCTTGGGCACCGAGAGAGTACCTGGTGGCTTCACCACCGGCCTGGTTTACTCTCTACCTTAGCCCCAGATACAGATACAGCCCAGGGCTGCCAAGTTTCCTTGGAATTTTTTTTTTTTGGGATAAAACGCCCTGTCCTGGCTGGCTGCACTATACCCTGGGGGATCTTCGCTCCTCACCGATCTCTAGTGCTTCGCTCCCATGGCTCCCGCGCCCTTTGTCCCATCCAGCAGCGTTTATCGCACATAGCCCCATGGCCCTAAGAGCCCCTAGCACGACACCGTTCCTGCCCGAAGCGAAGAGATGTGCTACCATGCATGCTTCATGCAGTCGACGGAATTCGGAACCTGGAGACTTGACGCTGATAGGGCGGAAAAAGTCTGGAGCGTCCTGGCCTACAGATGAGACGCAGCACGCTCGTCGATACTGGACGAGGGTGCGTCCGCGTTTCCTTGTTTGTGTGTGCGCTTTTCTCACTTTCTCACTGTGCTGCTGCACCCCAGCGCGGGGTCCTTTGTTGTGATAGTCGTCAGTAGTACGGGTCAAATAGCGATAGATGAGATACGTGTCTGTGCTATCGGAGGTTGATGAGAATAGCGCAAAGGCTCTCTCATGGGATTGGATCACCGATGATGGCTTGAACTGAGGGGAATAGCCCCTCATGACCATGGATTGTCGACGAGCGGTTGGTGGGCATAACATCCAACAACCTGAAACCTGAAAGCATACCATGTTTCTCCGAGCACCAATTCGTGGGTAGCTGGTGGTCATGATTTTTGCAGCGATCAAAGCATCCAGATCGTTGCACGGCCACGCTGCCGTCCTCTGCTGTAGTCGTCGCCCGGGCTGTTCCTCCCTGTCTCTTTACATACACACAACAGCCCCAGCCCAAGGCCCGAACCATCCTCGTCCCCGTCGGGGCGAGGCCGGTTTGTGGAGCCGCCGTCTGGCCTATCGGGACAAACGCTTACGGTGAGGCGAACGGCTTCATCTTGGCGCTTCTGATTGGCCAGCCTACTGTTTTGCGGACTTTGAAGGGGCCTGGTAACGGTTACGTAACGACACGGACTAGGCCTAAAATGGAATGCGTTGCATAGGGTTAGGGTACAAGGTGGCATTGCGGGCGAGGAGCGGGAAACCGGGCGTGGGGGCGCCACGGGAACACGCGACAATGCACGCCGGAGGTCGGGTATCACGAGCGTAATCCGTAAATGACCGTACTCTGTATTAGCCAAGGTAAACCGGAAGTCCAAACCGAGGTTACCGCGCGAGGATGCTGTCGGCTGGGCTAACCTGGGACGGTAGGTCAGAGCAGCCATACCTTGAGCTTGTGGAGACTATGGTGAACATAGCTAAGAACTCGGATGGAGGGCTGTAAGTCATGGCGATGATGTCCCGACACCAAGGTACACAGCCCGTGCTGTGCTTGTATGCCGCTAGAAACAGGGCTGCGTCAGGATCAAAGAGTTGCGACTCCCAAATCCATCGTGGTCAGATACTCCGTCCATTTCTCCCGTTCATACCCTGATGAGCATCCGGTTTGCGGTGTAGGGTGATGAACGGGATGGCCGGGACGACCGCTGGCAGGGTCCACGTGTTTTTCGTCACTTGCTTTGGTTTGGTAATGGGTGCTTCAACCCAACCGTAACGGCCGGGACGGCGACCTGAGGCTGCGGGCTGATGGCTGATGATGATTTGAACGACTGGACGGCAGCAAACAGAGCCGCTGGCGTCGATTGGGCTCCGTCGACACCATTCCGTCCAACGTACAGGTAGAATGCAGCGGCAGGTTCTTTTCTTGAATGTATCCGGGTGCTGGGTGCTCAGTAGAGATGGATATCGCGGCTGGTGCAAAACTAAAATTTAGGTTTTTTTTTTTTTTTTTTTTGGCTGGCTTTGGGCTTTGGTTGCTTTGGCGTCTGTTTGGCTCGCAACCGGCGCTTCCAAGTTCCAGCTTCTTGCTTGGGTTCGACCTCTGACGGCACGGGTCGCAGGAAGCGCATGTTCGACTTCATCAGTCAATGCCTTGCCTTCTTTCTCTCTCGGCCTCTCCAGCTCCAGCCTAAGTCCATCGCCATCTTCCCTGCCTGCATAGCGGTGGGGTATTAGGGGCGTCCCTCCGTGATCCTGATGCCCCTCTGCCGTTGCGCCTGCTGCTCCTGATGTTCGATGCGCCTTCCCTCTCGTCCTTGAGTGTCTCGTCGACCACTTAACAGTAACGTTAGCCGGACTCCGCTTTCCCTGTTTGCCGGCGCTGGTGCTGCTTTCTACTGGCCTCTGCTGTTTCTGCCTGTCTCTGCCTGTCTCTTCTGCTTGTTGGGCAGGTGCTCTCATCAGATCACGTCCCGCAGCTGCTGCGCTGAGCCCATCGAGCTCTATCCATCGACCGAGGCCCGGGGACGCGGCAGCATCTCCAGTCTCCATCGAACCCATCTGATCTTCTCTAGCAGGAAGCTCAGGATTTGGGAAGCAGCAGAAGGCTCCAGTCTGCATTCTGCAGTCTCCAGTCACCCCCAGTCCCCGTCCCAGGTCCCCGTCGCAGTGAGCAGCGCTGAGGTGCATCTCCTGGCGTCCATCGCTCGGTTCGCCTTCGCCTGCAGCTCGGCCCGGCCCCATCGACTCAGTGCGGCCGGCATCTGCTGCTTGGAGCTGCTGTTGCTTCTGCTGCTGCGAGACGCGATTTGCCTGCTTGCCTATCATTTCATTTTCACCTGTACATATTTCCCTTTACTCATACCTAAACCTGCCGAACAGCCGACCTACCTAATAATTTTCTCAAAATTCCAAAAAAAAAAAAAACCTTTTAATTCGCGTTCCGTCCGGCGCTGCATCGCTGCATTGACTGCATTGACTGCCCACACGCGCTCCTAAAAGTTACGCTCCTCACAAGTTCCAAGGCTCCCTATTCCAACCTCTGTACGATCCATTGCCTGCACAATCTAACAATCCGACGACCCAACCGAGGGCAACTGCGCACTGGCAACGCTCAAGAATTAAGCTGATCCATCTGATTGCTGATTATTGTTCGTCTAACCCGTGGTCCGAACGCTTATATATCCACTCACCTTCGGCTCCTGCTCATCTTGCTCGCTCCGCCATTACTCCGGGCTCGGCCCCCGCGCTCGGCCAAAAACAAGCGAGCAGCCCGCACGACAACAGACGCCCTCCGTCTCTGGGCTCTCCGTCCCCGTCTTTCTCACTGCTCGGCACACCATTGCCCACGCTAGGGTTTCTGGGTCTCTAGCCGGCCTCTGCCCGAGCCGTGCTCGACGCTATCCCCTAGCACTCAGGAGTCAGCACCACCGTCGCTCATAATCTCATCAATCACACGTCCCTTTGCGCCCTTCTCCACAGCTTCACCGAGGCATTCCCTGAAACGCCATTGCCCCGTTTTCGGCTTCGGGCCGTGATTCCCCGCAGGTCTTCAGGTCTTGTGTTGACAAGCGCATGCACTCCCCGAGCGGGCGCCGTGCCTGCTGTGCTGCTGCTGCGCTGTGAACTGAGGCCATTTGGGAGTCTGGGACCATTGAGATCTGGCAGACCCCTCACGACCTGCTCACTGTCTCAAAAGTCTCAGTCTCGACGACGGTGCCTCTTGGCCATGGGAATGTGTCGCATTTGAAGTGCGCCCCCCCCCCTCCCCCTTCCAAGGCTAGGCAAAGGATGCAACACGCAGCTATCTCCTTGTCGGCCCCGCCTACCCAAACGACAGACGACCGCCTTCACCCCGTGCAACACCTGTCGGCGAGTCCGGAGAGCCATGTCGCCGCCGGACATGCGGCCAACCACGACCCCGACGACCCTGTCCGTCTACCCGGCCCTGTCTCGCGGAAGGACACGTCCTCGTCCACTGCGACCAACGCGCCCACGATAGCTTCGGCCCTTACTTCGACCGACTCTACCAACACGCAATACTCCGCTGAGACTGCGTCGCCTACCTTTGCTGCCCCCGGCCAGGCCGTCTTCTCAGCTAAGGATGGCTCCAATGTGAATGCCCAGCAACAACGCCGTCCCAGCCGGCGACGAACCGGGCCCCTGACAGCCGTCCAACGCCAGCGCGCCCATTTGATCAGGAAGATGGGCGCCTGCAGCGACTGTCGGCGCAGGAGGGTAGCGGTAAGCATGCCCTTTGTGTGGTAGTAAGTGTGGATTTGCTGGCTTACAAGTATCTTAGTGCCATCCAAACCACCATAACATGACGTGGGAGGAGGCCGAGAGAAAGTTCCGGACAAGCGACTCGTCACTGAGCATTCTCTCTCTGACTGGGTCGCACCTGGGCCCCCCGCCCCTGAATCCCCGGTCGAGTTTCTCCCAGGATGCTCAGGACAGCATGGACCTTGACCCCATGCAGCTCCAACATACAGCAGGCCCGACCTCGCAGAGCGAGGCGGCCCGGATCAGGACTCCGCTCCCGAATGGTCCCCGGCTGGACAAGCCCAACTTGACGCCTATACCAGGCTGGGAGAGTTTTCGGACTGACCTTCAGGGCAGCGTTGACCGGATCTTGGCGAGCCCCTCGCGAAGCCGGTATGCCAGGGTCTCGGTGCAGATCGTGCGTTGGCAGGCCGACGAGGACATTGAAGGCCGAGCGGCTCTGATGGAACTGTGCAAGGTCTTTAAGGAGGAGTACAACTATGCGGCGGAAATCATTTCGATACCCACGTCAGCCGACGAGTCCAAGAGCCCTGTGATTTGGCTTTGCAAGAAGGTGATCGACTTCGTTGAGAAGGAAAACCACCGGGATACGCTCAAGATTTTTTACTACAGCGGGTACAGTTATTTGGACCCCGACCGTGATACTGTTCTCGCGAGGTCAGTTTGCCCTCCTTTTCTCTATCTCGGCTCTTGCTGACACGACCCCCCAGCTCCAAACATGCCGACCCCAACTCAACCATCCGCTGGAGCAGTATACAGCCGATCTTTGAAGAGGCGCGTTCCGATTCATTGATCATCATGGACTGTGCCTACTACCCAGGGTTCAAAAGCGTCCGGCAGCAGGGCATGTTGGAGTTGCTCGCGGCGTCCGCTGGTGAAGACCACACTGAGCGGCTCGGCAGGGGCACCTTTACGCGGGCCGTGGCTGACGTCCTTAGAAAGAGGGCTGGGCAGCTGCCGCTGAAGGAGCCCCTGTCTGCGGCCGAGCTGCACTCGAGGCTACTCGCTGTATACCCGGAGATTGTTCGGGGACCGGCATCACAGTCCCCGGGAACTAGGATGACACGGTTCCCCACGCCGCTCTGCATGCAGCTATCGGGGAACAAGACGACTCCGTCCATCGTCCTGGCGCCGCTTCGCCCGGCCGGCGAGCCGCCCCGTCCCGAGCCGCAGCAAGGCAGCGGGTCCAGCCTGATCAGCATTACGTTTCGTCTAGCCGACGACACCTTCAACACGGACAAGTGGGCCGAATGGTTTCGGTCCATGCCTGAGGGTGTCCTCGAGGCTAAGGTGGAGGGGCCGTTCCGGAATGCTACAGCAACTACTACTACTACGACGACGACGACGACGACGACGACAACGACGTTTCAACAGTGATTCTTCCTATGGAGGCGTCGCTATACGTTGAATCGAGCATCAGCATCAGCATGGGTAGGCAATTGTGTCTACGGTATCAGGGTGCAAAGCGTATATCGGGCTGCAAAGCGCATATTTTCTCATCTCTTCATCTTTATTTTTGATCTTAAAGGCATCATTTCGGGCACGTCTTTTTGCTGCTTTCTTGCATCATTTCATCCCACATTGCATCCAGATCAATACCTGACTCGAGCGGACAGACGCCATGACAATAGACCCACCCCATCCCCGGTGTTGTAGTCACCTCAGGGAAAAAGGAGGGCCCATATTCTTAGTGTCTCTGTGTTTTTCTTTTTTTTCTCTCTCTCTCTTCATTTTTCTATGTTTATGTTTTTTTTCTTCTTTTCTTGCGGTTGGCTTTTTTTTTGTCTCTAGTAGGTTTTCTGTGTGATTTGTGATGAGGTAGTCAATATTGATTGATTTGACAAGGGGGGAAGGGGCGGCTATTGTGTTGTCGAATCTCACAACCTACCTAGGTATATGTGTATGTGTCTGGGTGGCGAAATGTTGTTAAAGGATAAGATAGGTGAAGTGACCTGGGCCGGATAAGCAATCAAAATGGTGTTGTGATGAGAGAAGCATATAGAGTTGAACAAGAGAGGAGAAATTGGTTGTTTTCTTTTTCTTTCTTTTTTTTTTTTTTTTGTCATTGCTAAGTTCCGTCCTGGTTTCGATAGCTTATGTGATGTCTTCCGAGAGCGTCGTGAGTCAAGTTTATAATCTTATATAAAAGTTGGCTAGGATGAGTTTCTCCAGGACCGACCATCCAAGGTAATTTTGCTCAATTCGACCAGATCGGTAAACACAAAGCTACGAATGAGATTTGCTTGCTTGAAGATACAGCAATTCTTCTCGTGTTTTGGTATAACTTCTTCCCTCTGATTATTCTTACACTCATCCCGTGGTATCTTTCATCATCTCATCTCTTCCCAACCCTATCACCTATCCCATCCATCCCCTACCCAGTCATGGCAGCATACTAGTTCATCATCTCCTGCAACCCCAAAATTACAGTAACTATACCAATAACAATACTAATACGAAGAAAGGGAAAAAAAAAAAAGAAAGTGAAGAAAGTAGGCTAGATAGGTAGGTGGGTATCAATCCCGCCATGCTTTTAGGTTAGGAGGTCTTTCAACCTCAGAATATACAAACCAAAACAAACGAAACCGAAAGAACTCGAGACTACAAAAAGTCAAAAGAACGTAATGGCTTCTCACCTCATCCCCTCACGCCTTACAGCATCAACCCAACAAAAGCAACCACCACGCACACCCAAATCATACCCGACCTCCCAACAATCATCGAAGCAGCACCCGACTCCTCCCCCTCCACATCCTGAATCTTTAACGTTGGCTGATACTCCTCTCCACCGGCCCCACTCACAACACCCTGAATGCTCACATCCCCCGCCTGCGCCGCAGTCTTCCCATCCCAGCAATACTTCTCAAAACACTCGGTACACCTCGCCGGCACCGCCGTCCCCATGCGATCCAAACTCCGACTGAGCACCGCACACGCCACACACGAGACCCAGTTTTCGTCAAGAGTGCCGTTGCCTTGGGTGGCGGCGTTGTACCCGTTGAGTATAATATCATTACGCTGAGACAAAGGGTAAGACGGGGTGAAGGTCGTGACGTTGGAGTAGGTCGTGTAGGGGGCGTTGGGGAGGTAGACGACTAGCGGGGGGACCCGTCCCCCCGCAGGGACGGTGAAGTTGGACGAGGAGCAGCCGAAGAATGTGGGACGGTTGTTCAGCCCGCGCGCGAGGAATGTCACGTCATCCGGGACGGGAGGAAACAGCGTGCCGTTGGCGATGGGCGTCAAAGAACGGTCGTAGGTGGCGCGCAGGGCAGTGCCATTCGGCCAGGAGAAGGTCGTGTCAGCGGAGGAGTCGACGGCGAAGATGACATCTACGGCACGCAAGGGCTGGATGAGGGGTTGCAGGGGGATATTTTGCAGGTCCTCGCCTCCATCCACCAAATCCAGATCAGTGACGTGGGCGACCGGGTTGGACGCATTGAGCCATCCCAAAAAGGGGTTCGGCTCGTACTTGGCGACGTCGTTTTCCTTTTCGTCGACGTCTTCCAGCAGGTTGGTCGCTTGCTCGATCAGCCAGTCGGGGACGCCCTCGACGGAGGTGATGTTTTGCAGGAGGAAGGCGTTGAAGAGAGAGGAGGAGGTGCCGAAGACGTAGCTGATGGAGTCGAACCCGCGGACGCAGCGGCCGGAGGAGGGGACCACGCCGCCGGAGAAATTGGAGGCGAGGTAGCGGGTCGGCGCGAAGCCGTAGGTGGTTGGGTCCCAGGAGCCCATTTCGAAGGGGTTGAACTCGAAGACGGTGGCGCTCAGGGTGACGGCTTTCATGCCGGGGGGCCGGTTGTCAGCGACCAAGATCGGGAAGGGCGCCTGGCCGGCGGAGAAGTGGTCGTCTTCCGAGATGCTGGAGAAGGTGTAAGCCGGGCCGCCATCGGGGGCATCGATCAGCTGGTAGGAGAGAGCACGACCCCAGTAGTCGGTGATGGAGGTCTCGAAGCCGGCCTTGCGCTTCGACCGGACCTGTTCAGCCACATCGGCCCAGTAGCGGGCCGTGTCGAAGACGCCGGGCAGGTCGGGGCCGTTGAAGATGGAGTCGTCGAAGCGCCAGATGCTGCTGTCCTTGCGGCCTTGCTGCAGCGTGCTGATCGTGCTGAAGTTGTTGGCGTAGATGCTGCTCACCAGCCAGCCGCCGCCGGAAAGGCCAGACAGGTACGTCGTCGACTGCAGTAAGCCGCCAATGCCACCCTTGTCGGTCGAACCGGGGGTACGGCTATCGGCCGCGGAGATGAAGCCCGCACCGTTCATCAGCGCGCGATAACCACCGCCAGAGACAGCAATGGCGATATTAGGCAGGTTGCTAAGATCATCACCGCTAGACACGGACTTGATGTACGCCTCAGCGTCAAAGTCGGGGATCTCGGCGCGCTTGAGGAACTGGATCATGGGGTCGACGGTGTTCTTGCGGCGCTTAGCGAGCCACTCGGACTCGGCCTGGGAGAGGGCGTTCGCCAGGCGAATGCGCGGTCGGTCCTTCGGGCACTCAACCACGGAGGGAGCATAGCCGCCACTCGGGGCGTCGGGACGAGCCCGCGGGACGATGAGGTCGCTCCGCGGGGTGACGGCGAGGTCATGAGGAGGCTGTTTCTGCCGGGCAAAGAGCGGGACCGGCTCAGCGTTTGCCGTTAGGGGCAAAGAGAGGACAAGTTGAAGGAGGGCGTGTAGATGCATTTTGGGTTAGGGTGAAGGCATGAAGATAATGAGAGTGGGTGAGTCGGTTTGAAGTGAGCGAGGGCGGCAAGTTAAAATATCGGTTCACGAGATACCGGTATATCCCACCGGGGCACAAACACAAGAAACGGTCAAAGAAAGGCCGATCGAGGTTTGGGTGTTGCCGTCGGGTCAAAGAAAGACGACTAGGACGACAAGGAGGGCCAGGTCAGGGCAGATCAGGGCCGTCGAGGTGGTGTGGCGCTGCTATGAGTCCGCTGCGGGTCAGGGAAATATGCAAGACAGACCGTTCGCAGCCTTGCTGAGCGGTATGGTGTTAAAGAACGACGCGTTACGTGTGAAGAAAATGAATGACAAGTGAGCAAGTCAGTGTCAAGCGACGAACGAGTGTAAAGAATGCTCAAACCTCAGCAAGCAAGCATAATGGATCCGGATGTCTCGGTGTGGCTGCACCTATCCCCCGCAACAAACCACTTTTCTTTCGGTCTCTTTCTGGAGGCCGCCGTTCCCTTGGTGATCTCAAAAATCCAGCGGGCCTGCTGCAGGTCGGGTCGAGGTTTGATCTGATCTGATCTCCCGGGGGGGGGGGCGGCGGCTGAGGGATCCTAGAACACTGGGGCACTGGGGCACTGGGGCACATGCCGAAAATCCCGGTCCAAAGGCGACGTTTTGACTCGGGGATTCGGGCGCCTGTCAACTGGGCCAGCCTGGGCCAGCCCAGGCTTTTCGCCAGAAATGCTGCTCTCAGCTCCTGCCTACTTGTCGCCGCCGCTTGGTCTTGGCTTGTCATCAATTCGCTGCGTCAGTGGGCCTGGAATCATCCGTGTAATCAACCGCTTCTGTGTCGTCTCCAGAGTGGGGTTGCTTTCTGTGTTTGGAATGCCGCCCGAGAGAGCAGAAGGACGGAATGAATCCTTCGCACGTGACATGGAGTTATGCGCACTCATTCCCTCCGATCTTGAGCTCTTTCAGCTTTCTCCAGTTTGAGGCTGTTCACTCACTCATAAAAACAAGTTACATTCTGAGAAGCAGCACAGTGGTTCACCCGCAGAGGATCCGCTCGCGGCCCGTTTCTGATGCATGAAGGATTAGACCATCGAACATCAAAGAAACAAACGCGATGTGTTGGGCGGATGGTGGATTCCAACCGTTGTTACACAGGCCGCCGAGCCTAGGCAGGAACCGCGGTGCGGCCCGCGTGGCTTCGTTATGTGTTGCGTGCTGCGCTGTGTGAGACGGTAAGTTACAGGTGGATGTGTAAGTATCCACTTACAGGGCGCAGCGACACACAGGCTCCCCAACGGTCACCAGCCCAACTTCAAGCCTCACTCGCTGATGACCAATTGTTGACGCTGCCTGCTGACGTATTGGATCTACCCAGCCACGTTCTTCGGTGTCATGGAAGTCCCATATAAATTTTCTATCTACCGTCGATTCTGTTCCTAAATTCTATGCGCATAGACCTGCCTAGGTAAGGCAGCTCTGCGGGAGCTTAGGGGGCATATGCGGATTCCCATAGTGTAAGTAAATCCACAAGCCGGCAGCGCCGCTGACGCAGTGCAACGCCGTCATTATCGTCCAATGCCTGCCAGTGGCCCAGCGTTACATTCCCCGGGCCGAGACAGGAGACCTGAGACATGAAGCAAACCTGCTGCTCGGGTTGGTGTGAGTGGTTGGGATACCAGCTTGTGAAACCACGTGAAGGCAATATATCGGTTGATGGCAGGATGACACCCGGCTGTGGATGGACCTATTTAGGGATCAACTTCCTTATCGATGTAGGCAGTGTACCTGTCTCGTGAAATGGGAACAGGTTGATTGGAGAATGGGTAAGGAAACTGACCATAGGTGAGGGGGGTATTGCAGACTCTTATGATACATGGGTAGCTCAGCCCCTGAGACTTGGAATTGCCCGGGATATATGCCGCTATATTGTACTACCTTTCCTCAGCTGTATGGCTGACGCTATGAGACAGGACAAAACCTCATCAAAAGAAAGCTCAGGAGCTTTCCTGCCCTACAACAGCCACATTTTCCCTTCCAAGTGCAATCAGATGTTAAATCAATCTGGCAAGCCCCTCCTCCCCTTTTTTTTCTTATGTATCAGGTACTCAGACAAGTGAACGAATGTGTGAAGGTTTATCAACCAAGCACCATTCACCTCTGCCCAATTGCAAGGTAGGTAGATAGGCACGTGCGCGACAAAGATGGAAACAAGGAATCATGCATCCTCCATCTCTTGGACACCATTTTGGGCTTTGTCGATATACCCCGAGAGCCTTCTACTTCTTGTTGTGTCTTCGAGTAACATGCGTCCGTGTCAATGGTTTTTTTTTGGATGCCAGACATCGTCATCTTTGGGATGACGAGCTCTTGTGGCAACTTTCGGATGCCGTCCATCGGTGTCGACTGCCTTGGGGTGCCCGACATTTTCATTCTTAGGATGCCTCGCCCTAAAAATAAGCCCAGGACCAGGGGGCGCTGCTTTAGGGTGCCAATTCAAATCCCCGGTTGGTTTAGGATGCCAGTGGAGCTCTTTGTCAGACTCGGAGTCGACGGCATTGTGGATCTTCAGGTTCGAGTCGATCCCATATGCGGTGGCCGGGATGGTGAGTTCGGCAATGGGATCAAGGTCAGTGAGGAGTTTGGTTAGGGTGTCGGCGACATTGTCGGGTGAACTATTGGGGATGGGGCTTGCGAATGAGGAGGACGGAAGGGGAGAAAGAGGGTGATTAGAAGGGAAGAGGAGTAGGTTAGGAGAGTTGGGGCGTGCATTTTCGGAGATGAATGTAGATTTGTGAGGAGAGGAGGTTAGTTAGACAAATAGAAAGCGTGATTTTTTGATGGTGAATCCTGGCATGGATAGCTCTTTCGAACAGAGGTGAGCCGAAGGGTATAAATACTTCTGTTGATGACAAATCGAGACCCTGAACTGGTGAGAATCAAGGCATCGAGCATGCATACCTTCACTTTATCCTCATTTAGCCAGGTCCTTCATCATGGCTCAGCAGCCATAAAATTCCGTCAAGAAGAAACAAGACCCAGTGAGGAACTTTTGTTTGTGGCTTTAACGACGTGACCTTCCCTTCACTACCATTAGGGAGCGACAAAGCCACTCGGCAAGTACACGATCGAAACTTTCTCAACCTCCAAGAATCTAGACAAATGATGATTGGACACTACGTAGAGACTAGGGTGCTAGTCTCTGGTGAAATGTGGCTTGAGAGTCTCCTTGCTGACGATGATCAGGGCATTCGAGCACTGAAGCGATGATCAACTCTTAGGTGAACCATGTATTACAAAAGTTACCCAGAGATTTCCATTTGAGTAAAGACCAACCACACAAGTAGGTTTGTGGATTCAGCATGTCACAAGGCGATAGAATATAGCAAGCTGTATAACAGTATGCAAATTCCTACTGTAAAATCCTATTTCCCTAACTCTGTAACACAAATCCATCTACCTCAAGAACAGGCATCATTAAGTTCATCTCCACGTCCTCCAGAAAACTGCAACGATGTGCTTGCAGTGCCACGTTCCTTAAGCATGTCTCTTCTCTTGCGGTAAAACGGCTCGTAATTGGCCCTGCAACAATACTTGTCATGCAACTAGAAACAAGTGCCAGACCTTAGTAAGTCGTAACAGCCAGCTGAGGCCAGAGAGATCGAAGCAGCCTTCGAGTTAGCAATATTTGTATCCTTATGCTTGAGTTGGGAACTGAGGAAGTAGGCAGACATGTTCAAACTTACCCGGGAGGGTGCCATGATTTGCATAAATATATATGCCTTTTCGTCCTATTCTCACGAACCTCAAGCACCTACGTCGCAACCCCAATTCTTCATGCTGGAAATGGGCCCATGTCTTCTCATGGATGCCTATGTTAACAGTTATCTCAACCCACCCCCGATCGTCCTGCCAATAAATCTGTACCCAATCCAGTTAATTATCACACAACCAGAAGCAAGCAAAGCATCAATGCAGAGCGCAACATCCAGTTAGAAATCTGGGATCACACTAGCCAGTACTCTGCATTCCCATGCTCAGAAGCCAGTTCGGGTCCCAAATAAACAGGTCCAGGCACCAAGACCTGCCCACACCCGGTCCAACTTACACTCTGTGCGCCATGTAAGCCCACAGACCCGCAATCACCAGCCGCAAGAGTCTCACTAGATCCCCCTCCTTGAGAACTTTGGAGCGGCAGCGATGGTAGCAGATAGATTCTGCAGTTCGGCCTGCAAGACCGCAGTCTATGCGTTTTTGGAGAGAAACGCGGTTATAAGCAATGCCATGTATGCCCAAGTACTTTTGCTGGTTAAAGTTGAACAGACAGGCAGGGCTGCGGCACGTCTGACCACGTTCGGCTCAGGCACACCTCAACCTGCTGGTGCTCTGCCAGCGGAGTTTGAGCTGGTTCCATAACAATCGAGCCTTGATGGGGGGAGGGGAGGGGGGTTTACTGTTAGAGGTCCCGCTGTTAGCACTCGTCTATCTACTTATGTATCTACGGACCTTCTCCGAGATAGTGCAAAGCAGACAGGTGAATAGGTACTTAGAGCAGCCACTAAGTGACAGTCGGAAGCTGCTGAGCAGAATATCTTAAGCCTTTAGGGCAGGGTAGCGCAATCATAAGGAGATGACAGAGTTTAGACACAGGAATATCTAAAGGCCGAGGATTGGTTCAAAGCATTGCCAATGCAGTCGAGGCTGGTAGGACTTATCACTCAGTCAGCTGGCAGAAAAGACCTCTCCATCTCATCACAAAGCATGGACCATCAACCCTCCATCCTCCCACTACCACAGGCCAAATGGTCAACAGTGTGTGTTGGGAGAGGGGGGAGAGGGGTGCGGCCACCTGTAAGGACAGTCTGAAATCTCCCCGACTGACTACTGACGGCAAGGTCGGAGATTTGATTAGAGGAGGAGGCAACAATTCTACGCATCCTATAAAAAAGGCCCGGAGATGGGTAGGAGATGGTTCCCCAGCCACCGCCGTTGCCGCCACCCACCTTATGATGAAGCAAAAACCCCCGTGGGGAGGAGGGCGGGATTTATAGCCGTAACCTCACCGCCAACGAGACGGGGGGCTGGCCGGTGAGTTTTTGTTGATTGGTTTTTTTTTGTAAGAAGTCTACCTGTGGCTACCTGCCCGCATATGTGTTTTTATATTGCCATTGAATGGCTGAACTAAGGTACTTAATCATCTTTTTCCTTACCCTTGAAGAGAAGAAACTCCCAGGTGCCCCTCATCCCTATCTAACTAAATGATTGTCCCTATGAGTAAGGAGAGGCCAAAAACAGTTAACCTTAATTTAAACCAACTTCAACACTTATGTGCACTCACCAAAGACAGAAAAGAGATGTTCTACCAGCATGATCAGGGTCATAGTCAGGTATAGAGGTGTGAAAGAAATTCGCCGCCTACCACGCATCACTAAGATCACCCAGAGAACTCGGAAGATAGTCTGATAACTTGAAATCGATCTTTCTTAAATAGGCGTCACATGCAGTGATAGCTACTATACTATGTAGGAGTGTACTAACATGCATCTGAGAGATTTTCGTTCTCTGCGAGTACGTACGGCTATATCTCAGGTATTTTTCTTATTTTATCTCGATTTTTTTTTCCAAGATGCTTATGTTGACCTTCACTCGAAGAGATTGTAAGCTACCTAGGCTGCCGTCCTCTCAAGACCATTTTCACGCACTCAAATAACTCTGAGTTGAATGAGACATATACTCAACACATAAGAACGGGAGATCAAATTGTAACAACTACCATCTACCTTGATCCCATTATTTTCTCTTCTTTCCATATATAACACAAGATCTGGCCACCTAACAGCCGAACTGTATCTATATCATCAATCCACAACATTATCCTCCCCTTCGCCCGTTCATTCCAATTCTAATTCCGGTTCATATAGTCCAACCGGATGCTGACAGCCCTCCTGTGAGCCTCTAGCTCCTCAACCTTAGCCAGGCGCATGACCGCCTCGCCAACATTCCGCAGTCCCTCGGCAGTGAGGTTGGAGCTGGTGATATGCTTGACAAAGGAGGCGAGGTTGACGCCAGAGTATTGCTTGGCGTAGCCGTAGGTTGCTAGAGAAGTTAGTTACCATTAACCATTGCCAACAAATATGAAAGGAAATGGGGGAACCTACGCAAAGAATGGTTAACACCAGCTGAGTAATCCCCCACGCTCTCGGGCGTCCACTGGCCCACGAAAACACTTCCCGCATTCATCACCTTCTCAACCACCTTCTCCGCATCCCTCAACTGCAAAATCAAATGCTCCGGCGCGTACATATTACTAATCTCCATCGCCTCATCCACAGTCTTCACCCTAACCGTCAACGAGTGCGCAATCGACCCCTTGACAATCTCCACGCGCGGCAACTCCATCGCCTGCCTGTGCAGCTCCTCCTCAATCTCCGCGAGCCTCTCGTCCGATAGATCCACCGCAATCAACACCACCTGACTATCCACGCCATGCTCCGCCTGCGAGAGCAAGTCGGACGCCACAAACGCCGGGTTGGCATCGCTGTCCGCAATGACAAGCACCTCAGACGGGCCGGCTGGCATGTCGATGCTCACGTTGGCGTTGGTATCGTTGCTGACGAACATCTTGGCCGCGGTAACGAACTGGTTGCCGGGACCCAGAATCTTGTCCACCTTCGCGATGCTCTCCGTGCCGTAGGCCATGGCCGCCACGGCCTGGGCGCCACCCGCCAAAATAATCGCCTCCGCGCCGACCTTGTGCGCGACGTAGACCACTTCGGGAGTCACCGTGCCATCGGCGCGCGGCGGCGTGGCAAGCACGATGCGCTTGCAGCCGGCCACCATGGCGGGGACGCCGAGCATGAGGGCCGTGCTGGGCAGCACGGCGGTGCCGCCTGGCACGTAGAGGCCTACGGCCTCGATGGGGCGGGAGAAGCGGCTGCAGAGGACGCCAGGCATGGTCTCGACCTGGAGGGGCTTGTCCTCTTTTTGGGCGGCGTGGAATTTGCGAATGTTCTCGAAGGAGATGTCGATGGCTTGGATGGTTTCGGGGGGAAGTTGCATCATACTCTCTGAGAAGGGGGCCTTGAGGACGGGGGAAGTCAGGGAGGTCGCCTTCTCGAATTTGTGTGTGTAAGAGAGGACGGCTTTGTCGCCGTTCTTGCGGACATCTTCGATGATGGGGGTGATGATCTTAAGGATGGCGTCGTAGGACTTTTGTGAGGGGCGCTTGAGCGCCTCGTAGAGCTCTTCCTTGGAGACCTTGGCTAAATCGTACGTCTGCATCTTGATCTTGTCAGAGGCCGGTTCCTTCTTGGGCTCAGGCGCAGGAGCCGGAGCCGGAGCCGGGGCCGGAGCCGGAGTGGCGGGCTTGATGCCCTCTTTCTCAGCCCACTTGCCCTTGGCGTCGCCTGTCCTGCGCTTCACCTTGAAACTCTTGGCATCGAGACTCCTCTCGATGTCGGCCAGAGTCACACCGGCGCTGACGGCCTTGGTAAGAGCAAAGTAGATGAGGTCGGCCGCCTCGAAGGCAACCTCTTCAGGGGTCTTGGCATCGCACAGCTCCTCGGCCTCCTCCATGATCTTGGCTCGCAGGAGCTTCTCGTCATTGAACAGACGAGCGGTGTACGAGCCCTCCGGAGCAGACTGTTTCCTTGAAAAAAGGGTCTTCTCCAGCTTAGCGATACCCCGCAGGTCGCCGAAGCAACCGGACTGCGGCAGGTGGCAGAAGCGACCCTTCTGACGGACGACGAACTTGAGCGCGTCATTATCACAATCCAGTGATATCCGGACCAGCTCCTGGGTGTCACCTGACGTGGCACCTTTATACCACAGACCACGCTTCCGGCTCTGGTAGACGCCGGTCTGTGTTTTAAGGGCCTCGCCAACGCTCTCCTCGCTGCTGTAGACCAGGCCCAGGGCGGTGTCGTGCTCGTCGCAGACAACAGTCGGGATCAGCCCATCCGGGCGGTCCGACTTCCATGTCGACGCGAGGATCTTGGATACGGCCAGCTTGCCGTCCTCCGGCTTGCTCGACAGACCGGTCGAGGGCAGGATGGGGATGGCGTCGAACTGGGCGGTGTAATTGACGAGGCTGGCGAGGTCGGTCCCGGGCACGGGCTTCACAAAGAGGTTCTGGATCTTCTTGGCCTTGGCCTCCTTAGCGAACTGGACGGCCTCGCTGGCAGCCAGGTCGAAGCCAGAGACGAGCAGACCGTGTTCAGTAGCCGAAGCTAGCTGGCTGGGGTTGGAGCCGTAGACGACTGGAGCAACACGGGCACCGAACTCAGCAAAGTCGGCTAGTTGCTCGGGGCGCACAAACACCCTGCGGGCGCCGGCATCGAGCAGGGTGACGACGTCGTCGCGGGACTGGAGGCGTGTGACATCGAAGAAAGCTTGGAACTCGGTGTTGTGCTGGGCCAGGAAGCGCAACAGTTTTTCGAGGGTCTGGGGCGTCACCTCGAAGAAGACGACGCCCAGGCACGAGACCTCCTCGCGCGTTAGACCCTCCTTCTCGCCGGCCAGTCCGGGGGGCACATTGACGCTGACGGCGAAGGGGAGGGGGAGTGTCGTCTCCATGGTGTTGGTGTCGAGTATGAGTCGAAGTTATGGAAGGGAAAATTCTAATTTGCGTCTTCTGGCAAAACAAGGGAAGGTAATTGATTGTCTGACGTGTCCAATTCCGACACGACACTCGTTCTTTTGTCGTTCGGAATGACCTGCTGCCCGTGACACCTTCCCCGAGGCTCTGTTCAAAAAGTTGATGGAAAATCGTCAGTCATCGACTCATCGTTCTCGTCCCCGGCGTCTCCTGTATCGGCACCCCGCTACGTACCGTTTTTTGGTGGGGCAGCTTACAGTGCCCCTCCATCTCTCTCTTGGCTTCTTGGCCCTGCAACCCTCCAATCCCTTTCGAAAGATATTACCGTATCGATAGTGTCAGTGTCGTAATTTTCCTACATCGTGGGGAGGACGAATAAGCTGTGGTCTGTGCGTTCACCTGACGCCAGGCGCGGTCGCGGATCATTGCGGGCTCCGATCGATCCTCAGCGCAGGCGCGAGCTTGCTTGCCCTTTTTGCTGGAGAAACTACACGATTCATCAACTTTCTATTCAGAAGCATTGGGTGCCGTCGACCCGATTGCTAATCAGCTTCGACCCTTGGCGCGTCCTCGCGCCCTATTGAGCAATTCTGACCTCGAGCCAATAATAGAAAATAACTTCCATCGCCATCGCGAGCCCAAAATATCCAGACCTCGGCCCGCGACTCCCGCTTCCCCGTCTTTCTTCGCGCCAAACCATCTTCCTTCATCCTCCATCTCAATTGCTCTCGATGCGATCATCTGGCGACTAAGTATAATATTCTCATCGTGCTCGCCATCGCAGTTCATTGTTAGGCAACTTGCTTGCTTAGCCATCTTGCGACTTGCCCTCTCGACCTGATCGCGCTTAGCAGCCCCGACTTTCTTCACCCTCCATCAAAACTACCTTACAACCCGCCACAATGTCAGCAGCAACAACCGCCCCCAAACAAACGGAATCCTGCCCTCAACTACCGCCTCCGGCGCCCAAACAATCTCAAACACCCCGCAACCCTCAACCTCCCAACCTGCCCCGTCAGCAACACCCGCACAATCTCAAACACCCGCCACAACCCAGCCTCAACAACCAACCTCAACCACGACTCCCTCCCCGCGGCCCCGCGACGCCCGCACCCTCGAACTCCTCCTCACTGCCCAAGGCGTAACCTCCTTCGAACCGCGTGTCTCCCAACTCTTGCTAGACTTCGCCTACCGGCACACCGCCGCCGTGCTCTCCGACGCCCTCCACCTCTCCGCCGACCCCTACATCTCGCACGCCGGCGCCCGCCCCAGCGCCTCGTCGGGCGCCGCGCCCGTCAACGTCGGCGAGGCAAGCATCACCGCGAACGCGGTCGCATTGGCCATATCGAGTCGGTTGGGGTATCAATTCCGCGGCGGAGGAGGGGGTTACTACGGCGGGGGCGGAGGCGGTGCAAGTAAGGATTGGATGTTGGAATTGGCAAGGGAGAGGAATAAAGTGGCGTTGCCGAGGGTGTTGCCGAGTGAGTGGGGAGTAAGGTTGCCGGGGGAGAGGTTTGTTTTGAGTGGGGTTTCGTGGGGGTTGAAGGATGTTTGGGCGGGGCAGGAGGGAGAGAGCGAGGAGGAGAGTGAGCCAGAGGAGCAGGGGGATAAGATGGAAGTGGATGAGAATGGGAAAAATGGGGAGGCGGAGGATGGGGTTGAGGTGGAAGGGGGCACGATGGAGGATGTGTTCGGGGATGAGGGGTTGGAGGATGAGGAGATGGGGGAGGCGTGAGGTTCTTGCCTTTAAGTCGGTCTGTTTTTTTTTTCTAGGTCTGCTTGTCTTCGTTTTCTTTGGGGTCTTTATTTTCGAGGAACGGGACAAAAAGAGGATGATGGATGGAAAGAAGGATGATCTTGTGGTTAAGGAAGCTTATGTATTTGCTTGGGATACTCGGTCTTCCCTTGATACCTGAGGTAGCAACTTCAAAAGGAGTACCAAAAAGGGCGCTCTGGCGTTCTCAGGGCAGGAAGAGAAAGCCGTTTTGAAAGGTGATGCTTTTGAGTTGATCGGTCGTCAAGCATGCCTGCCTGGCAGCATTTTCAGTACTTGGATCTTTGGTCAGGATCTCCTATAAATAACAATTCAAAAGTCACAGTTCACGATCGTGCTTTTCCCACCATTACCATGCTCGAGACTTGGTAGCTGCGTAGCATTCAAGTCTATCTCTGATGACTTAGGTAGGTAGAATGAATAAGTACCGTATGTATAATACCAAAGTATATAATATGAGTCGAGTCTACTAGTAATGCAAATAAAGAGAAGGGAACAAAAACAAAAAAAAGAAAAAAAAGAAAAAAAGAAAAAAAAAGAAAAACCCAAACGCCCCCGCCCAGCCTCTACGCCACGCTATGCAATACCATCATGCCCAAGATAACCGTCCTGCTTCAACGTACAATCGACTCCGTCCTCCTGACCAATCAACAAACCTCCCAACAACAAGCGACCTGAGTCTATCTGTCTATTTCGTCTTCAAGTTCTTAACCCCCGTAATCAGCTCAGCGCTGACATCATGCTCTTCCTTGTTCGCCTCGGCAACCGCCTCTCCCTCTTCCTCTTCTTCAACCTCCTCTTCCTCCTCTTCCTCTTCTTCCTCTTCCTCATACTCGTCTTCTTCTTCAGCAGCCGATCCCCTCGACATATAACTATCCGCCATTCCTTCCCCAACCTCCTCATCCTCTTCTTCATCCACCTCCTCTTCATCTTCGTATTCCTCCTCATCATCATACTCCTCATCCTCCTCTTCGTCGTATTCATCCTCATCCTCATATTCACTCTCCCCCCCTTTTCTTTTCTGTCCCTCCCCATCACTCTCACTGTCCGAAAACTCATCCAGCTCCAGCACCGGCTCCCGCCAGTACTTGAAATCCGTAAACTCCTCCCCGCCGTCCTTCAACAGTGTCGCCACAGGAGGGAAGTAGTGATCCACGACCTCACTCATACTGACATAACTCGTCCGCATCTTGCTCAGCGTTAACAAATCCAGACTAACCTCCGCATTGGAATTGATCGTAAAAATCCTCGTCCTTGGCACGTCTACCGTTCGATATGAGATCTGATCCGTCAATCGGTTGCCAAATCCAGCATAGAACGGGCTCTTTCCTGGTCCATACAAACTCCGGATGTCTCGTAGAGTAGCCATCTTGAAAATATGTGGCTTCCTTAGATAAATCTCCCTCCTCAACGCAGCCATCGTGCGATCCGGACTGAGGATCGTCGGACCCCGCGGCATGCGATACCCTTCCTGCTGTATCCCCGCCAGGTATGCACGAGTGCTGTCCGCCTGCCCGACGGATCGGCTCGTCAGGTACATGATGTTGTAGCCATTTGCGGCAATGTCGCTGTAGAGCTTGGCGACGCCGGCGTGGGTCCAGTCGCGGCCGATCATGTTGAGCACGTGGCCCAGGGCATCGGACTTGGTAATGGTGCCGTCGATGTCGGAGATCACAACGGGCGTGTCCCACTTCCAGAGGTACATGAAGGCGTTGCAGGTGGCGCGGTTGACGGTGAAGGACATGGTGTTTTCGCCAGGCTTGAGGTTGAGGGCCTTCAGCTGGTCGCTAGTCAGGCGGAGCGTCTTGGCGTAGTTGCGGTTGGGGTCGCCTGAGCCCGAGGAGGAGGAGGAGGAGGCGACGTCGCCGGCGGCGGCTGAGGTACCCGGCGAGCTAGGCGGGGTTTGCAAAGCCGACTGGCCCAGGTCGGACTCGGAGCGGCGGTGGCTAGCCGCGCTAGGGGAGGCCGTGGCGTCGCTGCTGTCGCTTTGGTAACCTGGGTCGGAGACGGCGTCGCTGGCGACGTTGGAGGTGCCGCGCAGGGAGGACTCCATGGCGCGCTTCATGGCGGCGTCCTTGGCTTCTTCGCTGCTGTAAATCCAGAGATTGCCGTTCTCGTCAACGCCGAAGAGAGCGCCGATGTCGTAGTTGCCGTCGAGTTCTTCGGAGAGGACCTTGCGGGCGAGGATCTCGGCGCGTAGGGCGTCTTCTTCGTTGTTCTTAAAGCCCGTCATGTCGAGCATCAGGTCGCCTGTTTCGGTGACGTGGGTTGGGATGTTGACGGCCGAGAGCTCTCTTGACAAATTCTTGGCCCTTCGCAGAGCTTCTTCAGGGGGCAGCGGTGGTGGGCTGCGGGACCTTCTAGGACTCTCGCCTACTGCCGACTCTTGGTCACTCGACGAACCTCGTCCGGCACGAGGCGAATCATCTCTGAGCTCTGGCGATGTGGATCGAGGCGTAATCAATCCTGTAGCCGTCAGCAGCCATCCTTCTCCCCTGACCTCATGCGTACATACCATCTCGCCCAACCGACCACATAAACCCCGGATTCGGCTTTGTAAAACTCGCCGACCTCGCCTTCGCTACACCCCCCTCATTCAAACTGAGCGCGTCCGGCTCCTGCAGTGTCGGCTGCCCCGGTTGCTGGGCATTCAGCTTGGGACTCGACGCAGGCGAGACCAACGGCGATGTCTGCAAGCTCTGCGGAATATTCTCGGTCGTCTCGAACACGAAGAAGGCCTCGCCGCCCTCGCCGACCTTCATCGGATACGGCTGGGTGACGCCATTGACCTTGAACTCGACCTTCTTCTCGTACGGCCGCAGCAGGGAAAACTTGCCGAAGCGCACGTGGAAGGGCGAGCAGGCCAGCGTGCCGTCTTCTCGCTCAACGACGATGACGTCGATGGCGCCGCTGAGGGTTGCTGGATTGATCGAGTTCCATGCCGTCGACACGGAGTCGCCTAAGCTCCTGACGTATTGCATGGTTGGCGGAGCGAGCGGCCGAGGGGGATTCTTTGAGTGTCGTGGGAATGACGGAATTGGACTCGATATGGGCCGGGCTTTCGCTGTCAACAGCTGTTCAGCCTTCCCAAATGATTAGGCGTAAGCCAGCCAGGCTCGGGTCGAGATACTGACTAGCAGCAGGTCGGTTTGAAGTCGGTATGGAGGGGCCTCTATCAGGCTGGCGTCCTCTGGAATACAATGGATCGTACTCACAGCCACAATTGCGACTGCTCTTGAGGCCAGCGTCTGGAATGGCGAGATGAGAGGCAAAAGCCCTCTAAATCCCCCCAAAGCCGAGTTCGACCGAGTTCGAGTTATGAGCTCCTGCTCGAGTCCACAGGAGCGGGTCACGACCTGACTAAAAGTCTAATTTAGCGCTTCGCAGCCGATGAGGCCGGGACTGGGACGACAGATGCAACGGAGATGATGCTGGGCGCTATGTATGCACTGATGCAGGCCGTCTGCAGCGCTTGCAGCACTGGTCTGTAGTTTTGCAGATGCGAGGCAAACTCGCAGAGAGGGGAATGCGCGGCGCTTTTAGTGAGGAGTCTGGACGAGGGGAACCATAAACGAGGGAACTGGACTGGACGCCTGAGAGAGCTGGCTGGCAGCTGAAGAGGTTCCCATGGACTGACTGGCGGTTACCGTTCTGGATCGGTGATGACGACGCCGACGTTGAATTGGGCAGCGAGGGGGATGCGATGAATGCCCGTCTGGCGTGGACTGCTGGATTTGCCGAGGACGACGTCCGCAACGCGGGCAACGCAGCAGGCCAAAGCTGAAATCTTTTTTTTTTTTTTTACAAAAATCCGAATCAAAATCAAACAAACATCGTCGGACGCGGTGTGGAAAAACGATGGGGGACGGCTCCTCGTCTTCTTGAATGCCGACGTTAAGGACCCGTGGAGCACATGGATGGAGCCCCAGCAGCCCCAGGCCCCCAGCGCTGTCTCGCAGCCCGCCAGCCCAGCCCAGCCAGTGCCGCTGCAAGACAATCACGAGGGCGACAAGGTCCTCCAACAAACGCCGAGCCCATCGGCCCCCAGCATAGGGCCGGGAAAGAAGGCCGAGCAGGCCGAGGACAGCCTTGGTACCTGCCAATTCAGGGGAAATCAGCGGTGAGCGATGGTACCTGGCAGGTACCCCTGGCACTCCGAGCTCTGTTTTCCAACGCTCAACGGGCTCACATTGGATCCTGGATACATTCACAGGCACCCGCATCCCCGGAATTTGAACCCTTGTCGCTGGCACCCGCGCGTCCTTTTTCTCTGCGCCGCTTTCAAACTCATTCCAGCCCCAGGTCTCCTCGTGAGTCGCTGATGTCATGCGGCTTCATAGCGGACGTCCCAATGCCAACACCGACCTTGCCTCTCCCGTACAAGGCCCCGCGCAGCGGATCAGAGGAAATTTGGTCGTGATCGGAGTGACACTCTGCTAGGTAAATTATTATAAAGAGCATTTCATGCATTTTGCGAAGCCAACAACCGCAAATACGAGTCCAGCAGCTCTTCGACGGCCCGAGATTAACGGTCTCATTCTAGAGCCAGGCACACGGTGGTAACAATAAGCTCAATCAGTTCCAGGTTGCCGTCCGAACGATGACCAACTGACTGACTCTCCGTCCGGCATTGAAGTTGGCTGAACGGTTCCGTTGCAACACTACAGCCTGTTGGTTGCTTGTGTTCTGTGCCGAGCTGGCGTTTGCTTGGCATCAGGGGACCAGGGCGGCGGCCCGCAGCAGCAGCAGCAGCAGCAGCAGCAGCAGCAGCAGCATATGCCGTAGAACAAGAGCACTCACAGCTCGCCCGTTGGTTGGGGCAAGCAGCCCGCCAGGACCACAAAGAACGGCTCGGACTGGATAAGAGAGGGGCACGGGAAGAAGCACCTGACCTGAGCACCGGACCCGGCCTCAAACTCCTGAAACTCCGCCTGGGCTGGAAGCGCTTTCAGGCGGTATAAGATCCGCAGAACCGGCTGCGGCACCCGCTGTTGTGATATTTTGGTCTATCAGACTCCGTAGGGCTTTGCCAGGTAGTCGGTGAGCTGTGTTTGGCATGACCCTGTCAACTGACTCGTCCTGGCGGTGGGATCGGGCTGTGCCAAGCTAAATCATGCGTCTCCCTTGTCGTACACAAAGATCTGTGTCAATACGTGTTGCATAAGGCTACACCTCGAACATCATATAAACGGTCAAGTTCAACTTTGCTGAGAGCATTGGCTGTTTGTTGTTTCGAAACATCCTGTTGGTTCCCAGGCAGAAAGGCACATGAATAAGGTAATCGGGCTTGATACTAAGCCTAGCTGCGTAGGTATATTACATGCAACTATGCGTCAGACACTGCACCTCTCAAAGGCGGCAACGAGGGGTGGTTTAACCAAGGAGAGCCGCACATCAGAGCATTGGACGGAGAGGCAAACGCCATTGCTTCGATCTGAAAATCGAGGGGCATGCAGCGGAAGCGGGCAGCAATGAGATTGGACCATCGGTGCTCATGCAGCAGCACGATGTCTGCTGTGCAGTGCCATCACAATATTCGAGAGGCTGATCATAAACATGCTGATTGAGGGGGGTTGGAGTCTGACAGTGGCATTGATCACAAAAGAGGGAGAGAAAAGTTCATTGAGTTGGGAGAATTTTGGAGCAGTGAAGCAGCGATTCACGAATCATCAACCTGTCAGCCCGAGGGTCCAGCGGCTTGAAGTGCCACCCGTCAGCTGTCACTGTGGCTCAGACTGACCACCCTGATCAAGCCACATCTGGCTTGGTAGCAGCTCCACCACGCAACAAGCAGAGCAGCCTTCGGCGGCTTGAATCAAACGCCAATGCTGACTGGTCGACTGGGTGGTGCCTCCATCCATGAATGTCTGGCGCCGGCAAACGTCTCCATTTTTTTCACCACTGTCCATGCGTGACTGACACCGGACGCCGGACGCAGACAAAGGCGGGCGGGCCAAGTGGAAGCGAATCTGTCGGCCGCCGGGGAAGACGGGAAGACTGGACATTGGGCACACTCTCTAAGTGTATTTTTTTTTATTTTCTTTTTGTCCTTTTTTTTTTCCCTCTCCTCTCATCCTTCCCCTCCAGGGTGCCTTACTCTCCCTTTGCGACGACAACAAGACCCTCCATATCCTCTCCTCATCCGCATTCCCTCCCCTCCGGCTCCTCTCCCCCTTCCATGTCTTTACAACTCCTCTCCAACTTGCACGCCTCTGATTCCTCCCGCTGTTTTCCCGTTGCGCGACTCGAAGCTGTCACGACGACGACGACCTCACCAGACGACGATAACATCCCCTCTTTCGCCGGCCTCTGCGACCCCCTCTCGACCGACCGCAGCGCTGCCACTACGATCGCGGCTATGTCATGGATCTCCTGGCCGTCGCTGGTGCCCACGATCCTCATTATCTCGGCTAGCCTCGCCTGGTGCTTCCGGGAGCCTAAGACCGCCCGCTTCAACCTGATTGCCGCCGTTGGCGTCGCCCTACTCGGCTGGGTTGTGGCGCCCGACTTGTCCCGCGAGATCTCCTTTTCCATCTACGCCGCCGCAGTCGACGCCGTCGCTGCCCTGCGCTTGCATCTACTGATCGCGAAGCACTCCAACATGCTGCTGACCGGCGCCGCTGTCGTATGGTACGTTATTAACATTGCTGCTGTTTGTTTGACTGTCGCCCGTGCTCTCGGTCGCGGTCGCGCGCCCCTTAGTCCGTGCCCCGCGATCTGCGACCGTCGTACCCCCGCTTGCGACCTCGAAGCTTACTCTTCTCCTCAGGTTGCTGCGGAGGACTTGGCAGACCCTGTGGAAGCCTGTGCCCGAGTTGATCAACATCCTGGGTGTCGACGTGCCCGATCCTCCGGATGTGTCGTTGGCCGGCATTCGATCTGACGCTGCGACCATCAACTGGACTCGCCCGCCGCCGAACCGATCTGTCTCCAAGTTCCTGATCCAGGTCAATGGCGTGGTTGGTGAGTGGCTCCAAGCTCCTTCACAGAAAAACCAACACTGACAGTCTCAGTTGGCGAGGTGTCTGCCAACCAGGAGCCCGCAATCGTTGTCAGCGGCCTGAAGCCGGACCACTTCTACAATGTGCGCGTCATCGCCGTCGGCTCGAACAACTTCCAAGCAGGCAGCCGGGTGATCCGACTGCGGACCTTTGGCCGCGACGGGCGGCCTCAGCTCGGCAATTCTCGTCTCCCATCGAGTTTTACCCCCGAAGAGCCCCGCAGCACAGCATCAGGCGATGCGGGCGACGACAGCTCGGGCGGCCGAGTCCCTTTCCCTGCTCTTGAGGTACCTACCGTCCAGGAACCAGTGGTCACCCCAGCCCGGGATGGACACTCTGGTGGAGGCTCCGGCCCTCGCCGTAATACAGTTACACGACGCCATTCGCCTTCCACGACGAGTATCGATCAGCAGCCGCCACCGCGCGAGGAGCCCTCCGAGGACCCTGAGCAGACCTTACCCGAGTTGACAGAGAAATTCGAGAAGATCCGACAAGAGACCGAGGATGTGCTGGCCCAGATTGCGAAGGAGGAGGCTGACAATAGGTTGTTACTAGAGGAGCTCGAGGCGGATAAACAGGAGAAGAGAAAGGAGCAGAAGAAAAAGGAAGAGCAGACAGAGCGATTAAGGAAGGACGTGCACTCTACGGAGCGCGCCATGCGCAATGCCTTGCAGCGCAAGGCGCAGAAGGAGAAGCAGTTGAAGGAGAAGAGGAATGAGCGAGAGAAGCTCTACGATAGTATCGCCAAGTGGGAGAAAGGCGTGGAGGAGATGGTCAAGGAGCGTGAAAGTTTCGCAGAGACCATGAAGGAGATGGAGGAAGAGCGAGACCAAAAGGTGGAGCAATTTCGGGCAGAAAACGATAGTCTGCTGGCGGAGTGCTCGCGCCTGGAGCAAGAGCTGAAGGAGAAGAGGGAGCAGGTCAGAGAGCTCGAAGAGGCCCGGAAGCATCTGCCCGGAGGGGATGAGGACCCTGGTGAATGGCGCGAGAAGCTACAGGAGATCAGGAGGGAGTGGTATCGGAAGCAGAGAGAGCTGCAGGATGCTCTGGCTTTTGAAACTCGGCGGGCTAGAAGCCTGGACGAGCAGCTGCGCATCCTCAGCATGCAGATCCAACACATCCCCCAGCCCCCCTACGGGTTATATGCACAGCCGGGCGTTCCCCCTCCCATGGACTACGACCCTACTGCGCTGTCCCAGCTCAAGAGACGGACTCGACCTAGCAATTCGATTTCCAGCGTCTCTATGCCGCAGCCCATGCCAGCCTACACCCAGATGGACCCAGCTATGTCAGTGCCTGCTCCCGCAGGGTTCTCCAGCGCTCGCTCTGCCAATGCCCCTCCCGGCTTCGCTCCCGGCCCATTCATGAACCTCTCGACTGACATCCCGAGCCGTCACGATGACCTGAGCGGCAGAACTGCGCCGCTGAGCCCATCAGCCACCGCTCTTCTGCCGTCCAACATCTTGGCAGATATCGACGATGATGGCCCTAACCCAGTTTCGCGCTTCGACCCGGATCCATTCCCGGTCCTGCCCCGCCAGCGAATGACCCCCGACAATGCCCCCAAGTCGCCAGCATCGTCTGGCAAGTCATCCCAGAACCTGTTTTCGAGCCCGCACGGCTCCAGCAGCAACCTGCCGTTCCCAGCCTTCCAGAACGACACCGCCGACAGGCTCTCGCTCCACGGGCCCGGCAGCATCCCATCGCCCGCCGCGTCGGAGCAACCTCGCAACAAGCTGAGCGGCTTCTTCTCTTTCCAACGGTCTGGTCCTACCAAAACGTTGGAGAATGAAGGCCCGCTGCTCGGCAGCCTCAAGCCCTCGCAGAGCCAGTCCTTCCCTAGGCAGACCGACGACCTAGAAGTGGGCAACAAGCGCCGCGTCAGCCTGTCCAGCACCTGGAATGTGTTCAATCGTAACTCAGTCGGACCCGAGATCGGCGGCGGTGGCGGCAGCGGCAGTGGTGATTCCCATGCCACCGCGGCGGCTCCGGGCTCCCGCCTTTTCTCACGCAGTCTGAACCCCTTCTCTTCCTCCCGCAGCAGCCTTTTCGGCGAGCGCGACCCCAGCAGCCCGAGGCCCGCTAGCATCGCCTCGACCGAGTTCCCGCGCCCGTCAACTGAGTCGAACTCGATCTGGGGCCCGCTCGGTGGTGAGAAACAGAGCCGGCTGTGGTCGCCTGATGTGTCATGGTCGAGGAACCCCTCGCGCAGGCCGTCCCTCCATGGCTCGCCGTCGGCACTGAAAACGAGCCTGGCATCGGCCGAGGATGAGATCCTGGGCGAGGAGATGGTGCCGAATGTGAAGGACGTGGGGGTCATTGGGAGTCGACCACCTGTTCAGACGCAGGCCCAGAATCAGAACCAGAGTAAAGCGGCGCTGGGCCGTCTCAATCCCAACGCGCCGGCCTTTATTGGCTCGCTGTTCAAGTCCAAGCCTGATAAGGACAAGGACGGCAAGGACCAGAAAGACAAGGCTAAGGCTGACCACCACAAGAAGGACAAGGACAAGTCTTCGTCCAAGGCCAAGGAGAGTAAGGATTCCTCTGCCAAAGACAAGACCAAGACCCCGGACACAACCCCCGCCTCCGTCGCCAGTAGTGGCATCTTCGACCTAGACTCCTCCCCTCTCCAACCGCGTATGTCCCGCGACGCAATCTCCGTACACACGCACACCTCCGCCGTCTCCGAATCCCGCGACTCGCTTTCGTTGGATCAATCCTTCTCCAACACTCCCTCCGAACCCGCTAGCATAATCAGTGGGCTGTCCAGTTCCTACAAGGACGACACCGCAAGCCAAACTAGCGGTAGCAGCAATGTCGTCAGGAAGTTGTTCCGCAAGAGCAGCTCCAGTAAGTTTGGTAGTGGACTGTTCAAGAAGGCTTCGAATACGAGCAGCGCGGCTACCGGCGCTGGGACTCAGAATGGGGGCTCGGACAAGAGGGTGTCGATCGACAGATCGAGCGACTTCGACGACCTGAATGAAGAAAACGGCTCGCTGAGCTTCCTTGGCCGCAGCTTCGACAGTATCTTGTCTGTATCAGCCTCCAGCACTGCGTCCAGTAGCCATAACCATCATCACCTTGCCCTCGCTCCGACGCTGAGTTCCGGAGGGAAGAGTAGCACCAGCAGTAGTGCCACTCCCGTTGGTGGAGCAGGGAGCAGCACGCCGAAGGAGGCTAAGGCGCCGGTGAGGTGGTTGAGCGGATTTGGGAAGAAGAAGAAGGAGAATGGGAATGGGAATGGGAATGGGAAGGTAGGGGAAATTCCGGATGAGGATAAGGCCCTTACGCCGGTGGATGTTTCTTCTTCCGGGCTTCTCGCTGAAGAGACCAACGCTGGGAATGGCAATAACGTTTAGGTATTTGTTGTTGCTGACTGAACGGGGGTTGTTTTGGGGGGAAAAGAAAAGGGGGGGGGGGGGGAAGAAGGTTCGGGTAGAGAAAACTAAATAAAAAAAAGATATGAAAAAGGGGGCTCAAAAAAGCAAATAAACTGTATGTATGTATGTATACAGCAGAAGTTGGCAACAGCGGCAGCGGCGTGCATAGGTCTTACCGTATGTTGTAGAAGCAACTGTTTGAAGGACTTGCATAGTACGGGGTCATGTACTGCTACCATAACAAGACAACCAATCAATGGGTCCTGGGATTGGCCTTGGGCGTTAGAGAAAAATGTGGTCTGGTCTAGCAGCTAACTAGGGACTTGGCTAGACAGTGTAAAGATATAGAATGTAACAAGTGACATTTGCGAAGGGATGTGATGGGTGAAGAATACACACAATTAGTATTCGCAGATCTCCCAACTCTATCTGTTGCTTTCTAACAAAAATCTTAATGACTCCTAACAAGAACCCAAACCCGAACACACACACATACACACAAACACACACAACACACACACACACACACACACACACTGGTACAACCCTCAACACTTCAAATTTACCCCTCTCCTCAACTCTCCCGCCCGAATCTCAAACATAACCTGTATCCCGACAAACAACGCTCCACACGCGGTCCCTAAGAACACCAATCCCTGATATTCCCTAAAAATCCCTTTGATAATACTCTCCAACCCGTCCAGTCCCACGGCAAAACCAACCAAATTCGCCATCATCATCATCAACACATTCCCCACCGCCCCAACCCCGCACAACATCCTGTACGCAGTCGGCCTCGCAGCCTCCCACTTCCGTTTGGGGAATAGATAGTTAGCTGCAATCTCGGGAAGGAAGAATAGTACGATCAGCCATCCCCAGACGAGGAGGTTAAGCTTGATGTCGTGCCATAGGGCAACGAAAGTAAAGACCGTCAGGTACGTCACCACGCTCTTGACTGCCTTGGCGGCACTCGAGAAGTCGGTGCCGCCCAACGGGATGTAGATGTATCGCAGGAGCCAGCGATAGTAGCTACGATGCCACCCGCGCCAGAAGGAGAGAGTCGAGTAATTGTTGCTCACGCAGCGGAGCATGTTTTCGGGGGGATCAATCCCGTCTGTAAGGGACCAGAGTCGGAAGAAGCGCCAGGGGAGAAGGAGCTTGAGCCAGATTAGGTGCAGGTTGAAGTAAGAGAGTAGTGAGAGCTGCGCCGGGGTATAGGAGGACCAATTGGGCCGGGCCTTGCTGATCGCGCAGACGTAGTCATAATGTAAAATGATTTCCATTGCTAATAGCGCCAAAAAGAAGCGGATGCCGTAGCGGAGGGTGCGAGCGCCGGAGATGGTCGCAGGGCGGTGCCGCGATTGGGAGATGTAGTCGTTGAAGGTGAGGATAGGGCCGGTGAGGTAGAGAGGTGCGTAGATGGCGTAGGCGAGGTAGGTGCGGAAGGTGAAGGCGTGAGAGGGGGCGGGGAGGGCAACGCGGTCGCGTTCGGAGAGCGAGGAGGGGTCTAGTTGTTTCTTCTTGGGGACATTAGATTTGTTTCGGTAGAGACAGAAGTGGGAGGGGACAAGACGAACCTCGATCGGACTGGATGCCCTCCTGTCCAAGCTCCAGTAGTAATCCAAATTGAAGCTGATCAGCCTCAAAACAGTAATGTTAAACAAAATCTCCCAGCGATTAATCAACCCCCCATGCCGATCCAACCATCTACCTAGCTGCACCACCGGCGGGACCGGATCACCCTTCTTAACTGGCCCCGTCCACAACATCGCCATATCCCTAAACCGATAGCCCTGACACAACTCATTGGCGAACAAGATGCAGATATTAAACGTCCACGTCGCAACAGGGATCCACCTTTTCGGCAGGCTTGTCGCCAGCCTATAATTCGCCGCCAGGATCAGCAGGATCTTAGCTGCGGAGAACCCATGCAGGGCGACAAGGTAGAGCAGGGCGAAGGCATAGTCGAAAGAGGTGCGCTGGCGCTGGCGCAGGTCGGCGGCCGCTTCGGAGGGGGAGGTAGCTGCGTCGGCGGGGATGGGATGGACTAGAGTGTTCCAGAGCTTGCGAGCAAGGGGATGCAGGATGAGCAGCAGCGCCATGTAGGGCAGGTTTGTGCGGAAGGTGTGGTATTGCGCGTCGGAGACGTCCTGGTGATGGTTAGCTTCGTCCCTCCTGTCTTGAATGACGCTCTGAAGGCTGAAGGGCGGGGACCGGGGGGGGGGAGGAGAGGGGTTGTAGAGGCTTACAATCTTCCTCCCCGGAATCCAACCATCAGACAAGTACTTCTGATACTTCTTATACCTAGGATCCTCCGCTGTCTTGTGTCAACCCCTCTTGTCTGTTCCCCCCTCTCTTGCAGACTAGTACTCACGTCTCGACACATCATACGCCACCCAAAACATATATGGCACGGCGGTCGCAAACACCAGATAATACACCCAAAACTCAAATGTATGCCATCTGGGGGCCGTCGCACGCTTGTCGGGCTTGCCAAAAGACGGGTCGGCGACGGCGGCGCGGTAGGGGACGGAGGCTGGCACCACAAAGCGCGTGTCGAGGGTCTCGAGGTCGTAGACGCTTTTGAAGAAGGATATCGGCCCGCCGCTGCCGCCTCCTCCTTTTTGTCTAGGGGTCATTGTGTAGGAGAGAGGTGTAGTGTTGGCGTTGGCGTTGGTGTTGAAGTTGGTTGAAGGCAGGGTCGCTGGCGTTGAGATGCAGCGATTCTTTGTGCGATCTTCGTGTCGCTTAGAACATCTTCGGACTCACCGGGTCAGAGGGCAAAGATTGCGGATCCGGAGGTGAGGGGGAGCTCGCAGTTTTGGGTGTTTGGCTGAAAGTTCGTTATTCTTTGTCGAGCTGCTCGCCGCAGACATTTGCTTGCTCGAGGTTGTCAAGTTGTCAATGCCCTGTCGCGACTCCGCGTAGCGGTTGGCCAGTTGGCGTCATGTGCTGCGGGGGACCCTTGTCAACAGCCCCTGAACCCCTTTTTCCCAAGCCTAGGCCTAGCACCGCCCAGATGAGGGTGATCAACGTCGCAACAAGGACAGCTCGAGTCGAAAGCACAATATTAGAACCCTAATTACTTATGAGACTTTGAGAGTGTGTGTTGTATGTCATTACTGTTTCCTATTCCACTCATTTCTGTCCCTATCTAGCCTGTAACCCACCCCTCCCCCTCCCCCCTAAAACAACAACTCCCTCAAGACCAACTTCTCCTCTCCTACGCCCCCTTCACCCCATAACTTCGCACCCTACTAAAGAAAAACGGCTTATTATGTTTCAGCGTAAACTCGGCCCAGTCACCCGTCAGCGTATTATAACTATAGAACCCCTTCCAAACTAACTTATTATTCCTCGCCCCTTTCCCTGCCGTCGCCAGCGTCAAATCCAGCCTATAGAAATACTTACTCACTCCCTCCGTCTCAACAATCACATCCCCCTCAATCTCGCTCAACGAAGCCCCCGGGTTCTCTCCCTCCCGTGCCATCCTCCACCGTCCCTTCAACGCAGACCTCATCACCGCCCCGGGCAAGTTCGCCCCGGCGGGGATGTTATTTTGCCCCGCAAACTGCGCAACGTACTCCTTCGTAAGATGATGCACCACCTCCCCCGGCTCGGCGGTCGTCAACAGGCTGATTACCGTCCCGTCTCTGAAAAACCTTAAATACCGGTAGTACGTCACAATGTGGATCGGCGACGCGCCCCAGGTCACTTGGTTGACCCCCAGGCCGGGTCGCATGTAGTTCACCGTGCTGATGTAGACTCCATTAAACCGGATGCGCGGGCGCAGACGCCACATGCGTTGCCAGGAGGAGGAGTACAAGGGTGAGTTGTAAAAAGCGAGGGTTACAGCGCGCTTTTCTTCGGCGTGGAGGCGCGCGCGAGCTGCTAATGTCAGGGCTGGGGCTGGAAATGATGTTGTTGTCGTTGGGGTGGTCGTTCCCGAGGTATTGGGGTCATCTTGAGCGTTGGAGGACTCCTCCGCTTCGCGGATCAGATCGGCCTCGGTCAACGGCTCCCAGGTGATCTGACACTGCCAGTAGTAATGCATGCCGCCGAAGCCGAACTCAGAGCCCAAACAGATGCGTCGCCAGATGCGGTCTTCGGTGGCGACTAGGTAAGCGAAGCGCTTGCAGACGAGGGAAAGGCGAACGAAGTCGCCGACGTCATTGATGGCGACGTCTTCAAGGATTTGGACGAGGATTTCCTCGGGGAGGGAGGCGATTGGGCACGGGGGAGGGGGCGTGCCCTCGATGACGGGCGGCGCGGGGGTGATGGTCAGGGAGGAGAAGCTTTCGATGAGGTCTTTGAGGGGAATGGGTTGTGAAGGTTCTTGCTTTTGCGTAGAGGTTGGGGTTGTCTTAAAACCTGCCCCAGTTGCAGAAGTTGAGGAAGAAACCGGCGCAGGCTTTTTGGGGAAGTGCTTGTTCCTGTACTTCTGGTCGACCTGGTCGTCCATCTGGTTCCCATCACATCAGCCCCTCATTCTCCTTCATCCCCATGCCAACACATGGATGGACACGACAACAACTCACCTGAAAAGCCTTCCGATACAACCTCAAACTCTCCCCCAGATTCCCTGCCGCCTCCTTTTCCACAGCCCGTTCATAATGTTCCAGCGCCGTGACCGGCTCTTGCTGCGTACCCGCTGCGCCCTTGCCCTTCTCCCCTTGAGCAGCTCCTGCTGCGTGAACGGGCTCATCAAACGGCTGCGACCGGACGTAGTCGTCCTCAGAATCCTTAACGACTGTCTTCTTCGCTGACGCAGGGGGCTTACCCCGCGGGGTTGTGACTCGGATGGGTTGGGCGGGGGATGTGGAGGAGGGTCCAGCGTGGGATTCATGATGTTGGTGATGTTGCTGACGTTGAGATGAGGATGCGTGTCGAGCGGCTCTAGCCTGGACCTCGGCCCGCCATTGCTGGCGGAAGGACTCGAGTTCGGGGTTGTTTGGCTCTTCGTAGGAGCTCATGATGAGGGTTTGTTTGCGCGGGAGGGAGGAGGTGAGGCTGGTGATAAGGATGGCGATGGTGATAGTGGGAATGGTGACTTGTGAAAGTGTCACTTTGTGGTTGCTTTCATTAGTTGAGACAATTTCCCGCGATGATGACCTTTTCTCGATTTAGCGGCTTCAGCTTCTAATAAATCCTTGCAACAAAGAATGATCCTTAAACACCGCTACATCCCCCTCCCAACCTGCAGGTCAAATCTAGCGTTAAATCGACCATCTGCGTCATCTGGCGACATTAGATGCGAATCAGCGTCACCGCGCCGATACCGATAAGCTTCTGCCCATCGCTCCCCGGATGACGATAGCGAAGTGAGCGGAATTCGGAAGCTTCCTTGCCGAGATGGGACAGGCGCTGATCCACTGTTTATCAAGTCTAGCCAATCAGAAGCGAGAAGAAGCTGCCTGCTTAATGCAGCAGAATGCACCGAATCCACCGAAGCTTTGAGATAAACCGCCCCGGGCCGCTTGCTTTTGTGCTTTGACGGGCTGATGTGTTCGGGGCATCATTGAGTTTTTGCAGGCAAGTATGGAACTCCAAGTCGGTCGATCTTTTTGAATGAGCGAATCAATTGCTGGTTGATGGGGTCGATACGCCAAGAGGATTTGATTTTACACAGCAGCGTTGGAAGGAAGTTAGGAGACTACTGAAACCTCTCTCCCACTGAAGGACAGACCCTCCCAAAGTGAGATCCAACAATGAATCGTAACATAGCCGAAACTTCAAGCTTTTGAAAATCCTGCAACAGAAAGAATGGAACATAAGAACAAGTTATGCTATTGAGCTTTGAACAAGTATGATTTCGCAGTATTACCGATGACTGTCAAACTCGAAAACAATTGTGCTCTTCTGACTGGTCGCGGGTGCTCGAAACGCGCGGATAGGGAAGACGCCTTCGAGCAGACTACTCGCTGTGTATAGGTAGCGTCGTATACAGTTTGCAGGAAAAAGCTCAGTGCGATTGATATCCAGATATCGATCATTTGTGACAAGTCTTGAGCACGATGACTGGGTATAAGTGAATCAGGGGAGGACCTGTTAGCGCAATAGGCTTCTGTAGACGGTTTACATTGCGTCTGTCGCACGCGGCGCTTCAAGGACCTTGGATTCAGAGACCTCGAATATGATATTCATGTTTTTAAGTGTCATATAACTACTGGATCTCTCCTATCTCCAAACATGCCTGGCCCAGCCAGGTATGTCAACCCTTCTACTTCAAAACACTTACCTCACCACCTACCACTACTTCACCTATTTTCCAGCGGCACGCTCCCCTCATGCTTGCCCTCCTCCAACTCCCTCACCACACTCGACGAAGCATCCTCCATTGCCGTCGCGCCCCCAAAAAATTTCCCCTTCAACCCCAACTTCTCCTCCGTAACTTTTTTCCTCATCCAAATCAGCCCCCACACAACCCCAAACAAAATGCAACAACCAACCGCAATCCCCACAATCCACGCCGCCAACATCGCGCCCTGCTCCTCAGGATCCAGAAAGTTGTACGTATAGAAACCTTTATCTGCGTACGTCACATACGCGACACATAGGTACAGCGCGAGGATGATGATCAACCACAACATATGGATCGCCAACGGCGGCTCCGTCCGCGGCACAATAATCTCAAACAATGCCATGGCGCTGTTTAGCGCGTGCTGCGAGACGTTGCTCCAGCCGCGGAACACCTCGGTGTACCAGTGGCCGTCGTAGAGCTGGGCCCAGTAGACGATGGTCACGATGAAAGGGAAGACGGTCACGGTGGTGTAGAAGAGGGAATGTAAAGCCTGCAGCGGGCGGGGCAGTTTGGCGAGGAGTGGGATTCCGGAGCGGGCATAGGTGAAGGTGTGCACGGCAGAGACAAGGAAGTAGAAGGCCAGGCCCCAGTAGGTCAGGTGGGTGAAGTAGCTAAATGTGGCGCGCGATTCGGCGCAGTGCTCGGGCGAGTGGATGCAGTCGTAGATGAGGATTGTGAGGAGGGTTGCGAAGGCGTAGAGGCTCTACATAGAAGGAAGGTGTTAGCAGGAAACATCAAGTTCCCCAGTGTTCATAACGAATGCATGGATGGCAGTGGGATTCTGGAGCTGAAAGATGGAGATTGTTGTGGAGTTGCACGGCCATGACGTACAAGCAATGCCCGGCAGCAAAAGAGCGCAAACGGCGATAGAATCCACGATGTCTCGAAGCGGTGCGTGGGATCCCAGGGATCGACCCCGAACTTGAATAAATTACGAGCCATGTTGAAGGGCTTTATCGAGTCAACTTGAGAATCGTAATGCTGCTGGATGGATGTTCTAGAAGGATTGCAGACAGATTCAAGTTCAGCCGTGCAACTTTAGCAACTCCACTCTAGCAGCGTTGTCCTAATCTCGAAGACGTCGTCACAAGATCGCAAGATCGAGATGCTGCCGTCGCGGAGGAGATTGCAGGGGAGGGCAGGGGATGAATATTTGCTGTTCCGCCGGTTTGGTGAGCCCCAGAATCGCGGTCTTGGCGACTGCGATTATCAGCCCATCGGGCGAAGCTTGCGAGCTTACGAATGCTTCATTGGCATCCCAAGCTCAGGAATTCTAAATCCGTAAAAAGAAGAGCTAACAACTGCGGCGTTAGGGCCATTAAAGAAGGCATTGCTCAGCCTTAACTGTCATACTGTCATTTGTTAAAGCAGCCACACGGTCGGGTGCCAACAGCACAAAAGCCAGGAAGCCTTTCCCTCCCCTTCCCCCCCCCCCCCGAAAAAAGGCTGATCCAAGCTTCCATGTTTCGCCTTCCATCACGAGCTCGATCAGCGTCGCAGGTTTCGGCCGATGGAACTCTTCGTCTAGGTCCAATGCTGCCCAAGACTTAAGGGACACGGCAGTGGATATCGGTAGATGTGAGCTAGAGGCGATGCGACTGTCTGATGAGGGGTCATTGTGTTGGTGCAGGCATTGTCGGCTTGGACACCGGAGTAGAGCTCGATGCTGTGACCGTGGTGTAAACAGCAGCCAATCGGGACTCAGGGCGGAAAGCGTGCGTCCCGGGAAGCTGGGATCGCAATCGGCGCCATGGTGCTGTGAGCGTTGTTGCGGTTCTTGTGGATGACTGCATCAGCGAGCTGGGCTTTCCTGGTGTAAAAGAGGAGAAGGGGAAAAAAAATGAGAATTGGAAAGACCGTCGATCTTTGAATTCCAGAAAATCAACGGCCTCGCGGCAGTTGGCGAGTCCGGGTCAGCGCGCACGGTCTTCCAAGACCGCAAGGTGCAGCATCGCGAAGCAGCCGAGGGCAGAGAGGAAGCTGCACGTGCAGGCGAGGAGAGCAGCTGAGCAGCCGAAGAGGAAGGAGTGGGAATCTCTCAGAGTTGCAGCCTGAAACAGCTATTGCAAATTTGAGCGGGAAATGCTCCTTCAAAACCTGCAGCTTCGTCGCCAATATTCTCAGCCGTTACTCTCAATCAATTGCAATACATCGTTATGCTATTTCTCTGCTATCCGCCGCAATCTCCTGACATGCTGCCATCCCCCCTATCGATTGGCACTGGGCAGTGCTCGCAGGAGTTGCTGACGATGAACCGCAGAGCAGAGGGACAACGGTGACGAATATTGTGGCACAGTCCAGTTCCCCCCTCCGAACTGTGCTGCACATCCACAACAGCTCAGCTCGAGGGCCCATAGCAGCAGCGAGTCGGCCCCACCAACTCTTTCGAGCCAACTGCAGGCATTCTGATTGGTCCAGGTCATGCATTCCGCACTGGGGCCCGCAGAAGCCCGCAGGAGTCTGCTGGGGCCAGGCGCCATCGAAGCTTTCACCTCCAAAAATTGTTCGCATGTGCGCCGCCGCCCTACCCTGCTTAATGCCCATCCATTTGGTTGGACACGCTAATAGCTGCAATGATCGCCATCCAACGGCGATATGTATACACTATTGTGTACACATACTGAGTGATATGTATGTGTTCGCCATGATATACCGTGGCAAGTTATGGGAGGGTAGGCGTGGTGGGCGAAGTGCTGATCACCACACCATGGTCGCCATCCTGCGCTGTAACCCAGCTGGATGGGATCACAGAGGCTGCTCGGTGATGATGGGAAAAATGAGGAAAAATGATGGGAGGGTCCATCTCTGTTGGCGAGAGAAATTGAGATGGGAAAGGGGAGAAAAGCGGAAGATTGGATGAGGGGCAGCGCCCGCCAGCAAGGTGCCCAGTGGCCGCCACCCAGCGCGCTGCAGGCCTGGAAAGGGGAAAGCTAGACTTCTCTGGAACACGCCCGGCCGCACAGTATGGAGAACGCTAGGCTAGCGCAACCGCTACTACGTTACCATGACGGCACCACACCCACCTTATTTTTTTTTCCTCGTAGAGCACGAGATCGCACACAGAGGAAGCGCCAGGATCCAGGGGAGGGGGACCCAGGGCTCCAGGGATCCAAGAGGAGCATCTGGCTGCTGCAGGGCGTCACCCGGTTCCCCCAGGAACGAACCGACCAGTCCGACGAGTTGTGTTCCCTCGTTGCTGGCGAATGCGTCGCTGCTTCAATAGTTCCCTGCGGGTGGAGTGAGGGCTTGACATCGATCGCTGATTTCGTTGATTTTGTGCCTTTCCAGTGTTGCTCCCCTCGCTCTCTCTGTCATATTCACCTCGCTCGCTCGCTCGCTGCTGCTGGAGTCAGCCCATTCGCTCACCTTCCTTCTGCTGCTGTTGTTTCTCTCTTTCAGCTGAACCCAGTCGTCAACATACCTCTCCAGGCTGCAGGAGCCTAGCCTCTGCAGCTCAACCGCCAAGCTTTATCACGTACACGCACGTCCACGTCAGGGACCCAGCAGACGCTGACACCTCACACCTCACTCACCCACATACCGCTCGCACACTACATACGATACCTACAGCAACCCCTGGAGCTGTCGGTCAGCCAGTCAGCCAGTCAACCACTCAAGCAATCATTCACGGCTGCGCAAGGAAATACCTCCGCAGTTGGCCTAAAACTGCGTCCTGAGCTTTCACCCCTTTTCAATCTGCGAGCCCCGATCTGTGTCCGTGTCACCACAACTGCTTCTATCCAGGTTACTCGGCCGCCATATTGCCTGTCTACCGCCTCTTCCCGCTCTCGCACAACTTCGGCCTTTGGGGTCCAGCAGCATTATGTCTCTTCCGGCTGCCGTCCGTGACAGCTGCTGAGTTCTACCATCTGCTTCTGTCTCACAACCCTCGGGCCAGACACCAATACGCGCTCCGCGTCGCCCCCAAGCGGGTTCTCATCAACCCGGATACCAGAGCTCAGCTCACCGTAACACCGCCGGACGGCATCGTTCGAACACTTTGAGCTTGGTCGGAGAGGCTGGCCTTCCCACCGCCTCCGGTGATCTGGTCTGCCCTGACACACATCGCTGCGCTGTGATCCCGTGTCTCCCGCATATCCTGTGACACCGCAGCTGCCACAAGTTCCTGCTGGCTGCCGCCTGCGCGGGTTGTTGTGCCTTGCCGGCCAATGGCCGTTGGCTCCCGACGACTTACCGTATCATATTGACATACCGCACATACATTCCATACATCTAGGTAGTGCCTTGATACCAGTATTCACCCCACCCACCATGGCTCTGCCACGATACCCGTCCTTTTCATCCTCACGTCTCTCGACAGAAGGGCAGCTGCCCATCTACCTCGTCCCGGATGAAGGCGACACCATGACCATCATCGACCAGCCCGACATCAGGCACCAGGAGCCCGAGCCTGCCCCGAGCTCCCCTCCTCCTCCAAAACATCCGATCCCGTCTATGCAGCAGGCGTTTATCGAGTCTCTTGAGGAGGCAACACAAAGACCCCCACCACCAAAACAAAGGTTACGAACTGGTGATGCTAAAGCGAGGCGAGCGGACTTACTAGATGGAGCACGGGATGACCCCGTGCCCACACATCTTTGGAGACGGCGACCAGGCCAAACCACTCATGAACTGTGTCGTCTCATCGCCCAGATCTCCTTCGGCGTGCACCTGATGTTGCACGGTATGGCCAATAGCCAGATATCGGTTGTGTCGATTCTGCAGGGCCACATCGACGACGTGGATGAGTTCATCGAGACGACTCTCGAAGACATGGACCTGGCTATCAGAGACATCAACGACCGCATCGGGTACCTTAAAGTACCCATGGACAACATCCATGTCTTTGAGACGATGCTCGAAAACAAGCGCTACCGGAAACAGATCACGGATGGCAACCGCCAGATCGAGCACATCCTGGCCCGTACCCAGATGGCCCTCAGGCAAACCACAGAGGACTTAACTGAAGGTCTGAAAGCCACCAGAGAGTTCACCATCTACCTAGCCGAGCACCAGCACGGCAGCTGGCGTCGCGAGCGCCCGGAGGTGATTGACGTGTTTGACGCGATGAAGGGCAACACGGACGGCTGGTTCAACGCCTTTATGGACCTGCAGTCCAAGGGGTCCTCCCTGAACGCTTTGATTGTCAGGTTGTCGGACATGGTTGCGGAGATTGACCGCAGAGCACGCGAGGTGAGCTGCCGCACGACTCGGGTATGTCGGGTTTGTGACTTCGTTTACAAAACCATGGCCGCCCAAACCGTAGGAGTTTCGTTTGTGCTAATGTGATGGTGATGTAGCAAAAGTCTAGGTCGCAGTCGGGTTCGCAAGGCCAGTTGCAGTTTCAGGCGCAGTCGCAGTCGCAGTCGGAAGTAAAGGAGAAGGAGAAAGAGCGATCGGGTTCGAGTACGCCCCGGTCGCCGCAGCATACGCCAAGGTCGTCGGACGCATCGGTCTCGACACCGCCTTCGTCGCCGCCGCCGACGCAGATTCCAAGCTCGCCTCCACGGCTGTCGTTGCGGTTGAGTGGGCTCGATAGCTTGGATTTCTCGCTCGCTGAGCAGCTGGCTGCTGTGCAGGAGGAGTCGGAACCGAAGGAAGAGCTTAAGGATAAACAGAAGACGAAGACAAAGGAGGAGACGGAGGAGTCAAAAGATGAGAAGCCAAAGGATTCCAAAGAATTCAAGGAGTCTAAGCCCGAACCAAAGGAGCAATCCGAGGAAGCGAGGGAGTACACGGAGGGGTCGAAAGAGAAGAAAGCTGATGCTGCTCCAGAAATGGAGACCGAGGAAGAACCTAAGCCGGAGTCAAAACAGGAGCCCGATTCTAAAAAGGATTCCAAGAAGGATCCCGGGTCGGATAACGAGAAGCCGGTAGCAAAGGAAGGCAAACACGATGCCAAGGAGGAACACGAGCAAAAAAAGGCAGCAGTGCCGCAGTCCCTCCACCAACACAGGCACCGCCGCCCCCGCCTGCACTCGAGGTGACCTCTAAATCGCCGTCGCCCCCTCCCGAGTCGATCGAATCCTCAGCTGAGTCGTCCCCGCGTCTGACTCCTGCATCGACGGCAGGATCACCGGACTCGACTCCGAAGTCGCCACCGTCGCCGCCGGCTCGTAACCCACGTCGACTGTCCGAGAGGCCGCCGCCCCGTAAGGAGGCTCCCAAACTTGACGTGCCCAAGCCGGACGCCGTCAAGCCCGAGGAGGATGAGAAGAGCCCGCTGTATATCTTACAGCCGAGGACGTACACGCCGCAGCCGCCGACCCCACAGCCTTCGCCGAGGATTATTCCCGATTGTGAAAGGGAGAGGGAGAGGGAACGGGAGCGTGAGAGAGAAAGAGAAAGGGAACGCGAGAGAGAACGCGAGCGGGAGAGAGAACGAGAGAGGGAACGCGAACGCGAACGAGAGCGTGAGAGGGAGCGAGAGCTGCGTGAGAGAGAACGCCGTCAGCGACCCAGAGCTGCAACCCACGATTCTGTACACACCAGGCAGGACTCTACTGGCTCATCTGTCGCATCTGCCGCCCAAATAACCTTTGCTCAGGCGAGGCCCCACGTTGAGCAGATTTTCGCCAAGCCGCAGATCATCAGGCCAAAGGTCGTTGAAATCGGACCCCGTGTCGACTCCCGCTCTGGTTCCCGAATGAGTCTTCGCCCAGAGTCCCGCACCTCTCGGCCCGACCCGGCCCAAGCCCCCGAGCTCGTCCCGATCGAGCTGGCCTCTGGTGCCGACCACTTTCCCGAAGCCCAGCCCCGCCAGCATCGGACGTCCCTTCGTCAGCGTGTCTCCCTGCGTACGACCCCGCCGAGTGCGATCAATGTGCCCTCGCCGCATGCACCGGAGCTCGGACGACCGGGATATTCGATCCAAAGGAACTTTACTCAGCCGATCACCCTCCCCTCGCAGCAAGCTCAAGCCCCAGACTCAGCCTATGGTTCAGATCCCGACCTCGAACGCGACTTTGCCCCGCCGAACATTTCGTTCGCCGCGCGCTATCAAAATGGCGGCGTCATTCCCTCGCCACACTCCGATCGCCAGTTTTTCCGCCCTGTGCCTGCCAGCCCTTATTCAGCACTTCAGCAGGCCGCCAATGCCTCTCCTCCCCAACGTCCTCACACCTCTGGCACCGTCGGCCCGCATTCCTTCCCCGCTCCCCCAACCACACCAAGCTTCGCTCCCCCTCGACTTGGAGGTGTCCAGTCAGCCATGGGCATTCACCCGACTGGCGGCAACAGCCTGATGAGCAACCCCAACCACTCTTCCTCCGCGTTGACGACTCACACCATCGCCCATTCGGGTGTCCCACGCCCACAACAGGGCAGTGGCGCGAGCATCAGAACTGCTGCTCCCGGTGGTTCGGGGGCAATCAAGAAGAAGAAGAGTGCCTTTGGCTGGCTGAAGAAGGCATTGTCGCTTGACGAGGAGGAGAGGGCGGAGTTTGAGGCGAGGAGGAGGGCAACTAATTTGGCGGCTGCGGGTGTCTATGATCCGGGGTATATGGAAAAGCCGGCGGAGCCGCTGTTTATTGATGGAAAGAGGGTTCGGCCTAGGGGGAGTACGCCTACACCGGGGGCGGGGAATGTCCCTAGGTGAATGGAGTGAAGAAAAGTTGAGGGAGAGACAGATTGGAGTTGAGTAGGAGGAGCTGCAAGGAGATTTATGCGGCTGGTCTCTGAGACGGAGGGGTTTCATGCCAGTCTGTTAAACAGGCAGCCAGCATTTTGGCACTGACAGCATGGCATAAGCATAACACCTGGCACCTGCTCTGCTGCGTACGACGGCTCGGCCCGGCGAACAGATAAATGTCTGGGAGAAGCACAACCGGGTTTGGCAGGTTTCTGGTACGGCATAACACCGAGCGGCATATACCCGGTGTCAGATCCGGGCAGTGGGACTCTGACTCTCTGGTTCCGGCTTGAGCCGATTCCGGGGATAATACGCTGATGCGGATACAGTACGACGCTATACATTCACCATCAAACGCTTATACATACAACATACACATACGACACGCATACTACGCTGACTGGGCTTCAACACGAAGTTGAAACCCAGTGAAGGTACATATCTACGCGCATGCACACACACACTAACGAACGACCCTCTGCATCCGCCAGTCGGGAGTCGAATTGAACCTGCGATTTTGCGTTCGCTTGGTATATGTTCTGTTTTTCATTTTCTATTGAGCGCTGTTTTCACCCTCAATCTCTTTTCATTATTTGATTGCCTGCGCATTTACGATACCCGGCGACAAAGCGTCGCATTCATCCTAGGCGCCGTAGTTGTGATTGCTGTCGGTAGTTCTGAAGGAGGGCTCCTGGCCGGTTCTAACGATACTTGAAGTATATATACTGTTTGTAATCTATCGATCTGTGTACGCCGATGGTTACCTACGTCACCCATTGTTCATGTCGGGGTTTGGACCCGATGTCCTTCATTTATGTTTTGGAGTTCCACTTTTCGAACATTGTATAAGGAGTATTTTTGTGCACAGCGGGATAGGAGAAAAGGGACTTAGCAAAGGACTTGGAATTGGATAATCGGATTCATATATCAGGGCGATCTTGCATATAACGAGAAGCGTATCATTTGCCTCTTTTTATGTATAGGTAGTGTTTACTTGGTAGTTCAAATGAAAGGATGAGTTGTGGTAAATTGGATTGGTGCCTTATCATGGTCTTGGGTTCTTCGGGTCTCACCTGTCAGTAAGCAAGCGAGATGCGGTCTCTATGAAACTTCATGCTTCAAGGTTCAGTACCCAGGCGTCTGAGGATCCCATGACCGTCTCGATCAACAAAAGCCCGGGAGAGGCGACTAAACCATTTGGAATTGCCCCTTCGCCTTTGAGGCGGTCCCTGAACTATCTGTCAAAGTCATCTTGACGCCTCGCTTACAGAGCAGTCTCGAACAGGGATCTTTGTTGTTGTTGGGCTTCTATCTCATCGATCCAAAGGTCCACAGTGCGCGATCCACTTATCCCTAGGTGGATTTTCCCTCTCTCCACTGTGCCGCACACAGTCTTTCTTCATTACGTAACACACTACGAACGCAAACGCAAACGCGACTTTTTGTTTCTTTCGGTTCCTGCCGCAAAAAATTTTCCCTCCATCTGTTCTCCCCTTTCCCCATCAACAACAACCCACTGCTGCTTTCCAGCCCACCCAGCAAGCATCACCATGGCCGCCCAGAATCAACAACAGCCCAGCGGCGGAAAAGACCACCTCTCCGACCTCGACCGCCACGTCCAGCTCCTTGAGGCCAAGGTCAACCAGCTGCGCACCTCGCTCGAGCACTGGCAGCAGTGGTTCTTCGAGTACTCCGCGCTCAAGGAGGAAGTCGAGCAGCTGCCGCGCGAGAGTGAACAGTCGCGCATCGAAGCACTCCGCCGTCTCCGCCGCGACTTTGACGGGAAGCTCCTGCAGGGCAAGGAACTGCACGAGATCTTGGGCAAGCCGGGACACGATGTCAAGCCGGTTGAGCATATCCTGAGCGTGCTGGGCCGCAGGCTGGATTATGTGGAGAAGAATATTGAGGGGCTGAATAAGTTGCTAGAGAAGGAGGAAAACAGGCTGGCGGCGGCGAGCGTGGTCGCTAGGCCGGATTTGGGGACTGATGAGGCGACGGGGTTGCCCATTACTGATATTATTGAGGAGCTGGACGAGAATGATAATGTCGTCAGCTCGAGGCTGCAGAGGGGAGGGGATTTGCAGCCGAGAATTGTGGAGGCGTTGAAGAAGATGGGGATTGAGGAGAAGGATCTGCCCCAGGATGAGGAGGAGCTGGAGAAGAGCCAGCCTACGACGCAGGATGAGGCTAAAGCTAAGGCTGGCGCTGGTGCTACTCAGGCGGGGGGGAAGAAGGGGGTCGAGGACAAGGCTGAGGAGAATAAGCCTGCTGACGAAGTAAAGGTCTATGGCCCCGAACCTCCTCCCCATCCGCCGCAACCTAGGAAAAGGGCGAAGCCCAAAGCTGACGTATCGGCGCAGAAGACGACGAATAATAAGGCGGAGGCCAAGGCTGACAGCCAACCGAAGCGGGCCGAGGCCAACGAAATCAATAAGAGCGATGCGACGCCGTCGTCGAGTTCTCCCCAGAAACTTTCTCAGCCCTCCGAGCCTGCCAGCGCTAAGAAGTCTGTGTCGTTCGCTGCGGATACCAAGCCCGGCCATGAGCCTCAGCCTGAGCCCCCTAAGTCGCTAACGGCTCAGCGGCTGGAGAAGCTCATGCAGCAGGCCCGTGAGCAGGAGAAGATGGACATGTCTGACGCAGTCATCCCGGAGAACGAGTCTCCTGAAGAGGCCAAGCTTCGCCGGGAGATGCTCGAGTACAGCATGTCGGAGATTGGTCCTGTTGTGGCTGAGTTGACTCTGGAAGAGAGTGACTACACGACGGAGAACGATACGACTGACTGGGATGACGAGGACGAAAACGAGGATGATGATGACGATGATGATGATGAGGACGAGCTTGGACGCTCGAAGAAGAGTCCCATCACCCCGGAGTACATCCGGCGCATGCAGGAGCTGGAGAGGCGCCTGGGCTTCCAGTCTCATTTCTCGGTGAAAAAGAATGAGACGAAGCCCGAGCCGTTGGCACCGAAAGCGTCGGCACAGCCGCCTCAAAAGGCTGCTCAGCCAGCGAAGAAGCCTGCTAAGCCGATGGAGGGTCTTGCTCGGATCTCGGTGGTGTCCGATGCAGAGATGTCAGACGCCCCACCGGCTAAGAAGGAGAAACCTAAGGCAAAGGAGAAGCCCAAAGAGGAGAAGCCGAAGGAGAGGAAAAAGAAGAGCGTCAGCTTCGCGTCGAAGCTGGACATCGCCCCCGATACCTCGGCTGGCCCGGCCCCTCCGCCACCCAAGCCCAAGCAACGCAAGACTGTTCATGTCGGCGACATTGTCGAGAAGGGGGCGGAGGCCGAGCTGCCTGAGTCATCGGAGTCGACGTCCGAGGGCATCATCGACGACAATGCGCCCCGCGTGTCCAGGTTCAAGAAGGAATTGGCCAAGGCATCGCGCAAAGGCAAACCGTTTCCCCATACCCTCCCCCCGGACCGTATCAGCTCCCCGCACACCTGTTCCCGCCTGCCCCCAAGCCTCCCGCACCCCCCAACCCCCCGGAACTGCAGACCGTGGCGCACACGATCGTCGAGCGGCCTGTGGCCGAGGAGGCAGTCGCCCCGGACGAGCTGGACGACGAGATTCTGTACAAGGAGGCAGCGGTTGAGTACAACCGGCTGCGCAACAAGCTGATCAAGCAGCAGGGTGGTTTCACGTCGCAAGAGCGTATTATTGACAGCGAGACCGGCCAGGTCGCGCTTGATGAGGAGCTGGGCGGCCCGAAGCGCGTCAGCAGGTTTAAGGCTGCCCAGCTAGCCAAGCTGCGATAGGCTGCTTGGTATCTTGTTTTCTATTCTCTCTCTCTCTCTCTCTTTTATTTTTTCCTTATTAATTACCATACCCAGCCGGCTTCTGCCGTAGTCGACTTGAATCAACTAGACTAGCGTCTGAGTGTTTAGTGTGATTCGATTCCCTGTGACCGACCGAATCACATCTCCAGGATTACCTTACGTTCTCTTTCGTTTGACTAACTTCCTGCCGACAGGAAGCATGACAGTTGGTCTACTATGGACAGCACGGTTTATACCTTCAGGAACGCTCCGACAATTGATGGTCTGCGGCTAATCAATCCGCTTATCATTACTAGCAGTTCCGAGATCAAAGGGATGAGCTCTCTGACCCCATGGCCCTTGGCAAATCCATGGCCTCGGGGATTCGTTTCACTCATTACATTTCTTCATCGTAGATACCACTTGTAGACTCTCTGTAGACCAGGTAGAGAATACGGAGGTGTAATAGACTGTGGACCAATTAAGAAACGTCATGTATACGTGTGTCATGTTGTGATATTCGACGATGCCTCAGCGCCAGATTTATGCCTCCCGACGCCGCAGATCTATACAACAAACCGGAAACAACCCTGGATGACAAAAGAAACCCTCCCCCCTTTTTTATTATTCATGTTCCCCCAGCCCGGACCTCAACTCAGTTGATCTTAGCCTTGCTGAAGTCCATCTCAGGGTGCTGCTCCTGGAACTTCTTCAAAATCTCCATCTTCTTCTGCTCGTCGCTCGTCGGCAGCCCCAACTCCTTCTGCCGCTGGTCGTACATCATCTTCTCCACCATCGACCGCGTCTCGCCGTCCAGGTCAGACAGCTTGCTTGTCTCGGGCACGATCTTAGTCACGTCGATTTTTGGAGCTTCCGTCACCACGTGCGCCCACCACTCCATCTTGTTGACTTTGTCGAGATGGATCTCGATGAATTTTTGATCGCCCTTGGCAGAGGAGGTCAGGGTCCAGGTAGACTCGTCGACGCGGATTGCGTGGGGGAGGTCGCCCTACTATGCATTAGCCATATCAACCCAGACTAAAAGGTTTTTTTTTTTGGGGGGGGGGGGTTTAAGGGGGATATGTACCTTAAGAATCGGCTCCTGCCCCTTGATACCCGCGGAAATGTAGTTCCGCTTCAGCTCGACGACGACATCCCGGCCCTTGATGTTGCCCGGCACCGGGATGCTGACGTCCAGGTCGCCGATGGTCTGTGTCCATTTGTAGGGGAGAGCTTCTTGCTCCTGTCTCTCCTTTTCGCGCGCGGCGGCCTCTTCTTCGGGGGTTGGCTCTAGGGTGAGTTAGCGCTAGATTTGTGCTGTTGCCGTAGATTTGGCATATGTAGCGTTGTGGTTCTTGGTGGGGAGGACTGAAGAGTCGTGTCCAAGACGGCGACTCATACAGTTTGTCCCCCTATTTTGGTCGAAAGCGCATACCTTTAGGATCCATGCCGAATGCCTCCTTGTAGCTGCGTCTCTTGCCTAGTGTTTGCTGTGATGACTCCTCAGCGGCGGACATTTGCGCGGGCGTGTATGTTTCTTACGTTCAAGCTTTCGGCGCAGACCTCTTTGCGCAGTGAATGTCTCAGCTTCGCGTTTTCTGACCAGCTGGAACGCTGTCCTTCTGCTCTGGAACTCGATGGAAGGCAAGCTCACCAGATGGAATCTCGGTGGGGCAGCCCTCTGCGCTCGACAGTTTCGCTGAGGTTCCCCTCCACCTCTGCCCCGCAGCCCAAGGCACAAGCCACTACCGCCCCACAAACTTCCAGCCGCTTGACAGGGATGTAGTCTTGGCTTAGCTCAGTGTCTTGACTTCAAGGTTGCACTTGGCATCGACCTTGAACTCTGACATCGTTTGTTCTTCACCACAAGCAGCTGTACAACCATAAGGCAAAACTTCGCTGACTCCCGTGTCGCTCACTCACAAAAATCTCCCATAGCCTTCGGAAACACAACGCCATCCAGCGTACTTGTCTCCGAACCTAGCCACAACCAACCACCATCCCCATCCTCAATCCCACCACAACCATCACGATGTCCCGGCCCCCAGGCTTCTCTAGCGGCGGCGGCCTGCCGTCCCTTTCCTCCGACGATATGTGCCCCGTCTGCAAAACCATACGCTACCTCAACAAAGACATGGAATTCCTCATCAACCCCGAATGCTACCACTCGATGTGCGTGAACTGCGTGAACCGACTCTTCAATGACGGACCCAACCAATGTCCCTACGCAGGCTGCCACAAAACTCTCCGCCGCAAAGGTTTCCGCTCCGCCTTCTTCAGCGATCTCTCCGTGGAGCGTGAGGTCGACATCCGGCGGCGAGTCGCAGCCGTCTTCAACCAGCAGGAAGACGACTTCGAGACGTTACGGGACTATAACGATTACCTGCAGATGGTGGAGGATCTGACGTTTGATTTAGTCTGGGGGAGTGAAGCGAAGAGGCGCGAGGCGGAGGCAACGCTTATGCGCTGGGAGGCGGAGCATCGGGCCGAGATCGAGCGCAATAGGAAAGCCGGTCGCGAGGCCGACGAGCTGCATCGGCGGCGGTTACAAGCTGAGCGTGAAGCAGCGCGCCAGCGCCGCCTGGATGCCCTCCGCGAAGCGGAAGAAGAACGTCGCGACCGTGCAAGAAGTCGCGAAGCGGAGCTCGACGCCCTGGCCCAAGCCGGCACGCAGCAAGCAACCGACGGCACAGCACAGCAAAGAGTCCAGCTCAAGAAGCGTGGGCAGGCAGCGAACCGTGCCGTGGACGCAGCCGTTGCTGCTGCTGCCACCGCAGGCGATGTAGGGAAGTTATCGATCCGGGGCCTCAAGGAGAAGAAGAAGGCTCCCGTGGCGGAGGGCCCATACGATCCGTTCGGCGGGATGGAATTCGTTCCGAGCCGGTATCGTGTTCGCGAGGAGCTGAATCATCCTTCGTTGGACAAGTACCGGATCGATCAGCAGCATATTACGGGCGGGTACAGTTTCTTAGACTACATTTCAAGGGCGATGTTCGAGGCGTTTGCGGGATTGGCGGTGTTTATTGAGGATGAGAAGGAGGCGGGTATTGGGTTGTCTGCGGGAGAGGTGGCGGGAATGAGTGCTGGGATGGCGGCCGTGGGGGACAAGATGGAGCTTGACTGAGGCTCTGTTGGGATACGATTGTTGATGTTTGTCTCGAATGGTCTATAGAAATTACTGGGCATTGTTATATCCTCGAGCATAGGACGGCGTTGGAGGGTAAAAAGGGAGAGTCGGTATAGGGACCACGTAATAAGGATACCAATCCTCAGATCTCGGTACCAATGATCATAAAGGTTGCTTGACCAACACAAGCTTGTACCGATATGTGGAAATCAACTCAATTCACGATCTGCCATAAAACAGTAAATTCCCATACAGTAGTATCACTCTTTACCATCACCCGACACCCATACCATACACTTCACATATCAATCACAATAATCACATGACGGAGCCCTCAGACAGACAGCCAGACAGCATTAGAGTCCCGACCAGACTCACATGACCGCCACTAAAGGAAAATATCTTGACCCGGAAACCCGGAAGATGCCATGGAGACAATAAACCGACATAGCAAACCCTATGTGAAACGCCGCGCTAGATGCTCAAGTGGGGGAAAAAAAAAGACCTGCCAAAGTAACAAGATACTGACCAGAATTGGAAAGTTCCCATCCCATCCACCTTTAACTGGAATGCCTTAATTTTGTATTACCTATCTTCACAGTTCCCCCCTCCCCCCCTCAAAAAAAGAAAAGGTTGACAATCAAGAGGATGTTTGTTTCCTACCCACAGCAACCGACTCAACCCCCCCGGAAACTATAAGCTCACTGCTGCCAGGGCGTCTGAGCCGCCGGTCTAGGGAACACAGGAATCGTCTCAAGCTGATCCAGTCCGCCACCGATCGGCTGCTGGCTATGCTGCCAGCCCAGACCAGTAGTATGGTTGACAAAGGCGCCCTGTCGGAAGGGGTTGGTGCTGCCAGTGGGTTGAGAAAGGATGCCGCCTGCTGTGACAGGCCGTTGCTGCACATGCTGCTGTTGTTGAGCTTGTTGGGTGGCTTGGGAACCCGTGAAGTTCTTCGCGAAGGGGTTCGTGCTGCCTGTAGGAAGAGGCTGCTGCATGGGAGCAGCTGTGGTGGTTGTAGTTTGCTGGAAGGGTGAGCTCGAGACGGGAGTGGTAAAGGGCTGAGTTGAGGTCTGGGGGGAAGTGCGGGCGAAGGGGTTGGTGGATGGGCTGGTCGTCGGCCGTTGCTGGTTCACTGAGGCAGGAGTAGAGGTGAAGGGCGATCCGGTCTGCTGGGCCATAAGCATCGATTGACGGAATGGGTTCGTGCTCTGCGGTGCTTGCAGGCCAGTCTGGAAGGTGGGTGCTGTTGTTGTCGGGACGGTGGTTTGAGTCTGGAAGGTGGCCATAGAGTCCTGGGGGATAGGAGCCAAAGTTGTCGGCTGGAAGGCAGCCTGCGGTTGAGCCTGGGCCGTGAAACCACCGAAACCAGCACCTGTAAACGACGGGTTGAGCTGCTGAGGGGTTTGCTGGGGCATAGAGAATGGTGTCTGAGCCTGCTGTTGGAGGCCAATGCCGGTCTGGAATCCTGTGGGCTGAGCCATGAAAGCATTCGGCTGAACCTGAGCCACTTGAGCCACTGGTTGAGTTTGGAATGGCGTAGGCCCCCAAGGAGACATGCCCATAGACATCTGGACCTGCGGTTGCGGTTGCGGTTGCGGTTGCGGTTGTGTCTGCACGGGCTGCGCTTGGACGACCATCGTCGTCTGGTTCTGTTCGATAGACTCGAAAAAATCGATGAGGTCGGCGTCTGGTCCCTTGCTAGCCTCAGGTTTGGAGGTGGAGTCGGATGACTGAGTGGCAGTCGATTTGGTGTTTGTGCTAGAGGAAGTCTTCGCCTTGGACGAGAGCCCCTTCTTCTTCGCCTCCTGCTCGGCGAGGTACTGCCTCCTGTGGATCTCGAAGTCGGGGTCTCTCAGATACTCCTCAAGCTGGCGCCCCAAGTTGACGGGAGCATGCTTCAGCTTGGGCACCTCGACCCGGGTGTGGTGCTCATATTGCCTGGCAACGCTGAGATACTGCACAACATAGTCCGTCTGTTTCGCAAAGGTGCGGTAGATCTCCAATGCCCTTTCGGCATCCGGCTTGGACAGCTCGAAGAAGTGTCCTAAGGCGAGATCAGTAAATGGGAGTAGCGGACTTCGGGAGTATCATTTCATACCAAGGATATTGATCAGCCCCTGATTGAGAGCCTGGAAGAGAGCTAGAAGGTCCAAGACCAACAATCGGAAGACAGTGATGGTAATCTCGTTTTCGGGCTCATTGTCCATGACATCGCACTTGAGCAGGGCTGTGACTTGGTTCTGGACAATCTCTGTCTCGCGCAGCAAGCCCTTCTCCACAGGGAGCTTCTCCAGGCGCGGCTCCCTCATGCGCACCCAGTCGATCTTGGTTTCGCGGAATGCTCGCGCGCGTTCCGAGAGGTAGTTGGCATAGTGGCGAATGTTACGGCCTTGAGTTTGCGCTGTTTACGAGAATCGCAAAGTCAGCCACGACCAGCCCATAAGTGACGAGTATATCAAGGGCAATTGTCACTAACCATCGGAGAAAACGCTCACGGCAAGCAGGTTGCGGTGTTTTGCAAGGTAGGCCAGGGTCACGTCCGGCGAGCCCTCCCTGATCATCAAGTGGACCGTAATCAAACTCTTGAAGACGACCGTCCATGCCGAATCGCGGAGCCGGTACTGCAGCGCACGAAACACCTCTCCCACGCCTGCCTCGCCGGAGTGTGTTGCGACGAGAATGTGCTCGATGTACTTGGTCTTCGGGGGCGCCAACTGCACGAACCGAGGCGTCAGCAACAATTGTCCCTCATTTGTCTCCGGCGCTACTTGGCCGGCAAGCATACTGGAACAGAGAGCAATGCCTGCGCTGCGCAGGCAGGAGGAGAGCACAAACCTTGATCTTGGTCGCACCCTTGACCGACTTTTCAAATGAGCTCGCCATGGTTACGGCGCTGTGGAAACAATGGGCCGGAACGACGGCCGCGCGAAAGTTATAGTCGTGATTTGGAGTTGGGAGGTGGTAGGGTTGGGCGGTTGGGTGCCAGAATCACGGGCTCGAGACGGGCTGGGAGTGGTGAGGATGGAGGGATGCTGGACAGCCGACAAGCTGCGTCTCCTGCTGCGACCTGCGGCGGCCTGATCAGGGCAGGGCACGGATGTGTGTCGCTCCGCGAGGGGCCTGGGCTGTGCAGGCTGTCTAGTGATGGCGTAACAACACTGTGTGTACTTGTCTGACCTCTTAACCTAGATAAGCACACACGTTTGTCATTCAGAAAGTGCCGTGTGCGTGTTTGGCTGCCTGTGTTCTGTCTGGCAGCGGGGGGGGGGAACAGCGGGCAGATGTTGAAGCCAGCGGGTGCTCGGTGCGCGCGCTGTTTCCTGTGACAAGGCAAGCGGACAGCAGCCCTGAAGTCAGGGAAAGTCGGGTGCTTGGGAGTTTCCCGTTGCTGGACAAGGGTCCCCAACTGGCGCTAAAACAGCCCTGACCATCAAAGGAAACGGCACGACGGGGGACGGCAGCCCTGCAACGGGCGGATGAACGGTCTTGGCAGAGCAGGTCTCAATGAACACAGGCCAAGGAGAATCCAGATAATTGGGCTCAAATCATCAATCCAGTGCAGCAATGGAGGCCTTGCTGGGTAATCACATTTGCGCAGCGCACCTGTAAGATCGCGCAGATCAAAAACACAGTCGATGGCGGCGCAGACCAATCGATTCTACGAAACTGCATCACGGGAAGCATTGCTCGCTGCTCAATTGACACCTCACACGTGTGTGTTGCGACGAGTGTATCCGAGACATGGGAAGGATGCTGAGATCTAAATGAATCAAGCCGTCTATTTATAGGCTATATTGCAACGCTGTATGTGGTAAAGTAGGAAAATCATATACGATATCGATAAGGGACCCATTGCGCCTGACCTGTCTAACCTCGAGTCCAAAAAAAAAAAGTGGTGAAAATGATGGATCGAGGGTAGGAATCCAACTACAAAGGGGACACAACGCCTGAATAATCACGCTGCAGACGACCACTTGGCCTGCTACAGGACCCTCCATTCGAAAGTCAATCAGAGTTGCCACTTCGCGTCCGTGGAGTAACAAGGTCGGTGTGCCGAACGCTTATTTCATTCTCCCAACCCTTTGTCACAACCAAACCACTTAAGCCCCGTGGGGGGAGAGTTTGGAAGCTCCAAAAGGCGGAATCTCCATCATAATGGACACTCTGGCTTTCATCACCTGTTGAATTGTTAGACACAATGCTCATCGGTTCGTGCGCGGGTATATGGTAGGTACTCACTTTGCTTTGAATGAGAGGGATGGAGAAAAAGGAGGAAAAAGTTCAAAATCTTGACTGCAACAGTTTTTATCAGTGGGTGCGACCACAAACGGTGGACCCACAAAATTCATCTCGGGCCAAACATTGGCCGAGAATAAAGTGGGGCACAAGCAGGGGTAATAGTTCGACTGGAGCGACAGAGAGAACATCAGAATGTGCTGGCGAGTGCAGTATCCTATTTCTTGATGAAACTCATTTCCTCGATAACCCCTTCGACATCCGATATAAGACGGGATGACGCTGTTGCGGGCTGTCCTGCAGCGTCTTGGTAATCCCGCTCAGCGGGAATTGCCCTACTGCAGACGCAAACTTTGTCCACAGATCTCGCGCATCGCAAGTTTAAACAGCTCATGTCTCCGACTTACGCACAGTGCAGCTTCTACATCAAGCAGTTCTAACACTGTGAACAATGATGTCCAACGCCAGAGGATAGGCCGTGAGCTGAGGGAAGAGTGGTCGAGATACAGTAGGCACTGCTCCGTAAATATTCTGTCCCAAAGTTAGTCCATGCTCACCAAGGCACAGATCAGTTCCCCAGAGCTTCCAAGGCGGCAGACTTTGTCGAGGGGCAACAAGTCACCGTCCATGGCTTCCTCTCGGGTAAGAGAGTGAAGGGGTCAGCACTGGCCTTTGCGGACATCCAAATTGATGGAGGCCCAAAGATCCAGATTGTCTCAACTTTCAAGAAGCAGAACAGCCCGGCTCATGCAGCTCATACTGCTCTGCGTTCTATCCCCCTTCACAGCCCAGTGTCCGTGACCGGGACAGTAGCCAAGTTATATGGCACCCCTTCTCCGGCCGAGTCGTCGTCGACAGCTCCTGGGAGCTTTCCTGACGGTGTCTCCCGGATCGATATCGATCTAGAGTCTATTCAACCCTTGAATGTGTTCCCTAAGGACATTATTGTCTCCAAGGATGTCCAGTTCCCCCCGACTGCCCGCCATCTCCAAATTCGCTTCTCCGACCCCCTGCGTTCTCGTCTTCTCGCTCGGCCCAAGATGGCTTTGCAATTGCGCCAGTCGCTTGACCGTCTGGGCTTCACCGAAGTCGAGACTCCCGTCCTGTTCAAGTCGACGCCTGAAGGCGCTCGAGAGTTCCTGGTGCCGACAAGACGCGCCGGCTTCGCATATGCCCTGCCCCAGAGTCCCCAGCAGTACAAGCAGATGCTCATGGCTAGCGGTATCCGGGGCTACTACCAGTTTGCTCGTTGCTTCCGGGACGAGGATCTGCGTGCCGACAGGCAACCAGAGTTCACACAAGTACGGAAGCCCAGTTTTAGGCGCTTAGCCCGGGTGGAGTGAGATGCTGACTGTTTCTTAGCTGGATCTGGAGATATCCTTTGCCACTGGAGAAGATGTTATACGCACTGTTGAGTCCATTGTCTCCGACCTGACGCAGTCCCTGACGACAAATTTCACTCATGTGAAGAAGGGGGACGAGGTGTATCTCGCTCCGAAGAGGGTTCAGGTATGGCAGACTCCAGCAACACCGCCAAGGTGGCAAGTTACCTTACCGTTCTTTTAGGAACCTGCAGAGGCGGAGGGGCTGGACATCCAACCATGCTACACAAAGCCCCCGTTCCCTCGTATCACGTACGAGGAAGCTATGACAAGGTTCGGTATCGACAAGCCCGACGCGCGGATTCCGTTCGAGGTATGTTCCTCCAAAATGCCTGTTGATGAGCAAGCTGACCTCTCTAGATCCATCGGCTCGACCATATTCTTCCCAAGTCTTTTGTCTCCATGATTACCGATCTTGAGAACCCTGTTGTCGAGGGTTTCAGGTTCCGCCCCCAACAAGAAGACCTTCCAGAGTCAGGTCCTTCGGCCGCCATGTTTGACGAGATCATGAAGAACCTTCCTCCTGCCCTGGAGAAGAACCCCGATGGTGCTCCAGTTGCCCTTGTGATCGACTCCAGGAAGCCCCTGCGCGGCCTATCCCCTCTTGGTTTCGAGGGGGTAGCGGCTTTAGAGAGTGGCGAGCCTGGCCTGGAGGAGTTTGCTGACTTGGAAGATGGCGACGTTCTTGTCTTCCAAGCCCGCGAGAACAAGCCCTTCCAGGGCGGCTCAACTGCCCTGGGTACATTCCGTACCCTGGTCTACCAGCAGGCTGTGTCGAAGGGCCTTCTTCCCCGTGACTTGAGCTTCCGGTTCCTCTGGGTCGTCAACTTCCCCATGTTCACCCCTGACAACGATACCGATCCGGGCCAAGGCGGCTCGGCAGGCTTCTCGGCTACCCATCACCCTTTCACCGCGCCCCTGACCGACGCGGATGTCGAACTGCTGGCCACCGACCCCCTAAAGGCCAGAGCAGATCACTACGACCTGGTGGTCAACGGCGTCGAGCTGGGCGGCGGCAGTCGCCGTATCCACGTCGCCAAGATGCAGGAGTACATCATGAGGGAGATTCTGAAGATGACTGACCAGGGTGTCGCTCAGTTCTCTCACCTTCTTGAGGCACTGCGTGCCGGCTGTCCTCCTCATGCAGGCTTTGCCCTGGGCTTCGACCGTCTCGTCGCAGTGCTCACCTACACTGACTCCGTCCGCGACGTCATTGCCTTCCCCAAGTCGATGAAGGGCGAGGATCTGACTGTCAAAAGCCCAAGCAAAATCACGAAGGAGCAGCTTGAGACATATCACCTTGCCTTTGCTGGCAAGAAGTGAACCGTTAGCTGCAGGATATGCTCCATGTCGCTACATGTATCAACGTCTGTACTATTTGTTTGGTATGGAATCACCACTTTAATGGGTTAAAAGGTCTGACTACGCCTCATCATGTACAAATATTCACGGTAGATACGATAGGACAGGATAGAGGAGTCAGGAAGGTCAACATGGATGCGTTCACTCATCTGAAATACTGACACACGTGCTTACACACATACCTATACAAATGCATACACAGACGAACTGGGCAAAGGGGCTCGAGTTTAAGAAATATCTTTTTTTCTGATGGTCGGTGACCCTCGTTGTGATCACCTACCCTATATTGCTTGACAAAAAGCAAACAAGCATGGGTTACCCACCCGCCCTCCCCTCCAATGCTTGTCGCAAAGTCTTTTTTTTTTTTTTGTTTAGCCGAGGTTCAGTGACCCTCGTTGTAGTCACAGACCTTGTTTTGCTTTGTTTTGCTGTTAAATATAAAAGAAAAGACCCAAGCAAGTATGGGTTACCCACCCGCCCACCTCTCATGCTTGCCGCCTGAAGGGCCTCTAACATTGGAGTATCCCCATGGAGCCGTCCTTCCCCCCTGAGACAGGCTGGCAGACAAGACCACAAAGCCCAGCAAAGCACGGTTACCCACCCGCCCAACCCCATACCTGCTTGGTCGAGATACCCCGAGATGTTGAGAGCCCCTTCAAGCCCCGTAATCTATCCCAGAGTTTCCCTGTTTGCATGCAAAAATCCCAATCCTCCGCTATCTAACCGAAACTTTCTACCTATCTACATATCCATCTATCTATATCTATTTATATACATATCTGTTGATAAGAATTGAGTGTGTGCGAGTTCAGAGCGGTCTCCGGCGATGACGCCAGCGACGCCACCAAGCAAACAGCCGGATGTGAACGGCAAGGGGCCCGTGGGGGAATCCGAAGACCATCATCGCGTGGAACATGACCAGTAGCCGGTCGTAGGTAGCACAGATGGGCGCCGCATTCACGTGGACCCGGGCCGGATTGTCATCGTCGTCGTTCGGGTTATTATTGTTGGGACCTGCAGGCCAAGGACCGGGCCTGCCGTTGTTGTTCGCGTTTTGGTTGCCCGGATCGTTGGCACCCGGGTTGAAGTTTCCATTGCCAGGGCCGGCGTTGTTGTCGAAGTCACCCGGGCCGCCATCGTTATCGTCGAAGTCAGGGTTGAACGGGGCTACCCAAGGAGGGGGCGCGTTGGGGTTCCCGTTGTTGGCGTTAGTCCCGGGGTTGTTTCCGGGGTTGTTGGCAGGATTATTGTTGCCCTGGTTGCCATTCTGGCTGTTCGGAGGGGGGTTGCGCTTGTTGAGTGTCGTCACGAGCTTGCGGGGAATGTCGACGACCTTGGGGGCGTAGAATTCCTGGATGTGGTCGACATGGGTGGGATTCTGAGGTAAAATGCCAAGGCACCTCATCTGGTCCACGGACAGAGACTCGGAGTTGTCTCCATGCTGCCACGTTCCATCACGCTGAAGAGGCTTGCACTTCGCAGCCTCAAAACGCTGGGCGCGCTTGAGCTTTCGGAAGCGGGTCTTGATGCGGACGCCCTCTGCACTACGCTGCCACTGTTTGGAGACGTCTCCGGCCTTCTTCTCGGCGTTGTCGATAAACTTTTCGCCCTTTTTCGCCCCATTTTTGACGGCTTTGGTTTTCTTGCGTTCTCCCTTGCGGGCTTTGTCTTCAAGGAAGTCGCCTGCGCCAACGGCGTCATCCTTCGCATTTTCAACTGCCTTGTGCCAGTCTGAGGCACGTTGCAGGAGGATACGTCCGCGCTCATTGGGCAGGACAGCCGCTCTGTCCTTGTCACGGCGGGCCTCGCAGGCCTTTTCGTTCCTACACTGAGTTAGGAGTGGGGTAAGTCATTTCGAGAGGTGAGCCGGTAAAGTTGGGAATGGCAGCGGCTCGCGAGGAGAGAAAAGGAGGATGACATACTTGATGGCCATCAACGCGTGAGCGTTAATGACAGTGAAGATAAAGATGATAACCGCAGGAAGAAAAAAGACAAGGATAGGACGCATCTTGGGTGTGTGAGTGTTCTCGAATGCTGAGTGCTTAGCGTATGTTGAGTGTTTGAGTTTGTGTTTGAGTTGTTTGTAGGCATTATCCCTATCCCTATTTATCAGGGACTTCTCGATTAGCAGAAAGTTCACAATCAGCCAGGATTGATTTGATCCAGACACTAGAATCACGGAGCAGTGGGCAATTAGTGTGAAAACTACAGCTCGATTCGTTTATTTTTTTTCTTAATGCTCTGCTTTTGAAGTGTCGCCCCATTTGCAAGCTGGATCATTGCTTCAGATGCAGTATTTTTGCTCCCCTGACACGGCGCTGCTTCCGGGGAAATGGGATGAGATCCCTAGGTCGAAACCAAAAATATCCCTGTTGCCAGGGGCGACAGTGATCCTATCATCTGAAAATTGGACTTTGTCCCATCAAAGCTCCCTTCTCTCAGAAAATAATGCAGCTCTCTGAATAACTTTGCAGGGATAAAAATAGGGACCAAAAAGAGACCTTTGATCCCCGATCTGTATATCACGTCTACATCACGTCTATGCGTTGTGTAAACACAACACGTGCAACATCAAGCATTGGATCATCTGCTGTTCACATGGCAACGGGGGTGACGTTTAAGAGATTTCATGTCATGATACCATAGTACGAAGTTTTGATAGTGGTAATTGAGAGTTGACTGTTGGGAGAAGAGGATGATTAGTTGAATCTACCTAAGTGCCGTCCACCGGGAATTACATATTGTGATGGCATCAACTACACATCTTCACGAGTGAACACCGAATTGGAAGCCGCTATCTTTGGACAACTATTTCATCAATCGTGACGCTGTACGAGATGTATTTTGCATGGCAATGTACAGATTCACGCATGAACTCTGGGAGTGATGGGGATCGTCCGTAAGGATGATCATGGGAAGGAAGGATGATAGAGACTCCTTACATGCACCGACTGGCTGACATTTGTCTCTAAAGTCGACTATATTGAAGTTTGTCCGGGATAACGACAATATAGAAATTTAAGAGCACTATCTGGCTATTTTTTCATCATTTTTTTTTTGAAAAAACGAAGTAAACACACACAAACGAAAGCCATGCATCGCGAAAGTAAGGAACCTCTCCTCATAGCCTAATCCCTTTCCCGACTTCCTTGATCAAAGGGCCGAACCCGAACGCTAACAACCCAATCCAAGCTCAGTCTGCTAACGCCCATTGTCCAGACGCCGTGCTTGACTTGGCAGAACTCCGCGGTCCTCCCCTCCCTGAGAACGAGTGGTGGGAGAGCGAGTCCGACGCAGAGTTGGCCGACCTCGTCCTGGTGGCCCAGCCCTCCGACACATCCGCTCCTCGCCGTAAGACCAACCAACCTGAGTATTGCAAACACACATCCTGTGACAAAACTTCGTTAACCATGAGGGACAGATGAAGACGAAGACAACGACAGCGGAGAGTACGACGAGCCATGCGCGCCGGTCCTTCCACCCTCGCGTTGGACCGACAAACTCACGTTCTGGGTGATCATCGTCGTCGGTGTCTCGATGGCGATTCTCAAAAAGTCAGTCGACTACGCGATCGTGTTTTAGGCATCAACTAGCCTCATCACCTGTGAACCCATCCCTTTTCCCTTTAAATTTTGGTGAGCATGCCCCTTCTTTCTCGACTTCTCCTGTCCTCTGGAGCTCCACAATGGAGGAGCAGGAGGCAGGGGCTGTTCAGGGCTCCAGAGTTCCAGCAGATGATGCAGGCAGCGGCTCGTCCTCACCCTCGGGATCATGACGTGTGCATACATGGGACGGATATTCTCGTTGGTGGCGTCACTGGTGATTTGAAATCCGGTGTTGTATCTTCTGTCTTATTCATTTTTGACCTCATAGTTGGGGTAGAAGGACTTCGGATGGAAAGGTATAAAAGTCATTTAGATGGAATGCTGTATGTTTATCTGGTGTTGCCCAATATCGTTCCAGCTACCTTTGGATAGAATGGTTCAAGGTAGAGGAATCCTACTTATGTATCTGAATATATCAATATCACACTTGCGTCTTTTACACATTTTCATAGTGATACTTTGCTCTTACGTTCGTCCTGCTAAGAGGGAGCCTCATTCCACAGCTCCTTGTCCATTCCCAGCCACATACCCTTTTTGGAACACTGGTCGATAACCAAATTTAGGCCCCGTGAGAAATAAGAAACCATACAAATCCCGAGCCCGTGGACTCGATGTCGTTGCTTCCGAAGTCCGAAGTCGCCTACTTCGCTTTCATTAGGTGTCATGATTTTCGGATGTGTACCAGTGACGCAGCGCTGTATGATGTTATCACGTACCTGCCAAGCATGCAATGTAGAAGGGTCTGTATGTGATGGTTGATAAGATCAACTTCAATGACACCATCGGAGAGTTTACTGCAGCATGGTGCTTTGCGATAGACGCCTTTTTACATCTGCAGTGGATACAACGATCAACAATACATAAATCTACGGTGGTTTGGTCTAAACAGCTTCACGATCCACAAGATCACTAGGTCAAGACACATTGGGCAAAGGAAGTTTGGAAAACCGACGTTTATTTGCCTCTAAATGAAAGCGTTTTGAGTTTCTGTTGAAGGATACTCAGTCGAACTTTATGAGGGCCCCTGAGCCGTGTTCATATGACAAGGAGACCATTTCGTACCAAAACAACGAAGCCAGGTATCACCAAGGCATACCATCCTTTGCTTCTCCGATCCCCAACTCCCATCCAATGATGAAAGTTGTGACGCTTTCCCCATCCCAGTCCGAGAAGGTGTGACGCAACTTCCACAGCCTGTCTTGTCAACGCCTTTTCGGGGCTTTGGCCATGTTTTCGTGTGTATGTGTGCGTGTGTGCGTGTGTGCGTGTGTATGTGCGTATGTGTGGGTTTGCGAGTATATGTGTGTGTATTCGAGAGTGTGTGTACGTGTTGGTGTGTGTGTGTGTGTGTGTGTGTGTGTGTGTGTATGTGTTGGCGCGTGTTTCCCAAGATTATTTTTAGTTCTCGAGGATCTTGGCATGAAGATGAACACCTTCCAACGGACGTAGGACCAAACGCCACATCTTGTGTTCTTCGGGATCCTCCCACTCAAAGTTCGGGTAGAACTCGTACTTCGAGAGGAGGGCGCAGAGAAGGATCTTCATCTCTGTCTCTGCGAACTTGCGGCCAATACAGCTGCGAGGGCCAGCAAGGAAGGTGAAGTAGGCGTGACCCTGTGCTGTATCAGGGAGCTCATCCCAACGGTCTGGGTTGAACTCGTCGGCTGTTGGGCCCCAGAAGTCCTTCAGCCTGTTCGTCACGTTGGCGAGCATGTAGATGACTGTGCCCTTGGGGATAAAATAAGGGCCAATCTGGTCATCCGTGACCGTCTGGCGAACAGTCATCGGAATTGGCGGAATGAAGCGAAGAGACTCGCGACAGACCTTTTCGAGATACGGTAGCTTGTGGGGGTCATGGTACCAGTTCTTTGGGTCGTTTCGAGTCGCTTCTTCGAAGAGGAAAAGGAAATGCTTTCTGATCTCCTCTCGGAGCTTCTCCTGGACCTCAGGATGCTGAGCCAGGAGATGCAAGGCCCAGGTGACCGCCGTGGCGGTAGTGTCATGACCAGCGCCCAGAAAGGTCATGACCTGGTCGCGCATCTCGTCGAAGGAGAGGCCTTCCTCACCCGAGGCCTTTATGTTCTTGTTCTCACGGGCGATGAGGGTGAGTATATCCTTGCCACCGCGGTTGTTCTCAGCCTCGTTCAGACGAGCGTTGAGGATCTCCATGGCCTTGTCGATGATGATGCTGCGGGCCTCCTCAACATCCCGGTTCATCTGTGTGGGTAGGTGCTTGGTGACAGGCCAGAAGGCCTGAACACCGTGCTGGATGCGCGCCGAGGGCGAGAAGTTGAACACCAGCTGGTAAGCCCGACGGACGTTGTTGTTTCGCTCCGTGAGTGAGTTAATCTCGTAGCCAAAACCGGCCTTTCCGATGATGTCGAGAGTGCAGCGGTTCAGCCAATCGAGAACCTCGACGGACAGAACCTTCTTGTTCTGCCGCTCGAAGCTCTCTTTCCAGACCTTGCTCATCAGCACCGCCTTCTCCCAAAAGACCGGCGTCAGAGCGCGGATGCCAGGTCCGGAAAAGGCCGGTGCAAGAGCCTTGCGTTGCAAGGCATGGGTCTCACCTTCGGCGAGGAGGACACCCTCGCCGAGGATGCGCTCCATCCACTTCTTAGCGCGGACGGGCTTGGGGTAGTTGTAAGGGTTCCTCTGTGTCATATGACGCAGCCCCTCTTCGCCGGCGATGGAAAGACGCTCGGCGCCGAAGGGGAAGAAATAGCGAATGTACGGACCGTACTGGTGGTGCCAGCGGCGCTGGGGGACGCCACATTCCTCGGTGATGATGTCGAAGAACTGACCCCAGATGGGACAGCCAGGGACAGTCGGAATGTGGCGAAGCTCCGACCAGTAGTAAGGGTGGATGTAACAACGCCAGCCGAACACATAGAAGACAGCGGCAAACAGGATATGGGCACCGATGATCCTGCTCACCCTGTGTACCGTATATGCTCCGACGATGAAGCAGTGAATTCCGGCCGTGAAGAGTGCCAGGCCAATGAAGACGACGACGGAGATCTCCCGGTGGATGTACCTATCGGGGCTGACCATCCTGCGAGGGGCGCCACGCCGGTGGTTGATGGAGACGGTCTGGATGTTGCCGTCATTAACGTTGTTGACGTTGAAGGTAGCCATATTTACGAGGTTGAAGAATTAATGCGAAGCAGGTGTGAGTGTTGAGTATGAGTATGAGCGTAAGTTGTGATAGGTATGTTATGATAAGTTTGTCAGTCGGATATGGCGAGTTTGATGATAGTCGGTAGTTGGTAGTTTGAAGCGAGGCGTGACGAGCAGGTCTCGATCAGTATTCAAGGTGTTTGGTAACTTTTGGTAACTTTTGAAAGGTGTGAGTGGAGGGAAACTTTCGACCCTTATATATGGCGAATACAAGCTTGCTGATTGTGCTTGCTGGACGCATCTGGGGTGGTTTTCGCTGTCGTTAGGGAGAAAGTAAACAAACCCCTGAGTGTTGTCGAGGCAACCTAATTTCGTCCTTCGTCTGAACTTTATTTTCACATTGAACTTATTTCTGATCCTTTTGATGCAAGAACGCAGGCGGGTTGGACTGCGAAAAATGTGCAGCATGCAGCGAAAATCGCCTAAACAGGAATCGTATCTCATTTTAGGGTCCTTGATTCAGGGGCGAGGTCAGCATCGCAACGAATACATGACCAAACGCACTATATCTTTTAATGTTGGTAGGGTAACCACAATCTGAAAAATGAATTTGACCTATCGGATTATGCGACGAAAGCAAACGCTTCACAGATCTGTTCCAATTGTGATGGTCGTCTTGGAAACGAGAAAACGCATAGTAAGGCTCATGCTTGTTCCCAATCAGCCATCTTTATGGTCCATACTTAAACCACTCTTCATCCTCCATTTGGACCACATCACGCAATACAAACATTTTCATACAAGCCTACAACCCTACAGGCCTACTGCTACTAAGCTGGTCTGGCTGTCAAACCATTGCTTTGCATTCAACTTTGCATTTTACATACAAAGCAACACATCAAAACATAACAAAACAAATATCACAAACATCAAACAGCACTCAACATGGCTGAGGAACACGTTCCTGTTCGTTGGGTCCGCTGGCACCCTTACGCTCATAGCAACGCTGATGGAGCTACTGACGCCGGCAGCATCATCTATCTCCCCGTCTTGGATGATGGGGGACCGTTGTCTGCCGGAGCCTCGGATACTGAGTCAGCTGGTGCAGCTTACCGCAATGGGTCTCTGAATATCGAGGCCCAAGTCCGCCTGCTAATGTTCTTGACAAACCCGAACAACAATCTGGAAGGCTCGCCAGTTACTCCTCCTTCTGATGAGGTGCTTATGGCAAGCCCCATTGCCCCTCTGACTCCCGAGCTCGCGGAGGGGGCGAGCCCTGTTCCTCAGACTACGACTGTCCAGGCCTCGATTGTCTCTCGCACTCTGAGGAGCTCTCCTCCGACGGTTCCTATCCTTGCGCACCCTGTCCCCCGTGGTGCGCAACCCGTCCAGACTCCCGACAGGCACATCTCGTTTTCAATTCCTCGCAAGCCTATTGGCTCTACTCCCAAGAAGTTCGTTCGGCCTCCGAGCCCTTATCCTGGCAAGCCAGCGCCGATCGACTACAAGAAATGGGAAGAAAAGTTCAAAGCACTCCAGGAGCTGCAGGAGCAGGAAATACGCGACCAGCACAAGGCCAAGAAGCCACTCCGCGCGTATCTTCCTTGGAATCCCAGGAACACGAGCTTGACGACACTGCTGCCTCCTAAAACTATCAACGCCACGGGAACCATCAACAAGCCCAACACCGAGGAAAGAACTTACGTCACTGGCCTTCCTCTGATCTTCATCATTGTCGCCTTGATGTTGGCGATCTTCCTTATGTCGCTAGATCGCACTATCATCTCAACAGTAAGTTCAGCTCTTTATTAATCCATTCGTACTATGAGCTGACGTTCCTCACCAAGGCGATCCCTTACATCACACACGAGTTTCACTCGACCCCTCACATTGGCTGGTATGGGTCATCCTATCTCCTGACGGCCTGCACATTCCAGCCGATGTTTGGCCGCATATTTACCCTCTTTGAGGTCAAAAAGGCCTATCTGCTGGCCCTTGGTGTCTTCATGCTGGGGTCACTGATTTGCGGCATCGCATTCAACTCAACCACCTTGATCGTGGGACGTGCCATCGCCGGCTTTGGTAGCGCCGGTATCACAACCGGTAGCTTCGTTGTCGTAGCAGAGGCCGTTCCCTTGCAATCACGGCCTATTTTCATGGCGCTAGTCGGCTTGATGTAAATCACCCTCCCATCTTAAAGTTGTCTTCCATACTAACTCGGCCGTAGGTTTGGTGTCGGCGCAACTGCCGGACCCTTTTTGGGCGGCTTTTTTACCGACTTCGCCGTAAGCATCACTTCATATGATCCTTTTTCAACAGTATTGACTGACCACATAGCAGACATGGCGCTGGTGCTTCTTCATCAACCTGCCGATCGGGGCCGTCACAGCCATTGCTCTGGCGTGCTTCTTCAGATCCAAGCCATCCAAGCACTCCGGCCAGTCCATCAAGAAAAGAATAGCCAGCCTGGATATCACCGGCAACATCTTGCTGACGAGTGCCTCGGTCATGCTCTTCCTGGCCCTCTCGTTCACGTCTCAGGGCAGGGCGTGGTCGAACAAGTCAGTGGTGGCCTTGCTCATAGGCTGCTTCTTCACTGCGCTTGCGTTCGTCTTGGTGCAGTGGTTCAAGCAGGAACGAGCGTTGATGCCGCCGAGAATTCTCAACCAGCGCACCGTCTCAGCGTCCTGCGGCATGGCGCTGATGACATATGGTGCCCTCATTAACATGACATTCTTCCTTCCAGTCTGGTTCCAAGCAATTAAGGGAGTCACTGCCACGAGATCGGGTGTCTACATGATCCCGTACTTCGTGGTAAACGGTCTCTTCTCAATCCTAGCCGGAATTTTCGTCTCGAAGATCGGCTACACGACTCCCCCGGCTGTGGTGGGGAGCGCCGTTGGTACCGTTGGCGTCTCCTTGATCACCTTGCTGCGCCCTGAGACGTCCACGCTCCAGTGGGTGGGCTACCAGATCGTTCTCAGTGCCGGCTTTGGCATGTCAATCCAGCAAGGTTTTACCTCGGTCCAGACCGTTCTTGTGGGAGATGACGTTTCGATTGGCACTGCCGCCGTCATCTCTTCCCAATCCCTCGGCGGTGCGCTGTTCCTCTCGATCGGCAACACCATCTTCCAAAGCCGCCTCATCAAGGCTTCTTCACAACACCTCATCGACATTGATGTCAAAGAACTTATCGACGGTGGCGCCGCTGCCTTCCGGAACTTGGTTCCGCCAGACAAGCTCCCGACAGTGCTCAAGATCTACAACAAAGCGCTCACCGATGTCTTCACTATGTCGATTCCTCTTGGGATTCTGTCTGCCCTTATGGCTTGCTTCATCGAGTGGAAATCGGTGAAGAAGCCGGCAGCAAAGGATCAGGAAAGTGGGGATGGGACTATAATTGGTGTTGAGAATGTGAACTCAAATGCGAGTTCAGATGAGAATGGAATTAGGAATGAGAATGCGAGTTCCGAGAACTCTGGAACTGAGAACAATGCCTAGGTGGTGGTATCTGGATATGGGACTTTGGCTCTTGATGGGACTGGGTTTCGGATATCTGGTTGGATCATTGGATTGGATATTCGGCTTTTCAAGATAACCAACTAGGCAAAACCAACTCCTTTGGTTTTAAAAGACGCAGAATTGGAAAGTAGCGGAAATGAGTTTCACATTCATACCCCCCAAAAGTCTCTCTTCTCTGTGACGTGACCACTAAGCCCAGCTAACATGTAAAGAGTAACTGAATTGCCTTCAATGAATCCGAATTATCTCCTTGCCAGGTTTACTATATCGGTCTTTAATTCTTTCCCCTCACTTCTTCTTGATGGTTCAAGGTAAGCAAAGGATGTCTCATGTCTAGCGATATAGATCTGCGTGAGAGGAGTTGGCATCTTCTTCTGCTAGAATGTCTTTTGCTCTTTGTGATTCATTAAGTGAACTTCTTTCTTTATCAAACGTTAACCAAAGTAAACTTCAAGAAAAACTGGAACTCTTTCAATCAGCCCGTTCTTTTCCTGTGTACCGTCAACAGCCAGTCATTTTTGCTGTCTCTTCTGTTATCACCGGCCACGACCTGGTACGTACTCTTTCGGATAAACATCGGCTATTATCTGCCTTCTTGGCAAGGCTGCCAAACGGCCTGTTCTGAAAGTGGAGAATGCTACTTCGAGCGGGCGGAAAGGCTGCGCCTGTGATGGTGCGCGCTGCAACTTGGCGCATTGGTTTACTTAAACTTCGTCTCTGTAGAAGTCGACGTTCCCCCCAACAACCATCTTTTCTTCCCTTTCACCCGCTCCCGACTTCCAGCGCCTGTTGTGAGCAACCTCCCATATTTAAGCATCGGACATCTTATCCTCTTGGTCGGATCGGAAACTTTGCGGCTTGTAGCTGCTAACTTTCGAGACAGTTAGCCGATCGACCCGCAAACGGCCAGCGACCACATTTGCACATTGCTGTCGACTTCCTGTCTGACGGATTGATCGCCAGGACATAGCTTGTCCAGAGTCGCGCGACATAACCTTTCAATATGGATGACCAAGAACTTACCCGGCGCATCCGGCTGCTTACCAAGGCCGTCGCTTCTGAGCCGGCCTCAGTCGTCATCGAGATCCTTGAGGAGTTGAAGAAGGAGAAGGCTCCGACTGAGGAGCAGCTTCGCGTAGGTGCTCCAGTTCGTGCGCGCAGCTTCAGTCAATTGCGCGCCATAAGGAGGAATGAATGCTTACCACCTTGTGACCCTTAACAGTCCACTAAGGCGGGCGTCGCCGTCGGCAAGTTGCGTTCGCATCAAGATAAGAACATTGCCCGCATTGCCGGCGAGATTGTCTCCAAGTGGCGCAAGAACGTCGATGCTGCCAAGGATGCGAAGAAGCGCAAGCTTGAGCAGCAGCAGCAGCAACAGACGAACACTCCGACTCCCAAGGACTCACCCGCTCCTCCCTCATCCGCCTACAACACCCCGTACCAGGGCGATCCCGAGAAGCGTCACTTCAAGGTTGACAACGTTGATATCTCGCGTACTGGTAATAAGGTTCGGGATGGTTGCATTGGCGTGCTGTACAACGGCCTGGCATACCGGCGCACCGAGTCGATTGAGGAGATCCTTCAGAAGGCCATGGAAGTCGAGGCGGCCGCGTTCGAGGTGTATAAGGGCGACACTCCTGAGTACCGGAGCAAGATACGTGGTCTGATGACCAGTCTCAAGCGTAAGGACAACGCCGAGCTGGGCGACCGCGTCATGAAGGGCGAGATTACCCCGCACCAGTTCGTGAAAATGACAGAGAAGGAGCTCGCGTCGGAGGCCCAACGTCTGCGCGATGCCCAACTCGAGCGTGAGAACATGCTCAAGGCACAAGTGCCGATGGCGCAGAAGTCTATTAGCGACTCGCTCCAGTGCTCGAAGTGCAAGCAGAAGAAGGTGTCCTACAGCCAGGCTCAGACCCGCTCTGCTGATGAACCGATGACAACCTTTTGTGAGTGTACTGTTTGCGGCCACCGCTGGAAGGTGAGTGATTCTGCTTTTATCCCTATATCGAAGGCCCAGCTAACTTCATGGCTAGTTCTCGTAAACTCTCTCCCCCGCCGTGTTTCTCCTTTGCTTTCGACCCCTCCTTCTTACTTGTTTTCCATTATGTCTTTTATATATGCCCAGTGTGGCAACGGCGTCGGAAATGGTTGGCTGGATTTCATCATACTGGGAGGTGAGGTAGGGGTCTGGCTTTGCATCATGTTAGGAGGGCCAAATATGGGCTTGCTCCAGCCACAAAATGTAGGGGAATCGAGCAGGTAATTCCCGTGTTCTGTTAAATTAGAGGTGTATGCACCTCTGTGAGCTTATGAGCTTTACCTTGCTTGTTATCCAACGCCAAAGCGGCATCGGTTGGTTGATCTTGGAACCGAGGACATGGCAAGGAGCTTTCCCTGTGGTTCATTCGTCATGCTGATGGATAGAAGATTGCTTTGGAACTTGATTCAGGGATACCGCGATTTTTTTTCTCCCTCAACATCTTCAGACAGGCTCACCGTAAAGATGTATGGATAGAGAAGACATATCGCGGGGATTTGATCCTTGGCTCGAGCATAATATGACGGCTGATATCCGAGAGAGTTGACGACACAGTATCAAGAAAGTCGAGAGGCCGAAACATTGGAAACCAGGGTATCAATCTAAGCGTTTTTTTTTGAACTTTACAGATGCCGTCATCCCGATCCATTACCTCAGGCTGTTCTTGTTGATACCCAATACCTCAAACAGATCCTCCTCCCTCTGCTGCTCATCCGACTTGTCGCCCTCGAGCCCCATCGCTGCGATATGCTTCCAGAACTTGCTCAGATGGCGGGTACCGGAATCGCACAGGATGGTCACGACCCGGCTCCCCTTAGGCAGCTTCATTGCCGTCACCACAGCAGCTACACAGTTCACCGCGCTGCTGCTCCCGATGAAAATTCCGTCATGCTCAACCAACCATCGAGCCATCTTGCACGCCTGCTCGTCCGTCACACGCACTGCATCATCAATCAGGCTCCTCCCAGCCTCAAAGTTCTCCGTGATCCGGTTGATACCGATTCCCTCGACCATCGTATCCACCTGATGCCGTCGCCGCGTACCCTCCTTTTCTGTCGACGAGTACATCACGCCGTACCTAATCTTGTTGTACAGCCCGCTGCCCTGCGGATCGGCCAGCACCACGCGCACGCTGGTCAGGCCAGCCTCCAGCTTCAGGTACCGCGCCACGCCCGAAATGGTGCCGCCGGTACCGGCGCCCGCGACGAAAGCGTCGAGCTGCCCGCGCGTCTGGGCGTAGATCTCGGGTCCTGTAGTCCGCACGTGCGCAGTGTAGTTCGCTTGGGATTCGAACTGGTCGGCAAAGAAGCCCCTACTGGGGCTGTCGGATGCGGTGTGCTGCTTAGCGCGGGTGCGGGCAAGGTTCACGAAGTGGCCGGGGTCGGTGATTGGCGCGGGAGGGACGCGTTCGACTGTCGCGCCGAGGTGGTGCAGGAGGTCAGACTTCTCGATCGCCATGTCGTCAGGCATGCAGATGTGGCATTTGTAGCCGCGGGCGCGGGCCAGGACGGCTAGGGAGATGCCAGTGCTGCCGACGGTGCCCTCGTAAATGGTGTCGCCGCGGCCGGGGGACAGGAGGCCCTGCTCTTCAGCGGCTTGGATCATGCTCAGGGCAACACGGTCCTTGGGACTGCCGCCCGCGCCATTGAGGAACTCGGCTTTGGCGAGAATCTCGCATCCCGTGGCTTCCGAGAGGCTGCGGATCCTGACGAGAGGGGTGTTGCCGATGGTGCCCTCGATGCCGTCGACGATGTCGCAGGAGCGGGCGAGCATTACGGAGTCTTCACGGTCTTCGAGGGTGACGGGGCCAAAGAGAAAGCTGCCGCGGTGCTCTTCGGGTCCTGCTCTGCTGCCATAACGCTTTTTCCGGCGCTGATAGCGCGCTTCGAGTTCTGGGTAGAGATCCTTGAAACCGAGTGTAACTAGGACACCGGCAAGGAAGGCCACTGTTAAGGCCGCGGTGCCGTATACTCGGGGATGATCGCTTAATGACATGGTGAGGGGCTCATCAGAGCCTCATTTGAGGGAGAAAAAGCCTTCAAGAAAGAAACAAACGGATAAGATACAATGAGAGATGTGATGTATACACTTTTAAAGGGCCTAATATCTTGCCATTTGCCCAATGCCACTCAGATCCCTCACTTTCCCGCGATTCTGCCCCTCAATCGCAGGCCCCTCGAGATCAGAACAAAGTGCGACAAAGTGTGAGAGCTTGATGTCATTGCTGCATTTTTGGCTCGCACGCCAAGCCGCGGACGTCCTGCTGTGGACCCCTGCCCGGCTTGGCCCCGGAAAAACAATGTGGGGCAGTGGGCTTGACCCCGCCAAAGCAGGGGGTTTTCAAAGCTCGGGCCATCAAAAAGTTGACTGAAGCGCCATCGATGACTGCGGCCACTAGAACTGCATTCCAGCGTCAATTGAGCTCAAAGACACCCGCCTTCCGGCAACTCCTCTCATCCTTCTCCGCTCTCCAGTGACGCCCTTTCCGGCGCCATGGACTCTCCAGCGGTCACACAGTTGTTTCGGCAACTGTTCAGCCATCATCCGACCTGTCAATCCCGCCGCAACCTCGCGACGCTTGCAACGGTGATCCGGGATGCACGCCAGCAACGACGCCAGCTCCAACGGCTCCAACGAGCCCAGGGGCTTGAAGGGGCACAACAGCGCAGGAGAATAAGCTTCCTGTTTCCAAGCAAGATGGTCCCTAGCAAGGACCTGCCACCGCACGAGGCCAACTGGCAGCCGCGCAGCGACATATTCAAGCAGGACATGTCTGAAGAGTTCAAGAAGTACCCTATGGTCACTGTGAATGAGCTTCGAAACTACAAGGAGCGGCCGCGCAGAGTCAAAATGTTGATGCGGGACTTCATAGAAGGTACGGTGCGGCCCCTGTTGTTGGGCCGAACTCCCGTCCCCTAGGGGACACTCATCGGGGCAGGCGTTTAGTTAACTTTCTCCTCCTCCCTCGCCTCTCCCAGACTCGCTCTACAACCCGAACTACGGCTACTTTTCAAAACAAGTCGTCATATTCAGCCCTGGCGAGCCCTTCGACTTCGCGTCCTTCTATGACGAGCTGGAGTTCCACGCCGATCTTTCCAAACGTTATCGCGAGTTCGAGGATGCTCTCGATGCCGAGTCTCCCAGTGACACACGGCAGCTCTGGTACACACCCACAGAGCTGTTCCGTCCCTACTATGGCGAGGCCATTGCCCGCTATCTCATCGCCAACTACAAGCTTACCACATATCCCTACCATGACTTGATCATATACGAAATGGGTGCTGGTCGCGGTACCTTGATGCGCAACATCTTGGACTACATCCGGCACGTCGACCCCGACGTTTACGTCCGTACGCAATACAAGATCATCGAAATCTCCACCCAGCTCGCCAGCCTCCAAAAGTCCCAGCTGATGCAGACAGCAAATGCCCGGGAGCACGCTGACAGGGTAGAAATCATCAACCAGTCCATCTTCGACTGGAAGAACCCTGTCCCATCACCCTGCTTTTTCCTGGCTTTCGAAGTCTTCGACAACTTCGCCCATGACGTGGTGCGCTACGATCTTGAGACGAAGGAGCCGCTGCAGGGTATCGTGCTGATCGATGACATTGGCGAATTCCACGAGTTCTACACGCGGAAGCTCGATCCCGTGCTGGAGCGCTACCTGCAGGTGCGCGAGATGGCCACGGGCGGGAAGTACAAGGTTCCCTACCCATCGACCTGGCTCGGCCGCTGGCTGGCTCTGCGCAAGCCTTTTGCATCCAACCTCAGCGCCCAGGAATACGTTCCGACGAGGCTGATGCAATTCTTTGATGTGCTGGGCCGCTTCTTCCCAGCTCACCGGCTGCTGACGAGTGATTTTCACTACCTGCCGGATGCGATTCAGGGTTTGAACGCACCTATTGTGCAGACCCGTTACAAGCGACAACCAATTCCGGTGTCGACGCCTTTGGTATGTCACTGCGTCACCCCTCAGGCTCATAACACTACTCTAACACTGACACACAGGTCCACCAAGGCTACTTCGACATCATGTTCCCCACCAACTTCCAGATCGCTGAGGCCACCTACCAGGCCATCACCGGCAAGCTGAGCCGCGTGCTGTCGCACGAGGACTTCATGCGCCGCTGGGCGTATGTCGAGGACACGGAGACAAAGAGCGGAGAAAACCCTCTGCTGAACTGGTACAAGAACGCCAGTGTGTTGTATACTGTATAGCCGGAAACAGGACCCAAGCCCAAAACCAAGAAAGGCCATGTATATCATTCTGACAAACTTGAACAGACCCCCATCCACAAGGACGTGTAGCAATACCTGCCTATATCACGTTACTCAAGGAACTTCCGTACATACAAGAAGCAACAATATACATCGTGCCGAATGGCACCCTTCTTTGGGCACTAAAAGGAATAAGGATCTGGTTCACTTCAAGTGAGAATAAAAGTCGGGGTAAAAGGTCATTTGAGAAATAGAGAGCACTTTTGTATTATCTCCCTCCGTCTAAAAGGTAGGTAGGTATCACACACACATATTGGCCACACACAAAACCACCGTTACAATCCGATCAGGTAACGCTTGAGCCCCCTCAATATTCAGAGAAGGTCTACATCTGCCCTGCGAAAACGGTAGGTACCTAGACATAACACACACAAAACGCTCCTCGATTTGGGAATCGACGTATCAACCACCAACCACCCATCTTGAATCACTCATGTAATATCGCCGAAAAACACACAGAAAAAAAAAAGAGATAGAGTGACATCAGCAACAAGAGAGAAGAATTGAAAGGAGAGATAAGTCTATCAGATGTTGAGCTCCTTTATCTTATCCACCAGCCACTGCTCGGCACGAGCAACAGCCTCGTCCAGCTTGGACGGGTCGGCGCCAGCACCCTGTCTACTGGGCTCCTTGCCGCCCGTCTTGCCGCCAATCACCTCGGTAACGGCAGCGGTCCACTGCTCAGCGGTGATACCCTTGGAGGAAAGGGCCTAATGAGACTCTTGTCAGTAAAAACGTTGCAGTGGACGCAACAGATGGTTTGAAACTTACAGTGCCCACATAGACGCCATGCATGACAGCATCGTCCTTGCTACCAGCAAAAACATACACCGTCTTCTCCTTGTCCTTGCTCTTGAAGTGGGTGATGACGTCGGAGATAGCTTTAGCGTTAGCTGAGATGGGCAGGTGGCCAACGAAGAACTTGGCGTTCTTGTTCTCCTCCTTGCTGAAGTGCGACTGGACAGTCTCGAGGGCCGTCTTGCTCTCAGCCTTCTGGCGCTTCTTCTGCTCATCGACAACCTCTTTCTGGATGCGAGCGAACCGCTGGCGCAGCTCCTCTTTGGTCAGGGCGGAGATGGCAAGGGCATCAAGCTCAACGGCGGCGGCCTTGATCTCGGCCTGCTTGACGGGGCCGAATTCGAGGGCCTCAATGTGATCGAGCTTCTCGGCGAAGGTCTTGGCGTCGCGCTGGGCCTGGTGGGCGCCATCGCCAGTGCAGGCGACGATACGGCGGATGCCCTTGGCGATACCGCTCTCTTCGACAATAATGAAGTCCTTGATCAGGCCGGTGTTGTCGACGTGTGTACCACCGCAGAACTCGATGCTGTACTTGCGCCACTCGGGGTTCTTCGGGTTCTTGAGCAATTCGTCGACATCCATACCGATGGAGACGACGCGCACAGGGTTCGGATAGGTCTCGCCGAAGACAGCGCGGACACCCTCGATCTGGCGGGCCAGGTCGAGATCGACGTCCTTGGCGTAGGTCTTGAGGTTCTTGCGAATGTCTTCGTTGCACATCTCCTCGATGACCTTGATCTGGTCAAGGGTGACGGCAGACTTGTGGCTAAAGTCGAAGCGCAGCTTGTCCTGGTCGACGAGCGAACCCTTCTGGTGGACCTCGTCGCCGAGCACCTCCCTCAGAGCGTGGTTGAGGATGTGTGTGCCAGTGTGGTTGTTGCGGATGGGCTGGCGGCGCAGCTCATCGTACTCGCAAATGACTTCATCACCGGCAGTGAGTTCTCCATATTCGAGGTAACCATTGTGCACGATGTAGCCACCGTACTCCTGGACATCGAGGACCTTGAACTCGGCAACACCATCGATGATGATCCGGCCGGTATCAGCAACCTGACCGCCAGACTCGGCGTAGAAGTTGGTCTTGTCAAGCAAGAGGCCAAGAGGAGTTTTGGGAGGCAGCTCCTTGCTGGTCTTGCGAAATTCGTTGCCAGTGAAGATGAGCTGCACCTTAGCCTTGATATCGCCCTTCACGTACTTGGCGCTCGAATCCGGACGCGGGAGACCAATGTCGTTCTCGAGCTCGGCAATCTGGTGCACGTTGAGCTTGGGGAACGTCTGGACGGCCTCCTTGACAGCCTTGCTGGCTTCCCTGGCCTTCTCGCGGGCAACCTCGACCTCAGCCTCGTCGATAGTAAGGCCGCGCTCCTCGGCCATTAGCTTCGTAAGATCCTCGGGGAAACCAAAGGTGTCGTACAGGCGCCACACGTCAGCGCCAGACAGCTTGTTGCTGCCGTCCTTGACGGCCAGGGAAGCGTATTTTTCGAACTGCTTCTCACCGCGGTCGAGGGTAACGGCGAAGGCAACCTCTTCCTCATCGAGGATCTCCTTGATGTCGTTCTGCTTCTTCTTCAGCTCGGGGAACTGCTCACCCATCTGCTCGACGAGGGCCGGCAGAATGCTCGAGAAGAAGGAGCCGATCTCGGCCTTGAAGTACTTGCGGGCGTAGCGGACGCCTCTCCGGAGGACACGCCTGACAACGTAGCCACGGCCAATGTTGTTGGGAACAGCACCATCGGCGATAGCGAAAGCGAGCATGCGGATGTGGTCGGCGACGACACGGTAGGCGGTGTCAATACCGTCGGCATCATCCTTGCCATACTTGTCGGCATACGGCCGGGCGCCCGTCACCTCCTGGATCCGGTCGAACAGGGGAGTGAAGATATCGGTGGCGTAGTTGGAGGTCTTGTCCTGCAAAGCAGACACCAGGCGCTCGAAGCCCATACCAGTATCGATGTGCCTCGCAGGCAATGGCTTGAGGGACTTATCCTTTTGCCGATCAAACTGCATAAAAACGTTGTTCCAGATCTCGACTACAAGGGGGTCGTCCTTGTTGACGAGATGGGCAGCATTCCGGCCGCCGACCTTGTCGTAGTGGATTTCGCTGCAAGGACCACACGGCCCTTGATCTCCCATCTCCCAGAAGTTGTCCTTCATGTTACCGGGAAGGATGTGGTCCTCCGGTACACCGACATCAAGCCACAGCTGCTTGGCCTCGAGATCCGGCTCGAGACCCAGCTCGGGGTTGCCCTCGAAATAGGTGACATAGAGGCGGCTGGGGTCAAGGCCGTAGACCTTGGTCAGGAGCTCCCACGACCACTCGATAGCCTCCTTCTTGAAGTAGTCGCCGAAGGACCAATTACCCAGCATTTCAAAGAAGGTATGGTGGTAGCTATCCTTGCCGACATCGTCGAGGTCATTGTGCTTGCCACCGGCACGGATGCACTTCTGAGTATCCGCAGCACGCTTCAGCTGAGCAAAAGGCTCACTCTTGCCGATAGTACCCAGAAACACGGGCTTGAACTGGTTCATGCCCGCATTTGTGAAGAGCAATGTGGGGTCATTGTGAGGGACGACCGAAGACGAGGGGACTGCGGGGCAAACGTGTCAGTGAGGTCTGAAAAACTGCTAACGGTATATGCATTCAGTAAAATAGAAAAAGAATGAAAATCAAGGGTAGAACGAAAGCATTGTTAAAGTAGAAATGACAAGTCACCAAGAGGATTCGGCGCAGTATTTTGCGATCATTTGTGCACCATCGCGGGGTTGCCGCCACGACGGCAGGTAGCGCAAAAAGTTGTGCAGACATACCAATGGTGTGGCCCCTCTCGGCGAAGAAGTCCAAGAAGGTCTTGCGGACCAGGGGCCCAGTCCACTTGACTTCGGTCATGATCGGCGATGTCGTTGAGGAGCGGCTCGAGTAGAATCGACGGCCAGCTAGCGAAAGAGGGGTGATGCGAACGCGCAGGCCGGTCGAGAGTCGCGGAAGAAGGACGCGGTGTTGCTGCGGCAGCGGGGTTGTGGTGGTGGTTAGGTGAGCCACTGCTCGAAAGTTCTCGAGGTTCAAAGGCACCGAGAACGGCTGCTGCGGGGCAGGAGCAAGGCGGGTTTTGTGGAAAAGGTGGAAGCGGTGGAAGCTTCGCGACCGGTGCACGTAGTGCCCCAAGTGCGCCCCCCGCTGGAGCCCATGACTCAAAGGCGCTGTGGCACCCACCTGATGGCAACCCTGGAAGCCCCGATAGCAGCACCTGGAGCAACCGCTGGAGCAGCCCCCGCTAGGCCTGGGCCCTCTCTGCCGCAGCAACCGCAACGCCGTGTCAAAGCGCATTGGATTTTCGCCCACGTCGCCCTGGGTAGCAGCTCGAACCAGACCCTTCTTCCTTTTCTCCTCGTCAGCGCGATATCGGCCGGCTCTTTATCTCGACCCAATCTGAAGTCGTCGTGCTGATTGGACACCATACACCGACGAGATTCCAGCCCGTGAGCTGGCCGCGGCACCGAGTGTGTCAATCGGCGTGGAGGAAGCGATAAGCAGCGGGTGACGGAGTCTGGAGGTACGCAGAAGAAAAAAAAAAGTACAGCCGATGCTGGCGAACCCTGCGTCGCAGCACCCGGAGATGTTCGGCTTACAACCCCAGCACTCGCACTTGAACAATCAACAACACCACGGCCAGCATAACAGCCACAGCAACCATGCATCCATATCGCCCTTCGCAACCCAGCTACTACATCAGCAACAACAGCAGTATACTCGTAAGCGCAAGGCGGACACGCCACCTGAAAACAATGAACGCCTTTCCAAACGGATGAGCCGGCTCCATCTGGGTTTGTCGTCCCTGCAATCGCCCCCCCCCCCCGGTGTCCATCCGATGTTCCATGCACTTCCGACTAACACTTTCTATCCAAGCAGACCCGACAAACCACAAAATCTACGTCCCGGTTGAGAATTTGGACCCCACCGCTCCCGCCGCCGCCACTGCCGCCCCCAGCAACGTCACCACCAACGCCAATAGCAGCGCTCCATCCACAAGCATCACCAACGATGCTGTCGCCAAATCAACTGCCGGCAAACACCATTCCAAGACCGCCACCACTCGCAGCAACCTAGTTGATGACCAGATGCACCTCGACGACACCAAGTACAAAGTCTATATCTACAATCTCGAGGAAGAACTAGCCTCTGATACCGAGTCCGAATCCGACAACAGTGCCAATGGCGAGAAGCTCTTCCTCTCTGAGGATATGCAAAAGCAGCTCCGTCAGGCCGCCCAAGCCGTTGCTGCCGCCAATCGCATCCCGCCATCTGTGACCCCGCGGCGCGAGCCCGAGAGTGCGGGCAAGGAGTTGGTGCTGTATCGTGTGCCCAGCTCGCTGACAGTGCCACAGGAGCAGGATAGTGTGAGGAGGGCGATCGCAGAGGCCAGGGCGCGCCTGAGGGAGAAGCAGAAGGAGAAGGAGAAACCGAAGAAGGAAGAAGAGGTGGTTGAGGAGGTGGTTATCTCGAAAGTGGGCAATCTGGGGGCCGGTGCAGGGAAGACAAGCGTCTCTCAGCCAATGGAGGTTTCCATGAGCGATATGAGTGATATTGTTGAAGATGATGATGATGCTATGGAGCTTGACTGAGTAGTTCTTGGTCATTTAGGAAGAGAGGGGTGAAGTTAGGAGGAGGAAGACACAACTGGGAAAGACAGGAGACCAAAAACGGGTGAGAACGGCGCAAGACAGAGGATTCAAGGCGCAATCACGGTAGGACGAGGTGGGTGCTTTCATTCAGCCCGGTGTTTGGGGGTTTAGTGCGTTTTGGCGTTTTGCTTTTTCACTACTGCCGCTTGCTTTTTTTTTCTTTTTCTTTTCTTTTTTTTTTTTACGATGGTGGTTAGCATTGACTCTGGTTACCATAGTGTGGTATCATTTGCATTTATGTTTATACAGCTATTTCCACAACTCCCAGGCTAAGGGAGCCATTCATAGCAAAGAAACAAATACACAGAAAAAAAAAGAGAAAAATCCCTGTTAACACCGGTTTCGTTCCCTTCCTGCCCCAAACTCCGTGAAATCTTCTCGTGTCCCAGACCCCAAACCGACCAATCCAAAAACGCCTCAGCGGTGATATGATACATTCGATCCATTCGTGATTACCATTTCATGTTCGTCCCGAAAGCTCAGTTCCAGTCCCATTATTACTTTACTAAAGCATCACAACTCAGGAACTCGTCTTCATCCCCCATTCAACAACCGCCATCCCTTCAGTTCCGGAAAGGGTTAGTGCCCGCCGTCGTCTGGGGTTGCTGCTGCTGCGCGCTGTGGCTGGGAGGAGGGCCAGGAGGAGGGACGAAATCCTCCTCTTGGACCATTTGAGCAGGAACCTGAGTACTGGCTCCAGCCGGACCGGGAGCGTTCGTGGCCGACAACGGAGCAATGATCCCGAGGGGAGTCAAGGGTGACGGAACAATCGGCGAAGGGACATAGGGCGGGGGGTCGCCTTCGGGAATAGCGAGAGCAGGAGTAGTCTGCTGCTGCTGCTGCTGCTGTAGCGACTGGCCCTGGTTGGGCTCTACCTTGGTTGAACCAGCCGAGGGCTCATACGCAGGCGGACGAGGAGCATTGGGATCGTAAACTGGAGGAGGAATGGAGTGCAGGTCGAGGTAGTGCGCCTCGGCCGTGAGAGGACGCAAAACAGCAGTCTGGGGCGGGTAGGAGTAGCGGTTGTTTGGGTTACGGCTAGACCGAGGGACGAGGAACTAGTGGGAATTAGAACAGGGTTACAGTGAGGCAATGAGCGAGACATAGGGGACATACCCGGTGATAGGACAGCGGCGCCAGGCCCTTCTTAAGCCGCTGCTGAGCATGAAGATAACCCACGAGCAGATACAGGCTGATGAAGACAATGAGGCCCAGGAAGAGCGACCACTTAATGATCACACCCTCCTGTGAACAGGTCAGTCATCCTGGACCAGCGACTGAATCTTGAGCATCAGACTCACCCTTGTGCTCCAGAACGGAACATAGCAGCTGTCTGCATCGATGTAGCCCTGATTGGTTCTAACGCAGGGCTCGTAGCGACGATAGACGGGACGAGAGATGGGGGGCGCCATGATGGCAATTTACTCGCAACAATGAAAGTACCGAATCCACTGGGAGAACGAATGAGATGCAGATATTCTACTTTTTTTACAGGCCCGAGTCCGGGCCAGCGAAGGAGAATGTACGATGACGAAAACAATATCGACCCGCAAGAGCTGATAGGGAAAATGAGAGCAAAGGTGCGACTGGTCTACTTTAAATGAGGGGTAACGGAAGCGCGGGTTGAAAGCAGAGCGGCCGAGGAAACCTGGATGGGAAAAAAAGACAGCCAAGGACCGAAGATCAGATCGAGATCCAGATGACGAGTTCGATGGCAAGAAATTAGAGTCGACAGTTGGCGAAGTGGCGCTTACGGTTGACTCGACCTGCTTTTGCAGCGGGAACCTTGTTTGACGAGTGTCTTCCCAGAGTAACGCGAAGGAAAGGTTGCAGTGTCGAAACGTTGGGTGGCACGCAAGTGCAGCAGAAGACGAGGTTTCAAGTTCGATTCGAAGTTTCAGCCACCAAGCTCTTGTTTGAACAGATCAGTTGCGCAAATATCCAATTTCTAATTGCTACAGGCTATTCAGAAATCAAGCACTGTATGCAGGCAAAATGGAGCACAAGCGTTGTCATCAGCGGGCATGTGTCCAGCCGTGGAACCTCTGATTTGATGGGACACCGAAAATGGCAGATCAGCTTCAGCAGAGGTCAATTCGGTCTCAATCACAGGCAGATACCGCGTTGTATCTCTCCTCCGGTCTGATGTTACAGGTAGAATGTCGCATCGCTTGGACCGGTTACGGAGTGATCCGGACACTTACACCCCGCGAGCCGCGAGCGCGAATGATACCGATAGAAGGTGCATGGATGGCCGTCACCACCAGATCGGGGAAATTTTGCAGTCTGATCCTGCCAAACACTCGAAAAGATTGAGGTTTTATCAAACATCCACGTGGCTGCATATCAAATTTCCATCAAAGCGCCATGCGAAGATCACAATGCGAATCGATTGCCTGTGGTGACGTTTGAATATTCAAGCCGTCCTCCCCAAACTGGAAGGAGTTGCAGGTGAGAATCCCGAACTGCGACGCGGGGCCGTCTTGAGATCCGCGATGCCGGGCCATGCCAAAAGAAGCTTAGCGCATCATGGAAGCCCTGTACACAGTTAGGTAAGGCGCACAGACCAATGCGCACTCCGCGCCCAGCCGATCCAAACCGTGACACCAACTGCCAAGGTTCCATCATCGCGGAGGCCGGGCGGTTCCACAGTTGCAGGAAATTTCCAACCGCTGGCCCACTGCAGCTGCTGTGCGAGGGCTTCCAGCAGGAGGCCGGCTAGAGATGCGGCATGGATGATGAAAAACCATCACGGCAAGCTCTTCCAAGTCAACAATCACAATCTTCGAAATATTAGACCAGACGAGCAGCTCACGACCTGCCTGAGCAACCAGCGGACGGACGCGCGCACCCAATGCGTTGGACTGCGCCGCCGCCATCAACCCCCCCCTCACCCCGTCCACGACTACGACCGCCGCTGACTTCCGTGATGCTCTCTCACTGGATGTAGTAAGGATTTTTTTTTCCTTTAATATTCTAACTTTCACCTACGGCGGCCCTCGTTGGGCTCGATCATTGTCGATACTTGCGTCCGTCTCCTCCCACGAAATGGCGACTCGATTCCTTTTTTATTCCCGTCCCGCGTCAACAACGCCGCTCGCTCGACTCGCTAGTCAGACCGCTAGAGCATCCTCAATTCTCCGTTCTGTTCCCACCTTTCTCACCAGGTCGACCCAGAATCGGCCTTCTACCGCGTCTCCGATTCTACAAGCTTCTTTCTATTCAACACCTTCAGATGCTCCTTCGAACACAAGGACGAAGTTCGTCTACAATGTAGCGGCCTCCTACATCGCCAAGGGGCGCGCCTACGACCCTTCAATCCATCTCTTCCAGTTTGATCCGTACAATCGCGTCTCTCCTCCAAATGGTGCTGCTCGAGGGAAGAAAGCCCGGCCTGAGTCTGGCCAAGATGCATTCTTTGTGAGTCGTCTGGGCACTAACCCAGGAGAGGTTGCTTTGGGTGTGGCAGATGGCGTAGGAGGCTGGATGGAGAGCGGTGTCGACCCTGCTGACTTCTCCCACGCTTTCTGCAATTACATGGCCGCTGCCGCGAACGCTGCCGCCGAAATCTCAGCATATACAGGCAAGCCGCTCACAGCGCGTCAGCTGATGCAGTTGGGCTACGACGCGGTCTGCCATGACCCGTCCATTCGCGCCGGCGGTAGCACTGCCATCGTCGGTCTCCTCACCGCTAATGGCCGTGCTGAGATTGCCAACCTTGGTGACAGCGGCTTCCTCATGCTGCGGCGCAATGGCGTGCATGCCTACAGCGAGCCCCAAACTCATGCTTTCAACACACCGTACCAGCTCAGCGTCGTGCCCCGGAGCATGCTCTTGCGTGCGGCAGCCTTTGGCGGCGGCCAGCTCATGGACCAGCCTGCCGATGCCGACCTGATTCGGCACCAGCTTCGTCATGGCGACGTCCTCATCTTCGCCAGCGACGGTCTCTGGGACAATCTTTTCAACCAACAGATCCTGCGCATCGTCAGTCAGGTCATGGCCCGTGCCGGCGCCTGGGTGCAGAACAGCCAGACCGGCGTCCAAGTCGCGCCGGATCTACGGCCATTCACGCAGCTTCAGCAAGAAAACACTGCCAGTTCAAACGTGAAGCTCCCATCCCCTCCGAACACGCTTCAGAGCCTTCTGGCTACCGAAATCGTGGCTGCCGCGAAGGCCGCTAGCGTTAGCCCTCACCTCGATGGGCCTTTCGCCAAAGAGGTTAAGAAGTACTACCCGAACGAGTCCTGGCATGGTGGCAAGGAGGACGACATCTGCATTGTGGTCGTTCTCGTGTCGGAGGAAGAGTGCCCGAGCCAGGAGCAGACTCCGGCGCCGAAGGCGAAACTTTGAATAGAGAGCGAACACCCTATTCAAACTGCTCAACCTACTCAACCTACTCTCATATTACACCACCAAATGCATTCTCACTGTCAGATCCGATCTCAACGGATCTCTCTAGAGCTACTAATACCCAACCACCGCACGATTTCCTTTGTTAACGCATCCCGTTTCATGTTGGTTAATGACGAAGACCGTCCGGAAGCATAAATGGTCTATCTAGAGTATCCGGCAGACAGCATAACACTCACATAACACTCACCACCACCGAACCACTCACACTCGCATGCATGTTTACCTCGCCTACCACTTCAAACAAAAATAAGAACATAGCTTGCATTTTTTGGCGTTTGGGGGCAAGACGCATGCACTACTGTTGGGTTGAAGAAGGCGATAGACGGGTATATCAAGGAGGGGTCGGGCCCGGTTCGGGGATGATGACATAAAAGAAGGGGGATCTGTAGGAATCAGTTGTCGAGGTCATTCGTCTCCTATAAGGTATGGTCTTGTCCTTAATAATGAGCAGTATTAAAACTTCAGACAGAATATTATGAAGACTTTTTTGCTTCCTGTGGAGTGTAGATGCAATTGTTGTGATGGTCCGTTAAAGGTCAACATACCGGCTACCTATTTTATATTACAAACCTCATGCTCCTTCCTTTCAATCCCCACCATTCGCCGCATCCTGAGAGCCTGTCAAAACCTGTAGGTACCCGTCCTCGGAGGCTCAGCCAGGGAACTCGCATGCCGAAGCTCCCCACGAAGTCAGCCTCGTCTGTCTCCCAATGGAATCCAAGCAGGCCAGCATGACTATCCCTTTGATGTCAAAAGTCCTCGAGCAAACATCATTGGAGCAACCAAATCGAATTTCCCTGTCTGCGGGGCCATGACAAACAGCTGCTTGGCCGATTCTCTTTTATCCGACCAAACAGTTAACCTTAGGCAAACATTTACCACACCTCATTGGTTAGCAGTAGAGAATGGTGGGTGATACAGCAGGAAGGTTAGAATAATTTCATCGATGATGGTGGACATCAGGGAAGACAGCTGGCGACTCTTAGTTTGGGCAACTGCTAGGTTGTCGTACTCAGAACTTGTAGTGGCTGTGCCAAAACACCCTAATCGTGTGCTGTTTCCATGACCACCGACTTCCTATCGGCAAGTCGTTGCCGTTGACAGTTTGAACACAAAGGGTATCAACAACGATGTAACTTTCAGCTCATCGCATTCCTCTCCTACTTCAGGGAATTAGAGTATTATGTCGAGACGACACAATACAGACGACCCATAAAACCCAACTACTAGCCCTATTAGTACTATGCGAGAAAAATGGATCGCAGAGCACAACAAGACTGTGCCATGCCGACCACTTCATGTCCTAACGCCCGCGAATAGATACTCCGTTTCCCCTCCCCTGCAACTCCCTGCTGAAAAAGGGCCATTATATATGTACGAGAGAGACCGAAAACCACAACATCGAAACTACCCCCAAAGATGCCAGGTGTTAGCCTAGTTGAAGAAGACGAGAGCGGCAACAGTAACGAGGACGAGGGCAAGCGGCGAGGCGAAGCGCTGGCCGGCGTTGGTGTTATCGGGAGTGACCGTAGGATCAACACGGGTCGTTGTGGCAGACCCAGTGGTAGTGGTAGAGTGTCCTATAAAACAGTCAGCATTGAACGTTGCAAGATCATTAGGTAATGGCGACATACTGGTCTCAGTGGTGGTGGTCTCCTCGGTGGTAGTGGAGCTCTCCTCGGTGGTGGCCGTAGCCTCCGATGTCGTGGTAATGGTGGACAAAGTGGTCAGAGACGCGGAAGTAGCGGTGGTCACAGCCGACGTCTCCGAGACGGTCTGGCTAGGGAAAGCAGTGGCAGTGCCCAGATAGCTGAACTGGGTGCTGTAGTTGGGCTCGCCGCTTTCGTCAGAGATGCGAACCGCATACGTGCCCGAGGGGATGTCGCTGGGAGTCCAGGTGAACTGGCTGTCGGTCACGCCGGCTGTTTACAGCGTTAGCGAGTCATTGAAACGGCGAAAGGCAAAAATATTCACATACAAACAATAGTGTAGACGGGCTTGAGGTTAGACGGGTCGCCCGTCATCAGAGTGAGGGTGACCGGGCCTTCAGCGCCGCTCCACTTGAAGGTGAACGGAACACCCTCCTCGATGGCGTAGCCAGAGTTGAGGAGGACGGGCTTGCCGAGAACGGCAGCGGCAAAGGCGAGAAGAGCAGAGACGGAGGCCTTCATTGTGAATGCGGGTTGAGATACTCTGCAGGTAAACAGGCCGCAGGTTAGAATCAAGTCGAGCAATACTTGTTGGTCGGGTGTAGTGTAGTGCAAAAGTCTTTTTGAGGAGCAAGATGGGTGGGGAATAGAGAAGTCGGTCAAACTCAAGGGCGCGGTCGTGTTAAGAACGGAGGTTGGTGGTCCTGGAGTGGGTATCAACTTACCGGATGACTGGAATGCTATGAGGCTAGAAAAAAAGCTGTGCGCCGCGACTGGCAATGGGATGCTGGAATGCGGTTGAGAAAGCAAAGAATCAAACGGGTGTGGAACGATCGTCGAGAAGTCGATTTGATTATAGAACGATGGGATTTTAATCCGGTCCTAAAGAGGGCGGAGGTCGGGTTGGGTCTGGATGGAAAGTTAAAACCTGGCAGAAAGCAAAAGGAAAGAAGAATCGCGAAGGATGGCAGCGGCACATCAGGGGTCAAAATACTCCCCATGAGCAGATGAGGGCCAAGGACGCGATGCCCGGAAAGTAACGCCCTCCTGCCACTCTGACCAATGACAGAGGCCAATTTGTGGGATTTCCCGTATTCGTTAGTACACCACCCTCCACGCCCCCGGACCATGTTGCAAAGCCCCGGGGAGGGCGCACCAAACGGGCGCTGGCGAAAAGGGCAGCCTGCCAGGGGACTGGACAAGGGACTTGTGGACCAGGCAGGGACCTCAATCCTTGGACCAAGCCTGCCATGGATGGATCCTTTTTTGCGTAGCTCATGGCGCAACAGCTGGTTGCTTGGGACGCGAGCAATAAATGGTTGTTCTGTAGGCATTTTCCTGCTGGTCCAGCTCGACTGCGAAAGTTAACCAGCACATGTGTGGATGGGAGTCACCGACACTGTTACCTCAACGAACCTATCCCAGTTTTCCAAGTTAATTTTTTCTGAGCTCTACAGTGAACCCATGACGGCTTCCTGCTCCCATTTTCAGCTGCCAAGCACCATCTGCAAAACCTCGCGGGCTCTTGGCTAGTGCATGCGGCGTCGATGGTGGAAATTACAGAGAGTCAACACTGCCAAATCCAGCGAGCCCCTTGTGTTGCGGGGTTTCCTGCGAGATGAGACTTCCCACAACGTTGTTAAGACGACAATCTATCCTTTCGAACATGGTGGGAAGTTGACAGAGAAGAGGGAATGTCTACGATGCGCCGCAGTCAGATGGCACTTGTGTGGAAGAGATGCCAACAGTCGTCAGATCGTGGCACAGCGGAACCAAGATCACCGGCTGCGGTGGAGACACTGCAGCCCCATGTGGATGCTGTGGGCAAGATTATGGACAGTGGGCCTTCAGCTCGGAAAGCGGCAACTGCTACCGATGCATGAGGTCGTGGATGAGCTCACAGAAACCACAGATCATTGGCTGTTGCCATCACAAACGTTGGCTATCCAGTTTCAAAGACTGTCGAAGTTGAGCATCAGAACCGGTTGATGTTAGAAGCAAAGGTTGGCGATTGTTGAGGCGCATCACGGTGACGACGTCATCTTGGGCCCACACTCCGCAGCGACCAACCGATCACTCGACTTGACCGACCAAGCCACATCCGAGCAGATGGGTTGCATTGAGAACAGTCGCTTGCGTTTTGGCAGGATGGTTCTCCAGTCTACGGAGTACTCCGGGCGGTTGTATCACCACCAGACCTACCAAGTGTCTTTTTAGGCAGCTTCAACAACTCTGCCCAGGGCATTTGACAGTTGTTCCACAACACATATGTACAGGACTTGTAACTGCTCTTCCGTCTCGTGATCGCGGTAGTGCAGCCATTGCCGTTGCAACAAAAGTTCTTTTTGAAAAGTTTCATCGATTACTTTCACAGAGCAGTATTGTGGTGAGTGTCTTCTCGAATCTCTTGGTCAGCCAGATTGTAACAAGGTTTCTCATGTGGGGGCTGGTTGCTACCTAGGTATACCCCCCCATCTACCTTCGCAGTCACGACTTGCTCCCTATGCATCACTAAAACCATGTCTGACCGGATGGTACGAAAGAGTTGTCGCTGCTGACGAATAATGAAACACCGCAGTTGAACAGCAAGTCTTTACGGTGCAAAGAGGATCAGTAGCTGCCAGGAAAAGACACAAACAAAAAGCCCTTAGGCATTGATATCTGCACCTCTGTTGCTCGGTACAAGTGCCTAGTTTGCCGGGCAATGAAGGACTGAATTGCTGCTCGACTTGCAAGCAAATATTGCTCAGTGTGAGTAAATGGAGAGCATGGGAGGTCGGCAGCAGAATGTCTCACGCCATGGACCAGACCAGACTGAATCGTTTCTGAAACTTTGTTTCAACTTCAGATATTCCGTGCAAGGCGTCGTAATGCCATAATGTTATGGGCGCCGAAGGTCAGAAAAAACGTGTTGCCTCTAGTATATCTCAGTCTCTCAGGGAAGAAGGCATTCGACTACCCCTCGACTGACTCCCTGTGTTTCTTCAAACACAGTGCTAACTGAAGTGCCGAAGCCTCTCATCTTCTCGATAAAATCGTCCAGCGAACCCCCAACACCGAAGTAAAGTCTTTTCGCAGCAACCAATGCCTTGGCCTTTCCATTTGGCCTGTCGCGACGTTCGTTTTCAAGGATGGAGAGGAGGGTAGTGCTGAAGTTTTCCAAAGCAAACGGTGAATATATGGTCTCCGATCCAAGCACCAACGTCTTTGTGGAGTCCGGAAGCTGCGAGAATCCCACTGCTGGACTATACAGCAGGTCAACAAACTCTGGAGACCAGCCACCTGAGAGGAAGGAGAGCGTGATCCGGTTGTTGATCAGAGTCTGTTTAAAGGCCTCAATAACTTCCGGTATCAACTCTAATTCGCCATCGGGTGTGAAAGCCTTTCTTATCACAGGGTCCTCTTTTCTTTGCAATGCCCAAGAGAGAAGCATATTTGGTAAAGTGACCAGATAGAGCACAGTCGGGTTGTAATCTGCGAGCGTCAACACCAATGGCTGCTGTTGCTCTGACTTGGCCTTCCCAGCCAGCGCCCACTGGAAAAGGGCAAGGGAAGGCAGAGCTGTCCCGCATCCAAGCTGTACACATTCACCGATGGGCATATTGTCAGCAACTTGCACTTTCAATGACAAAATTTGCTACTTACCTCAATCAAGATGCAGGGCTCACGGGCAAGGAGTCCCTCCTCCAATCCTCCAGACGCAAGGACCTTCACCAGATCGACGCTGCTCTCCCAGCTCTTAAACCCTCCTTCATAAATTCCAGTTTTGACATCATGTTGCCCCAAGCCAGCCTCTGCTTCAGCATTGGGATTATCGCCATCTTCTTCAGCCATCAACTGCACACGAACATCCCAGAGTTCTCGTCGTGGGAGCTGCAGTGTACGACCATCTGGGAGTGTGACATCAAGTAAGCTGAAGGCAATCTTGGAAGGCTGGCAAGATAAGATGTCATCCAAAGAATGATAAGTCGGGGGTAGGAGGGGCTTGCCCTGGACTGGGAATGCTCCGGCTGTCGAGGTAAGAGTGCTCTTTGTCGTTGAAGCCGGTGGGGCAGCCGGCATTTGGGTGGTTCCGTCATCCTCTATGTCGTCTCCAGTGAAAGAGAATGAGAAAGTCATTGCTGGTTGATGTCTTGAGCCTATGCTCTTGAGCAGGTGAGTTGTTATTCCGTGCTCTACGGTATCTACCACAGACTCTGTCTGGTAAACTTTTCTTTAGTGAGCACAAACCACAATAGCGTTGGTAATTCCAGCGGTTTTTGGGCGGGTGCAGTCGGCTATCTGATGTCCGCCTTTGTATCTGAATTGCTTGAACGAATTGAAAATTCATAAAGTTCCAAGAAGCCCACACTGCTTTCCATCCATTCCACGTGAGAGTGGGGTGAGTGGATGATAGGCGGGGTCATCGAAATGGCAAATTGTGGGGCCGACCTGGTCCGGGGCGTTGGGCCTGGCAGGAGGATCTTGTTGGCTTCATCATCCACCTCCAATGATGTTGGCTTCTCTCCTCTCTTTTTTCTACTCACCCGGCAGTGACAGTGCCTCTCACATGCAGGGAATTCAATTCATGCTTACAAGGCCATTCAGCGCACTTCAAGCCCGTCCAGATCTCAGAAATGCGGGGTGTTTTCAAAAACGGCAATTTCCCATTTCTGGAAGTCCGTGGTGTAGCCTTCTCACCCTCTCAGCCGGCCGTCTCATTCGCTACTCACCGTGCTGACCCTGACCATACCGCTTCCCACCCGTGGTTGGACGGAATACGACTTCAAACCAGACATGCTTCTTAATCAGCATGCCGCAGTCGATCTGGAAGTCGCTTCCCGCAAACCCTGCGTACATTTGGTTCATTGGCTTGAAAGAAGCAGTATCAACGATCACTTGAGAGGAATCCTCCCCCGGAAGAGAGACTGTGCATGAGAATACCAGTGGATATGGATTGCTTCTTTTCAAAGACTCAAATGCCCACGATCTACATGTATCCACATCCTATGCAATGTAACAGTACGTTATGCGCCTTGGGCCCGCGTAGTCTGGCGATGAAACAGTCGTTTACCGTAAACGCACCAACGAGAACTGCACCCATGATGGTTATCACAGGTTCCGGACTTTTTGTCCCCGAATAGGGTCACGATTGCGGCGGGTAAGCTGTCTTCTGGCCCTTGGTGCCAACATGATATCCTGGTTTAAAATGATGACTTCGCCCCCGTAGGAATGGGTCCTTGCAAACATGAGCGTTGCCGAAAACTCCCCCAGCTCGAGGAATCTGAGGGCAAGAAGGTACAGCCGACGTGCCAATTCCAACAAACCAACTGCTCGTCCTTGAACCTGCTTCCGTCTTTTGTGGCGAGAGCCCTTTTTCTACTCTAGCCCCCATGGACCAAAGTACAGGAGTTGAAATCTTGCTCGGGGAACCACTTATTAATATTAAAGCCAACGGTTTCCCAGTCTCAACTTCTCATCTGCTACCAACACCCGACTCTCTTTCTCCCTCAGAATTCCCTGACGAGTCTTTCCCCCAGCTAAACAACGAGGTACCAATGACGTCTCCGTCTAAGCAGCCAGCTTACTCCATCCTGGATAAGCCTCTTGGAGCAGCCCGGCATGTTCGCATCATAGGCATTGGGGCCGGAGCTAGTGGTATCAATCTTCTTCGGACCCTGCGCCTCAACCTCACCAACTACGATGTCGTAGTTTACGAGAAGAACACTGACGTGGGCGGCACATGGCTGGAAAACCGCTACCCAGGTTGTCGTTGCGACGTTCCCAGCCACAGCTATCAGTTCTCATGGCGTCCAAAGAAGGACTGGAAGAACTTCTTCGCGGCCTCCGAGGAAATTTGTGATTATCTGCGCCAGGTTTGTGAAGAAGAAGGGTTGAGGAAATACATCAAGACATCGCATCAGGTGATTTCGGCCCGTTGGATCGAGGAGGAAGCAAGATGGGAAATCAAGGTCCGCAATCTCTTGACAAACACCGAGTTTAAGGATTATGCGCACTTCTTAGTGGACGGAACAGGAATCCTTAAGTAAGCAAAACAAGGGGTATGTTGCACCTTAAGCCGTCTTACTCTGACATTGGCAAACAGTAACTGGAAATGGCCCGATGTGGAGGATCGCAAAAACTTTAAGGGCATTCTAATACACACCGCCCGTTGGCCAAAGAATTTTGATCACAAAGGTAAAACCATTGCTGTCATAGGTAATGGCTCAACCGGGATCCAAGTTTTGCCAGAGCTTCAACCAGGTACAGTACACGCAGTCGTTGGTTGATCGGAAGGTGAATACTAAGACAACAACTCAGAAGCCAAAAAACTATACCACGTCTTCCGCACCCCTACGTGGGTGCTGCCACCTAGGATACAGATCTGGAAAATAATGGGTCAAGCTAAGGAGCTGCTCGGCCAGATTGAGCTGGACGAGCAGGAGAATTTCTCCAAAGAGACCATTCAGAAGTTTGAGTCCGACGAAAAATTTTACCGCGATTTCGTTAAAAAAATAGAAGTTGACGCAAACAACACTTTCCCAGTGGTAGGTCGTGCTGTGTCACCTAGATACACTTTAGAGATGTTGCTCATCGACTTTTAGGTTCTCCTAAACCATCGTCTTCACCAAGAGGCGCAAATAAAAGCCGCAGAATACATGAAAAAGATGTTGGGGGAAAATGAGAAGCTTTGCAAGCTTCTCATCCCTGACTTTCCCCTGGGCTGCCGGCGCATGACCCCCGGCCACAGCTACTTGCGAGCTCTGACCCAGCCCAATGTCCAAATCAGGAGGTCCGAGATCAAGCGCTTTGTAGAAGATGGCATCGAGCTCTCTTCTGGAGAAGTGCTCAAGGTAGATGTCATCGTTTGTGCTACCGGCTTCGACACATCTTTTTGTCCGCGGTTCCCTATCATCGGCAGGAATGGGGTAAATCTCCAAGATAGGTGGAAGAAGGAGACCCCTAAGGCATACATGTCCTGTGCAGTGGATGGTGTGCCTAACTATTTTGGTATGTAAATTTTTTCTCTTGTTGAGTACTCTTTCCCAGACCTAATCAACTGACACCAACTTCCAAGTGTTCCTGGGCCCCAACGCTCCTATCGGTCATGGTAGCGTTTTCACTTTGAGCGAACACATATCTCGTTACATCGCACGAGTTATCCAAAAGTGTCAGACCGAGTGCATCAAAGCGATTTCCCCCTCTCCTGCTGCCGTTCGAGACTACTTCGAACACGTTACTGCATTCATGCCACGAACGGCATGGGGGATGCCCAATGGCCCACGGTCGTGGTTCAAGGCGGGCAAGGGTGGAAATGAGCCTGTCACAGCGCTTCACCCTGGAAGCAGAATACATTTTTTCCACATGCTGGAGAGGTTCAGGGGCGAAGATTGGGAGTATGTGTATAGCGACGAGAGCGTGGGAAACCGTTTTGCATACCTGGGGAACGGTTTCTCGATCAGGGAGTCTCCCGGTGGAAATCTGGCTTGGTATCTCGAGACGGAGAAGACCGTGCTATGATATAACATGTTGCGAGGTGATAGTTAGTCCCTGACTCGGTCTTGTCCATGGAATGTCTTCAAGAGTCTATGAACACTGGGAGGGTTAAACAGGGCGGCATAGATATTGCAAACGGATCACGTCTTTAATTTATGTGGGTTGAAGCCCTTAATTACTGACACCGCAGGTATCCAAACGCTGTAATCTTGCCGCATGTTGCAAAGTAAATAGTTCTGCTATAGAAGATGAGTGCGGGATGAGGACAATTGCTTCTACGGGAGATCACATCAACCATCATCCTCGCCATACAGTATATGCACACAGTGCTGCTCATTGACTCAGTCATGCTTCACACTTGTCCAGTCCGGACCTCCGTATACTTATCTCGGAACCGCTTCTCATTGTCCACTCGAGCTTTCTCCATTCACCCCCATGATGTACGGAGTATTAGTAAATTGCTGGTCGCCTCAAACACAGCCACATTATTGTACTTCCCAACTACATTGAGCGCAACACTGCAGCCCAGTTCGTGCAATGTGATGCGTACTACCTTCTATTTTTTAGCGGCCTTGCGTTGATTCTGTGGATATTCGTTGCTAACGTTTTGCGACCATAGCCGCCGCGTTCTCCAGATTTATCCAACTGAAGCCAAAGATGGGTCTTGCTACTCCATCTCGGCGCTTGTGGTCCTGAGATCTCAGGGGCTTTTGTCCAATCGAACACCCTTGAAAACACTATTGATTTCACCCCATTGCTCAAACACACTTTCTTATGTACTCATCATATTGGCTCCCAACACAACTTTGGTACGCTTGCGATTGGCAATTGGTGTACATTACTTTTCACGTCACTGAGCACTCAATCTGTCCACAGTGCAATCTGAGAAATGAGGCTTTGGACTTGAAACTACCGCTCACAAGAATTTCTTATACGTCCGCCAGCTGCAGGATGCATGCATGCAGCTGTCCATACAATGCCTTGCTTAGCGCCGAAGGACCACTCAGGCATTCAGCTCGCTGTTTTTGGAATATGGCTGGCCACCCGGCTCAGCCAGCTTTGGAACACAAAAACTTTCCCATGGACGTCATGTAAATGATGACACCGCTCTTCACTGCGTTCCTTTGACCTGATATTTTAGATTTTTCAGGAAAGAGTCCACTGTGGGCCACCTTTGGGATGTTGCCTGAAAAAGAAGAACCCATCAATCTCTTGTCTCTTGGTAAGTTTATCATAAACTTGCGAAGAATGTTGTCGGATCTAACTTTTCGTAGATGGCGGGGGGGTGAGAGGAGTGGCATCGTTAATGATTTTGGACAAGATCATGAATGAAATCAAGGAAAGACATGGCTTGCATGAGGTTCCCAAGCCTTGTGAATTCTTCCACATGATGGCCGGTACTAGCACAGGAGGGTAGGTGGTTATCACAGTTTTGTTGTTCAGAAATATCAGGTTCTAGATGGCTAACCCTTGCAGCCTCATTGCGATCATGCTCGGGAGACTCCGAATGTCTACCCAGGAAGCGCTTCAAGAATACGATAATTGTGCCGCCGCGGTTTTCTCATGTAAGAACATCAAGAATCCAACAGCCTGGTTCCGTGCCTCGGGCTTGAAGAAAGTCGTTGAAGAACTTGTTGCAAAACGCGGCATGGGGGACCTGATGCAAGAAGAAAACCCTCCAAACAAAGGCAAAGTTTTAGTTTGCGTAATGCCAACCAAGAGTTGGGGAGAGGCACGTATAATACGCTCTTGGGAACCTTCGGATCCTGATAGCCGGTGGCACAAGAATACTACCATTTGGCAAGCTGCTCGAGCCACTACAGCCGCTTCCATTTACTTCAAACCAGAAGTGCTCGGTAATGGAAAAGAAGACCAACCTTTTATCGACGCGGCAATCGGAGCCAATAACCCTGTCGAGTACCTTTTGAAAGAAGCCGTTCGCCATTTTGGTTCTGGCAAACCTTTAGGCTGCGTGGTCAGCATCGGCACTGGTACTCGTGAAGTGGAGATAGCGAGTCCACCAAAGGGCCTGCTGAAAGGATGGATCAATCCGTTGCCCTATGTTGCAAGCGTGGCCAAGCTCCTCAAGACTTCAGCAACTGACCCTGAGCATGCGCACCGAAGCATAGCCTATCGGGTAGAAGGTTATCCTGGTGCATATTTTCGTTTCAACGTGACCAACGCCGCGGCTGTTGTTGGTCTGAGTCAATACAAGAAAATCCCGGAGTTGAAATCTTTGACAGTCAAGTATCTTTCCGATCCAGATATCATCGCAAAGATTCGGGAAGCTGCAGATAAGCTACGGGGGGAGGCTTTTGACCATGGTCTTAGCCTTGGCTACGTTAGTATGTCATCCCTGGATCTCCTTAATAATGCCTATTTCATGATTGTCTCTGCTAAAACGAAACGCTCCAGCCCGAGTTGATTGCGACCAGTTGCCTGTTCGTAATGAACAGGTGAGGTCTATGGGCTACTCTGTTCCATTCTTCACCGGAAGACAAGACATACTACAGAAACTCGACGACTTCTTTTCCCCGAGGAACACTCAAGGGTCGCCCCGACGTGAGGTCCTACTCTATGGTATGGGCGGCGTTGGGAAGAGCCAGATCGCCTTCAAGATAGCGGAGAGGTTGAACAATAGGCATGTATTTTGTTTCTTTCCATCTTCACCTTTTGCCCCCCTCAACTTATGCCGCTTCTTCTCTAACCTTTTCAGGTTTCGGTACATATTCTATATTGATGGTGCTACCAAACATTCAATTATCCAAAGCTATGTAAACATTGCTATGCACTATGGTCTCGGGGAAGGCTCACCAGAAAGTTTGCGCCACCAAGCCCTTCGCTGGATGGAAGACTTAACAGACGAATGGCTTATGATCTTCGATGACTGTAACCTGAGGGACCGACGAGGCCATCTGCCGGCACGGAACAGAGGAAATATCATCTACACTTCACGACTTACAGATCTTACATTTGAGTTACCTGCTGACTGCATTTACGAGATTAGCCCATTTTCGGATGAAGAAGCAGTCAATCTCTTGTTACAAGTCTCAGGGTTTGACGTCACTTCTGGTAGCCCCTCAAAGAGAGAGGCCGCAGAAGCTATCATTCATGAGCTTGGATCTCTGCCTCTCGCCATTGTCAATGCCGCAGCGTCTATCAAGAAGACTCATGTAACGCTTGAAACATATCTGAGACTTATTCGCCAAGAGAAGGTTCGCATGCTCTCCGAAAACTGCTTTCATGGCAAAAATATTGAGAACCCGGCAGTCTATGCAACCCTAGAACTTTCTTACAAAGCAATAACTGACCACAAGCGACGTCATGGCGAAGATGATGAAGGAATTTCCGCAGATGCTGCACTTGCACTACTGAGCATCCTCAGCTGCTATCACTACAACTCAATCCCACTTGACATCTTCGCACGCGCGGCGATAGAACGTGTCCGGCATGGAGTCGATAAATTATTCCCAATCGAACGCATCCTCAGTTTCAAGTCTCCCTTCCCTGATATGTTCACCTCAATGAACAACCACGGGTATTGGAACCGGCGCTATGTGGATTTGGGCTTGTCATTCTTAGAGTCCCTTTCTCTTGTCAAAGTATCTCGAAACAATATGATATCCATGCATGTTCTGGTTCATTCCTGGCTTCGCGATCGGATGGAGAAGACCATCCTCGAACAATGGATGCAGGTTGCAGGCATTGTGCTTCTTGAATCTGTTTCTCTCCTGAACACAACTTCTGACAAAGCATTTGCCCTCCAATTGCGTCCACACTTTCAGTGTCTCTCTTATAAAAGAATCAAAACTATATCTCCGGAGGAATATGAGGCACATTTGCAGAGGAAGATGGGGCTCTTCTACTTTTTGGTCAAGGAATTCCAGAACGCTGAACTATGTTTACTGCGATCTCTTCACATCAACAAACTGAACAGAGGCAATCACAGTTGGACCGTCATCAAACTCCTCATGGACCTTGCTGAGCTCTATGAGGACTGGAGTCTCTTAGGTAACGCAGAGCAAACGTACCTTGAGCTTGAGGAAAGGATCGAGGAACGATTGAGATTTCTCCGCGAGAATAGTACACCACAGTCCATGGGACGACAGCTCGAAATGCAAACACAGAGTAATTCTGCCTCGGACTCCACTGACAAAGGAAAAGGTCGCGTGACTATTGTGAAAAAGTTCACAAGTCATCTACTGCATTCCGAGATCCAGCTGCTGTCTAGGTACTTCTCCATGCTAAAAGAGCAAAGGAGAACAGCTGGCTGGCATGAAAAATCTCAGACTCAGTTGGTTGTAGCTCACAATCCGAGATATGAAGATCTTGTACACGAACTGGATGACGCCGACGAAAAGGAGACCTGTGCCCAGTTATGGATAATACGAAGCAGGCTAGGCTGGGTATATATGAATCAGGGCGAATTTCCATTAGCTGAATGGATGTTGGAGCACGCTTTGAAGGGCCTTGAAATATTTTTCGATGAAGAGAATCCGCATATACTTCGAACGAAAATCAGACTCCAGCAACTCAAGGATCCAGAAAATGACGACTTTTGGAGACGATTTAACGACGAGCTTGCCGATCTTCCCCAGGAAAAGTTCATGTCTCTCTTTCAGGCTGGGGTTCTCCACGACGCTTTTATTGCTTGGAAAGACGCAATGAAGGACAACGCTCATCTGTGGGATCTTGCATACAAAGGCCTCTCTGAGATACTTCCCGCGGTGGAAAAGAGCTATGGGCCTTGTGATAAGAAAACCCTCAAGGTCATGCGGATAATGGCAAGATGTCTTCTCACAGGAAAAGAGTATCAGCAAGCCATGGAGCTCTGCCAGAAATGTGTACAACGAGCGAGATCATCATATGGAGAATCCCACTTTGAGACCATTTTCAGTCTGCAACTCCTATCACAGGCTGTCTTAAGATTGAACGACTTTCAGGTTGATGACAACCTTGTTCGGGCCACACAACAGGCTATGGAAAGAGCCAAAGCCACGCTTGGGGCCAACCATCCCCTGACCATTAGTCTTGAGGAAAGGGCAAAGCGGCGAAAAAAGGGGTTAAATACTCGACAAGAACTTCAGGATTGTTTTGGAGAGGATGGCGATGGAATGCCGCTTTTCTACCAATGGAAGGGGGGGCACTTCAGAGATCTTGTGGATACAGCGTGGCATGATTTTTTTGGTGTCAGTCTACTTGCGGACAGAAAGAAAAGGTTTGGCGATGATCATCCCGCAGTAAAAAGCTGGGAAGCAATTGTCTGCGCGGGTCCTCCAGAAACGAAAGAAGAGCTGATTGAAAGACTATGCAGGACTTTGGAGCCTTCTGATGGGCATAGAAAGTTGCTGGTACCTTTGTTGAGGGGGCCCCGGAGAGTGTGCTTGGAGAGTGCTTGGGGAGAAAAGGCACTGGAAGACCCAGTGGATAACCATACTGATGAAGTGATCATGACAATTTTGCAGGATGGTCGAACCACGGAAAACCAAGAACTAAGGAGACAGGAGTTTTGGGCTCGGTGTTCAAGTTATTTGTAAGCCACTAAGTGCCAACATTTGACTCCCCACAATACTTCTTCCAAAACTGCCATCCACAAAAGAAATCTCATTTATATCTAAAGATAGGCAATTCGTATTATGCATTCCCTCTTCCCATGAGACTGGTGAGTTTGTTTGATCTGGTTCGGAACCACATGATTGCCTTTTGGAAAGCCGTGCCATGCAACCCTGCGGAGAGAAGTAAACTCCTATCACCAGCTTCAGAGCTGAGCGTTCAGCCACTGCCTCGGCTCATCAGTGTTGAATCAAGTACCTCCTAGCAGGTATTGGTTCGTTGATGGGGTCACACTGTGACACCTTTGTGATGCCAACAAAACCCCTTCTAGCCCACAGTTGGTCAACGAGAGCTGTTGTGCATGGGTTGAATGCAAATAGAAAAGGATGGGATTGCCAGGCACTTACCTGCATTTGCTTTTTGCTGCAAATTCTTCCCACCGAAAAACAACCGATGCTTAAGTTGTATAGGCCTACAAACCCTAAGTACTTCACCGGTACACCAAGCTGCTGCCTCTCTAATTGATGACTGCGACTTGATCAAATACATTTGATTTGCTGCTTCTGTCATCGAAGTTCTTCTCTAAAGACCACCTTCCTTTGTCAAACTGCCATCTTTTATGAACCATGTCACAGAGTGAGAGAGTGGGCTAGCGAATCTTTCATCACTTGGTAAACCCACAACATCTTGTTTTTCTCTTTACTAATCATTCTTTACAAAATAGCTAGGATTCACCTGTATGATAGACGGCGGAGGAGTCTGAGTGGTGTCGCCACTTGTGATTTTGGATAGGATTATGAGGATAATTCAGCAGATACAGGATCTTTCATTCACACCTAAGCCATGCAGCTACTTTCACATGATTGCAGAAACTAGCACTGGATGGCAAGGGCTTGTAGTGTCGTGCCATTCAAGATCAAGTAGGATATGCATCTGGCTAATGCACTAACTGTTCATTCAGCCTTATTACCATTATTTCAAGGTGACTCCGAATGTCTGTTCAAGTATTATAGGAACACGACAACGGTACTGCAAATATTTTCTTATCTCGAAATCGAAAGCATTGGAGTGCAACCGAGGGATTTCGTGCCACGGTCTTACAGGAAGTAGTTAAGGATCTTTCGAAAAAAAAACGGGGTTTGCAAGAAACGGCTCCCACAAGGGATAAAATTATCTATGAGAAAGGAAAGGCAGTCGTTGCAGTTATGCCTACAGGGAAAGTCGCAAGTAGATAACCACACCTTGTTTATTCCTGGACCCCATCATTCCTTATGTGGCTGAAATATGAGATAAAACATTACTATCTGTGAGGTTTCCCAAGCAAAAACCGCAGCTCCTTCATTTTCCAAACTCCATATATATAAATATCCATCGCAGATGACCGTTGAACCGCAAGAGTTTGACTAGGGCATCCTCCTAGCAGATACTTCAATACTTTGAGACACAAACCGTTTTCTAGAGTCATTCCCCCTCGTCAAAATATCCGAAAGTCGAGCATCAGTGTCAATGCATATCCTAGTTTACAGCTGGGCACAGTAAAGGATGGAAGAGGACGACTATCTTCAGCATAGCTTGATGGCGCGGATTGTGTTAACTGAATCCAAAGTCCAGTCGATTAGCTGGCGCGATAGGTACATATCTCAATCTATCTAACCACACATCGATGCCTATTATACCCAAAGTTGCAAGCCCCTTGATTATAATCGATATAAGATGCTTTTACGGTTGAAATTTAGTTTGGTGTACCAGTGGGATAAGAGATTCTCCGAAGCGGAACAGCGTTACTTGGACTACATAAACTTTCAAGAATCGAGTTTGACAATCATGGCCACGAAACAATTAATGCACTTGAAACACTCGCAGCACTTTATCATAAGATGGGAGATCTAGCGAAAGTTGAACTCACATACTGGGAAATAATCGAAAGACTGCGTGAAATGGTGAGGGATGCGAAAGCTATCCTCTTCATCCAGGAAGAAATTCATGACGGAAGGCCGTCACTCATCTGAAGCCCTCCTGAGAACGTTTGGGACAGATAGAGCACCTCACCAAAGGTTCTTTCAACGGCTAAACCACAAGCTCCTATTTCGAAGCCATTCATCACGGTTGTCGACAACTTTTAGTCAAATCTGGTCTTTGAAGGCTGTAGAATATCTGAAAACTCAGTGCATCATTTACGTTCTCAGTTTTCGGAGTCGAGGATCAAGGTGAAGTCGCTGACCGCCCCCGCCAATATGGAAAACTAGGATGAGCTTATAGACAGCTGGCGTCGCATTGCCAACAAGAATAGAAGTAATGGATTTAAGGATCATACGTTCGAGGTACTGAGGATGTTGTATTGTGCATACGGAACTTGTCTCCTTAAGAACAGGATGTGGGAAATTTCCTACAGTTTCTATTGTCAATCTTACGAAGGCCAGTACAAGCTGTTCTACGGCCCTTATGACGAAAAGTGTCTCCAACTTCTTCGCTGAATGATGAACTGCTTTGTCGAAGGAGATCAATGTGACCAGGGGGTTTCACTTGCTCGAAAATGTGTCTGTCGAGCGAAATAAAAAGTTTGGGGAATTGCATAAACAGACTGTTTTGGCACTGAAGAAATTAGGAGATGCCCTTTACTTCCAATCTTTCGAACCGAAGAAGAATAAAGGTACTAGAAGAAGCTATGATCAAAGAGGAATCCGTTTTTGTCACACACTTCTATCACCAAAATGATTCGAAGCACATTTTAGGTGCAAAAACGGCTGTGTGTCTACTGTCAATAGCCAATCGCTGGGACTATCGAACGATAAGATATCGGCAAAGCCCTTTAACCTCGACTTTTTTCGCAGGTGGGTGATCCACAGAGCAGATCTTCAGAGGTACTAAGAACAGTACGGTCCTTACCATATGATCACCCGTCGATACCGGCGCTTTGTTGGCGATAAAGCCCCAGAAACGATGGAAGACTGCGTCGAAAGAGTACGTCGCTGTTTTAGGACATATAACCTGTATAGCAAGAAGTGTGAACAGAAACTCAACTACTTAAAACATATTACTGAGAAACCGCAAAGTCGTCAGTTATCGCAAAACAAGAGTTGGACCGACAGTGTCAGCACAGGCGAACTGTCCACTGGGTCTGCTAAGTCGGTGTCGATCACAAAGGGGAAGCAGAGCTGAAGGCCAACATTGGGAGAGTAGCTACCAGAGTGGAGACAAGGAGATTGACATTGATCTGGATGACATTGACTCGGAGTCTTTGGTTTATCTTCCCGAACCAGATAGATCTGGACATACCAGATGAACAATTTAGACAGATCTGGCAACGATCAAAGTCAAGGACCCGGGATCCTATTAGAAGAATCCGATTTTCTGTATTGGGTTGTAATAACCGCTAGCTGAGGAACATGAAATGTGCTTCAAGAAATAACAGCCAGTCAAGTAGTAGGGGTTACTTTGACGTCCAGTTTGTACTGTTTGATGGTTCTTGAGAGACAGTGACTTTTAACATCCACGAAAGCTGCAGAATTATCTATAGCAGATATGCTTATGTGCTCGCCAGCTCCACAGTCTACTCCAGATATGTTCACAGGGATTGTGGCTAGCTTGAATAAACGGAACCTGCGTGAAATGGCATACTGGGTTGGTTCTGCAATGGCCTCAATGCTCGATTATTTGTTGAATTCGGAAGCCATCTGTTGACCGATCGTAGACTTCCCAGGCCAGATAAGTAGGTACACTGTTAAACAAGCCATTTACCTAAGGACAGAGGTTTTCGGTCGGCCAAAGAGACTGCCTCGTATATATTCGAGTCCTGCGGTTACACCTTTGTTTGGAATACTTTATTAATCACTCTCCGATTATCTAATCAAGCTGCGGATCCCCGACCCCTGTCATCCCAGCGAATCACCTTGGTATTTTACCTCAAGGACCTCCTTGGCAAGACAACAGTACGCTCAACTCTTTCCTGATTCTTTTTTTTCCAATTTTTTCTCCTTAATGATACAACCTGCTTTGCTCACATTAAGTTGCAACGATAATGCACAGTTCCCTGTGATCAAGATACCCAACCCGGCTTTGTTTACTCCGAGAGAGCTCCAGGCAGCGCGTCTTTCCAACTCAGCGCTGTAGTATAACAAACAATGCGACGTTCACTCCGTCTCATGGCCTCGGCCATGTCTGCATCAAACGGAGTTTCTCCTGGTTCTATGGCCCTCCTCCCCCCAATTTACCTTTACCGGCGCATACTTCGAGCACACCGGAAGCACCTACCTGCAGAGATGAGAGTTCTAGGGGATGCTTATGTTAAAGCAGAGTTCAGAGCTCATCGAAACGTGGAAAATCCTATTCATCTGGTGGGTTGCTCCATGAGTCCCTTCTACCATTATCCTCGCACCCCGATCTCCTCCCTTCTGTGATATTCCCTCTTTGTTGCAGCAAGTCGGATATGAAAGTGATATATCTCAATCAGCAACTGTCCTAACACGCTTTTATCTGCTACAATGTAACTTACATTAGTGATATTTCGGTAGATCGGGTTCCTCACTGAGTGGCAGCTCTATGCGCAGAAGATCGAAGGAGATTCTTGGAGGGGTGAGAAACTTGACCCACAGAAGATCGAAAAATTGAGTGGTAATTTTACCTTTTTTCCCTCCCTATTTCCCTCTGCATGAAACTTTGTGTTGACGACATTCGACACACAGATGAGCAAATTGGTCAATTATATGAGTTGATGAAAACCATACAGAAGCTTGGAACTGAAGAGTCTGGCTCGGACTCTACCTCATCTTAACTTGCTTTCTCAGATTCAAAACAGACGGTATGGTTAGGCGCAAAATGCAAAACAAATGCCCTTTGGGGTTAATAACCGCTGATAAACGCTGATAAAAATGCATTATTAGTTTCCCTGGTTAACAATTATACCTGAATAGTACCGAGTAAATTACAACGCTTCAGCAGCTTGTAAAACACTACTATCTCTATTATTATCAATATTCAGAGTTTTCTATATCACTGTACATGTCAACGATTTATTTGCTTCCAGTACACTTGTCAACGAGCTGGCAACTGGCAATCCTTGAAGACATAACAGTATTCCTTTGTAGTGCTGAATAGGATATCGTGTAAAGTTATTGTCACATTCTCACCGATCCATTTTACTGCGAATATAGTTTATTTTGCTGTCCAGATCAAAACTTTAGGAATCTGCCTAGGTAGCTATCTGGTTGACTTGCTGTTTTATGCTCCTAGAGCCTCTGCAATCCAAGAACTTTGGACGACGCTGACCTTCTTGGCGTAGTTCTTTTGTGTGTAGACATAATCCAGATACATGATAGCTTCCTTCTTTTGACCGTGTAAAACACTTGAAGGATGTATTGCAACAACATGCTTGCCATGTGAGGTAACGTAGCTATAGTCCGGGGCCAAAATGGCGGTTTTTAGGGCGAACCCCTTCAGAAACGCCTTGAGAATTTTTTCGGCTTGTTCTGGAGAAACTGGCGTGAAGGGTTGAGGATCTTTTGGTGGATCTTCCATCATCCCTTCTTTAACACATAAACCCCGAAGCTGCTTGCGAATGTTGAGAGCTTGTTTCATATTCCTGACGTTGATTTTACGGTCCTTGCACCACTTTGTCCGATCAGCATTCTCCGATGTATACCGCTGCATTGTTGTCAAATATGTGATAAGGTCTCCTTCGCGTCGGTATAGCTCTTTTCGAAGTTGCATTGCTTCCGACTCCTCATCTTCTGAACGCAATTGAAGGTAGATGTCTTCGCCGGCAGTGACACAAGCGATAATATCGATAACCTCAAGCAGGCAATCGTACTCGGGCTCAGCTGCTGCAAGGAGAACTCGGGCATAAGGCGGTGTTACAGGGAACATGACCATTTTCCTTCCCATTTGAGTGATGATACCATTATCATCAATAGCACCGAGGACATTGAGGTGCAAAAGAGCTTTCTCCACAGACTCTGCTTCAGGCGGGTCCATCAAGGGGAAAGCAAGAATGTCATTGACCCCTCGTGCTAACATAGTCAAGACCGCGTTGAGAATGTCCGTCCGAAGGATTTCAGGAAGATCTGACTCTGGCAGAGACTCGTATGTCTCCTTTGTGTAGAGTCTGAAACACTTCCCGGGGCCTTCTCGTCCAGCCCGCCCAGCTCGTTGAATTGCTGATGACTTTGAAATGCCTTTGGGAAGCAAGGATTCCATTCCCAATCGCGGGCGGTATTCTTTGATCTTCGCCTTACCGCAGTCGATCACATATCGTACTCCGGGAACCGTGACTGAGGTTTCGGCGATGTTGGTTGCCAGGACAATTTTCCGCGTAAAGCCGCTAGGCAGTGGCTGAAATGCTTGGTGCTGGGCCTCGATAGGAAGTTGGCCGAACAATGGGAAAACTTTAATCTTGGGAAGATTTGGGTCTAGTCCTGATGCCCATTCCTCAATCCTGTCTTTGGCAGATTCAATTTGCTCTTGCCCAGGGAGGAATGCCAAAATGTCTTTCCTGCCATACTTGTCTGAAAGCGCTTCTTCAGTGTGAATTTTAATGATTGTTTCAAGCAAAGCCTCTTCGATGTCGGGCACTGGTTTTGGAGTGTGTATTATTTCAACAGGGAACTGGCGTCCTTCAATCCGCAAGTACTCAACTGAGCCATTCCCTTCAGTTGCACCATCTTCTGGAGAGAAAAACCTCTTGATACTCTCGACATTAGCGGTCGCGCTCATAATAACAACCTTAAGTGGGACCCCCCCACGCCCGGCTTTGTCACCGCAGATGATTTGCTTAAGAAAACCAGCAAGCAGGTCGACATCGACACTGCGCTCGTGAATCTCATCAACGATAATGGCGCTGTACTGCCTTAGGTGAGGATCACGGAGCATCTCTTGAAGCAGCATACCCTCCGTGAGGTATTTGATCTTCGTGCCCCGAGGAACTCGATGATCAAACCGAACCGAGTACCCCACAAGCCCGTTAAAAGAGTGACTACTCAAAGGAGTGCCGACTTCACGGGAAACTCGATGAGCCAGGGTTGTTGCCGCAACCCTGCGAGGTTGAGTAACGGCTATCACCCCACCAACAGAAACCTCTTGCGTCGTTCCGTCCAGTTCAACTTTCACTTTCTTCTTCCTACACCACTGCTCTTGGTAGAGGAATTGAGGTACTTGAGTGCTCTTGCCGGAACCCGTCTCTCCAACGAGGATCAGAACGTCTTTTCGGCGAAGTATGCGACGAATATCATCTTGACGCGTCCAAAGCGGCAAAGCCTGACGCACAGCGAAATACTGAGGGTCACCCGAAGGTGGGAGACAGGGTTTGAACGTGGTCAACACCCTCTCTGGGGAAAGGTGTTGTGACGTCGACGATTGGTGAGGCTTCCTAAGGTCACCCTTTGCCGAATTGGCAGTTGGCGATCCGATTGTTGATTGCGTCTTGGGCTTTTTGGTTAAATAACCCTCGAGGGATATGACTTTGTCTCCGATTCTGATCACATCTCCTTCCTCAGCTTTTCTCTTTTTGCTTCGTGCCATATCTCCAATGAAACTAAAAAAATCCGGCTTTTGTAGAAGATAACTTATGTGAGATTGCCTGGAAGCGATGGAGTTGAGCAAATTAGGGAGACAGAGAGGTGGGAAGGCAGGTATTGCGACAAGAGTAATGGAAGATGAAAGTCTTTACTTCGTATGCTTTACCTATTCTTGTAAATCATGGAAGCAGACCTCGCAAAGGTTCTCAAGAAATCTGGAGTAAACCATGCCTTCTTCGGTAGGCGGTGAAGCTTATGCACGGATCAATGACTGCACACGGGTCAGTCGGCTGGGTGAGCTCGGCCTACTGGGGGTAGATCCACCGGAGATAACGGCTCTGTCCCCTGACTGCGCGCTGCACGTATCACTTCCGACTCATCCAAATAACCAGTGAAGGCTGCAACAAGTTAATGTTTGGAAAGACTGTGGAGCACCGACAGAGATTTATTTCTCTCCCCTACGTTTAGTGACGTGCAATGCAGCAAAATCCTGGTGTTTCTGGGCCTTTGTCAACTGGTACATGGAAGCTGCAGAAGCTTGGGATTAATCCTAACCTTCTCGAACGATGCAGCTTAGAATGCAATTTGTGTATATGACCACAAACGTACACTGAGTAAATGGAAATACATGATAAGTAGTACCCCCTTACAATAGCTAGGGTACCTGCTACCTGCTACTAGCCCGAAAGAGTACGCGTACAGTCGAAAGCTCAAACAGGTGAATTTGGAGACAAGCTTAGGAGCCATATCCAGGGCACCAAAAAGCTGTCTGATGCGTATCGTCTAGGGACACTGGATGAGCTGGACGCTCTTCACACGACCATCAACAGCTAGTTAATCCGAAGAGGGTATCCTGGAATTACCTGGGCCAATCATGTCCGCGTCGGGGTCGAATTATAAGTCAAAATTCTGGTGTTTCACTCAAAACACAGGAGTCCAAGGCTGCTCTATCATTTCTTGGCCAGAAGAATATCCATCTGACGCTGACCTTTGCCGACATGATCCACGGCCACATCGGTCTGAAGAACGTTAGTCAACAGCATTACGCATTTCTTATGTCGAGACTTACCCGTTGGCTTATCTTCGCAAGCCTGTCATTCTGACGGTTAATCTTCAAATTAAGACTTTCTGCCAAGTACCTCACGTCTTGCACTTCACTCAAGGTCTCAGCTGTGTTGGTAGCGATCTCCCGCTCCTTCGCCAATTCCTCGGGGTCGCTCTCCTCATCTTCCAACATAAACTCTTTGCGAGCTTTGGCAAGCTCGCGCTCAGGCAATTGACCAAGCAAACGCTTTTGGGAGCGATGCTGGTTTTCCAGTGCCTGTTGCTTCTCTTGGTATTTGGCATCTTCCAACCTTCTCTGTTCTTTGTAGCTGAGCTCTTTCTCAGCAGTAGCCTGGGCAAGTGCAGCCCTTCTCTTATCTCGCTGCTTCTCACCAATGAATCCCATCATCCCGGCAGATTTGGTGACCTCATTGATGCTAGCACTCGCAGTGGTGGCTGCCCCGTCTACATGAAGGCGGTTAGCTTGTCATCATTGGCACTGTATTATTGGGGCTTGAGACATACCGGCTCTGCCAATATGATCATCGATTCTTTCAATCACCTCATCATCTCGGTCAATAATTTCGTGCTGAGACATGAGCTGGGCCTTTGCCTGCCTGGCCATTGCGAGTATGTTTCGTGAGGTATTTGTAGTATCATTCCTGACAGCCTTGATTTGAAACTTGGTCCGATTGTACTCCCAATCGATCCGCTGCTCTTCAGTCATTTCCTGCAGCGCAGGCTCTCCTTCAAATCCACCATTCCAAGACGCATGCTGTGGGACATTGGGATCCTGCGTTGGCTTTGACAGAGAACTGTAACGCGAAAACGAGCTTCCGTCATCCGTATCAAGACTGCCATACCCCCCTGGACGTTGATTGGGAGGCTGTTTGTCAAAACGGTTCTGTCCGAAGCCGCCTGGAGCTCCAATTTGACTGTTTGGGTACCTATTATTGTTAATATATGGTGATTCGGCTGACACTGAGTAAGGGGGCAGCGGTGGGCTATCTGTGTACCCAGGAGGTGTTTTGTTGCTTTCCCCAGTTGAGGTGCGAGAAGGACCGTGCAGCCCTTCACTGGGATGAGGACTCGGTCGCCGCGAGTCGCCAGGACGTGGTGCGTTATGATAGAGGTTGGCGGCATATGGATCAGCGGCGGGAGAAGGTTGAACATCTGCGTAGGGATTCGAGCTCTTCGGGTCCGGCCCAGAGGTTTTCGCCTTGTCACTGGATTTGCGGAACAGATCGCTGAACTTCCCCATGGTGAAGTGCTGCAACAAATAATTGCTCAGCACAAGTCGACTAAACACAGAAGTGCCTAAAGAAAACAGAACTCGACAAGACAGTAAGCGCTTGGGCGGAAGAGGGACGAAGGGAAGATAGGGAGAATGCTGGGATAATCAGGGGCTACGAGGCTGGGGATTGAGTGGATAAGAGGGTGTTGGGCCCTGGCGTGGAAGCCTTGCGTGTGTTGGGTTCGTTCCAGAACGCGGGCCGCCTGTCGCGTCGCAATGCTGACGACCCCTTGGGTTACGGCTTCAGCCACTGATGTGGAGGGGCGATGCAGCGACGCAGTGGCACCTGTTCGTCTTGATAGGCCCTTCTAGACGGAAGAAACGGCGGGGAGGTTGCCACACTCCAAGGGCGACTCAGAACGGTCGCTGTCTTGCTTACCTTCTTGGGGTTTCAAGTCTTTGGATTTCTCTTCTTGCTTCCTTGACTGGGAACTGAGCAGGAAACAACGCAATATCCATGGCCTTCGCCATCGTTTTTCCCTCTTTCTGGTTGTTTTCCTCATACCGCGGTAGGTCAACAGCAGGCGGTAGCAACTGCGTATTCTGTAATTGGCTCCCCGGCTTGGCGTTGGATGTGTGGCATAAGTGGGAGTGGGTCAATGTCGCCCAAGCAAGGCTGATACACCGCCAGGTAAACCCCCACCGCCTCCTGTCCACCTCTTCGTCAATTCGTGTGAAGGCATCCTTTGGTGATTCCAGCCCGAGTAAGATGGGTGTAAAGTAAAAACAAGTAGAAGCGCCAAGATAGGCACCTTCGACTGTGATATCTTTTTCGGGAACGACTTTGTTGTTGTTGCAAATTTGCTGGTTGGATTCAAGGGGCGGTTGAGGGGTTTTTTTTAAGAAGTCGCTCCTGTTAGGGCGATGCTGTTGGATGCCTTCATTCCCTATTATTGTTTGCTGCAAAAATTGAGGTAATTGAGTATCAGGGCCTTATCTGCAAATACAAAGCTGTAGGTAAGCATACGGTACGTCTCGTAATGTTACCAGCAGGCAGCCAAGCAAATCATCGGAAGCAATGACTACAGCCAATGCGTCACTCGGTATTGTATGATTGCTTTCAGACCAGAGCCATTGTTTGGAGTAGACTCACTTACCATCGTCGCCTTTCGCATTCTTCAGTAGCTACCTGATATTCTCACGCACTGCAAATTTTGGGCTTTTTGTAGCCCGGCTTTTGTATCCTCTTGCGAGCAATTTCATCAACATTAGCAGTTGAGCACCTTCCAAGATGGCCTTCCTCTATTGACGTGACGCGCGGAAGTTGTGTTGCTGGTCAATTAGTACAACAACGGGCCCGAGTCGTTCTGCTGCTCTCACCCTTCGCTCTGCCCATTGTTGTATCTTCTTTTCGCATCGGTTATCCTCGTCTCCTTGACACTCCAGCTTTCTATTCGAAGCCGCAAAATGATACCACGAATATACCGTCTTCTCCCGTTTGTAGTGACTCCCCGTTCAGCATTCTCAACGACACACCTGCTGGAGGATTAGGACGCAATCATTTTGCCTTGTATCCGTCATTTTACCCGCCATCTCCTTCACCATTCTTAGTTAGAAATGTCGGTCTTCACGTTTGACCCTGATCCTCCTCGGGTCTCCTCACCGTGGCTTCGATCAGGTATTGACAGCAAAACGCCGTCTCCTGATCAGTCAACAACCCGCAGCAGAGGTCCCGCAGGGTCCGGACTTCTTTCAGACTACGGCATCACTAAGCTTGAGCCTGAACCGCAGGATGGACCTACTGAATATAAGCTTCACCTCCTGCTGCGACCACGCAGGAAGTATGAGCGACTGAGCACCACCACCAGGATCTCCGGATCGACCCAGTCGCGCCCCTCTCTTGACGCCAAAACTCCGAAGCCAGCTTCTATCAGTCCTAGTCCACTGAGTGCTTCTTCCTCTCAGATGCGTCAAGATCGCCTTGAGCATCTCACGACCCAGCTGCTATGGAGATTGCAGCAGTCGTGCCCCTATCATGCTGGCTCTGCTGCACCAAAACTCGTGATACCGCAGCTCCCGGAAGAGAGCATCTCTTTAGAAGCCCCTCTCAAACTGGGCAAGTTGCTTCCCGGCTTAGAGGCATCAAGAGGCGCGCTTTATGAGATTGGAGTGGCTGACGATGGCACTCTGGTCGGCCTGACTAAGGATGAGATGGACGAAAGTCTAACTACCCTCCGTATTATGGCTGCCAGCCTTGGTTGTAACGTTGAGGTCTTACGCATGCTTGTTGTGGGTGATTGCGAGTGGATCGAGCCGAGCAATCCAAATGAGAGTTCTCCGGAATCGACATCTAAAGGTGTCATTCACAAAGCCAAACTCTGGGTAGCTGAGGCTCTGGTAACTCCCGACCTGCGACCCAGGGACGAACACCAGGCAGCGCTGATCTCTGCAAGATCATCGGAAACAGCCCGGACGACTGAGACCTTTCTGGACCCAAAACAGGAGCCGCTTACGACCAATCAACTCCGTATTACCCTGACGGGCCCGACAACATCCGGCAAGTCAACACTCCTGGGCGTGCTATCAACGGGAACACTCGACAATGGTCGTGGAAAGAGTCGGCTTGGTCTACTTAAGCACCTTCACGAAGTTGCATCGGGTGTTACCTCGTCAGTTACGCAGGAATTAGTTGGATACACCGATACTGAAGTTATCAACTACGCCCATAGCGCAGTCGAATCATGGATTGACATCCATGACTTCACGAAGGACGGCCGGTTGGTCTACTTGGTGGATTCCGCTGGCCATCCGCGGTACCGACGGACCATCCTTCGCGGCATCGTTGGATGGGCGCCTCACTGGACGTTGCTGTGCGTCGCTGCCGACAATTCTGAGTTAACTTCAACTGTTAGGGGTGGTTCACATCTACCAGAAGCAGCGCCTGGAGTCGATCTAGCATCTGCCCACCTGGATCTCTGTCTTCGCCTTCGACTTCCTCTGGTTATTGTCATCACAAAGCTGGACCTAGCAACCAAAACCAGTTTATCCTTTGTCTTGAGCAGGATATTGTCTGACGTCAAGAAGTTTGGTCGGGTTCCAAAGGTCGTTAAAGGGAGCCAAACAAGTTTTCCTGACCTTGGCCGGGTATCCCAGTACGATATCCATGCAGCCAAGGAGGCTTTAGCCTGCATTGATACAGCTGGTGATCTCACCTCGATCGTTCCAATTGTCCTCACTAGTGCGGTTGATGGCCGTGGACTCGGCTCTCTTCACGCTCTTCTCCAGCACCTCCCCCTACCTCCAACTCCTACCTCACGTGACTACATCGGAACGGCACTCAACCCAGAGCAACCGGCCAGCCTTTTCCACATTGAAGACAAGTTCAGCCTTCCTGCGTCGTCTGCGTTGGCCACTCTGAACTCCGACAAAGCTACGGACATTGGTACCGTTGTCGCTGGCTATCTCCGGTTCGGGACGCTATCAATTGGGGATAAGGTTGTTGTTGGACCGTTCCCCTCAAATGAAGACCATCTCCATGGGGAATCAGCCCTGCCGGATGATCGACATGGTAGCAGCAGCTACCTTTCGGCTTTGCACCCTTCTTCGTCTGCTGCCCTTGCCCGAGCCTCCACCTCACGCAACACCCTCGCCGCGTCCGCTGCTAACAGCGAGTGGTACACTGCTTCCATTGTCAGCATCCGCAATCTTCGTTTGCCAGTGCAAACGCTGACAGCAGGCCAAGTAGGATCAATTGGCATCGTGTTTGACCCACACCCACAAATAACTGCTCGGTCTGCTGCTACCCTCTCTTCTATCAAGCAGCACTCATCTCGCACTGTTGGTGGTAGCACTCCGAGATTGCGTAAAGGCATGGTCTTGGCCATACCCAGTCGACATATGGTGTCGTCTGGGCTCACTTTACAGGCTGCAAGTGGCCTTATAGCTGTGTTCGATGAAGATAATCGGGATGCGTGCCACTTAACGGTGGGTGGGCTCGTGAATATATATGTGGCAAGCGTCAGAGCAACGGCAAGGGTATTGCGTGTATCGAAGGTCAGTTCTCATGCTCATAGCGAGGCCATGAACGATGGAGAGAGTGGCGGTGATATTGGCGGTTCGAGATTTTTTGGGATAGAGGAGGCTCATGAGAAAGAACATGCCACTGATGCTTCTGGTCCCGAGACCGATGGTGCGGTGGAGGTGCAGCTGGCGTTGATGTCGAACAGGGAATGGATCGAACTGGGATCGAAGATCTTAGTTCTGGAAGAGAGGAAGAGAGATAAGTCTGGTTTGGAGGGTTATGTAGGGAAGGTGATTGAGATTGTTGAATAACGTGGATGGTTGCAAGGTAGGCACATTTTCCTACTTGGTTTTTCTGTTCGAAAGTATAGGGCCCTTGTTTTTGGCTAGCTATATATAACATGAGCGTTATGCAGTTATTAGTATCTTGTTTAATAGTTCAGTACCATTAGGTTTGGATCTATCAAATATCTCATATGTTCACATACTCATGAGCCGCTCCCTGACACAAGCCCTAACCATAAGCGCCAAATATGACAATACGAAGTCCACCATTTCTCTGCGTCTCAAGCTCGTACCAACCCATAAAACAGTGTCCATGTCAGAATATAGCCGGCTAGGCCATTCAACAGACCTCCTGTCCAGAAATCCCATCCTCCACGAGGGAAGTATCGGCTAGTGTCAAACAGACCTTTCTTGCCCGAGCCAAGAGATGTTGGAGCCACTCGCAATGTGTAAACTAGAAACGCAGTAAGGAGAGAGAATACTCCGTAAAAGAGAAAGCCGTCATATGATTCAAGACCCAGGATGCCGGCAGCAACACCGAACAAGGAAGCAGTCAAGGAATACAGGTTGGAGAGCGCCTGGGGTGGGGAGGGGAGGGTTAGCGGGGAAGGGCAGTTTTGCGGGGGTGGAGTCGAGGCACAACTAACCCTAGAGTTATGGATCACGGAATCTTGGACGAGAGGGGAGATCTGAAGTTCCCGTTCGGAGCTCATGTTGGCAGCGATGTAGGTGGCTATTGGGAGACAATGGCTGGGTCTTGGAGCTTGTTTGTATGGAATTGCTGTCCTAGCTCCGGCTGAATAGATTCTTGTTGACAGGAGAGGATAGTATCTGCGTTTTGTGCGCAGCTAACTATGAGAAGGGAAGCGGAGGGGCTCTGTTGCTGGAGGTCGAGCACCTCGATGATGATGTCGTCTGGAGAGCTCGAGCTGCGCTGCGATGCGATGCGATGCTGTGGCACCAAGCATGGAACAATACCCGCTTCGGGCGGATGTCTGTGGGGATGGCAGTTGGAACACGCGATTACGGTAATGCGGAGAATTACGCTTGGAGGTGTTGTCATTACCAGGGCCGTTACAAGAGTCGCATCCGTGTCATCCGCGCTCTCGGAGATTGGCGCATCTGCCACCTGGACCCTGGCATGTGCATTCATGCTGCAGCATCGGTAATAACCTTGGCCTTATTTCAGAGGTGTGATCCCTCGGCAGTGACCCTCATCTGGCAGAATAACCTCGAAAACAATGACAGATCTGAACAGATTGACACATGCTAGAGAATTCCTCGGTTTTGCAAGACATCTAGCATGAGCTTGCGGCCGGAACGACGGGCTTATTGCCGGGAACACGTTAGGGAGATCGCAAACCTGGGAACCTTGTCATGCTATTAGATACGTAACGTCATACGGAAACATTGATCTTCCTGGATGTTTAATGATCCAAGGGCCCCCCAACTGACCAGGGTCTGTCAATGGGACCTCCTCAATTTAGCACCGCCGTTCCAACAAAAGCATCTCAGTGTTTAATGAATGCTTTAGCGCTCTCCTTTGTGGGTGTGCAAGTTGGCAGAGAACAGTCGCCTTCCCCTTGCGTTGCATATCCAGTACGGAGTACATAGTAATACACGAATCCACCCGGTGATCAAGAGAGCAGCCCATCGTCAATCCCGTTTACCACTACCACTACCATCTCATCTTGTTCAGCTCCCAAGTCTCAGGTCCCCCGTGCCAATCGTCCGCAGCCACGCGCGCATCTAAGTCACAACGTCTTCCTGATCTCGGTCGTGATCTCCGAACGAGTCATGCTTACAGGCTGCTAAGTAAAGCAGCTTCCCGCCAGCAGTCCAGCGCTTCGTCGCACTAGCGCATCGTCACCCCATCCTTTCCACTTGTCCGACGGCCTCTTTCTCCCAGTTTTTGGCGGCACCCCGTCCAGCATCGCGTGTCCTGCGTGTGAGGATCTTGCGAACCAACGACACAGGCGACCAACCGCGTAGTACTTTGTTGGCGGAACGACGACGGTCTTTGATGCGCACCGGCGGGCAGATGGGGGACAGGTGCCACGGCCGCGTAACCAACTACCTCTAACCGCAAGCGACAGCGCTCTTCATGGAGACTATCATCCAGGATCACACTCCTCTCGCCGACTATCTTAAGGGTTAGCACCGTTTCCTTTGCTTCCTGCTCTGATTCGATACCCGCTCTCATACCTTGCGCTTCCCCTGGTCAATCTCGAAACTAATCGCATCATCCCTATGGCAGACGAAGGCGAAGAACAACCGTCCTTGCCTACTCCCTCGGTCTCGGATGATCCCGGTCACGATGAGTCGCCGCCATCAAGTCCGTCGTTTGCCCCGGTAGGGCGACCGATGGTCAAGAAGCGCTTCCGTAAGCTTCCCGAGCGACTCTCTCTTGACGTGCCCTCAATAGATCGGTTGCGATCATGGAGGAATTCGTACTCGGTGAGATGGCCCTGTGATGCGCGCGCTTGCATCGCTGACAGGCAGGCAAAGGCAAGACTGACACGTTGGCTCTAGAAAGTCGTCGTCTCGAGTTTAGATCGCGCCGATAACCTTAAGTTCATCGAACAGTTCCGCTATACTATTGTTGCTTCCCAACTTTTGAATGGGCATTCGATCACAGGACACCACAACTTCCTGAACCGATCCAGTGAAACATCAGAATCACTCCCCCATGCTCCAGGGCCATCCTCGACGGGATTATTTGCAACGGCCGCTGCGGCCGTGGTGGTAGCCTGGGTGGTCAAATATTTGTTTTCAGGGGGACTTGCGCATTTGACAAAGAAGCGCGTCGCTATTTCTGCCGTTATCCTCATTGCAGTCGCATCTGTGTCGCATGCCTACCTTCGGCAACAGTGGTTGCGTTATTTGAGGAATCAAGCGCTGAACGAGGTGACGATCTTTGTGTCGAGGTCCCAGGAGTTCGACAGCGCGTCGAGTGCTGCCATCTCGCTCATCCAGGAGGTGGAGCTTGTTTCTCGGGGTTACAGGATGTAAGTCGATCTGTGAATCCCAACGGCAGCCATACTCCGTTTGATACACTAACACACACTGTAGAAGCGCTCCTTTGCCACCCATTAGTCGTATCGAGGACAGGTCTCAGTCGCGCCGTTGCAGCAGGCTGCGGAAGGCGCTGAAGGGACAAATGTCGGAAATGATTGAGAACTACATGCAGGTCACGACAGCAGTTAAAGGATTTGCTGAGCAAATGGACCTGGAAAAGTACCATGATATCTACGATATCAGCGATTTCGACATCTCAGATGCCATGCAGGGCTTTACGGAAAAGGAGTTCGAAGACATGGAGTCGTTGCGCTCACTTAAAATCGCGGCCGCTCGCTTCCATACCATCCGCAAGATTCTGCTTTGCTCCTTGCTTGCTTTTGAGGCTTCGGGAGACAACAATGACTACCTGCGCTGGTCGACAGCTGTCGAGGGACTGAAGACGCTGAATGAGCTCACCCTTCAGAGCTTCGAGAGGTTACGACAACTTCTTGCTGATGAAGAGAGTAAGATGGCACAGCACTTATCATGATTGTTTATTCAGTTGTGCTAACCCATTCAGCATTCCCCACGATCCCAGAAACAAAACTGCCACTATCCCCGGCTCGCGAAAAACGCCGATCACAGTTCATGAAGCTCAACTCTCTGTCCACAGGCATCCGGGGCCTACAGGCCAAACTTGCGCTGCTGCGCGAAGAGGCAGAAAAGACGCTCAACGAAGCAGACGATGTCAACGATGTTTCAGAGCTTGGACAGGCTCTCATGGCGCAATATGAGTCGATTGGCCAGGATTTGAAAATGCTCACCCAAGCATGGGAGGAGGGCAAAGCAGCTCTGGCCTCGGGCATTGACAAACATGAGAAGCGGATATCATCCATTAGCAGCCTGCTTTCCCCTGCAAGCTCCCTCAGCGGTCTCACCGCTATCGAGGAGACACCCGGTGGCGGTGCGGCCGAGGCCTTCAAAGCCCTGACCGGCGAGTCGCCGCGTAGCTCATGCTTCGGCAGCACCAAGGGCGACTCTGACGAGGCTGAAGTGTACGAGGCCGTCTCGCTGCCGTCACGGCCGCGCAGCCTGCTCACAAGGGAAGAGCGCATCGCCAAGATGAAAGAAGAGCGGGAGCAAAGAGAGCTTGCCCATGAGAGGGCCGAAGCTAACCGTGGTATGCTCCGGGAGCTTGAAATGGTCATCAACCTCCGACCCAAGCGGGCGACCATGCCGGCATCTTCGCGCATCTCGTTATGATGACGACGACAAATAGAGAAGACAAAGACAGGCCAAAACCGAAACGGTCGTTTGGAGTGGTTCCTTTGTTTTTTGCATCACGCTTTACTCTCTAATGGTCCATTTCGTTTGTATAGAGTCTTTCCCTTTTCACTACCCTTGATTTGTTTTCCCATGCATCCAACTTGGTGGATATGTGGCAGCATATCAACACCCATTACATCCGTACAATCACTTCCAGCATTTCTAAGTCTTTCAGGGTTCCTCGGCGGGTCGCACAGTGGGATGGTCGGCGTTTTGACTAGGTCTGGGAATGCTTGCAACCAAACATTGACTTATCCAATCATACTGCTAATCCGCATCGTCATCTTTGTACCTAATCAGCTTCGGAAGCAGGAATTTAGACTCCTCCAATGGTCAGACCAACTACAATTCAAAGGATATTTGTCATCCAGGAGCCGATATGTAAATGGTTGTTTGCTTTTCGTCGTTTTTAAGCTTTGGTTGGTGCCCAAGGTCAAGGCAGGAGGACAAGGGTTGAGCGTGGAAGGCCTCCGGCAACCCTTCCCCGCGCCAAGCACCCAGGCAAGATGGAGCCGCCTAACCGGATATGGCAAAATCAATCTACTTGGGCTTGTCGCGTCGCGCGCCTGTCCGCCAGCACGCGTGTCGCGTGCCCACAGTTCTTGAAGCCCTGAAGCTTTCCTTTTTCTCCCACTGCAAACCTCCATTCTCCAACTCCAACAGCCCCTCTCAACGACTCTCACGAAGAACATCGCCGCCGCGTACTACCACCAACCCTCACGCCCCTTTCTTTCATACTGATTCTCCAAACCCAAAATACCTTTGACATAAACTCATTCATCATCCAGTATGTGTTCGGGCGCTACCCCGCTATCCGCATCGACCGGCTCTGGACCCTACATGCGATCGACAAAAAGCTAACGCAATTGCAGCCATGTTAGAAGCACGGTTGGAGCAGGCCAGCATCCTGAAGAAAGTGGTTGACGCCATCAAGGATCTGGTCCAGGACTGCAACTTCGACTGCAATGATAGCGGTATCGCCCTTCAAGCTATGGACAACAGCCATGTCGCTCTCGTGTCCATGATGCTTAAGGCCGAAGGCTTTTCCCCCTACCGCTGCGATCGTAACATCGCGCTCGGCGTAAATCTCACTTCTCTCACCAAAGTGCTGCGTGCCGCCCAAAACGAAGATATTCTGACTCTCAAGGCCGAGGACGCCCCTGATGTCCTGAATCTGGTCTTTGAGAGTTCTGAGACTGATCGCATCTCCGAGTACGACCTTAAGCTCATGGACATTGACCAAGAGCACCTGGGTATTCCGGAGACCGAATATGCTGCCACTATTACCATGCCATCCAATGAGTTCAAGCGTATCACGACCGACTTGATGGCCATGTCGGAATCTGGTACGATTCTCCTTGAGCACACCATTTAAAAATTCTTAAAAGGCTTTCCGCTAACACGCCAATTTCAGTAACCATCGAGGCTAACAAAGACGGCGTCAAGTTCTCTTGCCAGGGTGACATTGGCAATGGGTCTGTGACGCTTCGTCAGCATACCAACGTCGAGAAGCCTAACGAGTCGATTGAAATCGAGCTCAGCGAGCCCGTCTCCCTGACTTTCTCTCTCAAGTACCTTGTCAACTTCTGCAAGGCCTCGGCGCTCTCGAACACTGTGAAGATCTGCCTTTCCAACGAGGTACCCCTGCTGGTTGAATACAGCTTGGGTGGCAGCAGCTACCTGCGCTTCTACCTTGCTCCGAAGGTATGCTGTTTGGTCTTTGTATGTTGTTTTGTTCGATGACCAGTTGGCTAACTGTGTATAGATTGGTGATGATGAGTAAGCATTGAGCGTTGTGACGGGTGAGGAATGACGCAATGACTGCCACTTACAAGTTGGCTTGGTTCATGGGTTAGTAGGATGGGATACCTGACGGTGGCTATTGTAAAAAGGCCCAACATACTAAAAGAACCGCGCGAAGCAGTTCCAGTCTTTAGAAGTTAGAGGAACCATAAGATAACGGATATCTGGGTGACCTTCTTCGGTAATGAAATAACTATTGCCTTCACTCAGGTTTGATCTCTTGCATCGTATTGCGAATTACACGTATCCGGGAGGCTCTTTTACAGATCAAGGGGCATCGTACACTTGACGCTTCCAGATGTGCTAACGTAGGACTAATCTCGCCAAAACGTTACCGTCTCCTTAGACCAAACATCTTAAACTCCATCCCTTCCATTTCCCATTTCTCCAATAACCATTGCAGCTGCCGTTCCGCAAACGACCTGATGCCCTTATCCGTCTCCGCAAAGCTACAACTCGCCAGACACCATGGGTGCGCTTTCTTCCAGCGCGCCCACCACCAGTGTCACCGCAGCCGACACAGGCGCCGCTGGCGGATCTCGCCGGGCTCGCAGACGATTCGTCGTCCGTTCGACCATCTCCCGCCCGATGTAAACACAAGCGTCGATCAGCGAGACGATCTACGCTTCTAGAGCCAACTCTTCCTCCGGGTGCATGCCCGCGGTCGCCCAGCCGGATGGCCCGTAGTCTTCCGTGACGTGTAGTGCCGCGCAATGATGCTTTTTCCAATATTATATCTGCGGGCAGTATCTCGAATGCTGGGCGGTTTATCCTGCTTCTTGAGCTGGCCCTCAGTCTTGCCTTTGGTCTTGTGCGTCTGGTGGCCCTCGTGAAAGCGCGTCCTCTTTGGCGATAAGTCAGCAGGCGACGCACAGCACTAGAAGTTCTTCGGACGGTTGGAGGCTCTAAAGTTTTGGTGGCATTTGTGGAAGATTTGTCTTCCAATTAGAGTGACAGTCAGCTTCTCATCGTGATTGATACAAAGCATGGGGTAGAATTGAGGTCGTGAAGGTGCCTGTACCGTTATAGCAACTGTCCGCTTCTTGGGCCCTGGGCCCTGGCCTTCTCCTGTCCACCCCCTGTCTTAAGTTTCGTCACAGCCCCGCAGCGCATCTTTGCTTCCCGCGGCATGTGCATGGCGGGGTCACATTTCATGCCCGTGGCACTGGTCCTCGAATTCGACTCATCCAGTCACGGCTCGACTCACTGCCAATTTCTGGACCCTTCCAGCGGCAGAAGCCTGCAGATTTGAGATCACACATCCCGGCGCGTTAAAGATCTCGACAGGGATAGGCTCAAACAAAGTTCAGGCGACTTTCGCGCTGGAATCTTTTTTGAGACAACAGTCGCATTTGCTCTCGCCGTTCAGCAAAACCACTCGTTGCTTGTATAGACCGTTCAGTCGCTTTTCCTTTATCGCTGAGCCGTCTTTTCCTGCTTGCATTGTTGTAATAGATACCCCTAGACCGTACAATCTCGGTTCCAGAACCAGTGGTTGCCATCGGCTCTCCCTGTTTTCTGGTTTCTCCTCGATCTTTATCTCCATCCGTGGTGTTCTGTCTTAGACAAAGATTACCTTGCGACATCATGAGTGAAGGCTGCCCTGTTCCCGAAACCCGGGTTCTGGCAGTCGCTAGTCATGTAAGCTTGCACTGGTGTATACCTTTTCGTTGATATTGAAGTAGTTGCTAATTGCTCCTTGGTTAGGTTGTCTCTGGGTGAGTCACTAACGACACTGGACGAACTTACCGTCTGTCTCCCTGCGCTTCCAAGTCGCTAACAGAACCTTATCCTGTAGATATGTTGGAAACAAGATTGCCGTCTTCAGCATGCAGTCCCTTGGCTGCGATGTGGCAGCGTTGAATACAGTCCAATACAGTGAGTTTGTTTTTTTTTTTTTCATCCTTAGCATTCCGACATACATGAACTTGTTGGCAGGCCTAACCTCACTTTGACAGGTAATCATACAGGTTATCGCCAATGGACCGGCTCACGAGTATCTGCGCAAGAAATCACGGACTTGTATCGGGGACTCAAACAGTCTTATCTTGACGACTTCGATATGATGCTTTCTGGTTACGTGCCAGGCGCTCCCGCTCTTGAAGCTGTTGGGCAGATTGGCCTTGAGCTCAAGCGCAAGGCTAAGGGGAAGCCTGGGAGCTTCTTCTGGGTGCTTGATCCGGTCATGGGAGACAATGGGAACCTTTATGTTGCACCGGACGTAGTGCCCGTATACAAGAGCTTGGTACACCATGCAGACTTGGTCCTACCAAACCAGTTCGAGGCCGAGTATGTCCAACTCATAAACTTTCCCTGACCTTTATGATTCAAACCCTGACCAACTTCAAACGTACAGGCTTCTCTCTGATACGAAAATCACGGACGTTTCCGCACTTGCTAATGCCATACAAATCATGCATGAACGTTATCGCATCCCTCACATCATTATCACATCAGTGTCCCTACCACATCCAGATCACCAAGAAGGCTCAGGACCAACCCTATCAGTTGTCGGCTCCACGATGACCTCGGACAGCCGCGCTCGTGCTTTCAAGATCGTCTTCCCTGCCATTGACTGCTACTTCAGTGGGACAGGCGACATGTTCGCCGCGCTGATGCTCGTGCGCATGCGGGAGGCTGTGTGGGAGCACGATCAAAAGATCCGCAGGAGGAAGCAAGAGCAAGGACAGAACAGCGATAGGGATAGCAACGACATCTTGATGACCCGCGACGCTTGGCTTTCTGATGACAGCGTTGATGCGCTCGACTTACCCTTGGCCCGCGCCGCCGAAAAGGTGTTGGCAAGTATGCACGAAGTGTTGACCAAGACGGCTGAGAACATGCAGGGAGCCATCGAGAAGGTTAAGCGGGAGGTTGCTGCTGCAGCCTCGGAGGAAGGATTAGTTGACGGAGTGAAGGAGGGCACGGATGGGTCTGTTTCGAAGGAAGAGGCAGAGAAAAAGATGATGCACTTGCTGAAGAGCAAGGCTGCAGAATTAAGACTAGTCAGACACTTGGATAGCTTGCGTTTCCCTAAGGTACAGTTCAAGGCGACGAGGCTGGAGGTCTAAGCTATGGCAGAAAATAAAGTTGGATGAGTCGAAAAAAAAACGGCTGGGTGGCTTTTTAGCGTCTTTGGTAGACCACGGGATGAAGTATAGTCCCGGTATATAGAGAGCGAGATATTGTTGACAGATTATTGGATCTCTAGGCAGTTGCATCAAGCATCAACATCACTGATCGCATTCGATCATGCCAGAGATATCAAATGCCACGAGAAAGACCGTAAACTCCTGATTACCGTTTAGGTCCATATGCCCAGTGTCCGCTTAGCCCACCCATATCGCGATGTCCTGGTCCCTGAAATCCTCTCCTGGCCATAATAAGAAAACCTTAAAACACAAATCCCATAAAAGCCTCGTTCATCGTGACCAATTTAGTTGATGCCTGTGCTGCCAAAGCCACCAGCACCCCGCTCACTCTCATCAAGCTCTTGCACTTCCACAACTTCAGGAGTGTAGATGCGCTCGAGCACAAGCTGGGCAATGCGGTCGCCCTCCTTGACCTGGAAGTCGGTCTCGCTATGGTTGAACAAAAGGACCTTGACAGGGCCGCGGTAGTCGGCATCAATGACACCGGCTCCTGTATCGATGAAGTTCTTGGCAGCGAGACCAGAACGAGGGGCAATGCGGCCGTCTGCATCGCTGTTTTAGTATTTCCTCTTATGTTATAGCACAACACAACGATGATTGCTTACAGGTTCCCAGCGGCACTGCCATGCTGATATCTGTCTCAACCAGAGCCTTGCCTCGGGCCGGAATAACCGTGTCATGAGCGGCGTACAGGTCATACCCGGCTGCAAGAGCGCTGCCCCGCGTGGGCAGGCGGGCCTTGTCTGACAGTTTCTTGATCAGGAGGGGGCCCGGCTGGTCCTGCTGCTGCTTTTGGGCAGCGCCATTAGAGGACGAGCTGGCGGTGGACTCCATGGTGGCAGCAGAGTCGGTCTTGAGTCGCTTTGCAGGTGGAGAGGTCGGGGCAATGGGAGAAGTAGGAGCAGCAGTGCTAGTAGTCTCTGCCGTCATGATTCTGGTTTGTGAGAAAAATTTTTCCCGAAAATACGGTATCAACCGAAGAACCGGTACACACGATCTGGTGGTCCGGAAGAAAAGCATGGATTGATTTGCACTGGCGAGGGAAGACGCGAGGACGCGATCTAGACGCGTCCCGTTAATTGGTGGCAGGACAGGGGCTTTTCAGGGTCCACAAACGTTCTCTTTTTTGATTGGACAATTGGCCGCCCCTAACCCCATCATCCAGGCCCAGGAGAGTCTGGGAGGTGATGTGTAGCAGCATGATAGGACTCAGCGAAGTGCTGAGTTGTCATCGCGTTGAGTCTAGATCAAACTACAAAACAGACACGGGAGTGGACGTCACTACAATCCAAAGGAAACCAAAAATATTTGTTTCCACATACTATCGGCACGATGATCCGGTCGTTCTTGACGACAGCTGGAGTAAAGGCTGCTGAGGTTGTTTCGTGGCCGAAGTTGATGAAGGGATCGCCCGATGTTGTTTAATTGTCTGCAGATGCCATGCAGAAACATATCTGCTTTCAGGCCTTGGATCGCTCTAATGTTCGAGAGCTCTAACTATCCACTTCTCGCCCAAAGTCGACAAGTCGTATCTTCCGAGCATCTTTGGGGTCGAACATGGCAACCTTAGATCGAACAAGGAACCTTGCTGCTGCCGATTCCCTGGGCAACTCCACGTACGCGGCTGAGTTGTCGCCGCGAGCTTCTATCAGCTTGTTCATGAGCTGTTCTAGAAGATCGCGCATCTCGGCCGCCGCAGCGGAGGCCTCATCTCTTGGCCTCTTCTTGCCAGCTTCCCCTTGACTATCCATGGGAGCCCACATCTCGTCGATCCTCCTCTGACGCTTGTCCTGGTCTGATTCCCCTTTTGTCTTCTTCAGTTTACCGTGGGTGGTAAACCCTGCTTCCAAGTCGTTTGGATTAATGTCAATCATGTCTCCTACCACTGGCCCACCAAGATCCTCGGCCGCCAGCATTGGCCCCAGATACTCCTCAATAAACTGATCTAGCTGCTTCATGAGAGTTGAAGTTTGCTTGTCCCAGTGCTCCTTTTGCTTTTTCAACTCAGCGATTCGTTCTTTTGAGAGTTGGTCTTCGCTTTTCTCCCCCTCATCCTCTAGCCCTTCGCGTAAGGACTTGAGACGGTTTTCCAACGCAGTTCTCAGAGCTTCCTGCTCACAAAGATTGGCTTTTTCTGTCTCTATCCGACGTTGAATTTGCTCCAATGACTGTGCCTGGGCTGCGGCGCACTCCTGAGACTCTTGGATTGTCTGGTGTGCACGTCGCATCGCCAGCAGTGCCGGCAAGACCGAGCCAGGTGATGGCAGAATAGGCTCTGATTCAGCTAGGTGTTGGAAGGCTTTAGTCATGATCTCTACAGACTCTGTGGCCGAGGAGTCGGCACCGACAGCCGAGTCTGATCTCAACTACAAGAAGTAAGCTTTAGCTGGGCGATTGACAAGGTAAATGTGTTACTACTTGAAAGATAAGGAACACACCTGTTGGATTGCATCCTCCAGCTGCTTTTCAATGCTTTTCAGCTCTTGAATGGTGCGCTCGAGTTGAGCTTCGTAAGTTCGATCGCTTCTACGCTGGGGACTCGGATCGACCTCCATCTCCATTCTGACACTGGATTGGTCTTCTGAACGTAGGCTCGATTTGGTACAAGTTTGGACACGGTGGGCGAGAGATAGTCAAAGAATCGATTTCTTTTAGCTTCTTTCTTTTGGTTATCGAATCCTGGAAATCACACCGTACAGCCCTATAGAGTAGTTATCCGATTTCTACTAAGACTGACACGTATTTTGCTGAATGGCCCGATCTGCACAGCTTGAAAGCCAAGGCTCAAGCCGCGTAACCACGGGCCGCGTGCAATGGGTCGAAGTGCCACAGCCAGTTTGGGCGCGAGTAGATGTTGGGGACAGAGTGCGGCGCTGCTGCTGCAACGCGTTGATCTGGTTGGTGACTGCTGGCGATGAGGAGCGATCACCTGAAGTGGGCCCTTGCCCCACTTCATGAAAAATAAACATCTATGATTGGTTATTTGTCTGCACCGGAGGTAAGCAAGGCAGCCAAGGCTGCAGTCAACTGGGGCCTTCAACAAGTTTCATCAACCTCTCCTTCCCACACTCTCCCAAACTCTTCGAGACGCAACACTTTTCCATCAACCCCCCTTCTCCCGCGAGCCCCTTTTGCGCGTTCGCGCCTCCACGAGAGCCCGTTTTCTGCATCGTATCTGTCTATTCCAAAGAGCCCTTTCCGCGATCACATTCGGTTACGCTGGATCGCAGCCCTACTACTCGCTGCGACAGTACCTAACCGGACCCTATCGCGACCAACCGAGTTTCCGACGACGGACGGCTTGGAAATCGCCACCTTTTCATTCGATTTCCGGTTTTTTCCCGGCCGCGCATCACCACAAATACTTCGTTACGACCGTCGATCGTGTTTCGCAGAGAAACGGCCGCCATCTGACCCATCCCGCATTGGGAAGCGAGAAACAACTGCGTTTGGGAAGGAAACTGGCAGCGCTTGCTGGCTTGACGGGCAAGGTTTGAGCTTTTACCTGCGTGTTTCCACCAAAAAAGCTGCCTTCACTCCAGCGCTTCAGCGCTTCATTGTCTTCCCGTTCACCACACAATTTCTTGCAGCCTGGCCCATCAATCCATCACCACAAGTATCATCGACCTCACCTCATCACCGTCACCCTTCTCTTCACCACCCGCAACTGCGGTCCTCCTCGACAGCTCCTGTGCTCTGCGCGTCGCTGCGCAGCACTCAAGTCGGGAACCTTATCTCCATCACTACACGCCCAATCCTTTCCCGATCTCTGGCCTGAACTCACTCCCTCTTCATCTGCGTACCCAGCACGCCCGACTTTAGTAATCACAAAACACATCCCATTTTACCCGACCCAACCACTACACCTGCACGTTTTCCTCCCCGGAAACCCCCCAGGTGTAGATAATTTCGATACTTCAATTGAGAGCGTCGATTGTTCCGACGGACTTAACAAAGCAACCTTTTGCGCGACGTGAAGCAATAAGCCCAGGAACTAGAGCTTAATCCTGTCTGATCTCAACATGTCCGGTTCACCCCAACCAACTCAATCGGCCAAGCGGCCTCTCGAGGAGACGTCCTCTTCCTCGGTTGGCGACCAGCCCGAGGCCAAGCGCCCGGCCCTTGACAAGGTCATCAAAGATCAAGAGGTGGAGATTCGCGAGCCTATCAACAGCAGCAGTAACGGTCAGGCTGCTTCGACTGCGCCGGCCACCACTTCGGAGGCGAACGGAACGACCAAGGCCAATGGTGACAAATCTGACTCTAAGGACTCTCAGGGCGACACCGTGGTTCCGGATGCCCCGGAGACCAAGCCTATTTCGAGCACCGCGAGTGGCAGCAATACACAGGCTCAGTCAAACCCCCCCCCTGCTGCCCATGATGAGACCTCTTGGATTCACATCCGTGCCGTTATCTCTAGCCCCGAGGCGGCCACTATCATCGGCAAGGGTGGTGAGAATGTCACCAAGATTCGTCAGATGTCTGGCGCTAGATGCACCGTCAGCGATTACCAGAAGGGCGCTGTCGAGCGCATCTTGACCGTCAGCGGCATTGTTGATGCGGTTGCAAAGGTACCTATGTCGCAAGCTGTGAGGTCTGCCAATTCTCGAGCTAACTTTTTGCTATAGGCCTTCGGTTTGATTATCCGGACGCTGAATAACGAGCCGCTGAATGAGCCATCCAACCAGCACTCCAAGACGTACCCACTTCGTCTCCTTATCCCTCACGTTCTGATCGGCTCCATCATCGGCAAGGGCGGCGCTCGCATCAAGGAGATTCAGGAAGCTTCTGGCGCTCGTCTTAACGCCTCTGACTCATGCCTGCCCCTGTCCACAGAGCGCTCGCTTGTTGTCATGGGTGTGGCTGACGCCGTTCACATCGCCACCTACTATGTTGGCAGCACTCTTCTCGAACAGTTGAATGAGCGTTTTGGCGGCGCGGCTGCATCGGCTTATGCCACGCGCAGCGGTGGCCCGGTTGGCGCTGTTCCTGGTGGTATGCAGGTGATCCCTTATAATCCCCAGCCCGCTGGTGGCCACTATGGCAACAGGGACGCCTATTACCGTGCTCGTCCGGACCCTCGGGCTCATCACATGCCTCCTCCGCCCTATGCACAGCCGTACGGCCACCCTGCCCACCCCGTTCATCCTGCTGCCGCCATGCCGATGCACTACGGAGCCACCCCCGCTGCCGGCTACGGACCTGCTCCCCATGTTCAGCCTCCTCACGTCGGCCATCCTGCTGCTCATCCCCATGTTGGCCCCCATGGGCAGCCTGTGGCTGGTGCACACATGCCCGGTCAGACAATTACTCAGCAGATCTACATTCCCAATGACATGGTCGGAGCTATCATCGGAAAGGGCGGCCAGAAGATCAACGAGATTCGCCAGATCAGTGGGAGCGTGATTAAGATTAATGAGCCACAGGACAACAGCAACGAGCGTCTCGTTACGATCACTGGCACAGAGGAGTGCAATAGGATGGCTCTCTATATGCTCTACTCTCGGCTTGGTAAGCTCCGGGAGCAGCACGGCAAACAAACCCAACCTTGACAACACTAACAGCTACTCCACAACAGAAAACGAGAAGCACCGAATCTAATCGAGTACTCGGCGGATTGAAGTTTTGTTGTGGTAATCTCGTTTTCATCGATATGATATACTGGCGTTGGTGGTGACGGTGGCTAGGAGATAAAGGCAGAGAAGATCACTCGGGTTTTTCCTGTTTGTTTTCTGCCCAAAATCAGGTCACAAGTGGTCGTTTTCGGGTTCTTAGCCTTAATGAGTCATTGCACTACAAATACCCCCGTCCCAAACCCTTGCCCGTGGTTCCTCCTTGCACAGCCCTTGACTTCCCATTTTGCCGACTGTTGTTCATCACCTCCCTTGACTGGTGCCCTCATGAGTTTGCCCACTCATCAAGTGCCTATCCATCCTTTTTGCCAACCTCTCACTACACGTAACAGCTGTGTCCAAACAGTCGATGGCTCGTCATTGCTTCGCAACTGGTTTTGGCTAACTGTCTCGATGTTAGGCTTGCTGCCCAACTCTAGGCATTTAACTATAACGGACGGCATTCAGCTATCAGCTAAGGCGACTCGATTCGGCGATAGCTTTTCTTCAGCCATACATCTCTTTGGCAGAGACTACAAGGAAATGCAAATGTGGAACGCAAACATCAAAATTACTGGAAAGGTAAAAAAAAAAAAAAAAAAGAACTTATTTCCTGCCTTGCCCAGCTGTGAGCCATATCCCAACTCCCAATCAACCTCGCAACCTTCAATCAGCACATTCTCCACCAAAGAATGGAGCGAACGACCATTTCCTCCATTTAGCTTGGCACTCCCTTCTCCCACACATCCTGATTAAATGTCCTAACTCCCTTCGACGCCAAAGAGATATCCTAGATGGCCAAGATGTGAACGTTTCATACATTTTAAATTTTTTATGAATTTTTACTCTTGTAACTTATGCTGGTTTATTTCTCGCCGCGAACCCAGCTGGATGGCATTAATTGTGGTCAGCATAGGAGACAAATCCTTTCGATGAACACAACTTAATACGGAAGGGAACGCACTTGTTCCACAGCTGGCCGATTAAGCCAGCAGGGGGGCGCTGTTCATTCAAGCTCTGCCGACGAGCAACAGCAGCAGGATCGTTTGAGCGCTTTTGCGCTTGGAGGGACTCGAAAAGGACTTTGGAGGACTGGACGTTCTAGTCAGCAAAATACTGGCTTTGTCGAATGTTGTCCAAGCTGGAAGATAGAATTACACATACCCTGCGAGGGGGTGGTGCAGTAGAGCTTGTGGTTGTCGCCCCGCTGGTGCCACTTGTGCTCATGGCTGAGGTGGTGGAAGAGGTTGAGGCGGTTGACCCCTGGCGGCCGGCGCGATACTCGTTTGGTGAGGGCATGTTATCCGCCATGATGAATGATAATTAATGCTCTTGTTCAAGTTTTGTGCGACTTAATGTTTGCGGCAGATAAGAAACCGAAAGTCTTCTTGGGGCTACTGGTTAATAAAGGACGGAAAGAGCCGTGGTACTGAGTCCTACCGCAAGGTCCAATCAACGAGCTCTTAGGCGTTCTCCGCATTTGATAGTCATGAGCTCTGGCTTATGGAGGACCGGGACTCAGTCATAATGACTTCATTATCTGTATTAGCCAAGCTCCTTTCCCTTTGTTCTGTTTATCGCCACAGGAACTTCGATCTTTCTGCAGACGGGGTTGGAGTTCAGCCATGTGCCTGCCCCACGTACATCTCGGCATCCTAGGACCTATGTCCTCGATGTTCTGACCCACCATACCGTTCAAAAGCCAGAGTTTTCGGATCACACTTGAAAAGCGGTCTGCCATCAACAAGGTACTATTGGCAACTTGAACAATATGCAAGTCCTGTAAAGGGCAATATATCGCTCGGCATGGAGCTGCAACCCAGAGAGAGGTTCTGTGACGTCATTGTCTCCACTCGTCGACCGCCGCCCTGTGTCCTTATGGGGTTCGAAGTTCGCTCACTTCAGTGTGGTGTATAGTGCCGATGTTGTTGGAATCAGACCTTACACTCGAGTCAACACAGGGAGCGGCTAATGTACAAGCTGAATCTGAAGTTATCAATTATAACGAGAGTTATATAGTATGCGATGGCTAACAGGTGCTGCTCAGGTGCGGGGCAATGAGCAGGCAAACCTGGCAATGATCAACGCAGGTGTCAGTTGTGATCCAACGTCAACCTGGACCACGTAACTCCAGAGCAGCCACCCAGATACAAGTCAATTGAGATGATAATTTCAACGCTCTGATCATATGGTATTGGGATGAACAGCAGTTCTTCAACTTTAGCATCGCTCACGGTTCCTCTTCATCAAGTATTGACTGTTTGGTCGTCAGCTACTTAGGTGTTGTACTCCCGAGGGTCACAAATCAATTGATTGACGTTCAATACAGCCTAGTTTACTGCCTGTTAAGTTGGCTTGCTTACCCTCGGTTGAGTCATGTCGAGAAAGCATTTTCCAATCCTTGGTTGTTCTCTCTCTGCCCGGAAAGCTATGAGTCAGGAAAGGTAACTAATCTCTTTGCGGAGCACAATCCCGATGTTATGAACGCTCTGGCTAAGAAACTCGGCCTCTCTGACTCTCTCTGTTTCTGCGATGTGTATTCGTTAGACGAACCCTCTCTACTCGTTCACATTTGTCGGCCCGTCTACGCCCTACTAGCCATCATTCCTAAGGCCTCAGCATGGCAGCGAGATCGTGAAAGCGAAGCTAGCTACTCTTGGGGGGGACTAGCTAATGAAACAGACGATGGTGAACCCATTGTATGGTTCAAACAGACAATCCCTGGCGCATGCGGCTCCTATGCGTTTCTCCTCTGTGCGCTTAACGGCCTTGCAACCAAGTTTATCTTACCTGGAAGCACACTAGGAAACTTGCGCAGAGAAGCAATCCCTCTGCTTAGAGATCAGCGAGCGCAAATGCTTTACGACAGTATGGAATTCGAGGAAGTTCATAAAGCTGTTGCTGGGCTGGGCGACAGTTCTGTCCCAGTGAATGGCATCAGGGAGAGGACTGGCCAATATTTCGTTGCTTTTGTGAAGGCGAACGGTCGTCTCTAGGAACTAGAGGATACCCGACAAGGACCACTCGACCGTGGCGCGCTGGCTGAGGATGAAGATGCCCTGAGTCCGAAAGCTCTTGAGCTAGGGATTAAGAGGATCATGAGGCTTGAGAGGGACTCGGGCGGTCAGGATCTGCGGTTCAGTTGTATTGCCCTCGCCCCAGGACCGAATGAAATGTGGTCGAGTAATTAACATTACTTGCTATTGCTACTGAAGCATTTCTAACGGAGGTGCTGAGTCTGTCAAAGTTCGACTTTCCAGCCACAACCTTCAAAGGCACACATAGTTCCTACACCAGTTACTATTTCACTAATACTTTCCTTGCGAATCCAAGGACAAACCGCCATAGGCCATTTCTGATAACGTTATGTCGATGCCAGCCTGCCACTTGTCAGCATGAAGTTGGGTGTCCTTCCAACGATAGCATACAACATATCGCTATCTACTTACCAACAAACGAGAGTCAACAACAGCATAATGCCCATCCACACGGCAGTCACAGAGAAACAGCACCTAATCTCTTCCCGAAGTGGGTACTCGCTACCATTTCTTGCCAGCTGCTTCACTACGGTCCTTTGTTCTTGCTTCTCGACGTCCCTGTCCAGCTCTAGCTGGCCAGATACAGAAGTTCCATGAACTCTCGCTGATAAGGACGGGCTAGCCAGTGGCGATATCGGTGTTAATGGTGGAGGAGGGGAGGTCATGGGAGCCTTCCCTTTGTCTTTGTGAGCCTGCCCAGCCCTGCTTTTATTGCTCCCCCAATCTACGGAAAGAAAGAAAAGGGGATTCTTGAAGGTGGTTTTCCAAAGCGCAACTCTTGTGGCTATCGTCCGCCTGGGCAATTGATTTGAAGCTGATTGAGTGTACGAATCCTTTCGGAGGTTACTACCTCTGTTTGTATCAGTGTTGTTAGGAACCGTTGTTGTTGGGGTATGGTGGTGGCTTGGCATTTCTCCACAAGGGCTAACGAGTGGTTGCACTACTGAGTTGTGTGAAGATGAATAATTGCTGTTGTTCTGAGTGTCAAGGGTTTGGGTTGAAGTTTGCAAAGGGACATTGATCGCAGACATCTTTTGCTCGATGTAGGGAATCAAAGTATACAGGGAGGAGCAGTCATCGGCATAAATGTAAGCAATAAAGTGAATTGTTTGGCAATTTGAGATATCCAGACGTGTGAGTTTTAAAGATGATAAGTGAGGATCTCAATAGATATTCAACGGGTAATGTGTTCCTTCCCAAATAACCTCACACAGAATGCTCCTTCCTAGGCATCCTGTGAAATTCGGTGAGATCAGAGATCTTTGCCAGCCTCCTAAACTTCACTAATGATACAAGTCGTCCTGGTGTTGAGTCAAGGGATCAACCCATGAAAGTTAAGTGAAATTATCTGTCTGCAACTATTGGAATGCGATATCATCAAGTCAGTACGGACCAACTTTCCTTAAGTTCTTACATTCCTCCAGAAGTTATAGGATATGGGCTTCATGCCAATGATCCTCAGCTGATGGATAGTCAGCTCGATTTGCAAGTGATCTGCGGTAGAAATAGCGCCGTAGATACCTCTACGTCATGTAAACTAGAAGAGAGTATCACTGACTTCTCCAAGCACACCACATAAAGAGACAAAGTTGAAGCACCGGAGACATGAGTATAAGGACAATGAGCCCTAACCAGCTTCATTCGGGCGACTCGTGTCATCTGCCTCAAACTCTTCTAGACATCGACTCATCAAGTCATAAATCTCTTCGCACCCCAAAGTCCTTACTAATCTTTTGTTAAGAGATACCCTTTGCATGATCGTACTCTTCGAGCAGTCAAAATGAAGGCCTGCCCCTCACCCCCTCCCCCCCGGGGGGGATCGCCTGCCTCTTCACTACTGCCCTCGCTGCCCCCATGTCCGAACAGCAGCGGCTACAGAAAGAGATGTGAGATGTCTCGATGGTGATGAGCCCAATGGACATGCATACTCATGCTGACACTAAATCCATGGACATGACGATGTCCATGATGGGCCAGCAGATTGTCTTCCAGATGGGTCACAGCCCGATGTGCAAGATCGGGTCTCGCGACATGGAGATGCACTTCTACGAGAGATTGTCAATAAGATCATCCGTCAGGTCGACACGATCGGTTAGTTTTTTTCTCCTTTTCTATTGCATAAGCAGCTTAACTGACCAATTCACTACAGAGAAACTCATGGAGACCACTTCGTCGGACTCCGAGACCATGACTTAGGCTTTGGTTGTCCCTCTCCAGCAACTCCAGCAGCCCCCCCAATATGTGAGTGACCCGTATCCTTGACCTAAGCGACCTTGTCGGCGGCGTTGTCGGCGGTAGTGCGGCCGGCAGCATTGCCCCGCCTGTCGCCAGCATCGTTGGTGCTATTGCCTCAGCTCTGCCTTAAACGCTCCATACTCTATACGGGACTAATGTTGTCGGCTTCTTTTTGGTCGGCTATGTAGAAGCCGACATATGAATCTTGATGTCCAAGCCATGGGGTAGAGGAGTTCAGGGATTGAGTTGCAAGGGACTGGAATTCTGTGTAGTTGAGTGTGTTTTGTTTTCTTCTAGTGGACGTAGTATGACAGTTCATATGTAGTGGCTAGGCAATAGTTAGCGGAATATTGAACGTTGATGGACGTGTACCCTTTCATTATCCGAGAATGAAGTTGTAATGCTCATCTACAGATTCAAACATCTCTCGATTCCGCTCCCGTCAACCGAGATAAAGCCTAGCGGCGTCGTGGATTTTTCCGGTGCTCGTCCTTATCAATGATACATCGCTGCATTGGCTGCAACCCTATGGATGTATATCACCCTAACACTGCTACCAGATGACTTGGAGGTGTTGTGCCTATCTGTCTCATTGCCAAGGATGTTACTTCGTATAGGTGCGTCTGATAATACAGTGGTTAACCCCCCCAAGAAGGTGTATATATGGCCATGTGGCTCATGCTCCCTTCTCAGTTCGAGTTTGTCTTGGATCCGATGCTGTGCCCGTAGATGGATCGTAGCAGATAGACAGGTTGTTGGTCCTCGGAACTTCTACGAAGTAATGCCGCCTTTGTGTCACCAACAAGAGAGGGGTAGCATATAGATGTAGTTATCAGCCATTTTGATAAGAAGAGCTTCCAGAAGGAATATTTCAGAAGGTCCATGTTACACCCAATGAGGCACAGTGCATCGTGTGACCAACGCCTTCATTGGGTAGCACTTCGGCATGGCGAAATACTGTTTAAGGCTCTCGTATTCATAAATGGGAAACTGCCTATCTCTTCCCGAATAGGAGCTGTATCTTTTGAGTGCCCTATATCGGGCGCTGAGATATCTGGACACGGCAGTTTGCATTGTAGGGATTCACCAACAAGCTCAACATTAGAGTGAGACAACCCCTAAAACTCACCATCTTACACGTAAGCGCACACACGACACCTACCCAACACGGCTTGCTTCCGACTTGTTCAAAGCCGAGGAACACCGGACCTTGCCTAATCATTCAGGGCTTGACTTGAATGTGGCTTTGTCGCAGAATGAAACTCCTGGATTGTCTATTGGTACGGATTGGGGGTTGAATGCATTATCAGGCTGTGAGATGCTCAACTCGATCTCATCCATCATTGATGACAAAGCAAGTTGCTCATTCTGAGGGCACTCGGAAGCCGGCAACCGGCGGATCTCCCCGCGGGGATACGGGAGCGGGACAAGGGGGCTCTTGGCAACGCAGTCTTCCGCCCCCTACCCACTGGACGAGAATCGGCGGTTGCAGAGAGCGGGCCGGGCTCGGAGGGGCCCGGGAGAGCCCCACTTTCTAGCCTGCAAAAGACGAGCAAAGCCTGCGCCGTTTGAGCGCCGTTCATCGGTGAAAAAAAAAAAAAGTCTTCGTTCTTCTACAGAGAAGACTAATGCAGGAGATGCTGCCGTGGCACCGATGGATCGAGGTGTCCTTTACTCACCCATGCTGCTCTGGGCATGGCAGCCAGTATGCTTTTGCAAGGTTTGACTGCTGATGGAATTACATTAGACGAGTGCAATGCACTTCACTGAAGAGTTTCCATTTAGGGGCTGTGAGATGGTGCGGAGAAATCTGTGGGATGATCACGTCCTCGGTTCAATGTCGCGAGCTGCAGGATCGGATGCTTGAAAGCCGTCACCATGTCTCACACACACACAGGCGAGTTAAATTTTTAAACGATAGCATGATCATGACGAGGCGCGAAGAGAGAGGCAAAAGTGAAATGTGCAAGGTCACGTCAGAGACAGACCAGCCTCTGTGAATCATTGAAGCAAGCTGCAAAGCATTGTGTGGAAGATGCTGAATCTTAGCTCCCAATGTGATGCTTGCCAACACATCACTGACTGCTGGCCAGATGCAGGATCCACTGAAGATCATAGGCTTGCTGGCAGTGATGCCTTTGGAGGGGCTTGGAAAACAAACCCCGCCTACCGACCAATTAGGCCCCGAAGAGGGTCGCTGTGCAGTGATGCCCCAATGAGCTGCAGCATAGCACGCCAAAATATCAGCATATGGTTACCAACGTGGTCATGCTGTTTACGGCGTCATGGGGTTGCATTGTGGAAATGGAGCTGACCTGAGCTTCCTGGTTTTTGGGTGACATTTTCGCTAAACTAAACAGCCAACGTTACACCAAAGTAACAAGGCACAGTCAACCAAACCCGGAGCCTGGGAGAGCCGATGTTGCCGTTTTCCAGCTGCTTGGATCAGCTCGAGGTTACCTGATCGCCGTCGCCGTCGGTACATCGCCCAGCTCCCATTGGGCGTCGAAATCAGAGTTTTGCGTCATGATCTTGAGAGACAATGCAACACTGATGCGAGGGGCCAACAACATCAGCGGGGTCTCTACCCACCTATAAGTAATCATTGCGGATCGCAGTTGTTCTCGTTTTACATCCTTCTAAGTCAAGTCCGTGGAGTTACCGTCAGCCTCATCGGCAATTAGCACGAACAATCGCTCCCAACAAGCGGTCAGCCGCGGGTCCGTTTTGCGAGGGTTTTCGGCCCATGCTTGTTCCGATGTTCAGCCCTGGGCGACCGCCTTCTCGATGTGGATTTGTCCAGATGCAGGGGTCCTACCCTTTTCGTTCGCGTTGTGTCGCACTGGAGATGCCGCACTCAGCTCGACCAGGATCTTTGGCTTGGCATCTAATCAGCTATCTTTGCAATGGAAAAGACGTGCATTTTTTCTGATTAAGATAGTGCGTTTGAAATGGATGCTAGTTCGAGGCTTTCCCGCGCCATCGGTGACCGTTTCTCCTTGCTGGAATGAATGATTAAAGTTTTCAATGGCGAGCATCAGCTGCTGTGCGCATTATCATAATCGTCAAGGTCCATTGTCATCACCTATCTTGCAACAGAGGGCCAGGTAACGAGTAATGAATGGTCCTCAGGAGTTGCTCTGCAGCCAGGAGGTCGGTTGGCCAGGCTGTATGTGGCCCCGGCCAGCGCCACAGATTTGTGTAAAAGCTCTTGTCACCAACGTGGGCACGGTGATGAGACCCTGGACGACCAGATCTCGGTTTTCCGTTCAGCAGGCCCAGCAGAGTGACAAGGGTGCTTGAGCTTGGCGGGCACATGCCGATCCACGATGGCCCCGCTCTCACCGCCCGCGAGCCCGCGTCGTGGTTCTGGTTAGATCAAAGGATGCTCCTGGATGTGGGATGGGTTGTTCTTTGGGATGTTCGTCCCATCATGACGAGATTGCGTCCATCAATGCCGTTTTCAAGGCTTCAATGCCATGCATCATCCCTGAGAGCCCGTGCCCCATCCAGAGGCATGATGAGATGCTGCATGCTGCAGGACAAAGATGGTTGGGCTGAGGCGCCTCAGTTGCCCCAACTCGCGGGATGGCCTCTAAGGTTTGCGGACAGAGAGCCACACGAAGCCACGGCAGGAAGCCCAAAACAGATCAAGACCGGCGGCGTGATTCCCAGGCTGGATGCTGTCAACGACGTCAGCGTCGATTGTGGCAGGGGCTGTTGTGGAAAGCGCGCGCTAGGCGGGCCCGAACACCAGGGGTCAAATTTTGCGCCCGCTTAAGATTCCCGTGAGCTGCAAAAAAGGAGAGTCGTCAATCTCCACACCCTTTTGGCGATGCGGGTCTATTTTGATGGCCATGGTCCTTTGGTTTCCTGGGAGAGGATTTTTTTTGGGGGGGGGGGGGGAAACCTCGAATGCCATTGCCTACGCTTGTGTACGCAACCCAGTAGAAAAGTCGAGGCTGCCCTGTGATGCGTGTTCGCGAGAGCCTTTCAGCCCCTCATTTGGTCTTCTCTGCGTCTCTTGAGATTGAGATCTGCGATACTGCTCGAGCCTCAGGTGCTCTTCTGTCCTGCTAGACGTCCGTTGCTCCAGTATCCTAGATTGTCTCGGCCGGGCACCCCGTCAAAGTTTAATCCCAACCACAATCGACGCAAACGACAGTCGACTGGCATTCTCGACGACGTTCGGGCCGCAAACGGAACCTTGGAATAGCAGCACGGAGAAACTGATCTCTTTGAAGCGCGGATCAGATCAGACGGGGTGCCGAATCATCGCCAGCACCAAAAACACAAGCAGCAACATCGTCGTCCGGAACACAGGGCAGGACTCCCCGGCACACATCGCGTCGATCTTAAAAATTCCCAAGCCTGGTTGTGTCCCGTAATAATCGCGGTGCCCCAGCCGCAACAGCATCAGCGAAAGGGAGCAGGAGCACAAGCACCCTTGGTTGCCTAATTGGGAATCCCTGTCGCGTTCACAGAGCGCAGTGAGCCAGTGACCTGGGCCAACCTGTTCTGTCTGCTGCTTGGTCCACTGGACGACTTGAGCGTGCAGCGTCCCACGCTTTCACGTTCTCGCGGCGGACACCCCGATCCCGTCGTCTTGGCTCCGCAGAGTGTGCCTCGCCAATCGCCCTCCAACTGGATTTGAACTGTGGTACTCGGACCTTCTGGGGACGGTGAGGTGAAAATCTTCCAATCCATCTTCCAGGTTTCCATTCGTTCCATCCATAGTCTGCAGCATCGGTGCATCGCCAGCTCCCCGCTTTCAGCGCTCCGCCTGTCTGGCTCTCGTTCACCGGCTCTCTGGCTCAGCGGCTCAACGCCCAACCAGGCTCAATCGGAAACCCGACCGACGAACCACCGCTGACCACGAGCCCACGAGTCCCACTGCCGCAGACAACGCCGGGCTTCTCTGTGTGTTGTGTTGTGTGTGCAATTGCGCGTGCGCAGTGTTGTTGAGCGTGGCCTTTGTTTTGGCTTCCCGATCGCTGTGCCGCTCCACTCGTTCAGCTGCTACCTGCTGCCTGCTACTATACAGACAACCTCTGACATGCCATGCCGATGAGCCATGCAATGAGCCCGATGAGCCATGCCATGAGCCATGCCATGACTGGCCCAACGCTTACCGTGCCCGCCCGGGCCGCCGATACCACCTCAGCAACAGCAACGGTCGTTACACACGTTCGCTCCTCGTTCATCAATAACCCCTCGTCTTCTGCCCCGGGTCTGCTCTCGGTCGGTGGTGCAACTCCGAATGCAAGCACAAGTAGTGCTGCTGCTGCTACTGCTACTGCTGCCACTCGCTCTTCCGCCTCATCCGCTCTCACCAGCATCCCGGCCCTGTCAGCCATCGAGATCCCGTCGTTCGATCTATTGAGCGAGTTTGACAAGTCTTTCTTTAGCTTTAGCACCAGCCCCAGTGCCGATACCACCACTTCTGCCACCCTCGCTAATACCAGTACTTCAACACCGCCCTCCCAGAGCACCCTCGACGTTCCTCCCCCTCCCCCTCCTAAGCCTACTCCTACTATCGCTACATCTCCCTGTGCAACAAAAGTCACGTCTGGAGCTCCCCCACAGACTCTCGCCCAAAGACCCGCCACTGCTGTGCCAGACCAGAAGTTTGGAGCGCAACTGGAAAGGAGCAAGACTGATAGTGACGCAAAGCGAGCAGCAAACTGCCCTGCTGCTACTGCCCTCCCTCAGCATCGTCAACCTGAGACCGTCCCAATTGGTCTCAAGCCGGCCGTCAACCCAAGCCCCAGCACGGCCAATTCAATGGTCGACCGCCCTATCTCGTGGTTGCCGAGCTCAAAGGCGAGTTCCAGCGCCAAGCCTACGGCCCAGGAAGCATCGCGCGTCAAGAGACTGTTTAGACAAAATGCCGTATCGCGCGAGGAGAAGGCGGAGAAGCCCGTAGAGAGCTCTTCAAAACCTGCCGAGTCTTCTGCTAGCCCCACCAAGAAGTCCTGGCTCTCAAGGGCACGGTTGCCGCCGCCTGCAACAAGCACGCCCAATTCCAGTTACTCGTCTCTCGAGAAGTCAGAGCCATTGAAGACCAAGACCGAATCTAAAAGTCTCACCTCCAACCTGGCTAGTGCTCTGTTGTCCAAATTGAGACAGAAACCCCAGACCGTGTTTTCCAAGGGCTCCGACCCTTCTTCTAAGGCGATAAGCCGGACTTCGCGCTTGATCATCCCGATCTCCTCTACATCCTCTTCTCCTGCCACAACAACCTCTTCCTCGCCTACTGCTACACGCAATGCCTCTCCGAATGGTTTTGGCGCAGGAAACACCCGCACGCCGTTCCAAAGGGCTTCTTCGGTTGATACTGACCTAGACACCGACTCGGCAACTGCCTGCTCGGCCTCCGAAAATGCCTCCCGTTCCTCCCGGTCTACCGCTGACACGACCGTAACTGTGCCCTCTCGCGACCCTCTTTGGTCAACTTTCCGCATGATCGATCTCGAGTTTGCCAGATTCGCTGCAAAGAGCACGACATCCCTCCGTATGGGCGTCGTCCGGAGCATGTTGCTTCCCTTTCTGCGCAGTACGGCCTACCATCCATCGAACGCGGACCTTTCGATCTTGAATGCCGAGGATGTCGACCGGAGAGCAGCCATTCTGAACAGGTGGTGGAATGCTCTTTTGGCAATGCTGGCTGGCAATAACTCAAAACTTCCCCCTGGTCTTGCCCCCAATGTCGATGCCTTGGGCGTCCCATTCCCTGTCCTGCAGCCCGTCGCTGGAGTGGATAGGCCAACCTTGCTCGAGGCAATCTGCATGATCATGATGCGGCCTGAATGGCGCGCCTGCACTAGCTATTGGCAGCCCCTGGCTTCTCGTTGCCCAGATGAGCGGGTGCGTGCAAGATCGGCTACGCAGTCAAGTTCGGATAGCGACGTCGATTCGATCCTCATGGCCGAGTCTGCCGAGCACAACATCCGTACGATGTTCATCGCCAACCTCACGACGCAGATGGCGCTGGTTGTGGAGAAGTTGGCCTTGAAGCACGCCCCGCTGAGCTTGATCAACTGGTGCGGTAGGGCATGCGCCTATGCCTTCTTCTTCGTCCCCGGTGTTGCCGATGTCCTCGTTCGTCTCTGGGGCATCAATGCCGATGTCTTGCGCCGGGTTGCTGATGAGTTCGGCCTGCCGAGACGGAACAAGGGCGAAAGTGAAGACATTGTGGCCTTGTTCCCGCCTCATCTGCACAAGCTTGGCTGGTCGTCAGTCAAGACCCTCGCGGACCGGCTCCGCGTTGCGGCCAAGCTCCCTCTACCTCTTGCCAAAATTCAGTGGCATGGTCCCTGGGTTTCTCGTTGGCGCGGTGCAGACACAGATCTCTTCTATGTATTCTGCAAGCATTTCTACCTCTTGGGCCAAGACTTCATGCTTAAGGGCCTGCCCCTCGTTGAGAAGGCGCGCTCTCCGGCGTTCGTCCTGGTCCATGCTCAACTCCTATCCATCTTGGATAGTGCTATCCATGGCCAGCTCTCCTCTGACCCCATGTTGGGGCCCCCCATCTCAGAGGGTGCCCATGGCGCTGACGCTGCCCTTCTCCCTGCACCCGAGCTTCCGAGCAATGTGGTGGCAGGAATGAGCGAACATCGCCTGATTATTATGCTTAAACACATGCTGCGTGGCGAGCAAGATACCAGTGACGTTCCTGCGGAGATCAAACATACGTTCGCTGAAGCTTTCGTGGCCATCACTAAGGCTGCGACTAAGCGGACGCCGAAGTTCGAACATGCTGCGTGTTTTGTGCTCTGTGACTTGCTCGAGCAGGCCTTGATCACACTTCATGCTTTCCAGACAACGGTCAACAATAACGCTATCAAATTCATCGACTGGCCGTTTTGGTTCGACGTTGCGAAGATGATCATGGACTCGAACAATACCATGTCCGAGATTCGTATCCTCTCGTTCTTATTTGCTGTCTGGGACGCCCTCGCTGCCGACCCAGCGCGGAAGGAGAAGCTTTGCCTAGAATGGTTGTTGACTGAGGATGTGTTTGCGAAATTTTTCAATCATTGGTGCCCAATGGTTCGCGCCTACTATATGCGCCTGTTGTGCTGGAGAATATGCAGAGACAACGGAAAGGTGAACGAGTTGGATACGTAAGTTTCTTCACGAGTGCCGAGTCTAAGAATGTGAGCTGACTGTTGACAGCAAAATCTATCTCGTTGCGTCCCAGCGGCTGAAGACCGTTTGGTCTCATTATCTCTGGTTGAAGCAGGATGCCGAGATGACCGGCAAGATGCAGCCGTCCACGGCTCCTTGCTATCCAGCCCCTGGGAAGAGATTCGTCATTATGCGTCTTCCCCAGCAGCAGCAACACCCGATGCGAGTCGGCTTTGATTCGTTTTCAAATTCCCTCGTCGGTACCGATCCCCTAGCAGATCTGGAACCCATTTCTCCCACCGGCAGTGACAGACTGGCTGCCGGCAACGGCCAGGCGGAGGGCAGCTCTTCTTTCAAGAAGAGATGGTCGCTTCTTGGGAAAGTTATCCCATTCAACTCCACGAGTGAGAGCCAGGCATGGGAAGATCATCGGGCCTTTAGAGAAGGGCTGCAGCAAGCTCAACGCGACAGCGACGCAGCCAGGTTGGCAGCTCGAGGAGGAGCACCTCCTGTTCCACCCAAGCACTCTCCTGTCATCAGGAACTCGACGGAGTCCTTCTGCTCAGCGAGCTCTACAATGACCTACGACACCACGACCGACGTTTTCCGTTTCATCCTCACCCTTTTCGAGCTTCAACCTGGTGTTTGGGTCCCCTTCCCACCAACCCGCGACCGCATCTTGACTCGACCTCGTCTCCCTGGACCCGCACAAGCTCGAGTGACGGCTCGCTTGACCGGCATCTCCGCCAACATGAATATGCCTACCAATTACACAGATCTGTTCCTCTTCCAAAGCGACACCCCCCCTCTGATTTCCCCCGGCCTGCCTCCAGAGACCCGTCGTGTCAGTGGCCAGCTCCACACCGGTCTCATCAGCGAGGCGCGGAACGCTCGCCCGCTGACTGATGACGAGGATGACGGTCGTCGGGGGCGTCGGATCTCCTTCAGCGCGACTCGTGCTCCGCCCAGCCGTGAGTATCAGGACAACGTGAGAAGTCTATCGCTGAACAGGACGGTTCCGCACATCCGCTTCGGCGGCGATGCCGTTGGCGCTTCGCCGCGCCGTTTGTCGTTGGACGCCGACCCTACCAGGCCTCCTAACCGCCGACGCACGAGCTGCAGCAGTGACAGTGAGTATGGGTATGGGCATATGAGCGGCTGGCCGCCGCAACAGCAGCAGGCCCCCGCCCCTCCTGCTGTTCGCGCGGAGAAACCTACGGGCCCCTACGCTCAGGGTGCTGTGTACTGCGGACGTGCCTTGGCTGAGTGGGCCGTTGTCGTAACGGAGTGCAACAGCTTCATTGAGCGTCGCCGTGACGAGGGTATCCTGGGGCTGGCGGACGTCGAGGTCCCGGTGCTTGGAGTCGAGGGGCTGGGCTTTCAAAGGAGGTGCTAATCTCACGACCCGTTCTCATTTCCCCGTGTTTTATCATATCTTCTTTTCCCGACATTCCTTCACCTCTTCTTATGACCTCAGGATCTCCACATTCATCCACATCGACGCATTGGATACTTTTTTTTTTCTTGCAATGCCATTCTGACGGATACCCCCGACCACCAATCTCTCAATCTGTCATTTTCATGCCAATCTACGGGACACATCATTCCTTTGACATCTCTCTTGGCTTAAAGACGTACATATCAGGATATCCTGTCATATACCTCTCGTATGTGTATATCATTATCTCCTATGGCACTGGTTATCGGGCATGACTCTGGGTTGGGTTAGGTTCCGGTTTGGTTCGGTTTTGGTTTTCTCTGGTCAGCTTACAAAGGGAAACAAAAATACGAAAGGGAGAGCAAACGAAGTCTATCTCATGGGCTTGCATTCCTCTTGTTTCCTCCTATCGACAAATCACTTCTACGGTCGGTCCTTTATGGAAGGGTGGATTTTGGGTTAATCTTAATTCCAACGCTAGAGCGGGACAATTTCTTGGATTGTTGACTCGACGTACACAACATATCTTCAGTTCCTACTGATTAGTATTGCTAATGATTGTTTTGAGTCGTCACCCACTTGGTCCATGAGATGGTGTGAGTATGCTGTACTCTAGTTGTGCCGGCTATAGTCTCTTTCAAATGTTTCCTAACCTAGTCACTCAACGGAATGGTCCATTGTTAGTCTCACAATGCTTGGTACCCGATGCTGATAACTGTCGTTGTGTGTGGGAAGCTTTCTCACCCAGCTAGGTAGCTTGCCTCTGATTCGTTGCTCTTGTACTAGGTAAGACGACATGCTCATATCCAAGAAGTAGTGGTACCTTAAGATCACTCCTCCAGATTGGATCAGGCATTCAGGCAACAATTCTTGCTTACTTCGGAAGGTGACGGGGGGGTTGAATGGTCAGCCTGTGAGGGAACGGCAGGTGGCAACAAGATGGTTGGCAATGATTTGTTGATGTGCTGCCTGATCATGAGGACGATGTAACTGCCTTGCAACAGTACGCGCGTAGTATCATTTACGAACTTGATCATCCAGAATTATATCTTCGATTCCCATTGATTTCCGTTCTGTCTTGCTTCTCATCATGCCCCTTTTCGTAGATCTCGTTAAGGCAGTCGATCACTCTTATAGAATACACATCCGTAGGTTCACCATGTTCTGATTGACCACAAAGCGAGATACTGGTCATTATTAAATTGAATCTTACTCAGTTGTCATTACATTGAAGCATACTCTGTAACACCAGCTCTCCAGATCCCACTTCCTGATGTTAGTGTCTCGGAAGGAAAGTGGTCAAACACAACCCAGTACATGTTGAATAGAACATCTATAGAATCACATGGGCCTTTATAAGGCATTGACGGAATTCCGTTCTCCCTTCTCTATTGCATAAAGTACATCCCCAATTCAGGCCGAAGAAGTGGGGGACCCAGTGGTCATCATGAAAATGAAAATTCAAGTTTGCGCCATGCATGCCCATCTACTTCATAATAGTAGTAGTAGAGCGGTATCGTTCCCCACACCACCTCCCCCCCCCACCCCCCAAAAGAAAAATCACATATCATCATCAAGCAAGTCCCTTTGTGCTTTTTTTTATGTACGCCATTACCGCTGCAAAGAGAAAGGAAAAACGAGCAACACAAAACTACCCTCTTTCTAGCCATCCAACCGCTCTTCCCTCTTCAAAGCCCGTTCGTCCCGTTTGTCCCATTGGCAACACCATTCTTCGCCTCAGCCTCAGCCACAGCCCTCTCCAAAGCCTGGAGGACATCCTTCTTGAGGTCCTCGGCGTCTTCAACACCGCAGCTGATGCGCACAAGGTCATCATAAACACCAACAGCCTCACGCTGGTCGCGCGGAATGCCGGCGTGGGTCATGGCCGAGGGGACCTCGACGAGCGACTCGACGCCGCCCAGTGACTCGGCCAGCGTGAAGATCTTGGTCAGCTGGCAGAAGCGCTCCGCCGCGGCGTGGCCGCCTTTGATGCGGAACGAGAGCATGCCGCCGCCCATGCCGTCGCGGTGCTGCTTCTTGGCAATCGCCCGGTGCGGATGCGAGTCCAGACCTGGGTAGTTGACGGCAATGACGTAGGGAGAGGCTTCCAGGGCGTGGGCGACGGCCGTGGCGTTGCGGGTGGCCTCGCGAGCGCGCAGGTGAAGGGTCTTGGCACCGCGGTGGGCGAGCCAGCAGTCGAAGGCCGAGGGGACGGCACCGATGGCGTTCTGGAGGAAGGAGAGGCGCTTGTACAGTTCGTCGCTGTTGAAAGCCGCCACGCCCATCACCACGTCGGAGTGCCCGTTAATGTATTTGGTGACGGAGTGGACGACGATGTCGGCGCCATGGTCGAGAGGGTTCTGGACGTAGGGGCTCAGGAAGGTGTTATCGACGACGACCAGGATGCCGTGCTCATGAGCCTGGGTGGCAACGGCACGGATGTCGACCAGGCGCAGGGTCGGGTTCGAAGGAGTCTCAATCCAGACCAGCTTGGTGTTTTCATTGATGTGGTCGCGAATATCGACCTCAATCTCGGGGGTGAACGTAACACGCACGCCGTGGGCCTTGGCCACCTGGGTGAAGTAGCGATGGGTGCCGCCGTAGACGTCGGAGACGGAGATGACGTGGGAGCCGGCAGCCAGGGACTGCAAGATAACAGCAGTCGTGGCGCTGCCGGAAGAGAAGGCCAGGGCGTACTTGGCGTGCTCGAGAGCCGCAACCATGCGCTCGAAGTTGGCGCGGTTGGGGTTGCTGCTGCGGCTGTACTCGTACTCGCCTACGGGGCGGCCGACCGCAGTCTGGGCGAAGGTGGTAGACAGAGAGATGGGCTCGATGACGGCGCCGGTGACGGGATCGTGGGGGGACCCCGCATGCACGGCCAGCGTGCCAAAGCCCTGAACGGGCGACGGGACCCGCGGCGGCGTCGTGATGGGATGGTCGGTGTGGGCGGTCATTCTTCGGAGCCCGTAAAACGGAATTATAGATTGTGTAAGAATTTGATTTATGAAGTTTTAAGCCTGTTGCAGGGCAACGTGGGCTGCAGGCGCAGGTGTGTGGGCGTCGGTGGGCGACGACGGGGGGCGTTGGGCAGCTGGCAGAAGCGGTAGCAGCACAGCAGCAACACCAGCAGCAGTGGGCTCTGGGTTCTGTTTGGTCAATTGGTCAGCTGTCAATTGACGACCTGGAAGATCTGCGATCTGCTCTGGGCGATCTGGGGCGGATTTTTTTTTTCTGGATTCCAACGGTCCAACGGTCGCCAATGGCTGCGGTGTGGGGGGGGGGTTTTGAATTTTAAAAAAAGGCGGGATGGTGCAGCAGGGTTCCAGTCCCTTGATTGTGCGAAATTTGCCAACGATGGTGCAATCCGCGGATGCAAAACGGCCGTACTTCAGATGGCGCTGACTCTTTGTCTCCGCTACACTACCACATGGCCATGAAAACGATGAAACGGATCGATGGGGAAAGTCTCGAGAACAGGTGGCCACATGCGCCGGGCCAGCTTTTAAGGCCGCGCCGCTGACCATTCGGCGTGATGGATTTTTCCTTGCGCTTCATCAATTTTTGCTGCGCTGCTGCAGCCCAGCCCGAACAGCCCAGCACCAAGTGGATTTGCGGATCTGATCCATCACCGCCAGGGTTAAGTGAGATGTACGTCGATGTAGGGACGGCATGTCCGTTGCTCTGTTAATCGCTTGCGTCCAGTTGGATCTCGCCCCAGGGCGTCAGGGACCCAGATGCCGAGCGTCCGGTCTACCGCGGCCCCTAAAATCGGATTAAGATGACCGCTCCATGTGTGGACTATTTTGCTCTGCTCTGCTCTGTTCTGGCTACTCCTTCGTTGATTGCTCAGCAAGAATGATTTGAAATCGACGCCCGAGGGCTGCGCCCAGCGCCAATCCCATCCACGATTCAAAGGTCAGCAACGGCCGCCGAGTCGCCGATAGCCGTCCAGCCAACCAGCCACCATCTACGTCGACACCGACACACCTTTGCCCATCATGACATGGCAGTGTTTTTGCTGCCGGCCAGTCGGGGCGCTAGGTTACAGTTCATTTTTGTTAGTTAACTTTCTACACTTCTTAACCTCCGACCGGACAGAGGTGAGCAGTCCATGATCCCATGGCCCCGTGGCTGCAGCCGGAAGAGCGACACCGGCCCGTCTGCCATGCGTTCGCAGTAGCGCTGCAGCAATCCTGCTGTCTTCGTTGGCCTTGTGTTACCACTGCCTACCTTCATGCGTCCGAACTCCGGAAGCCATGGCTTGGATGAGAACCAAGTCCATTGAACACAGAAAACGGCCCCTACTTCGCCATGGCATGCCTTGATTATTCATATTTGGAGGCCGTTGTAAGCCGCGCTTCTCCGGCCATGCCCGGACAGCGATGGATCCCTGAGAGTAGACTCAATGGTAGCAGGGCCAAGGAAAGTTTGCAATGCTAGGCAGGGGACCTGCCATGTTTGGGCGCACATGCCGCTTGCATCATGGTGTCCTTGAGTGTCAACGAAGCGCAGCAGGACTGTGCTCCCAATCGGCTGGATTCAGCGGGGATGCTGACAAACTCAAAATGTGCGCCCTACACAGCACCTAGTAAGTTACAGGCCAAGAACCTAAAATCAGGCCGCGTAACCCCGCCAAACAAATGCGAGTCCACAACAGGGCGCCGGTCTTCGTTCTGTCTCGGGAGATGTTGGGACGCCGGATCGAACCACCCGCGGACTCTCGCTAACAGAAAATGTGCCGCGCGGGGTGCAGATGAGCAAGAACAATCCATCTGTAATACACGAAAGTGACCCGGAGAGGGGTCGCTGACCTGCCGACCATGATAACAGTGATGAGTTCGCATCGTTGACGGCGCGGACCCAGATGGATGCGACATTCGGTTGGATATGATAGGTACAAGTCTAGTGTGAAAACGGGAGATGAGATCTTCATACACCTTTCTCCGACAGTTCAGATCGTCGAATGCCCAGCTCCTAATGTTCCCCTCTCCGAAGGTTCCGATGCCAGCCCATGTTCAAGCTGCTTACGGCCGGGGTCATCGCCGACAACACTATCGGCGATCGGCGATCCACTCTGCGGCGCCGGAGATCGTTCTCCCCGGTAATTTTTGGGTTCAATTTTTCAACACGGCCGCATCTGGTAATACGTCAGCCCACTCACCTATCAACCCCTATGCGAGACAATCTCTGTGTTTCCGTTCCAGGGCTCCAGTTTTGGCTTCTTTTCGGTCCAAGTTCCCCTTTTTGAGTGGTCTTCTCGCAAGGTTCACTCCCAGATCCCCTTTTGTCTCTCTATGGAGACAGGTTTGGGCTTCCTATGCTTGTGTAAAATACGCAATACACAATTCCCAAACAGTAACTTAAAAACATTTGTTTGCATCCATTCTAGCACATGCTCACTGTGTGCCAGCGTGGTGTCGTTGCCCGCTTTCAGTGGTTCCATCCAATCGACAACGTCCTCTAATTGGCTCCCCTCTAGCGGAACCTCACCGGGACGGCATCCACAGCGCCCCGAGACCTGCCAAGAGCTGGGGCAAGGCTATGGGAGGGTCCAGTCAGAATTCAAGTTCGCTGACTGGGCCAGCTCCTGACTGTCCTGGCTGAGGTGCCCGGCGAGAAAGAGGGATCCAAGCACCAAGCAGAGCACAACCTGTGTGGACGCAGGCACGAACGCAACCTTCCTTTTTTCTCTGTCTACTCGTGAATCAATCATATCCATTCCCCTGAGCAGACGCCGCCTTCCTTCAACGACGCAAGCTGCCGATACACTGCGTGCCCGGCAATTGACCCTCAATTGTGCCTGTTTCGCGGCGCAACGAGCATGGAAAGGAAAGCAGAGCATCAGGAGTGCACCAGGCCGCCTGAGAGAGCCGCACGGTATCATACAAGCCACTGACCCCGACTGCGTGATTCCACACCGCGGGTTGCATGTTCCCGTCCCAGCGCATACGGCAGACGGCAGACAGCGCTAGACGACCCAACACCACGCCAACCTTACCACTCTCCCCAAGTCCAGGTGTCGGCGACATACTGAAGAACCACAGCCGTACAAGCAGAGCATGCCACCGCGTCGTTCCCACAAGAAGTCCAGGACCGGTTGCCGGCGCTGCAAGACGCGCAAGATCAAGGTGTGCACCTTGTCTTCGAGCCATCAAGCCATGGCCCTCGGATTCATTCCGACATGCTGACCGCATCTCGGTGACAGTGCGATGAGGTCCATCCACGATGTGGTAATTGCGTGAAGCATGGCGTCAAATGTGACTTTGAGTATCCAGAGGTCCTGGCCGAACTCCAGGCTGCTCAAGCCGCCTCTCAGTCCCCATCCACGCCTTCGGCAGCGTCTGGTTATGCATCTCCCGCCGCCGGGCCGAGCTCGGCCCGCAGCACTGCCACTCCCCTGTGCCGTCCGCCACCAACACCAGCGTTATCACAGACTACTCCTCCGGGCCAGCGTCTTCTTGAGCTCCGGCTGATGCATCATTACACCGCCATGACCTGCAAGACCTTCACTTTTACGGCCCCAGTGACCGAGGACATATGGAAGATAACAGTCCCGAACCTCGCCTTCTCTGGGTCCCAACATCTTGCGGATGCCATCCTTGCCGTGGCTGCTCTCCATCTCCGGAGCATGCGGCCGGATGACAAGGAGATGGTCCGCGCATCTCACGCTTATATGGCTGCCTCTCTTTCCGAGTACAGCGCGGCCCTCACTAAGGGCATTGACCATACCAATGCCGAAGCTCTTTTCTTGACTGCTGCTCTGATAGCCTTTCAGTCTACCGCCACCCGTGTCTTCAGTAAGGATGAGCCACAGGTTGGTTCGGAAGAGAGCGACAAGCGGGGCCCATCGGGATGTTATACAATCCCGTTCTCCTGGTTCCATTCATTCCAAGGCGTTAAGGCCATCACTGCTGCCTCGTGGCAATATCTGCGTGTCAGCCCCGTTGTAACCCAGGTTATCAACTCGCAGGCAGCGCTTCAACTTGACTTCCGCACTGGTCCCGAGACCTTTTTCGGTCACCTGCTTGAAGGTATGGAAGAAGAACTTGCGGCCATGGCCTCCGAATACTCCTCTGCGAACACAGATTCCACAAACGACCAACAACCACAACACCCACCACGCAAACGCCGACCCCCACCCCCGAACTCATTGCCTCAACTCGTCAAGCGTACCAGCACGCTGTAGCTGTCCTTAATTGGGCTCACAAGATCCCACATAAGGGCGCCCCTCTTGCCTTCCCAGCTACTGTCTCTCGTCGCTACATCGAATTGCTTGAAGAACGCCGTCCGCGTGCACTTGCCATCCTGGCTTGTTTCTTCGCCCTGCTCAAGTCCCTTGACTCCGTTTGGTGGTTACAGGGCATGGCCCGCCGCGAGGTTCTCGGAGTGGTTTCCCTGTTCAACAGTGATTATTTTGGGCCAGATGCATATCGCACATGGTGGCCTCATCTCGAATGGGCCATGAGAATCGCATTGTGGGAGCCGCCACCTGGGTCTCAGCCTACCCCCGATTCTCCTCCGGGAGGTGTCGTGATCCCTCCTGAGATATGGGGAGCCGATTGGTATGCAGAGGAGCAGGCCTTGGCGAGAGGGCAGGCACAACATGGTGGTTATGTGAGGCATATTGAGCTGTTGAGCCAGATGAGCAGCGCCTTGCAGAGTTTCCCGCCAATAGTAGATTATATAGGAATGGAGAATCCAGAGGGCTGAAGAAGATCTGAACTTTTGACGGATACTACAGATACTGATATGTGTGAATACTCGGAACACAAGTTATGGGAGGGTAATGGTAATAACCCCGGATGTTCGATGGCAGTCTCCAAAACGGAGATTAGGGAGTGTATATAGTTTTAATACAAAGGGCACGCAAACGCAGTGAGTTATCCATCCAAAGAGAGGAATAACAAATCAAAATCCAACCAGCAAATGACGCCATTTTCATTATCTGAAGTAAAGATAACATCCCCCAAAGAACGCCTCTTACTCCACAAATAAAGGACATCAATCTAATTACTTTGGACATCACTTCCCCCTCAACCCTTGACCTTCTTCTTTTTCTTCTTCTCCCCGCTTCCAGCTTCCACGACGTCCGTTCTATCATCTTCACCGCCCTCATCCTCATCCCTCCCTCTCTTCAAACCCTTCATTTTCCTCGTCTGCAGCTTGCTCAGATCGGTCTTGCCCATATGGATACGACCAATCTTGTCGCCCAGCAAATCCATCGAGATGTTCTTCTTGGTCCGCTCCTCCTGCGGCGTTTTGGCTTTCTTCATGGCCTCCTTGAGCATGGCCGGATCGGGCTCGCGCATCCGGCCCAGGCGGAAGTCCATCCGCGGACCGTGCTCCTCGACCTCCACGCGCGGCAGACGAGTCCCCGAGCGCTTGGTGCGGATGCCGTAGACGCGCAGGCGCAGGATCGGTTTTTGGGAGGGGTCAATGCTTCGGGGGTCGGTCATTCCCGGGAGAGGGGCCGGGTTCTCGCCGTCATTGTTGGTCGAGGTCGAGGATGTGGGCTCATCGGCTGTGACGACGACGACGAAGCGCAGGCCTTCCACGTCAATCTTGTCGGAGGGCTCGCCGCGGAAGAAATCGATTAGCATGGACTTGGCCATGGTAAAGGCGTTCGGTACGGGGGATTCACTAGGGACATCCGGTTAACGAGGAGTGCTAGAGTTCGGGAAGTCTTGAAGGGGAGCCATACAATGCAGTTCCCGCGAATACCATCATCGGGCGCATCCCGATCGGGATCTTGCTGGTTTTGAATTGGGATATGCTCCGATACGTGTCGGGGTCGAGATAGAACTCCAGCATGTCCAGAACCTTATAATCAAACATACGCACAAACGTCAGAGTATGTGGCCGCTTCTTATTGCTGCTGCCAAAGACCATCAAACTGCAGTCGTTCTTCTCGGAAAAGAAGCACAGCGAAGTGGCGTCCTCGAATGGGTGGATTGCATTTTTCTTGTGGAAGCGCTTCGCATGCACCTGCCGCATAGCATACAGGTCGTTCATGGCATCTTGGGTCTAAAAAAAACCGTAGAGTTAGCTAAAACTTCAAAGTATCGATATGGTGTGATGCCATTGGGGACCATACAATCTGACTGCAAGTGGTGCCGCGGAGGAACAGACAAGTCTTGGGATTCTCGACGATCTTCGGTGCCCGCTTCTCGAGCGCGCGCTTGGAGCGCGCATTCCGGGGTTTTCTGTGTCCAGAATCGTCAGATAATGGTCAATCATGTGGAGGAAACCAGAATTGGATCAGAGCGTACATTTGACGGAGCATCTTTACGACAGTAGTCTTGTCTGGAGACTCCTAGCTGTTGCGCCAGCCGCTTTTCCAATGCGATGTAATGCGCAAAGAAATTCCAGACAGGGTTCCTTATCGATAAGATATTGCAAGCTGGTGTGGGAACTGTTGATTGGTTTGATCACGTGTTCCTGCCTATCGGCCGTTACTAGTGCGAATGCCAAGACTGTTTACTTTCATCGCGCCCCTTACAATCCGGCACCGCATTACGTACTCGGCATGCACCTGATCGGTGGAAACCCCCTGAAAAGAGCATGTAAACTTACATTACCCCATAGTAATACAGTCTTTTCTACTTTGATGATTTGTTGATTAGTTCCGACTAACAATATGTCTTGTGGTTCGTGACTCACATCTTGGATGATCTTGCCCAGGAAACAACAACCAAGGGCCGCCACCTGAATCAACATAACCAGGTTCTCACCTACTTTAAGCAATTACGTCTCCCATGTGCCTGCTATCTAATGCGATATTCTGTTGCCTGAGGTCTATGCCATTGGAGTTCGCCTGCTCTGCCATGTAGAAACTGCGCTTAACGAGAGCAGGCAGGACTTTCATCACTTGGCCGTGGACAAACCTTTTTTTTGTCAGAACTTGACATGATCGGCTTATCCAGTCCCTTCGGGATCAACAACAAATCTTTCCTCGTCATCAGACATACACACCTGTACAGTTTTTTGTATGGTCATAGACCCGTCTTATCTTTGCCAGCTCCATTAGCCGTTCGTCGGAATGCGCCAGGAAGAGAAAGCCCCGTTTGAGGGCGAAAAGATCTTGGATATACCCAAGGATCCAAAACCGAAACTGATTGAGGACGTCCCAGTGCTTCCAGACCTCCCAGTTTCCCTCGAAGGCAAACGTGAGAGCGAAAACACAAGCCCTGCCCAAACGCCATCCAAACCCAAGGAGAAGCGTGAGCTCTTCTCGACAAAATGGAAGTTGACACGAATTAAGGAGGAATGGGAGGTACGGGAATTTCGGCCACCTAGCCCACCAACTGTCCCGACCGCCTCTTTGTCAGATCTCATGTTGGGACCATCTGTTACGGAAGCATACCTCGCGAAGAACAAAGGGAAGCAGCTCCAAAGCGAAAATGGCAAGCCAGTCGCGAATGTGTGGTATTGGAATGCAGTCGAACCAGAATCTGCTCATTTAGGGCGGATCCCTGGTGAAAGCATCGGCATGGTATCCTACATCAATCCTGACTTTGAGGCTTTTGTCAATGAGCTTGCATCATCCGACCCAGAGGAGGACTTGAAGAGGGTAAAGGCTGATATCGACGACGCCTATCAGAACCACCGCGTCGTCGACAATTTGTGTGTTTCTTGCGAGAATCAGGGCCTGAAGCAATGCAACTTATGCAAACTCGCACGATACTGCTCCAAAGAGTGTCAGACCGCCGATTGGCCCATGCACAAGAAAGTCTGCAAGGGCTTCGCAGTTGAGACGGCTGATAATGCACGACCAAGTCCCAAACATCGCCGTATACTTTTTTTCCCGGCCTACGATCCGAAACCTAAGCTTCTGTGGGCTGTTCCAGAACTCGTGGGGGAACGCAATGTTATCAGGGTTGAGCATCCTGACATCGAAAAGTTCTGGAACGCTGTTCGCGAGAGCGAAAATGATCTCCTTGATAAATGGATCCAAATCGCCAGAATCAACCTCCATCCTCCGTTCAAGAGCCGGTAAGCCCATCTACCTAAATTAATTCCGAATATATACAAGGGTTGACACAAAGCCTTGCGATGATTCTAGCCGCATCGGCACCACATTATTGGTGCAATACTACGGCATCAAGTTTCCAAGGCCAAAGTCTTTTGTTCATGTCAACAGGTCTATCAATGCCATTTCGGAACCGGGATACTTGCGGTAAGGTGCCAATACAATTAATGTGCTCACACTTTCTTGATGGAAACGACACAACGAGCTGATTGTGATTTGGTAAATAGACCGTTTTTCGGACCTGTCCTCGTCTTTTCCGATGAGGGAAAAAGCGACCCGAGAGACCAGGAGATTCGAGACATTACACCTCGAGAAGTCCATACGGCCGTGCGTTTCTTTGAGACGCTCGATTGCCCTTGTCTCAAGGACCCTAAGCAGTGGCCATCTGAAGTGATCAGTGGCATCAAGGTCTCCGATTTGCGGCTTGGCCTCAATGTTGCAATGGGCATCCAACAGCCGTATGAGCCAGTCTATGTCCCTCTCCAGCCCATAAAGCAGATCGACTCACCCATCGCCCTCGCCTTTTTACTTGGTCTGCGATGGTATCTGCGGGACTGCAACTATCTGTCTCGGGAATACGGTGCCAACATGTGGTCCGACTTGAAGTTGTTCTACCTTGGAATCACTGCAGTCGTCGACCAGCAGTTTTATGCCAACGTCAAGAAAACGGACCACGGACGACAGGTACAGGGTGCCACCGGCGACAGCACTTTCGTCAACCCAGTTCGGCCATTTGGTCGCCCGTCCTTTATTCCAGGCAGATTCATCGGAAGCATGATCGTTCTGCATGGCTCGGGGAAACCGCTTGACATAGCCCACCTGCTTTGCTTCGATAACTATATGCAAGATGTGTTCAGCCGCGCCGAAACACCGTCAAAAGAAGGGTTCGAGGGATTTTGGGAGAAGTGGCGCGTTGGTGCAAATGGCAATTTGCTACAGCTCTCGTCTCCGTATGAGTTGGAGAAGGACGAGATCAAAGATCGATTGGGGTGGTTCAACCCTAAGTTGGTCATGGAGACAATCGGCCAGCACAAAGAAGAGTTGTTGGCAGTTGTGAAGAAGGAAGCCAAGGCAATGATGGGCAAACAGACAAGTTCACGGGGTGGCCAGGAGAAACATAATTTGAGAGAAGAATGGGAGAGGAAGGTGGCTGAGGAGGGTCTCAGGGATTAGAGTTAACTTCCTGTTATTTTGTTGACTCGTCTTTGCTGGAGTCTAGTTATACTCAAGTTATTTGTGAGACTTGTTGCTAGTCAAGCGTCCAGGCTGGACACGGCTAGCATCAGGTGTTCAAGTGTTCAGGAATAGTCCTGGTGAGAAAACATTATTATTGGTGGTCTGTTGGTCATAGACAGAGAGTTCGCTCAATGGTATGCTTTATCGTGTTCACTCAGAAAGCTGATTTCAAGCCAACGTGGTTCTGTCGGTGAAACCATGCTTAGCACATCTTGTAATACCTACTGCCTGTGATCCAAAGAGACACTGTCCAGGGAAAAATGTGACTCACTTGCTTTTGCATAGCTGCCAAAGAGAATTGAGTTCAAGGTAGGGACATGACGCCGAGTTTTTGAGCCAGTAAAGTATATTGTCATTGATTACAATTCCTCATATCATGACCCATAGAGTTTAGGGACGGGCCTAGTCCATCCAACCGCCACACATATTGCAAGATTAACAAAACCAAGCACTCGAAACCCATTTGCATAACCTGTCGAGGTACCACTCTTGCCAACAGATCGAAAAACTATTGCAAACAATACACCACCAAGGTTCCCTGCTGCCCCAGTAAACCCAGAAACTAAACCATTAGCTTCCGGGTGGACGTGAGGGAGCAGGCTGAAGTTGGCGCCATTCCCAGCTTCGAGGAAGACAGCTGCTAACACGACAAGCACCACGATTGTTGCTTGGCTGGGGCTGGACACGGAAGCGAAGCGGCTGAGAATAAGAAGAATTGTGCCGCTGAGCAGTCCACATGAAAGGATCCAAGCTTTTTTGTACCAGAGAGGTTGGATCTTGGACGTTGGCGGGTGCGCGTAGAGGAAGTCGCTGATGGCTCCCCCCAGGGGACGAGTGATGAAGTTAAGGAAGCCGAAAATGGCGGCTAGGTTGGCGGCTTTGGATGGGATTAAAGAGGAAGGGAAGGTCGCGAGGTAGAAGGAGGAGAGAATTGAGTTGATTGCGAGCTCTGAACCGAAGGAGGCGAGGTAAGTTAGGGTGTGGAAGAAAGTTTGCGGGGAAAGTAGCACTGCTAGAGTATTTGATGCTGATGCTGGTGAGCGCGTCGGTGTAGTTGGGATATGAGAAAGGGGTTTCTCGAGGTCTAGTTGTCTCTCGATTGAGGGAAAGCGAGACAGTTCAGGAGAGGTGAGTGGCTTGTCGGATAACAAGTTAGGTATGTCGGTGGCTGTGCTGCTGGCAGTGATGCTGGTTTCCTTTAAGGGGCACTTGTTCCATTTTCCGGCGGGAGTGTCGGGGCACAGAAGCAGGAGTGCCACACCGGTTGTAATGACCATGCAGAGAGGGACTAGAAAGGTAAGACGCCAAGCTTGAGCAGGAGCGTAACCATAAGAAACAAGGGCGTCGTAGACAGCCGGCATGATGAAGTAAGTGATCCCACCGCCAGCATTGCCGAAGCCCCCTGTGATGGCATTGGCGGTACCCACAATATTGACATCGAAGAAACTGGTTGACCAGACCTGGCATGGAACAAAAGATCCTCCCAAGATACCGATGAAAAATCGGCTGATGTACAGACTTGTAGCATCGTGGACAAGAGGGGCTAGGCCAAGAGGAATTGAACCGACGAGTAGAAGCCCGCCAAACACTTTGCGAGGACCAAATCGGTCACATAAGGGTCCAGATATTAATCGAACAAGAAGTCTAGTAGTGTTAGCAAGTAAACCAAGTCATGGTGTTATTGTGGCTGAGTGACTTACGTTGCGCACAAAGAAACAATATTGGAGTTGGCAACCTGGACAGGAGACAAATGGAGGTCGTACTTGATGACATGGGATAACTGTGTGTCCGCGTCAGTATCCCTCAGCTAGCGGGATTGTTCAATTAATATCAGAATACCATACCAGCGGCGGAAATGTATACCATGCCCAAAAGGCTATCATAAAACCAAACCAGGAGAAAAAGAACACCCGCCCATAGATGTCCAACGGGTTGAGGAATGGGATTGACCGGGCTTTGAGTGTAACAGGGTTGACCTCGGGAGAGGCATAAAGGTATCTCAATTTAAAGCTCATGGCAGCTTGTCACCTACTTGCCATTGCTAGAGCAGTCTTAGTTGCAATGAGGGTTGTTACAAGTTTGCCAGAGCGTTAATATCCAAACCATGGCTACATATCAGTTTTTCTAGATGAGACAAGGGGTGCATTTGCTAACCACCACACAGCTAGGATGGTATTCCTTATGTCACTATCGTATTGACGTTTTCCATCGTCTTTGTAAAGCTGCATGCTATCCACTGCACAGGAGAGATCAATACCATCAACTATGTTGACTAGATTAGGAGTCTAGGATTGTGCGAGACGAGTATGGGGGTCTCATGCCCGTTGATATCTGATAAAGGGCCAGGTCCTTAAGCAGACGATAAGAAACCGGGGGATGGAGACAAGGAGGGAACTTCGCACAACATCCTCGGAAATGGCACAACTTACGAGTGATAGGTTGCAGAGTCGGCCAGCTTTCTGACAAAGGCAATCTGGGTAATAATCTTCACAGAGTAATGAGCAATGCTTGCAGTTAGGAGTTGATGGAACCGGATTAGTTACAGCAAAGTCCTTCTCAAGTTCTCGGGATGACATCATTGAGGAATAACTCAGACGATCTTTCCCAGACATGAACAATCAACACGCTGTTTCCACGGAAGGCACGGACGTTTGGGGAAGATGGGGGGTTATCTGATTGTACCTGATTGATAGCGACGATAAGGAACGCTGGAGTGACAAAACCTAACCCCGATGGCTGTGGGTCCTCTTGCGATTTCCGCGGAGCAAAACGACAGGTTCCCAGAGAAACTTGTGAGGTTCTATTGGAAGGAGTGGCTGTTAATCATATATGCGACGCACACATCACTACAGGCGATAGAGTCACTTTGGAAAATTAACTCGTCGACTTCTCGCGCAGCCGGTTGTGTGTGTGTGAACCGGCCCGAAAGCAAGGGCTTGGTTTTCGGGAGCCGGAAGAGTGGGATGACAGCATGACAGCTCCCCGAAGAGTGTCGAATTTGACAAATCATCCTTGTTTGTCCCACCATAGCAGATTTTCGGCAAGCACGAGCCCGGGAAGCATAGATCCCAGGACTCCCGTGCTCGTGTGTGAGACGAAGGACACAGAAGCTAAGCCGCGTCTTCTCGAACTGGAGTCATCCACCTCAACCTTCAGGACTTATTGGACGAAACATATACTATCTTTTCAGCCAAAGAGTAACCGGGAATAAAGTTGTGTTTGTGTGCCCATTCTAACACAACCCTAACCCTTCTTCAACTGCAACATCGAGCCGTAGGCCGCCACAAAACTGCAAACCGGGGCTAGCCAAATCCATCTTTTTGATTCCATCCTTCTGACCGCCTCGGCGGCTGGACAACGCACTCGACCAGTCTTACAACCCGACACCGAAAATATGGATCCCGACTGTCGTTCATGCTGGCCGCTTTCTGCGCTTCTGTATGTCCGGCTGTCGGCGGCTGTCGGCATGCGGGTGTTGGACAAAGAGCGCAAAGCAGCAGCATTTCGTTTACAATGTTGATTCGGTCGAAGATATGCTGGAAACATCCTAAAAATTCTAAAGATTTACGAGTCTGAAGGCGAAGACGTGTCCTCGGCGGAAAGTTGTCCACCTCCCCGAGTTGTCTCCGCCGAGATCTGGGGTCTGCCAAGGCTCATCGGCCGGATCGCCAACACCGGGCTGCATGCCGACTGCCGACATGCGACCCCCGGACTGACCCACTTTAACCGACCGTGCCGGCGCCGCTTCCGCCTCGACCCGTCCCACGTCCGAAGAGTGATGTCACAATGGGACCCATTAATCTGGGTTACTGGAGAATTTTTGCATATCTCTGTCATCATGTCAGTCACCGGTTCCAGACCGGCGGGTCGTTGTCACCATGTCTAGCGCATCATGCCGGATGAGCTATGCGTCCAGGTTTGTTGCCGTCCCTAGACTGATCTCATTCCTGGGATCGCGGCAGGGATTCCCGTTCCTGACATGTTCGGCAGCAACGTACAGTAGTTTATTCTTTGTACAGGGATCTGGGAGGGGCTGCTCCACGAACCGTTTTGGCAGGATGGGGCTCTTGACAGGCACACCGCCGTCGGAGATCACCTCTCAGACCCTTTTCCCTCGTCCCGGGCCTCGGCGTGGATCCGCCACTGCAGCCAAGTCTGCCGGATGAGACGTCTCACAGGGCTGAGCGAACGAAAACTCTCTCGGAACGGCTGGCTCATCGGTGGCTCACACTCAATTTTGTTTCTTTGGGACGATACATAAACACGTCCCCATTTCCATTTCTCAACCGTTCCCTCCCCATGTTCATCCCATGATTTCGTTGTCCTATCCCCTTCCAAGTACCCTCCAGTTGTCTTCTGTATCAGAATATTAAGTCATTCCCTATAAGACTGCAGATTTCAGCCTACTCTGGTCTTCGTGAGGCCTAGTACCTTCGTTGAGGATCATAAGAGACGCTATCATCTCTACTTCGTCATCATGCCGCCAACAGACAAACAGTTGCCCACTAGCAGCGGCTCATCCACTGAGGGAGTGACTGAAGAGCAACGCAGCAACGTTTCGACAGCTCCGATGTCAACCAAGGATAAACTATGGGTGTATCTGACCGGAAACGTTCGCCCTACCATCTTGGCTGAAATCCAGCTCCTTATTCTCACATTCTGCATTGGTCTTCAAGGTAAGTTAAATATTTGCCCCTTGGTCACAAAGTCTATGTCGGTTCCTGACATCGCCTAGATGCTGTTTCTTTCCCTGACTTCCATTGCTTCGCCTCTAATCAAACTGGCAACACGGTCTTCCTCATTTTGGCCCTCGTCTTCCCCAATTTGGATGGTGACATCTTCGAGACTCCCAACATCGGTGTTGCCCTTGGGTTCTTCCTTCTTTCGGCTTACATTACTGGCCAGCTTGGACATCTCGTCGGGCCTCGTCGCCGTGCATGGCTTATCTTCAGCAACCTTGTGCAGACTGGTCTGGTCTTCGCGGCAGCTGGAGTCCAATATTCTCAATTGGATGAGAACAACGAACTGCCTGTGAAAGGAACTCGCACTCTCCTTGCCATCGGTTTCTTGGCCAGCGCCGCGGGAAGCCAGGTCGTGCTCTCGCGATCTCTTCGCCTGCAGGAGATCACCACTGCCATGGCCACCGCCGCGTGGCTGGACCTGGTGATCGATCCGAAGCTGTTCAAGCTCCACAACCGCCCGAGGAACAGGAGGGCTGGGTTCTTAATCATCTTCATTCTGGGTATCTTGGCTGGTGCTTACATCTTCAAGAGACACAGCTCGCCGGCTGCCCTTGTGGTGTCCGGTTCTGGGAAGGCCTTGGTGACGCTAATGTTCTTCTTCAATTCTGCGGAAAAGCCAAAGAGCGGTGATGAGGAGGGTTGGCTTGACCGGCCTCTGGGTTGAACAATACTGTGGATGAGCTGTTAGGGGTAAGGGAGCAGGGCCAGCCACAGCAGAATTTTGCATGGGGTTGAGTGGGAGAATGTATCTGTTCACCTCTGGGCTGAAAGGAGGGAACGCAGTCACAGACAGCTTCCGTTGGTTGCCCGACACCCCTCCATTATGATAGGGAGAGGGATGGTATTTTTAAGATATACGTCTAAGAAGGATTGCTACATTGCGTTGGATAAACTAGCATGGCGTTCACGGGATATACCAGGGGGGTTACGGGGGCTTTATAATCTCGATTTCATCTTAGGTCGTCATGGATACATCAGAAGTAACTGCAGGAATAGAACGTTCGTTATTTGAAGCAATAGAGACAACGCTGAATATTGCACGGATCATGTTTGACGCTTGCAAACAGTACCTATGTAAATAGTCGATTTCAAGAGTGTAAATATATAATTATGTAAGTTAGTTAGACCTACTCTGAGTCCCGAGAGTGTCAACGGAAAATGCTTGGAAACTCGGTTGTTTTAACATCTGCTTTGAGTTCTCAGCTGAGTCGGGTACCGTACCCGAACCTAATAAACTTGGCATTCTTGAGGTCCGTTTTAACTGTTATTCGAGAGACTTTGGTTGGACGAAATCAAAGGCTGAGCCGTACCGCGCTCTTTGGATTAGTGAATATTTCTTAGAGCACTCATGGGTTTAAACTTGTGCGGCTGCCATCCTATCTTGTTTCATCAAAATGATCAGTAGCTGATGATCGCATCCCCCTTTCTATCTCACAAGTATGCACTACTCATAATGACCAAACTAGCGATGTCGACTGTTGACAGCTACTGAAAAACCGAACATTCTCCTTTGGAAGTCAATATCTATTCCTCTTATGAGTCTGGTGCTTGGGATGGTATATCACTAGTTGTTGACTGAACCCTGGTGGTGGCAATATTCGGCTGGCTTTTTTTGACACATGAGCCGTGGAATGACTGGCATATACGTGCTGCAGCAAACACAATTACTAGTTACGACATACCCAATAGAGATATGTATTCAATGTTACCATTAGACAACCTCAATACATATCTTCGTCCCGATGTCGACTCTCCTCGGCCCACTTACAGCTCTAATTCTCTTAGCTTCGCGACCGATTTATGCACTGATCTTCTTATTCAGTAACAATTCAACCTTCAACATTCATAACGAATTTTACTACTAACAAAACACGAGTCAAACAGCTGCTGGCACCTGGAAACATTAGACCATCCCACCAGGAGCAGACCGTAAGTCTATAGGCACCACGTCCCTCAGTTATAACTCCTGCTGACAGAGCTCAAGTTACTAACCTAAATGTATGCCTTAAGACGCCCAATCATATCTACGGATCCATTTTTGTATAAGAACAGGACACTCCAAGAAGTACACAATCGGGCTGGATCATCCCCTATCAGCCACAGAATTGGTAATACTTGCACAAGGTACGTACTAGACGCGGCGTCTTGGTTGGGACCCTTTTCCTGGAGCGGCTGGTCCCGTTGGCCCTTTGCCATCATCCACCAATCACATCGCGCAACCGGCAACAGCCGCCAAGCTCGCATTTCTCTTCCCCACCTTGGAAGCTGGGCCAGCACCTGACAACGCGTCTCACGTTGGAGCGGGACGCGTCTCGCGGTGGATTTCCCGGTTTGCATGGAAAGATCCCCGCGCAAGCTCGTATCACATCCCAAGCCCCTTGGCTCCAGAACCTCTTCCTGGGTTTTGTCGTCACGCTCACTGGACATTTGCATGCCCGACTTGCGACGGCGCGCGGTTGCAGGCTGGGACCGCCGTTCGGACTCGACTTGATGACGAAAAACAATCTCCGCGAGCATCTTGGCTGGTTGCTGCAGAGCGTGTCGCGGTCACCGCCGTCGGGTCCCGAGTTTCCTACAGTGCTTGATGCGGGCGACACCTTCGAGCCCAATGCCCCTGATGTCTCGACGAACTCCTCCAGCGCACTTGGTGCGTCTGGCGTGGGAAACCGCATCGCTCGGCCTGCTGCGAGGTGTCACAACACCACCGAGCCCGCAGCCTCCGCCGAGTCTTTGACGGGGCAACAGTCATCCCAACAACATCGCAGGCCTGACCACCAGCCTTCTCGCGCCGCATCTGCTTTATCCTTCCAGTCTGGCTCTCACTCGAACCTGCCCTCCAACACCTCCAAATCGTTTCCCAACACTCGCCCTACCTCTTTTTCCGATACTCACTCTAATGCCACACTCTCCACCACACGTCCAGAGCCAAATCAAGCCGCATCCAACACTAGGTTGCAAGATGCTAACGAGAAATCGCTTAAACGAAAGATGGAGAGCCGACCTCTAAACACCAGCTTCGATCGCTCAACACTAGCACCAGGTGTTAAACAACAGCAACCCATGCCGACCCCGGCACCGACTACTAGCACAACCACGCCAACTGGTCCTGGGCCTTTGCAGAGAGCTTACTCCGACATGATCATCACCCAGAACCCATCAAAGTTTAGATCTGAATCGCCTTTCGCCACTGGTTCTACAAGGCGTGCCTTTCCTGCTGCCCAATCCGGTATCGCTGCCGACATCTCCGTGGGCGACGATATCTTAGAGGATGCTCTGGACCTGACCGATGCCGATGCATTTGATTCCAGTTCAGTGGCGGCATTTGGGGAAGAGAGGACAATGTGGAAAGAGGATTATGCTGAACGACCTGAGTCTATCTCCAGCCGGACACTTAAGGCGAAACGCGACAGTCCCAGGTTGGACACTACAGCAACAAAGCCCAGCTTATCCATGCAAGAAGAGTTTCCGGATATTGAGGATTTGATTTCCCCATCAGCAGTCCCAAAGCCGACCTCAAGGCCGAAATACTCGAGTTTTGTTTTCTCCGATGTCTCCTCATCATCTCCAGTCTCTGCAACCGTTACATCGTTGGCCAATAAGTCCTCTATTTCCATGGACTCGGTCACTCACCAAGGTCAAGATTTTGGCTCGGTTGCCGGGAGGTCTCGGGCTAGCATGACTAGGACTCCCTCTCCACAGCCAGAACATATCGGGCGGAAGCGAAAGAGCCCTTCATCTCCTGTTCCGGATAGGATTGCAGAAGCCGATCCAGAGAACTCTGCTTCAGTTCAAGCAAGCAATAAAACTAAGAGGAGCAGGCATGATATTGTCTGGGACTCAGAGGATGACTTTGCAAGCCCACCGACAATCCGATCAACCATGGTGATTGACCCAAGCCCGGAGACCACAAGCATGGACCATCGCATGGATATTGATGAGGCTTCCTTATCCATCGCAGAAACTCCAGTGAAGACCTCACGGCTCTTGAATACTTATCACGCTGTTTGTCAAGGTGCTGCGTCAGATAAGCAGACAATGTCAAGTGAGAGTGTGCTGCCAACCGACAAGAGTGAAGATACAGACCCTCCTGAAATAGTCCATCCCGGGGTAGATGGGCCAAAAAAGAGCTCGCAAAGCTCTTTGAACCCAGAGATCAAACATAATAGCAAACTATTGGAGCTCTTCCTCGAAAGACCATCTGTCTTGGAGATCAAGCGGCTTTTCATCAAGGAGCAGCTACGCAAGACTCAGGAGGATTATATGCAAAGCTTACAAAAGCGCACATCAAAGGAAGAGCGCGAAAAAGCCCGCAATGCTCGGACAGTATGGATGGAGAAGCAAAGAGCACTGGAGGCCATTCCGGACCTTCTTCAAGCTCACAAGGACCTTCTTGCCCAGCGAGAGGCCCTCGTCACCCAGATGGTCGAAGCCTTTGCAGAGGGTAAGGACCTCATGACGGATGAAGAGCGACTGGACTCTTTGAGTGAGGTTATCAAGGCCAAAGAAATCGACATACTCCAGAATCTTATCGCCGCTGGCTTCAACGACCTTGACTTTCTTCAGGACCCCAATGATTCCATTGCTGCCCTTGACTCGCCGCATAATGTTCCCGTAGTTCTTGCTACACAACCATCTCACAAAACTGGCCCCAACCAATGCATCTCCATTCCAGAATACAATTCTGAGGTCGTTTCTCAAACGCAGCATTCGCCGCCGATCCGACCTCAACAGGCCGAGCCTACACATCAGGCGCAGCCCAGTCGCCCACGTGCTCAGCCAACTGGAAGTGCCCAGGGTACCGTCGACACACCTGTTCTCCCATCAGCTCGCGCTTTTTCAGGGACGCAAACCCCAGCAACGAACGACCGGGCTGGAGCTTTCATCTCCACGAAACAGCCAACCGTTATCGAAATTATTGACGACGATGACTTTGAGGCCGGTCTTTCAACCCCCATCGGCACTGAAAATGTGGCACCCTCAGACAGTGATGGTGCTTTCCAGCCTCCAGTTCAGGTGTCACAGTCTAGTCCTGTTGCGAGAACTCCGGCTAGGAGCTCTGCGAAAACTTTCGTAAACGCTGCTGAAAAGGCTCCCCAAATGGATGATGAAGAGGACTATTTTGATGACGATGACGATGAAGAGATGATTGCAGCCGTTAATAGACTGGAGCAACAGCACCATCGCTCTGCTCTCGCAACTGGCCCTGGAAGTATTCGGGAACGATCGGTTTTATCAGAGTCATCGGGGAACGCCGGTATTGTTGCAAGACGACGACCTGCAGCAAACACTGTTCCTCTCCAGCGAAAGGCTCTAAGCATCAATCCTGCGTTAATGGTTTATCCTTGGTCAGAAGATGTTCGCCGTGCGCTCAAAGACCGGTTCAGGATGTCGGGGTTCCGCCACAACCAACTCGAAGCCATCAACGCTACGCTGGCGGGCAAGGATGCCTTCGTCCTCATGCCTACTGGAGGTGGGAAGTCACTCTGCTACCAGCTCCCGGCCATGGTAAACAGCGGTAAGACCCGAGGGATGACCATCGTCGTCTCTCCTCTTATCAGTTTGATGCACGATCAGGTCGAACACTTGAAGGCGCTCAACATCAGGGCCAACACATTCAACGGTGAACTGAGATCGGATCTACGCTCTCATATCCTGAACGTGTTCAATGAGGAAAACCCAGAGCATTACATCCAGCTGCTATATGTCACTCCCGAGATGGTTGTCAACAGCGTCGCGTTCAGGAAAGCCTTAGAATCGCTGTACCGGAAGAAGAAATTCGCCCGCCTCGTCATCGACGAAGCTCATTGCGTGAGCCAATGGGGTCATGATTTCCGCCCTGACTACAAACAGTTGGGGGAGCTTCGACGCAAGTTTCCGGGAGTGCCCGTCATGGCCTTGACCGCAACCGCCACCCGCAATGTCATTGCAGACATCAAGCACAACCTTTCAATGGAGAACTGTGAGGTTTTCTCACAGAGCTTCAACCGCCCCAACCTTTACTATGAGGTCCGCCATAAGGGCCCACACTACGTTAGGGATATTGGGGAAATGATCATCAACAAGTATCCTGGACAGAGCGGCATCATTTACACCCTCTCGCGGCACGCAGCAGAATCGACAGCTGCCACACTCAAGGAGAAGTTTCACCTTAAAGTCCGTCATTATCACGCTCAGATCGACCCAAGCCTGAAGGTAGAGATACAGAATGAATGGCAAAGCGGCGAAATCCAAGTCGTCGTTGCCACCATCGCTTTTGGTATGGGAATTGACAAACCGGATGTCCGCTTTGTCATCCATCAGAATATCCCGAAAAGTCTTGAGGGTTACTACCAGGAGACAGGTAGAGCTGGTCGAGACGGACAGGGCTCAGACTGTTACCTCTACTTTTGCTGGCAAGACGTTCCCATTCTCAGACGGCTGATCAACAACGACCCAGAGAAGCTGCCCGAAGAGAAGGCTCGGCAGCGTGACCTGCTGAACAACATGATCATGTACTGCGAGAGCAAATACGCTTGTCGTAGGGTCCAGATCCTGCGATACTTTGGCGAGCAGTTCGATCCGGCTGATTGCAACAACCTTTGTGACAATTGTAGGGAGGGCCGAACTGGTGCTGGCGGTTTTGAGAAGGTCGATGTGACCGAGTCTGCTCTAGCCATCCTTAAAGCCGTTAAACATACCAAGGAGGCAACTTTAGGCCGCATCACCGAGATTGTCACCCTAAACAGGAATGTGAGGGCAAATCAACACATTGAGGGTGCAGGTGTGTGCAAGGGCATGCATTCTTACGATGTCCATCGGATCGTCATGGCTCTTCATGCAGAGGAATCCCTGTCGGACTTTACCCGGGTCAGCCAAACCAACAACGTCCCTATCACGCTTTTCACTGTAAGTGCATTTTTTGTCAATGTCTAAGCGAAATTGCTGACGTGTGACTTGCAGCTTGGCAAAAATGCCAAAGAGTATTTCGCTGGCAAGCGTCGACTAGAGCTGGAGGTACCTAGCCGTGGAGTCAAAGCTGCTGCGCCTAAGGGCCGCACCGCTGCGGAGTCGGAAGACGATCGTAGATCTACTACTTCGAAAAATTCACGGGCCAAACGACCTCCTCCGTCAACTAATGTCTCTTCCCCTGTCACAGCTACGTCGAGAAAGAGAAAAGCAAAATCGACAACAAGGACTTCCGAGGATGATGACGAAGAAGCTTTCGAAGAACACGTGGCCCTTCGGCGGCACAGCTCGGGTTACCAGAGAGATGGCTTTGTCGTTTCCGATGAAGAGGCGGATGATGTCTCCTATGAACCGGGTCCTTCTCGTCATCGGGCCCCTTCGAAACAACGGCAGCAAACACTGGATGAACTTGGTCCGCCCATCGCCCGCGATGAGAGGCTCAGTGAAGCCGGCATCGACGATGTCCACCGAGATGTCGTTCAAGCCTTTGTTGAGAAGGCGAAGGAAGTTGATGAGACCCTCCGCAACCGAAACGGGTTGCGCCGACCCATTTTCACGGATCTTCAGTACCGCGAGATGGCCATGCGTTGGACCACCAGCGTTGCGAAGATGTACACCATCAGGGGCATCGACAAAACCAAAGTGGACATGTATGGTGCGAAATTTGCCCCCCTGGTTCAGCGTTTCCATGACCAGTACATGGAGATGATGGGTCACAAGGCCACTGGCCCTTGGGCTGGGGCCGATATTATTTCCTCGCACCACAAGCCTCGTGAGTTTGTGGACCTTGTCAGCGACGATGAAGAGTTTGAAATACCCCCCGATGATGCCAGGCGCGGTGTGGTCCATGACCAGGTAGAAGAGATAGGCGATGAGTTCTTCGAGGATGATGAGGACTTAGACGAGATTGAAGATGACGAGGAGGAGGAGCAACTTGAGTCATCTCGCTACTTTGCCGCGCCGGACACTGATCCTTCAGGACCGTCGATGACACAGGCTGAAGCTAAGAGCGTTGATGCCTGGCACCGACGCTTCCAGCAGCTCCAGGCTCAGAGTGCCAAGAAATCATCGTCGAACGCGAACAAGTCCAATTACAACAATAACAACAATAGCCGGCGAGGCGGCGGCCCCGGCAACAACTGGAACAAGAACGGTGGCGGCAAGGGCAAGTCCTATTACAAAAAGCGCAACTCTGGCAACCGGAACAGCGGTGGTGGGTCTAGCAGCAACTCCAGCAGTGTCGGCAAGCGTCGCAACAACGCTTCTGGGGCGAACAGCAGCTCTCGCAGCAAGGGTGGCGCTTCGGGTTCGGGATCGTCTTCGAAGAAGGGTGGGTCTGGAAGTGGCGCTGACAGTGGCATCAGCACCATGCCTTACTGAGAGTCTGGCTTGTGAGCGGGGATGTCACGGGTAGCAAGGCCATCTTGGGGGGGGGGGGGCGAAAAAAGGGAGGGCGCTTGAGGACGTGGATGCTTGAGCCGATGTCGAGCGGATAGGGGGAGTTCATTGAAACTGGCAGTTGGGGCTTTTGACCACTAGGTGAAAAGTCGACGGGCCACAAGGTGTTGAAGAAACCTGATTCACGTCAATGGCCTATCATTTAGCTTGCCTCCTTCCTCGACCAACAACTTTCTGGGCTCAAAAGAGGTATCTGGCGAGCTTTTTACCTCACCCAAGAGCAATTAGCACGCAATCATCCCTTTGTCAAGAATAAGCTGCCGGTCAACTCCTGTCCCTGGACCGCAATCAGACCAGCTTGTCACCAGCCTGCAGCGCGCCGTTAAGGGCTTGACAGACCATCACCTTTTCATTCCTCTTCAACCCTTGAGTTCTAGCTTCTTCCGTCTGTCTTTTCGAAGCTTGCATTTGATTCTTTGCTTGATCCATCTTGATGGGGTTCTCAAGTGGCGACACATCCACGCATTCTACCACGAAGATACATCACGGAGGAGTGGCTGCATTTGGCATGGCGTACGGCATTGGTTTGGGATCATACGGGACGGTCAATAGGTACTCAAGGAGAGGCATTATCTACGTACGTAACGAAATCAAGAAGCCGAGATGTGGACTGTGTGCTGGCCGGGCTAGCTTTTATGGGATTTGGGAGTTTCGGAACTGGTTTTGGTTCTTTGCTTTCTTTTTTCTCTCTAAGTGCCTAGATCAAAGTCGCTTTCATAGACGCGGGGGATTACTTGATGAGAAGAGACGTTAGGATTGGTACCAGCGGTGGTGATACCCCGACAGACTGCCTGCAAAGAGCAGGAAAGCAAGCATAATGATAGCCATGATGACCTTCATTTTTCGAATGGGACATAGGAATTCGGTTTTTGGGCACTAAACATGTTGGCTCAAAGGGTGATTTCTTGAATAATGGACTGTTGACATGAAAATGGCGGCACTTCATACTAGCCTTGACCCCATGTAGAGCATCCAAACGATGAGATACGGATTCCCCATTGCAAATGGTGATTCATGGTGATATACGATTATCGCAAAGTCTCATAACCAATAACGGATGTGGGAAAATTTGTATTTTGATCTAAGCCAGCCCAATGCACTAGATGTCAAGCAATATAAAAAACCGAGGAATGCAGAAAGATGAAGCAGACCAGAACAATCCACAGACGCCTCCCTATGTAATAGAATGTGTATATGCAAGTGTAGGCACGTTCAAGAGTGAACATCATGCTGGAATTATGCTAAGGGTATCGGTTCGGGTGATGAATAGGTGATTGTTTGATAAATTGCTGGCAATGCCAAAGGAATAATAATGAATGAGTCTGAAGAAAATCCTGAAATAGTTGCACAAAAGGGAGGGTGAAGAGGAGGAGAAAAGGACACACGGTTACTCAGCAAGCCAGAGATGCTGAAATGTCCAAGATAGATGATACGGCTGGTCAACAAGCCGAAAGCGAGAAACAAAGCTGGGGAAAAACAACCGAGGGAGCTTCAGAAGCGAAGTAGAATGGTGTCAAAACCGGGAGGAAGGAAACGCAAAATCAGAAAAGACAAGTCAAGAAGCAAAACGCCCAAAGCAAAGCATCCTCCCGTTTGCGAAGAAGAGCTCCCCGTTTCTGAATCTTCCGACGTAGCTGTCCATCCGTCCATAAAGCAATCAATCGTTCGTAAAACCATAGCCTCCCTCTAAATGCCCGAAGCCAACCAACCCGATGCATTCCGACCCGTCTTAACTTTTCCCTTCTTTCCACTAATAGTTTGATCGAGATCTGTTTTTGATGATGTGATGGGTGACGTATCCCCATTATGAAGCAAAATTAGCTTCTTGCTCTTTCTTCTTTCTCTTTTCTTCCTCTTCCTGCCGCTCCTGCAACCACTCTGCAGAGATCTCCTCGCGAACCCGGCGACACCACTGCAACACGGCATCCTCAAACTCAACCCACACCTCTGGTCCTGGGCTGATAGTTCCAGGAGCGTTATTAGCATTAGGATTATCATTACGTTTATTGGGTGGCTGCCAATATTGCAGCCCCAAAGCGTCTGCCTTGAGCACAACTTCCCAGCGCAGCTCAGCAGCCTTCATCCACCAGCGCAGGTTGTCAGCGGCGCGGTAAGGCTTCGAAGTGTTGGCGTAGAAGGCCGGAATAGCACCAAACCGACGGCGTGACTTGCGCACAGCGCAGTTGTGCAACTGCACTAGGCGCTGACCGTTAGACAGCGCAGCTAGGAAAGGGGTTGGCAGCGTCTGCTCGCTTAGGGGGCGAGTCCGATCGATGGGTGTCCAAGCCGGCAATGGGGGGAGCCCCTCATCTGTAAGTGGTGCCGGCACAGGCATGGAAGGCGAAGGAGGAGGGTCGTTGCGAAAGTGATGTTGCTGCTGTTGGGCCAAGTGCTTCTGCTGGCGCCGGATATCTGAGCCCTTGAGCATGCTGCGAAGAAAGGCCTCTTCACGCTCAAATTCACGGCCTTCCCAGCCGTCTGGGTAGACCCATTCCGCCCAAGTGGCACGGTCAGCGATTTCCTCAGCCTCGAGGGCCTCGTCCGAGAGCAACATGTCGCGTACGCTCACAACCCAGGACATCATTGTGTCAAACTCGTCTGAACGCATACCGCCGGCAAAATTGCGAGCAGCCATGCGCTTGAGAACATCCATCACAGAGATAAGCTCGCTGCGCAACTGCTTCTCGCTTTTGATAGCATCCAACCGGTCAGGCCGGTCATGTTGAGTGTAGTAGATCTTTGCGGAGCGAATGGCCATTGTCATGGCATCCAAAATGTTCACACCCTGCAGCTCGTACCATCCCGCAGGACCAACTAATGACGGCCGACGCGATGAAGAACCATCCTGCTGATCTGTTGGCAAGTCAACCTTCTCGATTCGGATCTGCAGGCCTTCTGGAGCGCGAGCATCCCGTGCTTCGTGGAGGGTCTTCTCAGCGAGGTCGAGGTTGGTTGTCAGGTCAGCACGTAGTTCGGCGACGGAGGGCGGCTTGGGAATGTGCTTCTCGCGATGGTTGTACGTGCTGACGGTCGGCGGAAGCATCATAAACCCTTCGTCCTCGAAATCGTCCGAGAAGTACTCTTCATCGTCAGACTTGTGTTCGTCAACGGGTGATTCGAGCATGGAATTGCCCGTGACACTAGTGAAGCAGGTCTGGGCAGTCAGCTCGGGACTGCTACCCATGGATGCATAGCTCGAATCATGGTCGCTGCCGGGGGCCTTAGGATTTGAGTAGGCGGAGGGGTCGAGGGAGGATAAATCGAGAGTCTGACACTTGACATTGCGGCGAGCAAAACGGCCACCCTTGCCGTCGAGGAGACCAGTGCGGGCGAAGTAGTACTGTAGATGGGCGATGCTGCCGAGGCTCAGTACGCTCTCTCGGGCGCGAGCGCTGGGGGCAAAATCAGTGCCTTGGGGCCGCATGAAGCCGCGGCGCCTGCTGGAGCTTCTCCTAACGGGAGTGGAACCGTCAACTGTCAACATAGAGTCTCGCGGCCGCGGGCGATCACTCAGATCCGAACGACGCGAGGATGCCGAAGAAGCCGAGACATCGCTGATGAGGGACCCTCGGAAGGTATCGTCGGTGGTTTGCGATGCATGCGAAAGTGTCGACCCGGTCGAAAAACAGCGGGACATGGCTGATCGAGGGCCCAGGGCGGGCGTCGGTACGGCGTCGGGAGCGGGAGAGGAGCAACGAGAGGCCATGGCGGATGGATGCATGTCTTGAGTACTGGACGTGTGACACTGTCACGAAGGGCCCTAGGGGGCACGAGGGAAAGAGACTGGTGCAGGCAGCGATCAACCTGGGTATGAGATGTTGTTGCACCGCGGACCGTCGTCGTTATGCCGTTAATAGGACGATATGTAGGCTGATATAGTGCCAAGGCCAGGAGGGCAGCAATGCGGACGCCAGAAGCACCACCTTGACGCCGGGAATTCCGGGGAACCTGAACTGCCCTGAAGTGGTGGTTGAACTGGACGCAACAATGAGTGATGTTTGGATCGCTTGGATAAGTGAAGCAGAGCAGAGAACAAGAACAAGAGCAGCGTTTCCCTAGTTTCCCCGAAATAAGAGAGAGTGAGGAAAAATCACACAAAGATGCTTTGACTGGTCTTTTTTCTTTTTTTTCCCGTCGGGCTCGTGATCCGAAATTTGGGCAACAAGTGTCTCGTTGTCTTCTTCGCAGACCGAAATGAGAGGACCAGATCTGGGTGCTCCAGGCGGAAGAAATGCTGAAACGGAAAGGGTTGACACTGATGAACTTGCCCCATTTGGGGCCCGCCTAGGGCCCGCAGGGGTCCACCAAAGCCAAGGGCCAGGGGTCTCGCATACCCCCCCCACAGCGGTTTCACCAATCAGTTGGTGCTGGTCCCAGGCGCCTGACACCTGCCCAGCTGCTTTGCAAGCCTGCGCGAGCCACCGAAAGCTATTCCACGTTGCAAACCAGCGGTGCCAGCGGGAGCCAATGTCCCAGTGGCCCATTTCCCCAGTGCGAAGTGCACAGCAAGCCCAGCCGGCAACCCCGTGGCCACAGTCTGTGTCCTCCCACTCTTGGGCCCTGCCGGTGTAATTTGGTGGGGCCAACGCCGTGCATGAAGCATGAGGTAAACGGCTCCTCGGGCCAGTAAAAGTGGAGCTGCTTCGATTGGCTTCGAAAGTTCACAGATTACGACCGTGTCATTGGCTCCCATCCCCTGTTGCTGCCTGGTCAAGCAAGGGTTAGGGTTACAACGATATCGTGCATGATCTGCAAGTGCGTGATCCGCAGCGGCAACAAATGAGATCAACATCTTCTGGCCCGTCCCTCCGTTACCTTCGTCCAGATGCAGTCTTCTGAGTCAAATGATTGGACATCTATGTCTCAATACATTACTCATGAGCTAAGACGATCGCCTTAGTAGGAGACTACGGAGGAGACGAAAGGCCGGTTGCCCCGGGAACTCAGGAAAGATTGTGTTGACACGTCTCCCAAAAGATCGAATGCAGCCTCCGTAGAACTGTCAACAATTAAGAGGTGAGTCAAAACAACAAATACTAAACGATGTTGATACGAGAGACAGATGTGCTACTACAAGTTAGAACATCCAACCCGTATCGAGGCGGAGTGAAGTCAGAGAAGGTTGAGGGAGATGACTTGTAGGAAAACCAGTAGGGCAAAGCAGCAGCCTTCTTCTCAGCTCGCTTCAGGGAAGCAAAACGGGAAAAACGAGCCGCTCAACATGACTTCTCTGCGCATGGCTCGGATTATGTTCTTTCACTACTTCTCTCCAATGTATCAAAGGTTTGAGGTCTTCCCAGAGCAAGAAGACTATTACTTTGTGGTATATCAATTATAATAAATGAGACGTAATCCCTGCAGGCCTACCAGATATCTTGAATTCATACCCCAATCTTGTTCCTCAAATTTCCTAGAAGGCCGCTGATCCCGTTACTTCCCGATCCCGAAGCGGGTGGCGGGGACAGGATGACGGTGTTCCATACTTCCTTTCCATCTACATACAACCTGTACTTAAGGCTACTTTGGTGGCCGCTCTCTAGGTTTTCGATTGTAACTGCACCAAACTTTGAGTTTCCTTTATGAATGTACCTGCACCCGTGTTAGCCGTTGTTAACAATTTGGGATTACGGAGTGGATAAACCTACTTTATCATCACATCCTCAGCATCACTCTGCCAATATGAAGGGACAGGTGAGTAGAATTGGCTGAGCGGACTGACAGAAAACTCCCATACAGCCGCACTTTCATGAGAACTTTTCTTCGCCTCATCTGGGTCCTTCACCCCTTCGACAGGATGGGTCTCGTCCGAGAAAGGAGGAGGGAATTTCGTAGCCGCAAACTCGTGCCGGTCACCACTCAGCACAACGACACCAACACCTTGGGTTCTGCCCACCTCCCACATGGTCTTCAAGATCGTTTGTCTTTCGTGTAGAAAGCCGGCCCACGTATCGAGAGAATCGACGTGCCAATTTTTGGTAAAAGGGACCGAGGACGCCACAATCTTCCACTTAACCCCCTTAGGTTCCGAGCGACGAAGCCATGCAAGCAGTGCCTGCAGTTGCTCCTTGCCCAACATCGTTTTGTCCGGATGATCAGCAGGAAGTAGATGGTTCGCTGAGCGGAAAGAGCGGGTATCTAGAAGGAAGAAGGTCGCCGGGCCTTGGGTGAAGGTAAAGTAAGTTGGTCTTCCTGCCTTCATGTTGGCTGGTGGGGGGTTGGCGGCGGAATGGTAGTTGTGGAAGGGGTCGACAGCGGTCGCGTAAACGCCAGTTGAGTTGGCAGACCAGTCATTTGCTATCTCATGATCGTCAAGGACATGAATCCAGCTGAGATTTTGTCCCACTGCTGGCCAGTCCGGTGAGGCATAAACCTGACGGTACTTCTGCCGATAGTAGCCTACATCGCGACCCCAGTAGCGCGGCACGTCTGAGTAGATAAAGTCTCCAAGAAAGAGCATGAACTGAGCACCCAGTGTAGGAAGCACTTTGGCCAGATGTCGAAAGCCCGGAATAGCGAGTGGGTGATCAAATGGACTATATGGCAGCCGAGGAACGATACAAGAGGTGGTGACGAAGGTGAAAGGTCCATAGTTGGTGTCATCAGCCTTGCCGACTGGAGAAGGAGTTGTAAATGTACCTGAGTGGTTGTTCGAGGTGCGCCATTCGAAGACCCGCCGCTTGGACCGTGGGAGCGGGATTGGGATGACAGCTGTGTAGTCGGTTTCGTTGGTTGTCCATCTTACACCCCCAACATTGTGCCACAAGGGACTGTCAAAAGGCGGCTGTGGGTCCTTGATTCGAACTTCCACAGTAATGGGCATCTTGTGCTGATCTGGCTCACGGATCAAGAGCCTGGCCTCATTCTCCGACACGTAGCCGACCCTCGCAAAAGAGAGATCGTCAACCGTATGCAAGAACTGGTCCCGGAACAGGCGGTCCGCAACCATAACAACACAGAGCAGGTTCACCAGCAGCGAAGTCGCTGAAAGAGCCAAGCTACGTGGGTTAGGAGCACCACTCAGCAGGGTTTTGAGGGGGTTAAGAGGCCTATCCTCGAAGGAAATAGTCTCTTTGATGGTAACGTCCTTGACTGTGGTCTGCTTGGTGACACTCGGCGCCTGGAATCTCTCCTTCTTGGAGGTCTCTTCCTTAGGAGCTGTGGTCTCTTTCACCACCATGTCGACCTCATCGACCATCTCATACTTTGGCTCTTTGCGGTAGCCCGATATGAAGGAAGGGAGGTAGACCGCAAAGAGGGTGAATATGATAGCAGGAGCAGCCTAGTAACCATCAGCATCTTCATCCGATATCCAGATGTGGATGGGCAGACTTGTCACATACGGGAACAAGAGCCTGTAAAGGTTAGCGTGAAAAATCAAACTTTGTGCGGAAGACAACTTCTGGCAACAGACTCACCCATCGCAGGAAGATGTAAGTCAGAATGCGCAGACCGATTGAGGCTGCTATCGCAGCCTTGGTCTGCGCGAGTGCCATAGTGATGGGCAGGTGTATGGAGCAATGCAGTAGATGGTAGTAACTTCTTCAATCGACACTGAAGTTAGCACTAGGGATACATAGATTAGGTATGATTGATGGGCTTGAATGATGAGGGTGGTGAATGACTCGAGGAGCCCAACAAGACAAGCAAGCATTATATGAGGAGACGGAACAACACAACCTAGATGAGTACTCTGATACCAACCAAAAAAAGGATTCTTATCAAGATAGATTTTCTTTATAGAACCCCGAAGGCAAATTTGAAGTTATTTCATTTTCCACCTGCGTTCTGAGCAGATAACCAAAAGCGGTCCAGCTCGATGCTACTGTGCAGATCGAGACCTGACGCAACAAGGTTGGGCTACTCGAACGTCGACGTTGAAGTTGATACAGCTGGCTGGGGCCTTTCTAGATGCTGATGTCACCGCTCAGAGACTAGTCCCCGCTTCCAAGAAGTTTGCAGCCAGTGAGAGCGCTGCCAGAGTCCGCAGGCCAGTCTGCACAGTGCCGCGCCAAGCCAAACCCCTGTTCGAGTCTTGGCATTATTGAGTAGCCGCGGCGCTGTTGTTCCGCCAAAAAGTGTCGTGTCAACTCCTGGCGTCGATGTCCACTTGCACCTACATCCTAGTCCCTGCACATCGTCGTTGTCGCGTGTGCTAACTCCCTAGCTCCAACAGCATTGTACCGCGCCGTCCAACGCATCGCCAGCCATCAGACTACCAAACGACCGGCAGCAATCGCGGCCGCGACCGTAACCTTATCACCTGTAGACCCGACGTCCGACTTGATCCCAATTCCAATGCAGCTGCCGCTGCTCTCGTGTAGCCTTCTGGCCCTGTTCGCCGCCCAGGCGACTGCCACGGCTCTTACATACAAGCTTGGCGCCAACGAGAAGGCCTGCTTTTACACCCTTACACAGCATAAAGACGAGAAGATCGCTTTTTACTTTGCTGTCCAGTCTGGTGGCTCCTTCGATGTCGACTACGAGGTGACTGGACCCAATGGCCGCTATATCATGAGCGGCGAGAAGGAGCGTCAGGGAGACTTCGTCTTCACCGCGAGGGATGTTGGCGAGTACAAATTCTGCTTCAACAATGGCATGAGCACCTTCGCCGAGAAGTTTGTTGACTTCGAAATTTCGGTATGTCCTGCTTTCAACATTATGTTGGTCTGGTTGATCGGTAGGTTGCTAACTGTATGTGCCAGGTTGAGAACGAGGCTCGTGTGACCCTCCCCTCGAAGCAAGGAGCGTCCCCTGAACAAACTTCAGCCCTAGAGGAGTCACTCTTCAAGATCTCAAGCCAGCTGTCGACCATCACCCGCAACCAAAAGTACTTCCGCACCCGCGAGAACCGGAACTTCAGCACCGTCCGCAGCACAGAAAAGAGAATCATCAACTTCAGCCTTGTCCAAATCGCCTTGATCATCTGCATGGGCGCCCTGCAGGTCTTCATTGTCCGCTTCTTCTTCCAGGGCGCCAGGAAGGGTTACGTATGAAGGGTTTTCAAAATAGTCGACGGGTGCAGGAGTCCAGGGACGACGGGGTACATTACATGTTCACGATACAATTGGGCTGGCCTTGCATGAGTGTATGTATCTGTCTGTATGGATGGCTCATGGATTTAATGGAGTATGGTTCCTGGGTAATCCAATGTCGTCTTGTTCTATTACAAGAGAGCTGCGGGTTTCCTTGCCGGCCGCACGGATTAACGTTGTCTGGTCGTTGTTGTCCATTAGGGGCTGCCAAACCTCTCCAACCAGCGAGCCTTGGGACGCTTGGCTGCGCAGGGCCGTGTCTTTACAGTATGGAAACGGTGACCTCTTGCCCCGGCGTAACTTACGTTGATGCGGTGAAAATTACAGACGCGTTACGAAAGAGCGCTCACAAGCTCCAACTTTTCCTGGACCTGCGGCGCTGCAAGGTAGAGCACATCACCCACCAACGTCAACATCATAGGTCAATCAATCGCGGTGGGGATTGATTGCTTGCCATCTCCTCCTGCTCTTTCTATCTTCAACCATAATTCCTGGAACTATCTCGAAACCTAAACTCCAGCTATGGCGTCAATAGCGGCTGGGCTCGCCGCGGCGCTGCCGAAGCCCAAATACAGCTCTGAACACGAAGAACCGCGCGCGACACAGCGTGGCCCGCGCATCGTCTCTGCCGACCAGATCGATGAAACCCAGATCGTCATTCGTCGTACCGGTCCTCCTCCGTATCCTAATCGCGCCGGCTGGCGGCCGCGCGCCCCCGAAGATTTCGGCGACGGCGGCGCTTTCCCCGAGATTCCGGTCGCCCAGTACCCCTGGGGCAAGAATGATTCCTCGTCCAAATCGAACGCCCTAGTCGTCCAGGTTGATTCTGAAGGCAAGGTCGACTACACTGCCATTGCTCGCCAGGGACATAGCAGCGATCGCATCATCCATGCGTCCTTCAAGGACCTTATCCCACTGCGCCAGCGTGCCGAGGCTGGCCAGATCGATTTGTCACGCCCCAGCAAGGAGGAGGTTGAAGCTACCGCCGAGCGCACCAAGAATGCTCTCGCCGCCCTTGTCAGCGGCGCCCTAGCCGCTCAGAAGCCCAAGAATGTCCAGGTCAACACGAAGCGCGAGGCTACTTTCGTCAAGTACACGCCCTCTGCCCAGATGGGCAACAACACCAAGAAGCAAGAAAGGATTATCAAGATCGTTGAGCGGCAGCGGGGTATGTTTGCTCTATCAACTACGACTATGCACATTTGCTGACTGTTCGTTCAGATCCGATGGAGCCGCCCAAGTTCAAACACAAGAAGATTCCTAGGGGACCACCATCGCCTCCTCCACCGGTACGTCTTTTAACACTTATTTTTTTTTTTTTTTGCCCTCTGACTAACTTCCGTTACAGGTCATGCACTCTCCTCCCAGGAAACTCACTGCTGAAGATCAAGAGGCATGGCGTATCCGTAAGTAAACCTATATTTGAAGAAAAAAATATCATTAGAACTGTGCTGATGAGTATAGCCCCACCTGTATCGATGTGGAAAAACCCCAAGGGTTTCACCATCCCCTTGGACAAGCGTCTGGCTGCCGACGGCCGCCAGCTGCAGGAAGTCCAGATCAACGACAAGTTTGCCCAGTTTTCTGAAGCGCTGTTCATGGCCGACCGTCACGCTCGCGAAGAGGTGCGCCAGCGTGCCATGATGCAGCAGCGTCTTGCCGAGAAGGAGCGCCAGCAGAAAGAAGAGCATCTCCGCCAGCTCGCTCAACAGGCTCGCGCCGAGCGCGCTGCAGCAGCCGCTAGTGGTCGGAGACGCTCCACGCGTTCGCGGTCCGGTTCCTACAGCGGCTCAGAGTCCGGCTCCGAAACCGATGAATCCGAGCGCGAGAGGCGCCGTGCCCGTCGTGAGAAACTCAAGGAGGAGGAGCGCAAGCTTCGGCAGTCCCGTATGGGCGCCGAGCGTCGTGCCCAGGTTCTCGCCCGAGAGATGGATCGCGATATTTCCGAGAAGATTGCTCTCGGTATCGCTAAGCCGACCATGTCCGGCGAGAGCATGTACGACTCGCGTCTGTTCAACCAGTCCTCTGGCTTTGGCGCTACAATCAACGAAGACAACCCCTATGACAAGCCTCTTTTCGCAGCCCAGGAGGCTATCAGCAGTATTTACCGCCCGCGTACCAATGCCGAGTATGAAGATGACGAAGAGGCGGGTGAGAAAGAGATGGAGCGCATCCGGAAAGGCAATCGCTTTGGCGAGGCCCTCGGTAGGGGAACCTTCAAAGGCACCGAGGATGCCCAGCCCAGGGAGGGGCCCGTGCAGTTTGAAAAAGACACAGAGACGGCAGATCCATTTAATGTGGACAAGTTTTTGTCAGAAGTGCAAAAGGGGTCAAATAGTGGTGGTGGAAAGCGAGGGTATGGCCTGCAGGATGAGGACTCGAGGCAGGCAAAGAGGAGCAGGGTTGATGACGACGAAAATGACGACTGAACGCTGCCAAGATAAGGTGTGAATGATGATTCCTTCCCTGGTACTTAAGTCAATACGGCTTCTCCATTAAGTCATTATCTGATCCTTGACCTGTTGACGCATGCATGGGAATGGTAAAGGGACGGGTTTTTGAGCTAATTGGATGTCATCGGATAGAGTGAGACCGAAAGAAATTAAACTAGGAACGGGTGCCCGTTGCCTGCTTCTTTGCTTACCGTCAAGTCCGGCTTCTCTTGCTTCCCTAGGCATTAGTCTCGAACCTATCTACATATCTCTCATCGATCGATATGCCACACGAACAAGCCTCGTTCTACTCTTCTGTAGGTAGAGAGCATTCCATTACGAGTGTTCGAAGAGAAAGCCAAGGTGACAAGTCGCAGCTTGGTGGCATCATCGAGGGCTTTTCAAATGCAACCTCAAAACCTATCTCCCTCCTGCCAACCTCAAGCCTTCGTGTTTGATAGAAAACATCATTCCTCGGCTGCGAGGCCCTTGTGCTCCTTTTCTTGCACTACTACCCAGGAGAGCGGTCCCTGTGGCGCAGCAGCTGGCTAAATTGACAATGTGTTGACCTAGCCTAGTTCCCGGCACACAACGCGTTGCATTTGCACCTACCTTGGTGCCTAATGCAATGCAAAGGTAAAATGGTTTGATTCTGGAGGTCGTGCTTGAGCTGTTGATTGTTTCTCCAGGCTGTTACGAGGATCCTCCTCCAGTTTGTATCCCCTGCATAAAAAAAAATACGAGATTGCGCCACTGCTTTGTTGGATGGAAAGGTGACGGACGGAAGTATGAACGCTTTGGCGTTCATGCTGGGACTAAGTGACCTAGTTGCCGTAGGTTGTGGTATTCACATGACATGGAGAACATATATGCTGGGTGGGATTGAGATATGGCTGGGTGAAAATCATATAAGAACTGCAGACATCCTCACAGGCCTAGAATGGTGTTTTGCAGATCAAGTGCCCTAGCTCCTAGTCACGCGTTCATCTCCTTTTTCAATCTTCGTTTGTATCCCTCCGGCATCTAGCCCCTCATGGGAACTGAAGATACCCGTCAAAGTGTGTTCGATGAAGAGGGGTCTCGGTGGAACCCCAAGAACTGGTCGAAGAAAGGATGGTTGATAGCCATCGCTGTGTTCCTTGTTATAATAGCTGCTATCTTGATTCCAGTACTTGTCTTGGAAGGGTTGCGGAAGAAAAGCAGATATCCGGAGTACTCAAGGCTCAATTATGCCCTAACTGACACCTGTGCGCTGAGCTCAGGACTGGACGCAAGAGAATATTGTGGACTAATTTGTCACGACAGACTCGGGAACATCCTTCTTCGAGAAGTTCAGCTATTTTCATGACTATGATCCAGGTGAATTTGGTCGAATCCCCATGCTTTTAACCAAACATTGCTGACTTGAACCCAGCCGGTGGTTTTGTCCACTATGTCGACCCGGACTATGCCGCAACATATGCATGTGCTCTCTTTTTTCCCAGCCTTCAGTTTCTTTTCTCCTAACTAGCCGATAGAACTTGACCTATGCCACCTCCGATACGGTCATCATCAAAGTCGACACAACAGTCGGCCCAGGCTCCGAGCCAGATGCATCAACCGGCCGTTTCTCTGTACGCCTGGAGTCCAAAAAGCAGTACGGCCCAGGTCTCTTTCTTTTCGATGTCAAGCATACGCCTTACGGCTGCGGCACATGGCCTGCTTTATAGCTCAGCGAGTAAATCATCCCTTGTACTTCCCAAGATGGTACTCTTGCTAAATACGTCCATCCAACAAGCCCCAATAACTGGCCGATGAACGGTGAGATCGATATCCTTGAAACCGCCAACATCCAGGATCCTTCTTCTCCCGACACTAGTGCTATAATGGCACTTCATACCACCGAGGGGTGCACGATGCAGTCCGTCCAGCGCGAGATGACCGGATCAGCGGGCCAAAGCGACTGCCATAATGCGACCAACTACAACACAGGCTGTGTCGTTACTACCAAGGACTACAGCAGCATCGATGGTGGCAATGCGGCAGCAAGAGCTTTTAACGCTGCAGGAGGGAGTGGCATTGTCGCACTAGAATGGAGGGAAGAGGGCATCAGGTTATGGGTGTTCCCTAGGGAGGAGGGTGGCCTTCAGAGAATGATCGGATCATCCATGCCAGACCCGAGTGTCTGGGGACGTCCTATCGCGGACTTTCCGTCGACAAAGTGCGACATTGGAGCACATTTCAGAAACCAGAGTATCATTGTGAACATTGACTTGTGTGGGTATATGACTGAGGCGACATGGGAGAGTTCGGGATGTAAGTGTTCGGCTGAGTTATTGTGTTATCATGCCTGGTTGATACTGACAACACCTAGGCGGCCCCCAGAGTTGTGTCGAATTTGTGGCCAACAACCCATTAGCCTTCCAGAACGCGTACTGGGAGTTTGGAGAGTTCCGAGTATATCAGGCCATTTGATATAATTAAGGTAGTGCTACTTATGAGCAGCAAGGGTGAATCGATGAGACGATAATGCTCACATGAGAATGACCTCGCATGTTGTCCTATTGCCCTTTTTGATGGTAATACAAATTCCAGAGTATTTATAGTGAAGGATCCGAACAAGATCAAGAAGAGATGGTTGGCCCCTCTCTCAGGCAATGACATCTCAGTCGACCTCCTCTATAGATGTGAACCCGTTGTTTCACAGTAACAACATACCCCGCCCCTGAGTCTATGCAAGATATCAATACCCCAAACGCCAGTGCCAATGACCGCCAGCCAACCCCGCAGCATACAGAGATGCACAAGATACTAATACAACCGAAGGATGAGAACAAGAAATGCGCAGCAGAAGGAAGGCCAGTTCAGTCCTCATCCTTTGGCATTCTCATCCAGGCATCAATCGCCGCACTGAACGCCGCGAAGCCTGCGCATCCAACAGCCGCGGCCTGAGGCCCGGCATTGCGTGCCAGAATGGCACCGGTCAGGCAGCCCGCAGCAACGCCGTTACCAAGGTCGTTCTTAGCTCGCAGACCTTCGATGCCGCACTCGATGCCGCTAAAGAGAGCACCGACTGCCCCGAAGTTTTTGGCCGTGCTCCAAGAACGTTGGCCCATGTCCTTGAAGCCAATGGCGAGTTGTTTACGGAGGGGGAGAGAGGAAAGAGAAGTTGGGTTGGTGGAACCAGGAACGCCAGGAACACCGCCAGCACCAGGGGTGTGGAAAGGCGTATCGTAAGCCATCTACCCCATCACGGGTCAGTTAAACTGCCATGAAACGGCTAGACAAAAGGGGATAAAGATTACCGAAGCCATGAACATGCCGAACACACCACCCAGCGCAAAGCCAGCAACTCCGCTCATGACTGTCTTAGCATAGCAGGACTCCATAGCTCTTTGGAGCTACAACACCGCAGGTAGGTTAGCTAACGTCTATAAGAACTCACGAGGCCTTGCACTGGAAGGAAAGGCACACACCATCTTCACATTGGGATCATTGGGATCAAAACCTTGTACTCCCGGCCGCGCGCCCGCCGCTCCGGCAGACGGGATACCCGGGATGCCACTCCCCAAACCACCACCCAGCCCGCTGCCTGTGCCAGGAAAGTTCATGGTCTCGGCAGCCGAGATGTCGCTATGTAAATTGGAGCTTTGCCGTTCGGGTTTGGTAATCCGAGTGTTGCCCAGGGAGCGCAAGTTGCGCAACAGTCCAGTGGAAGAGATGGTTGTCTAGACTGTAGTAGAGGATAGGAGAAACGGAGGAATATAGTCCGTAGGTCGACTGACGGTATGATTGGATATGGCTCGAGCGTCGGAACGCAAAGAACGAAAGCTGCTGAATCAAAGCTAAAGATGCAAAAGAATGTAATCGCTCACACCCTCCGGGAGTTGAGCGCCTTTTTTGGGTTCAACTTTTGGTTCTCGGTGCAGTGAGCCCCGACGGAGTATACTCAATGTTGCCGGGAGAGGGTTGGGATCATGGAGCGCTTTATCTGTGTCACTGGCGTACGCCGCCGCAAGTCAAAAAAGTTCCCGTCTTCTAAATCGGACGAGGCGAGACTGTTTCATTCTGCCTGTCGCCACCGCCTTGGCCGTTGCATGGTGGCACTATCCTTAGCCAATCAGATCAGCCACTAATGTTGGTCCCGGCAAGCCTTACGGATTACATAAGATTGATAAGAACTAACGGCTGTTGAGTTACCCTACAGCGTAGGCGTTCAATACGCAGCGACAACTGTGCAGGGGAACCTAGTACGGGAGACCAACACCTCCTGAAGACCAGAAGCCTGTCGACTTATCACTAGCTCTAATTCGTACCTTTTTATATTAATGCGTAAGTTCATAGTATCTTCAGAAAAGACGAAGGGCTTTTGCGATGTCTGATCCGTTTCCCCGCAAAAGTCTTGTTCCGATTGTAAAGCCAACCCTCTTCCCATCCCTGATTGCAGCCATCGTCAGCCAAGGCCAGAAACCACCTGGCATGATTGCAAGCAACCAAAAAATAAGTCAAAAGCTTCCTGAAACCAAACGGCGCCACTTCTACAGAGTATTCCTTCTGATTATACGAGCCGTATTTATCAGAATGCCAGAGCCAGCAAGATGTCGCGTTGCGACTCCATAGACCCAACAATACACTACACGATGCCGAGCAAGCCACACAGGGAGCATCTGTTATCCCCTCTCCGCAGACACTGTCGTTCGTTTCTCCTGGGTAGGTTACATCGTGATCGGAAACCAACCAGCCTAGCCCCTGAGGAACAGATCACCCCCACCATTCCGCAATGATCTTGAGCGATCTGGATAATCCATACCAAGGCAGTCAGCCTCGGTTGTGAGCAAGTCCCAGAGGATGTCATCTAGTCGAAACAGATCAGCAGAGGCTCCAAAAAGGTCTGAACTTAAAATCACAGGTACTTACCATCGTTCAGGTACTGTGGCTTGAGAGAATGTTGCCTGTGCACAACAGCAAATTTAATCTTTTCGAAGCTCTTGCCCTTGAAGCCAGTGCGCTTCTCAAGTCTCTTCTTCGTATCGGCGAATTTCTCGCCTTCTTTAACCAGAAACCGGAACGGGATCCCATGAGCTCGATTCGGCTCGCCCTGGAAGCTGAAGACCGGGATGAATAAGCCGTTATCCTTAGCCTCTAGCTCCTCCTGCGGGATACGTTCCGCAACAAGTGTAGAGTAGTCGTTGATGCTGATGACTGCATAATCTCTTGGCAACTCGCGAGTCCACCGGTGGTGGCTGGTCTCATACACTCGCATCGGGCCGGCTTCTTCTTCACTGGGGAGTTTGGCCTTCTTGATCAAGCACTCGATCAAGTCACCGACGTTTCCAGCTTTGTGCACCAGGACATCATATTGCTCCTGAGCATTTGAATTAGCATTGCTGCAATTTGAAAACACCAATTCCAACAAATAAACTCGGGACTCACCTCTTTGGCGATGCCATCGCTCAACAGAGTGACCCTAATGCTCTTTCTGAAGTCAAGCTCGGCCAGGCTCATCTCGAGAACCTCGAAAAACAGAGCATCATTACGCTGAGTCATGCTAAGGCCTCCATACTGTGGCGGAATGAGGATCGATTGGAGCGTTTGGTTTTGGTTCGGGTTGTTATTCCGTTTAACTGCTGTTCTCGGGTTCCCTGATGCAGCATTGACGGTGTAGAAGCGGATGTGAGTTGGTTCGACACCAAGCTTTTCGCCCACCTTTTCCGAGAGCCGATCATAGCTTATCCGCCCGTCGAGCGCGAGCTCAAAACGAGGATAAGTCTTCTCGTCACACTTTTGAGGATGCGGGAAGAAGCGAACCACCCTCTTATGCAAAAGGTAACTATAATATTCGCGCGCATCTTCGTATCGGTCAAATGGCTTGCTACTGATCACCGCGTTAGAACTTGTTGAACTTGGTCGCACTCCTATTGTGCCTTGGTTAACTTACGCCTCCTCTGAGTTTTGTTTGTCGCCGCCGAGGCCGAGTTTGGACTTCTTTTCGTGAACCCGCTGGAAGCAGATGATGTCGCCATCTTGGAGCTCAGCTTGCTTGAGAGTGTTTCTCGCTTTCAACCCCTCGATCATACTAGGTTTAATTTCCTACGCAATTTGTTAGAAACTGCACATATACGACCAATTCAATTGAGATATAAGGAGCGTAGACAGTGTGGTGCTTACCTCCCACATCTGGATCTTTTCGTCGCTTGGTAGCTTCTCTCCCCAGCCCATCTTCTTCATGATGACGGGAACTAGCTCCTCGACCTTCTTCTCCTTGCTCATGTATATGTGGCCAATGCCTCTCAAGCACTGAGCGTCAGCATCGAACCACTTGAGGAAAAGCAGGATCAAGTCATTCTTGATCGCGGTTCCATTGGGGCTCGGAGCGTATGCAGGCCACACCGGAGAACCATCAGGATTGACCTCCTCAGCAACTTCCACCCAAACACGGAGAGCTTGATCCCGATGAGCCGCGGCTTTGCGGTATGTCTCCTCAACAGTCGGCGAGAGGTCCATGATGGGTTGATCGGGACGAATTGTTTTGTTTTGACGGTTGACCAAAATCCACAGTCTTACACGCTTCGGGTCTTGCCCAATATCAGCCGCAATCCGTTCTACCAACTCTTGGACTGTCGATGTGCGAAGCACTCGGTAATACTTGGGTGCAGCAGGATCCTGATCTTGAGTAGCTTCGAAATTGGTGAGGTCAGTGCCGCCGTGCTTTCGGAAAGTCTCCTCTGTTATAGCCTTGACACCCAAGTAAAGATGTTGCTCTTCCCTCTCTCTTCGGCGGGCCTCTTGAGCTGCATACTCTTCTTCAAATTTCCGCTGAAGATGAGCGGGGGCATCATCTTTGGTGACCGGGCAGAGGATCTTATCTAGTCGCGACTTGCGGAAGTAAACCAACATATAAGCGTTATTGGGCCGCATCAACGGAGTCTTCCTAGGTCCGTAAGGGCGCAGCTGGCCATTAGGCAACTTGTATGGTCCGCCAAAGTTCTCCTCAAAAACTTCTCGCTTCGTAGCCCTAGTAACCTTGTCGTCATCGAACTTGTACCACCACCCATCCTTCTCCGGTTTGAGAAAAGCATAGTAGTGACCAGTGTATGAGTCGCCACTGTGCACCAACACGCCATGCAGCTGGTATATCCAAGGTTCTGACCGGTCGGCATCCTTGTCTAGGTAGGGCGAAGCGTCGAACTCCTCGGGAAACTCGTGACGGTCGTTGATTTTCAGCATGCCATCGCGCTGAACGTCGTAGAGGAAGCGTTTAAGATGTAGGTGAAGGACATCCGGGAAGCTCATGAAAATCATGCCTTTGTTGGCATCCTGCAACTTGTACTCGTCGCCGGCAAAGTATTGATTGTCTCCGTCCAGCCTCTCGACTTGAATCCAGTCCTGGAAGCTCTCCAACAAATCTTTGTTGCCGCTCACATTGAGCTGGATGTCCCAGAATTCCTCAATACGGCTCGACTCATAAGGCACGTTGATGCAAGAAATGTATGTCTTGGTCTTGCCACTGAACAAATCAGGAAGCGACTTTTCGTGCGGAGTTCCCTTCATCTTCTCTTCCATGCGTTCCATAAGCTTCCGCATGAGCTCCTGGACATCATGTTGCACGAAGATCTCCTGAGTTTCCCACCCAAATGACTTTGTGAGCTCATTAGTCGCAACAGCAGTATTGGAGTGTTGCAGTTGATAAAACAACCTCTGCAAGGTATAGGCGCTGTTCTTGCGTATGTCGGCATCATGTTCGGTGGGGATAGAGTAAATAGCCTGCAATAGTTTGTCAGTAATGTCCAGAATATGTGCTTGTTGGTTGGTTCGAAGCAAAGAGCATCCTGTACCTTTCGAAAGGCATTAGTAAAGTACAATGACTGAAGAAGGGAATTCAGGTAGCAAGTGGCGCCCTGGTTCTTGAGGCCGACGTATCCAGTCTCTTTCTTAGAGTCATAGTTGATTAGGTTGTGCCACAAGACTCCTGTCTCGTCTTCCACAACCCGGACATAGGCGCTAATGTTGACACAATCGTTTTCAACAAGCGGCCGATCACCGTTATCCCAAGGGACGTTGAACATCTTGCGCAATTCAAGAAACCGGGTGAAGCCCCAGTCGCTCTCCACCTTAGTAAAGCGATGGTGGGCAGAATGGTGGCAGAAAAGAGAAGGATTATTGCGATTCCAGAGGACCAAAGAGAATTGAACGCAGCAACTCCAGTCCTCGGGGATCTGGTTTGCCTCAAAACCATGTTCTAGATAGATGGAGCAATGGTCCGCCACATTGTTGCCTGAAGGGAACAAAAGGATGCGCCTGTCAAGGAAAAGATATGATTAGCATCAAGCACGCTGGTAAGGAAGCATAAGACTTTGGAGCGGCAGTAAGCATACCATGGGTTGCCCCCAGCATGAAATATTGGCCCATGCTCTTTCTTGTTCATCGAACGCCAGTTTTGCACTTCCCAAGTATGGACTTGGTCTTCCAGGATGCGAGGTTCCTCTGCCAAGGGAGGAAGAACGTGGGCCTTCATAGCCTCATCTTCAAAGCAGCAGTTAGCGCGGGGTCGGCTTCAATCTCCCATACTCTATAAAGCCCGAGGAGGGCGGAGGGGATGAAGGCATACAGTCGCTGGCAAGCAGTGGCGTATCGGTTTCCATGCTGTCGGGACTGATTATTGCGACCTGTTCGCTCTCGGTCTGGTTTGGCTCAATGACATGCTCCTCGGGGGCGTCAACGGCCATGGGAGCTGGCGAGGTCGCTTCAGAATTCGGAGCGCCATCCTGAAGATCGAGATTAGCAAATGCCGCGACAAGCGGAGCAGACACCGAGATGCTGGTGTAATCGGTCATTTTGGACATCATGGGGCGACGGATGGTGGATAAGGGCGTGAAGGGCCTGCTTCTTGCTACGAAAGAGGTGTTCTAGAAGCAGGATGCAGATGGCAGAGGGGTGGACGCGAGGGAGCCAGGTATTAGCGATGACGATATATCGGAATAAGCCAGGGGACGAGTGAAGCGGTCGAGTGGTAGTCGTCATCACCTGCAGGACAGGCGAAAGTGTGTTTAGGAAACAGCTTGTTGGTGGTTATGTCGAAAGTGCTCCGTTCATAATACGTGGACGCCCGTTTCCCTCATCCAAGCCATCCATCGCCGCAAACCAGGTCTGGTCAAAGGAACCGGGAAGGAACTTACCATCCTGAAACGGCACCGCTTCGCGAGCGCAGGGAAACACCGAGCAGGAAGAAAATTGGGAAGCAGGTGAGGGTGTCAGGCCGGATTTCAGTCTGCTGGCTCGAGTTGAACTGCTGCTACAGGTTCCGCAGCGACAACCTGGAATCAGCTGCAGAAAGGCTGCCTGAGGACGTGCGGGGCTCGGACGATCCGGCAATGGCGAAATGCTCGTGTGAGTTGTCTAATAGCAGGGCAGGTGGCCGTCGCGAAGAGAGCAAAAGTCGAACGATGGCGGTCTATGCTCTGGAAAACAACCTGAAGCGGAAAGGAAAAGAATGCTGAATAAATGGAAACGAGAGGTTCTGGCAGTGCGCCGCTATGGTCTCCCGTCACTGATGGTCGAAAGTGGACGCAGCCGCAGCGGGGAGCACAGGGCGGCTTCTGGCTTTTGGCTTTGGAGTCCACACACCCTGTTGAGTGGTTCGGCGGGTATCTTGAGGGTCTTGATGTCAGCGGGTACCTCAGTATCGCTCAGTGCTCAGATGATTTTTTGGGCATGTGGCCAGGGTCTGAGGTATCACCTTAACAAACCGCCCGGTTTGAACATGTCATTCACCCTGAGCCCCGCCAATGACGTGGGGTGCCGAGAAAGAAAATTGACGGAGAAGCCCACCTTTGGAAGAGATCAAGCTGAGACCTACCTAGACTCGAGATTGTGGCAGGCCTGCCACCACTTTCCAGGTGAGATTTGAGCGTGTAATCACGCTCAGAACTGCAGCTGGATCTTGGGCAGTAAATGCAGACCAAGGGTGCCGACTCTTGTCGTGGAACTGGATGACTTTGTGTGCGTTGAAGAAATTTCTTCCTACGCAGCTCACTTTCAGGGACTCAGACGCTTGATGCTGGATTGTTGTGTTACGGCGTATATTGGTTGAGAAGACTCTGTTGCTCAGTATATGCCTGACCTGAGCTGAGGACAAAGAACTTCAGATACACTCCGCACACACAATAAATTGTTTCACCGTCGAATACCCTTTGAACCTGCAAGATTTGCTTGAAACACGACTTCGAGTCTGCTCTCTCGTAATAATAAAGCAGAGACTGAATCGCAGGTCTCCAAAGGAACGGAAGGAATGCCGAGGTGAGCATCAATGCCCCGCGACAGCATCTAAGTTCCAACGCTGACCGTGGAATTCAGATGCGGGACTTGGGTGGAGTATTTACACAGTATGGAGAACAGAGAAACTGGGGAACAACTGTGTTGGCTTGGGCCTCTTGCTCGTGATGTGGAGTCGGGAGTAGGAGGGAGAGCTCAGCGTCAAACTCTTGTTGTACCACAGACGCGAGTATGGCCGAGGTACACCAAGAATAGCCATTCTTATGCTAATTAAGTCTGTTAATTTATCTTGTTCGGTTTTCTTTTTGCAGATGTGAACCAGTGCTGCGTTTGACGCTCTCCAAACTTATTATCATCCTCAAGAGTCAAGCAAGCACGCAACACTCATCAACAACGCCACCATCTCTCGGCACACTCACTTTTGCGTATGGCAACAACGGCATGTCACCACTCATGCTGCATAATGTTATGGCGGCCACCCGGTCGCTAAGGAGAGAGGCGGCGCTGGGCATGGCAATGCGAGTCCCGACTTTCTCAAGGCCAACCGTACGCTCTTCGCACACGCAAAGCCCAAAGTGGCGGCCCGTTTCTATCTTGGATGAGTATGATTTATTGACTCTGCCTCGTCCACTTTACCCACTTCTTTCTCTGACCATGTCCTGCTCACATGTCTCTGCCCTAAACAGATGGGTTGCGAGGGAGGCTCGCCCCGTCAGTCTGCGCCAACTCATGGTCTTCGGTCGCTCCTTAACCGAAGACAGACTCTTAGATTCGGCCAACTATGTCCGAACTGAGCTTCCAACGCGGTAGGTTTGACGGCACTCAATGTGGCCTGTTGACATTGTTGTATCATTTTCAAGCCGCATGTTGACCGAGCTCCTGCTCAGGATCGCCCACCGGATCCGCGACATGCAACGGCTGCCATATGTCGTAGTTACAAACCCTCATATCAACGAGGTCTATGACCTGTATTATACTGCCTTTGATACATTCCGAAAAGTGAAGAAAATAAAGACGCTCGAGGACAATGACCGGTTCTGCGACATCATCCGGACAATGCTACGAGCACATCTGCCCGTTATTCCCAAGCTGGCAATGGGCATTCTTGAGTGCAATGGCCTAATGGATGCAGCCGAACTGGACAAGTTTATGAACACTATTCTCAGATCTGTCCGTTGTCCCTCGTGCCTTTTTCCATCTGAAATCCTATGCTAACTGACCACATGTTTCGGGTCAATAGCGCATCTCCCGTCGTGTTATCGCTGAGCAGCACATTGCTCTGACCGAGACCTTCAATTCATCATGGTACTCACCTGGCGCCAAGCTCTCCGAGGGTGAATTCATTGGCGAGGTTTTCCTAAAGTGTGTTGCCAGTGAAGTTGTCGAGAGAGTAGGCAAGACAGTTCGCGATATCCTGCAGAGGGCATACGGCCCTGACGTCGTTTTGCCGGAAATCAAAATCAACGGGCATCTCGGAGCCAGCTTTCCATATATTCTCAGTCACTTGGAATATATCGTGGGCGAATTGCTGCGCAACTCCGTGCAGGCTGTGGCTGAGAAGCATCACCGGCGCCGGGATCGCGATACAGACCCGAACCGGCTACCCCCTCCGATCGAAGTTACTATCTGCGAGAGCCAGCAGCATGTCATAATCCGCATCTCGGATCAAGGAGGGGGCATCCCACGTGAGGTGATGCCTTACCTATGGTCCTTTAGCAAGGGCCCGGCCACCGAACGCATCCTTACAAACCTGGGCAAGGTGCCCAAAATGGCCGCTACGATGCAGGAACTTCAGGTTGAATCATCCATATCAGAGCCCATTGGCCCTGACGGTCATCCTCACCACCATCACCACCACGCAGACTCACACCATCATCACAACGCCAGCGAGCAGAAGCTTGAAGGAAGAGATGTCAACAACTCGTTGGCGTCATTATCAAGTCGGCCTCCAAACCTGCGGCTGGGCATGGGCTTGCCCCTAAGCCGGGTTTATGCTGAATATTGGGCGGGCAGTCTGGCTCTGCACAGCTTGGAAGGATATGGGGTGGATGTGTTTCTGCAAATATCCAAACTAGGCAACAAAAACGAGCAGCTCACGACTCGGGCGACCATGGACGCCGTGTAGGACGGTAACGAGGAATGGCGCCTTGGGAGTCTTGGAAGCCGAGATGCCAAGGTGGCGAGCATTTATTGTGAAAAGCTGTTTTCAAGTTGTACTAGTGGAAGTGGGCTGATGAAAGCTCCACAGTAATCCGTGATACGATATTAGACAAAAAACGAAGAAAGAATTTCAAGTAGCCTTCTCATTAACTGGTGGTATCATAAAAGGAGGCGGCTAAATTACATCACGGTTAAGTCGAAATAAACGGGGGCTCCAAGGGAAGAACATGATTTCGGGCAAGGGGTCCGGAGTATGACTGGTGCAAAGTTCCCTGGCTCTCGCTCTTTCTATCCTCCGAAACTTGTCTTTTCATGCACGCCTTTCCCTTCCCTCCCCCCGACTATTCGCTATATAAAATAAAGTGATTGAGGGGAGGGGATAATGAAGTGAAAAACAAGAGGAAAGGAAAAACCGAAAGAGGGCGAACCATAACAAACATGAGGCCAAACAGCAGGGGGAATATTGTTTTTTCAACCAATCACACACCCAACTAACAGGATGGAGGAGCCGGCTGAGGAAAATAAATAGCAGGAGCTCAGAAAAGCAAAAATTACGTGCGCGGGCCGCGAGGTCAACGGGTGCGGCTCGGTGCATGTGAAGATGTGGGGGGATTGACGGAGCCGTGCATCGGCGGACGGCCATCCCCCTAACGGCGGCCGTGACTGCGGACGGCAGTGCCTTGGAGAGCTTCGAGCTCGGCCTCGAGCCGCTTGATCTCGGCATGGGTCTGCTCGAGATCCTTGTTGAGACGATCGCGCTCGGCAATGAGCTTCTGCTCCCATTGCCGGAAGCGCTGTTCCTCGATCTTGACCTGCTCAGTAAACCGCTTGCGCAGCGCCTCTTCCTCCTCCTTGAACTTGGGGTTGTCGAGCTTCCGGGGGCGGGCCTCGCCAAACTTGCGCGTCTCCATCTGCTGGGCACGGTAGGCCTCGTAGTGCAGCTCCTCGGTGGTGTGGATGAGGTCAAGCATGTGAGTGCGGATGAGGATAGACCGGAGCTTCTTGAAATCGCAGTGGTCCTCGTTCTCCACCTCAGCAACACCCCACGAGTACTGACGACCCTTGACGATGCGGCCATCGTTCGTCTTGACATCCTTTTCAGAGCCGATCACAGCGAAAGGCATGGCGGCAATCAGGCTGCGGGCGTGCTGGGCCGCGGCCTCGTCATCCTCCTCGATCGGCGGCTGATAGATCTTGATGTTCTGGGCCTCGATGACGGCACGGATCTGGAGTGCAGGGACGCATGTAAGCAACGCACGAGACTGACGGTACAGGACCGGGGATGCTTACCCTCTGCTTGAACTTGGCCAGCTCCGTAGGGCTGAGGGTATCGGCCTTAGCAATGACCGGGATGAGGTTGACACGGGTGCAGAGGCGCTTCATGACCTCGATATCTAGGGGCTTCAGGGTGTGGCCAGTTGGGCGGATGAAGTACAGGCAAGCATGGACACGGAGGTCAATCTTGTTCTGGCGGTGCGGCTGCTGCTCCTGAAGCATGTAGGACTCATGCTGGTCGTCAAGGAACTCAACGATGGGCTGCCACGAGTCACGGTTGTTGACGTAGTCGCCAAAGCCCGGAGTGTCAATCACAGTCAGGCGAACTAGATAGGGAGATTTATGTCAGCGAGGCGCGTCGCCAAAGAACAGCCAGGGATCACGCGTCATGGTATGCGCACCCTTGAAGAACTTCTCCTCAAGCTCGGCCTTGGTGATCTCGATCTCGACAGTTTTGTCGATCTGCTTCTGGTGGCGCTTCTTGTGGTCGGCATAGTTCTTGATGGTAGTGGAGAAAAGCGTGTTAATGAAGGTGGTCTTGCCCAACCCGGACTCGCCAGCAACCTAAACAATCGCGAGTCAGACAATGCCGTAACAAACGCGGGAGTACGAGACAGAGATGCCGACCATGATGGTGAAGGAGGCACCCTTCTTGGCCACAATCTTGTGCCGCTGGTTGGGCAGATTGGCAATGCCAATCGGCGAGGCGCTCTCAGCAGTTGCGGGAGCCATCTTTTGTTGAGGACGTCTGCTCGAGGGGACCGAAGGGGTGCTATGGTGCTTCTACGCGTGCGGATCAAGAATCTGCAGCTACGACGGCAACGGGCGCAATTGATGGCACAGCTGCCGCACGAGCAAGGCGGTGGTGGATGTGGTGATGGATTAAGTGACGGAGAGGGGAGACGGGAGGTCAGGACGGTCGGAGGTTGCAGGTTGCAGGTGGTTACCCAGCGAGGAACGGGAACGGGGAGCTCGCTGCTTCAGGGGTTGTGGCAGTCAAATTTCCAGACCATAGCACTGGCAACTTAGGTCGACACAGTGCGCAGCTGCGTGACTCGCTCTCCGTAACCAGAGGCTGGACTCCCTAACCTTATGGAGACCACAAACGACGCCAAGCCAAATCTGTTAATGGCGGTGGGCCCAGCTCCCCTTTTCCACTTTCCCCAGTCCAGCAGGGCGCAGCTGCCGGGGAACCCATGCCAAGAGTGCCAAGAGGTCGTGACACACTGGCCTGGGCGGTCTGGAGAAAGAATTCACCGACCGGCAGAAAAATATCCCCAACAAGGAAGGTGGTCAGAAATTTTGGCGGGCTGCGAGAGCCTGTACTTTTGGCTTGCTAGATGCTGCAGCAGTCGCGGTGTTCATCCCACCTGCATCCATTGGCAATTGACAATTGGCGATTGTCCGTCCCTCGACTCGACTGTCATATCGCCTTCGACTAACTGTCTCTGCTCGAGTCGGGGCTGGGAGCGGACTGGGACCACCAGCGACCATGAAGACAAACTTTAAGTTCTCCAACCTTCTGGGAACAGTATATTGCCGGGGCAATCTGCTGTTCAGCCCAGACGGCACCCATCTGTTTTCGCCTGTCGGCAACCGTGTGACTGTCTTTAATCTTGTCGAGTATGAATCGCATTCTTTCCGAGAATTGGATGGTGACGGCTCCGAATTTGCGCTGACCCTGGCTGCACAGGAACAAGTCTTATACATTCCCGTTTGCCCATCGCAAGAACATTTCGAGAATAGGTCTTACCCCGCAGGGTAACCTCCTTCTCTCAATCGACGAAGATGGCCAGGCTATTTTGACAAATGTACCTCGCCGGGTTGTTCTCTACCACTTCTCCTTCAAGTCTCCTGTCACCGCGCTCGCGTTTTCCCCCTCGGGTAGGCACTTCGTTGTCGGCCTCAAGCGTAAGATTGAGGTTTGGCATGTGCCATCAACGCCTGATACTAACGAGGATGGCGACCTCGAATTCGCCCCTTTCGTGCGCCATCACACCCACATGCAGCACTTCGATGATGTGCGGCATCTCGAGTGGTCGAGCGACTCTCGCTTCTTCCTTAGCGCCTCAAAGGATCTGACTGCGAGGATATGGAGTTTGGATACTGAGGAGGGGTTCGTACCTACTGTTCTGTCCGGTCATAGGCAGGGCGTTGTGGGCGCTTATTTCTCCAAGGACCAAGAGACTATCTATACTGTCAGCAAGGACGGCGCCGTCTTCGAGTGGAAGTATGTGGCCAAGCCTGGGCATGAGGACGATGAGATGGTCGACGACGAGGATATGCAATGGCGAATTGTCAACAAGCACTTTTTCATGCAGAACGCTGCAACACTTCGATGTGCTGCTTACCATGCCGAGTCGAACCTACTTGTCGCCGGGTTTTCGAACGGCATATTCGGGCTCTACGAAATGCCAGACTTCAATCTTATCCATACTCTCAGCATCTCACAGAATGAGATCGACTTTGTGACCATTAACAAAAGTGGCGAATGGCTGGCTTTCGGCGCATCGAAGCTCGGACAGCTGCTCGTGTGGGAGTGGCAGTCGGAGTCGTACATCTTGAAACAACAGGGTCATTTTGATGCTATGAACAGTCTGGTGTACTCGCCCGACGGTCAGAGGATTGTTACGGCCGCTGATGATGGCAAGATCAAAGTCTGGGACGTCGAATCTGGGTTCTGCATTGTCACTTTCACAGAACATACCAGCGGCGTAACGGCCTGCGAGTTTGCCAAGAAGGGCAGTGTGTTATTCACAGCGAGTTTGGATGGGTCGGTTCGGGCGTGGGATCTGATCAGATACCGGAATTTCCGAACTTTTACTGCTCCGGAGAGGTTATCATTCACATGCATGGCGGTCGACCCGAGCGGCGAGGTTATTGCGGCAGGCTCAATTGATTCATTCGATATCCACATCTGGTCTGTTCAGACAGGTCAACTACTAGATCGGCTCTCGGGGCATGAGGGCCCCGTCTCCTCCCTGGCGTTCGCCCCAGATGGCAGCGTCCTTGTTAGTGGTAGCTGGGACAGGACAGCACGGATCTGGTCTATCTTCAGCAGGACACAAACAAGCGAACCCCTGCAACTACAGTCAGATGTGCTGGACGTTGCTTTCAGGCCGGATTCCAAACAGATCGCAATCTCGACTTTGGATGGTCAGCTGACGTTCTGGTCTGTCTCAGAGGCCCAGCAAGTCTCGGGAGTGGACGGTCGGCGAGATGTATCGGGTGGCCGCCGGATCACCGATCGTCGGACAGCAGCAAACGTGGCAGGCACCAAAAACTTCAACACCATTCGCTACAGCATGGATGGCACATGTCTGTTAGCAGGCGGCAATAGCAAGTACATCTGTCTGTACTCGACGACAACCATGGTGCTCCTCAAGAAGTTCACTGTGAGCGTGAACCTTTCGCTCTCGGGTACGCAAGAGTTCCTCAACAGCAAGCTCATGACCGAAGCCGGGCCCGTTGGGCTTCTGGATGACCAAGGAGAGGCATCAGACCTAGAGGACCGGATAGACAGGTCACTGCCCGGTTCGAAGAGAGGCGATCCCGGCGCAAGGAAGAAATTCCCTGAGGTCCGGGTAAGCGGAGTGGCCTTCTCACCAACGGGTAACTCCTTCTGTGCCGCATCCACGGAAGGGTTGCTGGTCTATAGCCTGGACAACACAGTACAGTTCGACCCCTTTGACCTCAATATGGAGATTACCCCCGCTTCGACGCTGGCGGTACTCGAGAAAGAGAAGGATTATCTCAAAGCACTGGTCATGGCCTTCCGGCTCAATGAGGCCGGACTTATTACGCGCGTCTACCAAGCTATCCCTTACACAGATATTGGGCTTGTTGTTGAGCAGTTCCCCACCGTCTACGTGCCCCGCCTGCTTCGCTTCGTGGCTGCCCAGACAGAGCAGTCACCACATATGGAGTTCTGCCTGCTCTGGATCAGAGCACTGATTGATAAACATGGCCCATGGCTGGCAGCCAACCGGGGTAAGGTTGACGTGGAGCTTCGTGTCGTGGCTCGGGCAGTGGCCAAGATGCGTGACGAGATCAGGAGGCTTGCAGATGAGAACGTCTACATGGTCGACTATTTACTCAATCAGGCGAAGAGCAAGAGTAATAATCGGGCTGTGGTGGGTGACGCGGAGGAAGAATGGGGTGGACTAGATGATTTTGGAGTCAAGGCTTTGCCGTCGTCCAAGCCGGAGACGACACTAGATGATATTATGCAAGATGATGTGGCAGAGAGTGAAGAGGAATGGATTGGGTTAGAATAGGGAAGGCAACGGGAGGAGTTGGGAATACAAAATTGATACCACAGTTTGATATGCCATCTTCCTTTCCATGTATTGCATCGCCATCTTAAAGCTCCTCGTCTATCAGTTAACATTTGGAACGTCCTATGCACTTAAATTAGCATCGTGCCATACCAACCCAGACCACTGGAGTTATTGTAGCCTACTTTCCAAGCCTCCTCAAACCCCGTACTTCGCACCCAATGGGGCCCCGGGGCTTCAACTGAGTCGACAATCAAATAACAAACCTTAGCCCAGACGTCATCGCCTTTGATTGGTAAGCGGTCGCTGGTATTGCTCTCTTCATACTTCTTGCAAAGGTTGCGGCATACTACAGCAGCCCGTCCAAGCTTGATAGCATGGCCGTCGTCTGGGAAGTTGTGCAAACGGGCAATAATATCAGGTAAAGACTGGCTTCCAGCCTCTGGCTTGCGTGACCGATATGCTTGGAGCTTCTTAAGTGACAGTTCTGGACAACCTCGTGCCACGTACTGCAGAAGATCCATGCGAATCTTCCACTCAAGAATACGAGCCTTCGTCTCAGGAGAGATCCAGTTGGCTGTGCTGAGGGTAGCGAAGAGAGGACCTGAGGTTACGTGATGCCTGGAAGAGTGAGTACAAAGGTTCCATACGTAGTTCTGACGAGTGAGTGTACTCACATCAAGAAGAAATCAAACTTTGGCTGTTTCCCCTCCTGAGCAACCGCCGCCGCTGCTGCCACAAATACAGCAGCATTGAACATCTCTGCCGTCCGTTCCTCCACTTCCTCCGGACGTACCTTTACTTGTGACGCAAGATGGATCATCTGGTCGCCCGCACGTTTGAGTACTCCGTCACGGATCTTATTCTCATCTTCATTGTGCGCTGAGTGGGTAAGGGCTTTGTTATTGCGGATAGATCCAAGCAGACCCAGGATGCTCCATGATCCATTCGACGGCTTCTGGGAGGAAGCTGCTTTTTCGGCGCTCATCAAGTACGGACCTGCTGTTTCGAAAGAGTGTACTGCCGTTTGGGCGAGCGCTTCGGCTACGATGGGTTCTTGATTCCTGAAAGGACCTTTAGGTTAGCTCTCATCATTACCTCGACCAAGATTGCCAGCGAAAAGAACCTATACCATTCCAACCCACACATAAGCTGAATCGCCGGATGCAGGAACCCCGCAAACAATCTTGCAAGCATCTCGTCCTCATTGAACAAGTACTTCGTAACCACTTCCTTCCTCCAGTCTTTCCCCTCCCTGATGGAACGACCTATCTCGCCCTGGAAGAATCGAAGAAAGTCAGGGTAGTAAGCTTCATTGCTAAGGTAGCCCCGCTCAAGCGCTGCTGCCGGAAAGGGAGTCAAGAACAGGGGCTCGGAAGAAGCTTGGGAGGGGTCCTTTGGGGTATGCTGAGGAAGGGTTGAACGCTGATAGGACTCGTTCCGTTTGTAAGCGGCGTGAAGAGAGGATGGCCGAGCACCTGTGCCATAAAGGGCTAGCAGGTGGTGAGGAATCTAGCCATTTGATTAGCTACAATCTTGATGATGTGAATGTAGATCCTGTGAGTGCTGGATAGACTAATGTGATCTCTGTCATGGAAATTGCTACTTTGGGGGTAAACTTTCAGACAACTTACATGGTTGTGGAACCCCTGAAAGTTGAAGAAGCAGTGATGTTTCTAAACCGGACGTACAAATTCTGGTTAGTTCATAACTAGAATTCAAGGTATATCGTATGGTCGATGACCGAAACCAGACTGTACACTCACCTCCATATCCTCCTGTAACAGGGCCGACACGGTTCTCGCAGCGTCTTCTGTCTGCTGAATCCCCCATAACCCCGTGTTGTCAGGGGCGAGATGCATTCTGTATGGGAGATCCATAATGGTAGCACTGCTACTTATAACAAAGTTTAACTTAATAGTCTGTCTTTGTTTTGTAGAAGCTGGTTGAAAATGAGACGGCCGGGAAGCAAGTGTGGTTGGCGTGACTGTGGCCAAGGTGAACACGACAGCCTTGCTGCTGCTCTTCGAGTTGAGCGGTCTTCGGAGGTGGAACATTTAATGGAACGGAAACAATCCGGTGCTCAGGTAGGCACCAAACACTTAGGGCTGGTGGTATCACGGTAGTACACGGTTAAAATTGTCGGAGCTCCGGAATATGAGTGAGTTTGATAGTCAGTTTAGCTCTGGTCACTTCTGCTTGATGGATCTTGTATATGGTATGCTCGAAACTGGTGCTTTCCGACCGAGGCATCGTGGCCTTGTAGATATAGATTTATCCTCGATTGGAAGCTATGTAACAATTGGTAACCAAAGACATTAGATCAGTTCAAGATTTCTGTGCTGACGAATTATGGGAGAAGCAGATGTGGAAGAGGAAAGGCTGTCGAGAACCTAAGAGATACGTCGATGACATCATACCTAAGGTACCCCTTTGGAGTCCCGGTTAGCCATGCGCCAGAGCGAGTCACTACTCGAAGTTTCACCAGTGAGGTCCTCTATCAAAAGGGGCCACCAAATATGTGTGTCCCTTGAATGAAACCGTTAAAAAACATGTGAATGATATCCAAGTGTAACTCATAAAGTGGCCAAGAGTAATATAGATTCAAGTTCAATTCATGTTCATGCACCTAAATCTATCCCGCTTAATGTCATCCATTAATTGATTGACCCAACTCCAAGTGTATGCATCTTATCCCATCATTCTCTAGCACCACTTTCTGCATTAAGCATTACCAGTCAGTCAATCAATGAGTCATGCTTTTGTCTACTGCCACGTTCCAAACTTCCTTCCCCCAAACCATCGCTGACAAAGAAATTCATTAGCCCAACCCATCATCAGTATAAACTAACCCATTATCATCACCCAGCATGCCTGCTTGGGCTCCTATGGATCTTTCTAGCCTCCCGCTCCTTGATAATCTGTTGAGCGGTGGCTTTGTCGTAGCCAATGACATTCATTAAATAGTGAAGCCTAGGCAAGTCAGCGTCAGCTTTGTACTGGGGAAAGGGGGAAATGACTAATGGGGGATACATACTTTCCCTTCTCCAATTCCGCCGCCTTGATATCCTCCCACTGTTGCTGGCACTCCATCCATGCCACAGCTCTTCTCTTGTAATCTATCTTTTTGACATGAAACCGAAACCGTCCGCTGACGGGTCTGTGATCCGATACGCGCACTTCATGCCGACGGTAGTCGATCTGCTCGATACGCCCTCTTCCATTGCCACAGCGGAACAGTAGACGGTCACACCAAGCGGGGCTGCGACGCTTCTCGCTAGTATCGTAATTGTCCGTACCAACATCATACTTGTACGTGGGCGCGAACGCGATAGGCAGCTCTTCGAAGGCGCGTAGACGGAAGGCCGGATTGCGCCGGCGTGCAACAAGCAGCTGGTCTCTCTCGAGAAGCTTAGCCAGGTTCCCGGCTTTGACCGCTGCAACGACCGTATCACGGCTCATGGTATCGATCCGATAGTTGAGGTCGCCGTTGAGTAAGCACAACTCATGATCGAGAATCATAGAGCCGTCGCCACCACCGACGTATGAGTCGATGCGTTTCTGGGGATCACGCTCGGGAGGAAGCAGATTGGCTTCCAGGATCGCTGCGATGTCGTTGTGTCGCTGGTTGGCCGACCCCTGGCCGGCAGCCAGGTGGCAATTGATGAAGCACAGTGAGGTGTCGTCAACCATAAAGCGCACCACGACAGCGCCCTTGTTGCCATGTAGACCGCCCATACCACGCTTGACCTCGGCGCTGCTTAGGTTGGTGATACGCTCACGCAGGTCCGCTTTGACAAAGATGCAGGTGAAGAGGCCGACCAGAGGTGCGGTGTGCAGGATGTGGTAGAGCCCGCTGTTTGACATGTAGTCGTCCAAACTTTGCGCCAGGAAGTTGCGCCAGTCGCGATACTGATGGCTCATCCGCTCCTGGTCTGAGCCCTCCTTTTTCTTTGGCTTAAGAAATCGCTCTGTCGTCGGATGTTAGCGATCATCAGACTCACTTTTTTTCGTGATCATTACAGGACACAAACTCACTTGCAGTAGCTGTCTTGTCTTCGAGGTCGACGAGTTCCTGGAAGCCAAAGACAATGATGTCGGGCGAGCCGCTGCTCTGGAGCAAGTCTCGGATAAAGACTGCATCCGTTTCGGAGTAGCGTAAGCTATGGGGGGTCGACGCGCCGGCATTCCAAGTCAGGACCAGGGCCTTGATCTTCTCGAATGTACAATATTCCGTATCGCGACGCTTCATCTCTCCCTCAAGCCAGTCATCCTGCAGCAGCCCGTCCCAGGTGCGCAAGGTGTTGTCGGCACCTAACGACACAACCTGGTAGCGATCGAGCTTGTAGAAGCTGGCCGGGTCGGCAATAAGTTTCAACACAGGGTGCTTGTGCGCCTGCCAATCCTTCTTGAGGAGCCAGGGGCTTTGATTCATGTCGAATACTGACATCCTGCCTGAGTTGAAACCGGCCCACATGTACTGACCAACACCAGCCAGTGAGGTGACCTTGTACTGACTGACATTCAATACCTCCAGGCATGTGTAGCTCTTCCTCGAGTAAATGCTGATCTTGCCGTCGCTGTGACCGAAGAAGATCTTGTCTGGGTCCGACGCTAGCGTAGTGCCCGCTGTCACGTCACCAGCGTTATCCAGGATGAACGGCCTCATTATGACCTGGAACTGAGTCTGTCCGTCCAAGGTAGGCTGGAAGACTCGCAATTCTTTGCCTGTTGCATGCCAGAGCTCGTCCCCAACAACCATAGAGAATGTGTGCCCCTTGGGTACGCGGTATGTTTGCGTCGGTCCCAAGGATAGGTTGGGTACGTATCGATCGTCAGGGCCCCATACGTGCAAGGTCCCAGCATCGTCCAGTGTCCAGAGCTCGTTGTAATGCCGGTACATCTTGATGATTTCATTACGTCCGTGGGCGCCTGGCCTGCTGTTTGTAATGCTTTGCGACAAGATATCGGCTTCTAAGATCTCGCCATTATTATTGCCGATCCAAATCCTCTTGCCTTCTTCATCCACGTTTTCTCCCGGCCTGAAGATGACAGAAGTTCCCTTGAGACCCTCTCCCATGGCAAAACTCATCACCAACTCGCCATCCAGTAAACTCCATGCTCTGGTGTAATTGCCGGTAGTGCAGACAAAAGCACCACAGACGTCGAATACCCTGCTGTCGTAATTTGTGGCAATTTCATGTACGCCTTTGCTGATGTAGGGTTTGCTACGATTTACCCTTGAGGTATCTGGATACGTTGCCGTGATTGTCGTCATAGTTTCTGACCTAGAAATCCCTGAAGCTGGCCCATCAAATGAACGACGAGTCTCAGTCGGGGTTGCAGGGACTGAAGGCGATGGTCGGAGATCGAGCGAAGTCCTAGTCGGTGGTACACGATCTGGCAGCCCACCATGGCCTGCGCTCACAGAGTTGCCATTGAGTCTTGGGATCAGGGGCGGAGGGGCTTGAGTCGTAGGTGTTGAAACAATGCGTTTTTGGGGAGTTGCAGATGCTCCATTGAGCTCAGAATGATGCATGGTATTAACACCAGGACGGGGAGGACGTGGGGGAGGAGCCTGCATCACAGGGGCGCCACGACTTGTCTCTATCATGCTTTGTGGTCGTGCTGGTAATGTCGGCGGCTGGTCGTTGGCGGGATGTGACGTAGCTGGACTCCTTGATGTGCCGTTTAGACCGTCCCTCTCTGCCCTCCTGTTTGCTAGAGAAGGATGGATTGGCGGAGGTTCGAACGAATCAACTGTGACATCAAATGTACTTGCTCGTTTGAACTTGTCCAATTGCGCCTTTGGTCGTGCTGGCAAGGCAGGAGGAGCGTCGTCGTCACTAAACCTCTCCCTACTATTTCGTGGCGGACTGCTGAACGGCGATACTCTGTCATTAGGGGGTGGAAGAGAGGGGGATGCCTCCTTGGGTTTACTGGGCTGAAACAAGGAGAAACGAGCTGCTCCAATCAAAGGCTTCTCTGCACGGTTTACTGGGGGAGGGACAGGCTTCGCGATGAGTTCCTTAAGCTCGCGGTCTCGCCTTAGCTCGGCAGATCTCCTAGGAGGCGGCGGAGAAGGTGGCTGTGAGGGCGGCATTCGGGGGGATTTTCGTGGTTCAAACGCTGGTGTCAGGGGGCGACTCGGCACCACGAAAGGATTCGCCGTGGAAACTGTGGAGGAAGAGGGAGATGTAGACTTGACCAAGGAATCCGTGCTGACGAAGGCAGGACGGTCGCCAGTAGCTAATGAGGGTCCTCGTTTCGGGGGCGATTGAGGAGGTTCGATGTTGAACGACGGCGGAGCTTGGACGGAGCGCGGGCTGAGAGGTGTCGGCGGAACAGGGCGAGTCGGGGATGGAGCAGGGCCAGGGCTGGCATGGGCTGGAAAAGGCATGTTTACGATGCTGAGCCGATCCCGGGGGCGATTTGAAGGAACAGAAGGCGCTTCCCGGGGTTCCTGGGTCGAAGGACTCACATCTCGGCTCAGCCGGTCCTTCGGCCGGGCAGGCACAGGAGGAGGGTCGCGCGGTCCTTGGGCCGAGGGACTCGTATCACGGTCGCCCAGTCTGTCCTTAGGTCGAACTGGAATCGGAGGGGGTTCACGTGCGCTGGGGCCTGAAGGACTCGGATCGCGGTCGCTCAGGTTGTCCAGCCGGTCTTTGGGACGAGCCGGGACAGGAGGAGCCTCTCGCGCGCCTACAGTGGAGGGGCTCGCATCTCGATCGCTCGACCTGTCCTTGGGACGGGTTGGGGGGACCGGCGGAGGTTCGCGCGCACCTGTGATGGTCGAGGGACTGACATCTCGTAACCGCCCGGGCTTTGGCGCTGGGGCCGGGGCTCCTGGAACGGGGGACGCAGTTCGCGAGGCAGAGGGAGAGAGGACATCAGTTTTGTTCAAGTTCTCGAACTTGGCAAGAAGCGAAGAAACAGGTCGCTGAGTTGCCCTCGATAGTCAGCCATGCCGACGCTTATCTCACGCATCCGGACAGACGCGGAGGGAGCACTTACGATGGACGAGGAATCAGGTCCATCGTCGTTAGACGAAGGATCCATGGTGAACGACCGGAGGAAGAGTCTGGGAGATGGATGACAGCCGGTGGCTTGTGGAAGCTAACAGCAGCTTTCAAGGACGGTATTACCCATCACAACACTGGCTGGAAAAGACGGTGTTGGTTTGGTGATCGTCGCGTCTCTCTGTCGATCTCTCGGGATGTCTGGACTGAGAAACGAGCGTTGACGTGTTGTGAAGCGCAGGACAACACTGTGCATTGGCGGGCACACGTATGGCACGACCGAAGGGCAGCACAGGCGCAGTGCAAGAGAGTTGACGGTAGTTGGTTGTCGACTAAGATCGAGATGGGCTCGTATCAAGCAAAAACGATCAATGCTGATGCGGATCTGGTCCCGAGACGTGGACAACTTGAACTTGGGATGTTAAGAAGAGATCAAAACGGCAGAGGTTCAGAAATGGAAACACGGAACATGTCCCCGTCCCCCCCCCGTTTATTGTCCAGGTCACAGCAGCAACAGCACAAAATTGCGAGCACGGGGCTAAGATTGGCTTCGTCGATTTCGTCGGTTTCGACCGTTTCGTCGCTTTTCACTTGTCGCCCGCCTCGAGATCCGGATAGATTGCTGGAGTTGTAACAGTCCAATAACCAAGAAGGCACTAGACCGTTTACTCCGGGCTTCGTACGCTATGTTGTACGAGGCCGAAATTCCAGGGGAAGATGGGCGTCCCAGGGCCCGATCTTTTTTCATGCAAATCGGCCGGACAGTGGCGCGTGTCAGAGGATATCCCCTGGGACTGTTTGGGCGTTGGAACTGGACTCAGTGCTGGACGTTGGTGAGTCTGGAACATGGAACCGGGGCTTGCGACTTGGCGTTGGGTGTGTCTGGTTGGTGGAGTTCCATCCCCAAGACGGGCGGGCTTCCACTGGCTAGTGGTCACTGGATGCCCTGTACGACCCATTACCGCCAGCGTCGTTGGGACGCCAAGCTTCCGGAACGAGCAAGGAAACCCCAAATGACCCACCAGCTCAAGATGCATCAATTTGTGCATAAGGTAAACAGTTGGAAAGTTATTACCAGCCACGCAGCCACATCCTCTTATGCACTAATCGAGGGTTCCACAATGCGGACCAGTCACAAGGGTCCAGCAGAAGCCCCACGCGACCCGCGCTGCTTGCCCCTGCCTTTGTCTTTTGTCCCCACCACGCAGCTTGCTTCCTACGCTGCGCCAGGCCAACCGGCAAATGCGAGTCCAGAACCGGCCGACAGCCGTGGTTGTCGAATTACATCACGCGATTCTCGACGTTCCGGCCGCTCAGAGACTAGAAAAGCCTTTCTTGGCCCCTCCAACTTTTGTGACGTACCGTCGTCGATCTTGACTGCACTGACTTCGGCTGTTTTCTCCATTCGACTCTTGCATCGATTGAAGCTATACTCTCTCAACCATGAACACTGTAAGTCTTGCTGCTTTCAAGCCCATGACGTTAGTAAGGGTTGATTGCTGATCGTCTGCGCGTTTCCGTGACTTAGGTCAAGTCTTTCTGGTGGGGAACTACCATTTGAGAACTACAGTGTGCGAGTATGGGAAACTAATTATTCCTTTCTGCTGATAGGGCCGGCTGGGGCTCACTCTGCGTCGGTATGTAATTGTTCTTCCTAAGGTTTAAGGCACAATGGTTGCTGACACGCAGGTAGCCGGCGGCGTTGCCTACTACTTCGCCAAGCAGAGCATCAATGCGGACCGCCAGTCCCGGCTGGAGGAGCAGCGCAAGAAGAGGGAGATGATCGAGTCGCTTGAGAAGGCCAATTCTCAGCCCGCCAGAACAGATTTCGTCGCCTCGCCGAGCCAAGAAGCAGTCCAGGACCCAGCACCTACGCGACATGCGCCAACTACGGAAGGTCAACGGATTCTTGAGAAGAGCAAGTACGAAGCTGCTGTCCCGTTCGAGAGCCCCAAAGGGGATCGCTTCTCTTGAGCTGGTAACAACACCACGTGTATCATGTGTATACTATGATGCTGGAATTTAACTGAAGGGAAAAGAATGGTTCTTTTGGCATCACCGCTCTGCATTGGTTTCGAAAATCGCGAGTTCTGACGGGCGATCAACTTGATAGTTGAGACATGAGGGATTATAGACTCAAATGAAACACAGGCGCGCAGCGGGAATTGTTCGGCAAGGTTTCTGGACAAAATAAAGCCGGAATAAATTGACTTTGGCATCATACTATGTGCCATGATATTATTCAGGCAAAGTCGACAGTGCGATTGCTGTGAGGATTGGATTATGATGCTGTGATGAGACTTTTAAGGCCCCAAGATTCCGGTTCTCGGGGCATGCCATTTTCGTAGTTGCATATACCTTACCGTATGCGCCTATCAGAGCAGCAAGCGGGCCTGGCCAAGCTCCAGAGGTGGGGTCTGCATCCAGCAAGAAATTACCTTGGCATTCTTTGTGGGCAGTCTTTGCAGCCAGCATTTCTTATACTGTGGTCAGGCGTGCAATGCGATGCGCCGAAGCAGCCTCGCCAACAAAAGTTCCCCCTCCAGTCTCGATTACTTGAGAACTCTCAACTGCAACACATTCACGCCGTCCTCTGCTCCATGCATCACGGCATTCTCCCAACTTATCCATGGCGCTAGCAGAGCTGATTGTCGCCAAAACAGCGCTCTCGGGAGCGTTGTTTCGCCCCGACCCGCGGCCATGCTCGCGCGACGACATCGACTCGATGCATATCCTTCTCGCTGACACCATCGCCGAGTGTTCGCCCCGCAATGTCCAGGTTTGATGACACGCCTTATCCGTGCCGCTTTTTAACCATTGACCCTATGAGGACCCATGGGCTAAGCTGCGCACCAGAGATGCAAGCAATGGGCTCTCGCCAATCTGGTCCCCTCGTCTGCCCGCATTGCCCCCTTCTGCAAGTATCTAATCGCTCTCTCCAAGTCCTTCGGCGGCGAGAAGGACAGCGCGCTGGCCGAGCTCAAGGACAAAAAGCGCCTGCCGTCTGTGAGGCGCCGCCGTCTCCACATTCTCTACATCCTCAATGACATCCTCTACCACGTCAAGCATCGCAACAACGACGATGCCTTCGCCCAGAAGCTCGAGCCTACACTGCCTGCCCTCTTCAGGAGCGCAGCCGCCTTCACCAATTGCCCAAAACACTTCAAAAAGCTGAACGATCTGGTCTGCTTGTGGGAGGAAAAGGGCTATTTCCCGCCCAGCACCGTGCAGCAGCTGCGGACTGCGATCGAAGAAGGCCCGACGTCCAAGGAAGATAACAAAAATAGTGTCGAAGCCGACAATTCAGCAGCGGTTCTGGCGAAGGCAGCCAAGTCTACACCGTGGGTCATGCCGGCGATGCATGGTGACCCGTCGACACCATGGTACGACCTGCCCGCGGGCAACTGGCTGCCGATCCTGGAGCCAAACTCGACTCGTCCCATGAACCCCGCCATGATCAAGCCCCTCGTGCTCTCACAAGGACCGGCCGACAAAAAGCTTGTTGAAGCAGTCAAGAAGCTTCTGGATGACGTTGACAGAATCTATGGCTGCAAAGAGGTCAACCTTGACGAACCCCGTCCCAATATTGGGCCTCTCGGCGAGCCCGTTGAAATTGACGAAGTTACGGGTGAAATTATCGGCGGCGAAACCTACTATGGCTGGTCCCGTCCCTTTTGCGAGAAGATGAAGCGCCGGCTTCGTGGCCAATCTGGCTCTAACAGTGACGACGATGTTCGTGGGAGGGCCCGTTCGTCAAGGTCGTACAGTCGCTCAAGAAGCTGGTCCCACAGCAGGCGTCGACACGACAGCGAAGAAGCAAGTCGAAGCCCTATCCGCCCGTCATTCAAGATCCATAAGGCTTCTCCATCGCCAGAGAACAGAGAGCGTGGTCGAGGCAGGAGCCGCGATCGGGGTAGAAGCTATGAACGCAGTCGATCTCTGAGCTCTCGGTCCAGAGACGGTTCCCATCGGCGGAGGAGCGTTAGCCGACATGGACAACGGCACAGTAGACATCGTTCTCGATCGGCTTCACGATCACTTTCACGACGACGATCCAGATCTCATTCCGGGACTCGAGGCAGACCCTATCGACAACGTAGCCGGAGCCGGAGCCGTAGCCGTAGCCATAGCTACGATTACAGTCGCAGATATCGGTCGCGCAGCCCCGATTATTCCAGTTCCCGCTCAAGAAATCAATCTCCACCCTCACAACACCGGTCTGGTCCAGGCAACACACCGCGCAATGGCTACCATCCTCCTCCCACGGGCGGTGCCCCTCCAGCATATCCAGCTGGCTCCTGGACTCAACCCCCAGCTGGACCACAACAACAACACCGACCTCCTTATCCCCCTCCACCGTCACAAATGCCCTTCCCAATGCCGCCTATCTCGCCGCCGCAAGCAAATTTTGCTGCCCGGGGCTTCCCCATTCCACCGCCGCACCCTTCCAATTATCAGGGTTCATGGCCTCCTATGCCGCCGCAGCCGATCCCTCAAGGACCTTCAGGCCAGCATCCTCAGAACTACTTCCAGGCCCCTCAAGGGGGCAACAATGCTGGGAATCCTGTGCCGCCGCTTCCTCCATTCATGGCATCGGGTTGGCCGCCCCCGCCCCCACCCCCTCCGCCGGGCTCGTATCAGCAGGGCCTTCCTCATCCTCCGTCTGGTCCTGGGGGTTCAAGGGGGGGTTATGGGAGAGGTTGGGGGAGGTAAAGGGGGGTATATGATGTCTTGGGTTTTGAGATCGTGACTAGTCGTGGCTGATGGGTGATACGTAGTGATTGTGTGTCAGTACCCGGAGGAGTTCAGCTCAAGTAGTTAACAGCTATTGGAGTGGTGACTGGGATCAGTTAACCTGTTGTGATAATATGAACGACCAGCCATGTAGCTCATATTGAATTGTCTCCTCCGAGCCTATCTCTCTAAGTCCTGACCGTGTCCCTCCTTCAACTCATACTATTTCCACCACAATAATCTCTGGCCCTGTAACATCCTCTTGTCCCAGTCCGATGTTCAATACTAACTCGTTGGATTTCTTCCATGAGGAATCTACGTGTATAACGAACCACGACCGAGGACAAAGATGGACAGCGATGAAGGATTGTAGTCTTGTATTTCATGACTGGCTTTTGATGTTTGAAATGAAATGCTTTTATGCATTCATTTTCATTGTAAACAATGAGAACCGCTCCAGCCAAATACCCACATAGTCAACTATGCTCCCTCAAGTGAACTGCGTACCTAGTTCGTAAGTCATGACGGGTGTCATCAAGCCAGTAGTGAAGTGGTAATTAACGAGGCTGAGACTATCGACTACAAGGGAAGGAAGCAAGATAACCTAACATTGGTGACGGATAAGAGGGTTGGCTATAATAAAAGGGGGGGAGGGCTAGAACAGATAAGTAGGACAACTGCAATGTGTTTAAAAAAAAACGAAAGAAGTTTAAAAAAGCGGCTAAGTACGTGTGGCAGGCTCTCCACACTCAGTCCGACACAGCATCAAAAGCAATCAACAATAAACCCAACAGCAGCAACCCGAAAAGAGAAAGCAAGCCCAGTCTTAAGCTTCTCTGCCAGCCCCATCCATCACTTTTTATCCTTTCCCATCTTTCCTCCCATCCTTGCCTTTTCTTGTCTTGCCACAACCCATCTTCTTCCCTCGCTTTCTCCCACACTTTCTCACTTTGCTACCCATATTCCAGGGAAGCCAAGGAGATTGGACAAAAGAAAGGAGGATGCTCATAAAAGAATCAAAAATAATGGAAGAGAAAATCATCCAAGCTCACCCACACCGCCCACCCAATCCTCAAACCCCCATCCTCCTTCTCATCCATATCTCCGGCCTCCCCTAGCTCTGAGCCTAGTTCAGTCCAGTTCAAAATCAAATAGTCCCTTCTAGTTTAAATAATCCACCACCTGCCCTAACCCGTCCATTTGGCCTAGTTCCATCCTCACCTCTCTACCCAGGAGGGCAGCAAAGGGAAAACAAAACAGTGTCGACCTTGGGAAGAAAAAAAGAAGACCCTAGCCTAGCTCCGGCGCCATCCCAAAACAAAGATAGGGGGGGGAAAAAAAAGTTAAGAAGATGGGGAAAACAACAACAACCAAACCCAAGCATTTGTCTATGTACGGGAACTATCCGCTTCAGGATTAACTTTCTCCTCCGGCTAGTGGAGAGTCTGATTTTCTCTCCCCCAGGGCTGTGGAGTTCATGTTTGTTCCATGCTCACTCGACTCGGCTCTGCCGGGCCTGGAGGGGCAATACTTGTGCTGCCTTCGATGTTGTATGGATAGATGGTAATAACCCGAATTGCTCTTTCGATAGTCGTTTTGGGCTGGGAAGAGAAGAGGGGACTCGGCATGGCAGGCGCAAGAAAAGCTGAGGCTTCGATAGGAGAAGGTGGAGGAGGGGGACAAGAGGTCGTGAAGAATCATCAAGGCAGCGTCCCGACCGAGTCGTATGTGTTTACCCGAACCCTCGATAATCACCGCTGGCTCCGTGATGAACCGACCGACCCTTGCCGATCGTGCGGCGCCGGCCGACGGTCAGCCTTCCTATCACCATCCTGCAGCTTAAGAGAGTCAAGCCTGATGGGCGGGTTGTCTTCGTGGACGCTGTCAACCTCATCGACGCGTGGCAAGGAAGGGACTTGAGCACGACCCGGCACCCACTCACGCTTTTCTTGTTGGTTCTGGTCTTGCTCATCTCCTTGCTGTCCCTGACGCTTCTTCTTCTCTTCCTCGAGTTGCTTTCTTCTGCGCGCAGCCTGCTCCTCGATGGCAGCCCATTTCCTCTGGCGCAGGGCCTCGCGAGCAGCAGCGTTGTTCTGCTGTTCAGTGTACTCGTGGGAGCAGTCATCGAACAGTTGGGGGTTGATTTCCATGAACAGCTTCATAGCATTGTATACCATGCCATGGATCGTCCTGTGAGAGGTTAGAAACTTGCCAGTTATGAATATGGGAATATGGGGTGGCACATTACCTGTTCCAGTGGCCCTTGGAGTTCTCATACAAGGGCGCAAACATGATGGGCAGGATGACATCAACGTTATCACTAACCAAGTTGCAGAAATATTCGTTGTTCCAGAAATAGAGGGCACGTTCGGCAACCTGGAAGTGAGGGCTGGCGACCGACTTGGCAAGTTGATGGAACAAGGGCTCCTGGACCTTGACAAACTCGGCCGGATCCATGACCTCGAAAATATCTTCTACCTCGTTCAAGAACATGACCTCCTTGGTGCTGTTGACCTTGGGCCAATACCTCAGAAGACCAAGCACGACCTCCTCGGTCAAAGACGAATCCTTCTCGAGGAACTGGACAATGCAGTACGCAAGCTGGGGATGATACATGCTCAAGCTCTTGACCTTGTGGAGGGGAATCAAGACCCTCGTCAAGAAGAGCTTGTGTTCCTCCTTTAGCGGGAGGGCAAAGCCGTTGATAATAGAGCCCAGAATCTCCAGCAGCTCAGCAATGCCATTGAAGCGCTCAGTCTCATAAGTGAACTGGAAGAACACGTTGTTGATAGAGCGGCGAATGAAAGAGCGCAGGTTGAGGAACTTGCCGTAGATACGATGTAGAGTAGTCTTCAGAAAATCGCGCTCACGAGGATCTTCCGAGTCAAAGAGTTCGAGGAGCTGAAGAACAAAGCTGTGGTCGATGTAGGCCTTGGCGATGTTCGTGTTGAAGTCCTGGCTCTCGATGAAGCGAAGGAAGAACTCGTAGACGACCTGGATATGCGGCCAAGCGACCTCCAGGACAGGCTCGTCCTCTTCCGGATCGAAAGCCTCACCCTGGGGATTCACAGGAGGGGGAATGGGGCGGAACAGGTTCTTGGCGAACATGTTCACAACGACAGGATACATGGCTTCGGTGATGACTTGACGATTATTGGCCACATAGTCCAGAAGCTCATGAAGCGCGAGTCTCTTGATTTCCTTAGACCGCATGTCCGCGCTCGCATCGTTGAAGTCGAAAATGACGTTGCACTGTTCGATCTTCTTCATGAAGAGCTCCTCCCTACGGTTGGGGGGTACTTCATGGAAACCAGGAAGCTTCTCGAGCTCGCGGTTCTGCGAAATGTCAAAGCGCGACGAGTGCTGCCGGCGCGGAGTCTTAGGGCCATCGAGAACATCCTTGGGCGTTTGATGCAGGCGATCGTACATCAGGGACTTCTGACCCGCCTTGGGCGGAGCAAGATCATGGGGCATGGTCTCGGCGGCACCAGGAGGAGGGACATGTTGCTGTAGATAGTGGTGCCACAAGTCAGTTACTCAGTTTTAAACTCAATGCACGAATTTTTGGAGCTCTTACCGGAGCGCTCGGGCTGATGATGACGGTCGGCGGCACAGGCCCGTGTCTGATAGGAGTCGAATTCGCGCCATTGGGGGGCTGTGGCTGAGCGGGAATAGCAGCACCGCCAGTGTACCGATCCGGCATGGCCGGGGCAGGAGCTTGGGGAATATGCTGAGCCTGATGAGCGGCTAACGCAGCGGCATGGTCGGCATGAGCAGCAGCATTGTTCGGGGGGAGGGGTTTGTTGAGTGTAGCCGTGGAAGATGAAGGTGTGACGACGGGCGACTGATTCTGGTGATCCCTGGACGAATTCGGTGATGCTGTCCCGTCCTTATTGCTATCTTTATTCTTTTTGGACTTGCTCGAGTCCTTGCTCCTTGAGAGCAGCTGTAACGCAGACAAGGGTCAGCGAAGTGTCCTGCTTCCCCCCAGGTAGGTGACTTACGACCTTGGCGCCGAAACGCTTCATCTTTGAAGACAACAGCTTCTCGATTGCGGGGCGGCTAGGAGCGCCCTACTTGACCCGACTGTCAACCGGAGGAGGACGCTTTTTTTTTTTTGGACAATTGGGGCGGGGCACACAACAGCCCAGTTGAAGGCGAGACAGCAGGCGGGATCTAGCAAAGAACCGCGTCGGTGCGAATCGTCATCCGATGGAGTAGCTCGCCGGACAATTCGGTTGATCCCACGGAGCTCGGGAGAGGTTGTGCGTCGACTGTGCGCTTGGTATTGGCGTGTTCGTGGGCTAAGAAGGGAGAAAGGGGGGGGGGTCCGAGAGCGCGTCGAAGATGGAGGTCGAAGAGACCACACAAGCAGCGTGACGACACAACAAAGGGCAGGATCAGGAGGGCACGGCACGAGCAGTCGAGAAACGGCCGACGTGTCGATGCAGCGGACCAGACGGCACGGGCAAAGAGGACAGCGTTGCCGGCGTCGCGAGGAGCCGACAAGGGAGGGAGCTATGCCGACGGGTCGAAGGACCTAATCCCCAAGAAGGGTAACTCGGGCTCGGGCGGCAATTGGGGTCGCTGGGGTCGCGGAGGACGGCGGATTGGCTTGCAAAGCAGTTGTTCCTGGGCAGAAGGGGTGATGCGATTGTCGCGCGCAGAGGGTGGGATTGTCGTGGTGGTGCTGGGGCGCTGCTTTGCTCTGTTTGGCCTGTCTGGTGCGACGGATGCGGTGCCTGTGGTGCCTGCGGTGCCGGGAGTTTGGGAAACGAACGACACTTCGAGCTGACGGCGTTCCAGTTCCAGGAGCCCAGCGGCGACAGGCAGGGCAAGGTGTTTTGCGGGGCTCCTCAGCCGGGGCCAAAGCGGGAGCTGCTTAGTTGGCGCCGCGACAGTCACAGTGTGAATCGTGTGCAAGCGACGTGGACAGCGGACACGATTCGTCGAGCAAAAACGGTGGGCGCGGCGGCTTCCAGTTTGCGCACAGCTCGTTTCCGTTTGGCTGCGATTTCAAGGCGGTGCTGGTGCAAGGCAACAAAACGATAAAAACTTCGAGGGCTAAAGGACAAACTTTCTTGAAGCTACGAGGCGAGAGCAACTCAGCTCATCAACATCCGAGGGATGTTTCGAGTTTGACACCTCGTGGAAGCTGCCCAGAGCTTGCGATATCCTTAATACACACTGAACAGTGGCTGGACCACTGATCACTGCTCCCAGTAGCACGCTGAGGACCGCCTCACGGGGCACTTGTAGGCTGGAACCTTGGAACGCCAAATTGGAGATGGGGAACCGAGACCGCGCCGCGGTGGGCGCCTAGTGCATTTTGCGCTTTTCGCACTGGGCGTTCGCTTATTGCGTCCATGCGATCAACACCTGACCTCCGTTCACATTACATTTGACTATGTGCGATTTGTACATCCTCGGGATAGAAGCAGAAATGGTAACAGAAAATCTCTGCGAATAGCTTGAAAGCATTTGTAGTGTATGTCTGCTTCCTATTCGACAGCCAAGGGGCCACGAGGGCGAGATCATGCAAGCGCCGTGAATACCTCCAGCTGGCGCTGCCAAGAGTAGAACTTCGTTCCAAGTTTTGTTGGCACAGTAAATTTGTTAATGATTGGCAGCGGTAGGCGCGGTAAACTTAACAGTTGCCAGGAAATGATCTGGTGGCAATGACATTCCGCACTGTGACCCTGGGTTACAAACAATATGTAAAAGTTACAGTAATTACATGCACCTTCCATTTCCAGGATCAGCAGCGCCAAGACCCAACGCGATCTTGCATCCGGATGTCGATGAAACCTCCAACGCGCGGCCGAGAAAGAGCTTCACTGCCGATTTCATCTCACCAAAAGAGACGTCTATCAACGAGTCAAACTGCACTTCACTGACTCGAGCAAGATTTCTTCGCATCTATGTGCTCTTTTTAGGTATGTTTATTCGTCAGTATATTGGTAGTCTCCAATTTCCAAATTGCTGTGGAAACCAAATTTCTGTTTTACTTCGTCATTCATCGGACCATTTCATCCAGTTTTCATGTTTCAACTGTTTCATAAGTCTCTCTATAGTAACCTTGTTTGCATGGAGAAACTTCTAAAGAAAACAATCCCAAAGACAACATCGCCATGACGATCCCGATTCAACAGCCGAATGGCGATGCTACCGTTGCAGGAGCGGCTGGGCCTTCGAAGGATGCAGGCAAAGCTCCCACATATGTGATTCCTCCCCGCAGGCTTGGTGCCCTGGAACATCCCATGATCATCAAGAACTTAGACAAGGGAATGAAAACATTTGGGCAGAATAACTCATTCCAATCAGTGCGTTTTGTCCCTCTAAGTAACAAAGTCGGCTAGGGCACCCTCCTGACCTCTATCCCAGATCCTCGACTCAGCCAGCCCACAAATCTCCGTTCCACTCTATCTGCGCTACGACAATCCCACAGTGAGGCCGTTGACATCTCACAACGCCTTAACACATAATATTGTCCTGAAGGTGACTGTTCCCAAACGTACGGGGAGGAAACGCAAGAGAGGAACCGATGGTCCCTGGATAGAAGACGAAGATGCTCGAGCATCTGTTAACGACCCGAATGCTCCCCCTGATCTCCTGTCAAGGGACCGACTGGATGCCCCTCGTGTTCTTCGACGAAAGCTCCAGGACAATGTTGGAAAATACACGGTAGAGCCCATTGGTGTTATCAACAACACCCACCGGTATAGAGGTCGGTTCCCGGCTGTTCCCCTTTCCAGCGGCTCTTGACAATTTGACTAACAAAGTCGGGGGGGGGAGGGGGTTCTAGGCTTCTCGGACTTCCAATACGCAATGGGAGAGTCGAAGTTCATGAAGAAGTTCGTCGAAAAGGTACTACCAGGGGATGTAAACAAATTGAAGGAGTTCGCCCTCGAGCCGGGCATCGATACAGGCCCCAACATCGACTTGATACCACCTCCTTACTTCACTCCAATGAGCTTGCCGTTCGGTTATAATTACTCCCAGAACCCGCATACAAAAGAGATCATTCGTGGAGGCCCTTCTGAGGAGCCCGACGGCTTATCAGAAGATGAGGAGTACCGCCGTGTTGTCAACACTACCTCGCGAGTCCCCGCCGCAGGCTACTTCATCGCGCACGACGAATACCCTGTCCCGTCGGCCCCACGCCGCCAGCCCGACATGTCCGACCCGCAGGTGGCAGCTATCATCAACGAGATGCGCTTGGCGATGGAGGAGCGGCCGATTTGGACACGCCGCAGTATGTGGAACCGCCTGGGGGCAAAGTTCGCCGAACTGCCCAAGAACGGCGGCTTGGTGCGTCACTGCCTGCAGTACGCCGGGTACCAGTTCAAGGGGGGTCCATGGCGCGATGCTCTAATCAAATACGGGGTAGACCCGCGTACTGACCCCAAGTACCGCATCTACCAGACCCTCATCTTCAAGCTTCACAAGACCCGTGTTGGCTCAGTCGGCCGGTCCTGGCAAGCTGTTAGACGCAAGGAGATCGGCGTGTCTAACTTCGGCAAAGCTTGGGAAGAGCTGGGCAACGCCGTCGCTGCGGCCACGGGAAACCGGGACGGCGATGATGATGACAACCCGGACATGTTGCGGACTCACATTTTCGACGGGCACTCGTTCAGCACAGACGGCAAGGTGTGGCAAGTCTGCGATATCACAGACCCGTTGCTGGCCAAGCTCTTCGCCGAGGCAGAAGTACGAACCGAGTGCGACGTCGAGATGAGCGGCTGGTACCACCGCGTGCTGTGGTCCGTCGCAAAGGCTATCATGAAGTGCAAGATGCTCGCCATCCGCTTCGGGCGCACACTGACGGATGACGACTTCAGCGCTGCCCTAGAGGTCATCCACCACAAACCCAACGATCAGGGCGAAGGGGGAACCGGTGAAGGAGGGGGCCGCAGCATTGGAATTAACTTGCCCGACCTGCAGCTCACGGCGCGCGAGTACGAGCAGCTTCGCGGCGGAAAGCTGCAGCCGCGGCCGGGAGCAAAGCGGTCCCTGGCCACGATTGCCGCTGCTGAGGGCGTGACGGATGGCGTGGTGGAGCGCCGGAAGAAGTCGCACTACCGCGTGCGCATCCCGCTGAAGGATTCTGAAGAGCGAGAAGCGGCCAAAATGATCCGGCTGCTGACCCAGGGGAGAAAGGTGGCCGAAACTCCGGCTAATGAAAGAGGAGAGAAGACAGCTCCCTCATCGTCTGAAGCAGCATTCAGGTTGGATGCAGAGAGGGTTGCCGCTCTTGGTGCTGCTCCTGCAACAACGACAGTTGGGCATTCGGGGGAAGAACCTGGCACCCAAGCTAGGCTCGCGAATGAGACTAAAGCAGCCCAACCTGATGAAGACGAAGAAGAGGAAGAATCTCAGCCTGCTGCTGGTTCGGCTGCGCTGCAACAACAACTTCTAGACGACCTTGACGAAGAAGGCAGTGGAGACGAGGACGAGGAAGACGAGGAAGAGCTTGAGGACATTGAAGAAGAAGAAGAAGAAGAAGAAGAAGAAGGGGAAGAAGAAGGGGAAGAAGATGAGGATGAGGATGAGCTTGAAGAAGAAGACGAAGAGGAAGACGATATGTCCAGCAATCGCAGGCAACGTCCTGGTCGTACAGTCATAGACGATGTTGACGAAGAAGAGGACGAGGAAGAAGATGATGATGAGGCTGAAGAGGAAGAGGACTACTCCGAAGACGATGAGGGTGAATTCCGGAGGCGCTTTGAGGATGATGAGGAAGAAGGCTATGATGAAGATAACTCCGAAGAAGGTTTCCCCAGACCATGGGAAGACGAGGATGGGTTCGATGAGGGGGAGTACTACGATGAGTGAAGATTTCTTGTGATCATATCGGCATTAGAGGCTTAAAATTACCTGATACTTTCAGCTTTTTGCAGAGGCAACCGGTCAATAATAGACATGGTTATGAACATACCCTTCGCGAGTGACTGTCGCTTTGGCAATGAGTGCACGCACAAATGAAACATTGACATTCCGCTGAGTGTATGGTCTAGGTACGGGTTCTACCTAGTTTCCTGACATATCGCGCCAACGCCGCTGAAAAAGCTTTTTTTATGAAAAACGAAAGCCATTTCAGCCCTCCCAATCTTGTTTTACCTCAAATACACAAGTTATCCTTAGGGCTCAGACTTGACTGGCATTATCATTTTTCTCATACCATTTTTTTTCCCTCCGAATGCAATCTGGCTGGACCATATCCATTTGAAGACATCCCAAAAGAAACTCTCCTACATTCTTCCCACTTCTCTCAATTGCCTCAAGCTCCACGACCTAACTCACTGCACCTGCAACACCTTAGTCTTACTCGCCTTCTGCGCCAGCATGTGTTGCACCCAAGCATCCACCTCAGCCAGCGCCTTCCGCGGCGTCTTCTTCCTCTTCAGCAGGAATCCTTGCACCTCGGCAGGCGAAAACTGGCCTGGGGGAATCTTGGCCGAAAATTCGTCGGCCATGCGTGCCAGCACGTCTGGGTGCAATAAAGCTGGGTGTTCATCTTCAACATCATCAAAGGCTCCAGAGATGGAGTTGGTGCGAGGCGTGGATGGAGGGGAATCTGACTCGGAAGGAGGGGGCGTGACGGTACCGTTGCTCTTGGCTGCTCTAGGAGCGGTGGGCGTGATTTCCGGCACGGAAGAAGAAGAAACTTCGTCCCCTGTCTTTGAGCCAGAGTCGTCGATGATGCGACTGGGTTTGTCAGGGTAGGACATAGGAGGGGTAGGTGGAGGCGAAGGGGGAGCCCCTAGGGTGTGAACAACACTCTGCTTGGTGGGAGAGGTTCTATTCGAAGGAATGTGGCTGAGCAAGGAGCTCATGTTGCTGTCAGGTGCATACATGCGGATGAACAGCTCACGCGCCTGCTTTTGGGTGGCGTTGGTGAAGGCGACTTGCAAGTCCACGCGCCCCGGACGAATGAGAGCCTCATCTAGCATCTCCGGCTTGTTTGTGGTCATGATGAGTACGCGGCCCTCGTGAGAAGCAACGCCGTCGATGGCGTTCAGGAGGCCAGAAAGGGAGATGCCCTTCTTTTCTCCAGAATCTCCATGACGCTTCAACTCTCGAGCCAGGTCTGAAACCTTCCAGTTCTTTTTGCTCTTGTTCTTTCCGGACTTCTTTAATTTCTTTTCTTTGCTCTCATCGTCCTTTTCGTCGGTATTCTCGTCGTCAGACGACGACGAAGATGAGGATTCGTCAGAGGCAGGTTGATCGTTTCGCTTGAGGCCAGCTGTATCGATATCCTCCAGCAAAACTACACAACGACGAGGCAGGCCGTTGAAGAGAGCCAACAAATCTTCTTCGGTCAGAGAAGGGTCGAGTAGAGAGATAACATATATGTCAAGGCCGAATACGCCGGCAAGAGCAAAGGAAAGGGAAGTCTTTCCGGTTCCAGGAGGGCCGTGGAAGAGATAACCCCGGCGAAGGGGAATCCCACGATTTGCATACCACCGAGGGGTTGACGGATGGAGGTATTCGTTCATATCCGTCAAGACCCTGATCTTCTGTTCGTCATCCAAGACTACTGTGTCCATAGGACGGACTGGGCGATTTGCGACCTGCTGCCAGTTGTGTCTGCTTCCATAGCGACGCATGATTTCGCTCGCAGGACGTCTGACCGTAGTTTTCGCTTGATGGTCTCTGTAAAACTCTGCCTTGACATGCCTAAGGAGCTCCTTGATTGGCTCAGGAGAGCGGCCAAAGCACGAGATGACAAGGATCTCTTTGTCCTTGAATGTTGGCATTCCGTGATAGGCTGCACCAGCATCGTATAGAGCCTCCTGTCTCCTGTGCAGAGTAAAATATCGGCCCTTGAACCAGAAGCCGTGGGTGCCTAAAGCTGGTGTGAAGCGGGGCTCTGCTTTGGCCTCTTGGTTTGAAAAATTGAGGTAAACGTTGGAGCCATCGGGAGACACACGAGTAGTAACAAGATCCATGTCTTCTTCCTCGTCCCAAGCGCCTTTCGAGGCTGTTTCCGCTGTCAGGGAACGCGAATTGACCATACTCGGCTGTGATGCCAGCCACTTCATGAAGTGGACGTAAATGTCATCGTTACTGCTGACCTGGACGGTGGCTTGGAAATATTGCTGACAGATGTAGGTGATGTTTGTGTATACAAAATCCCAGACCCTTTTGATGGCCCAGAAGCAGCCATATGCGACCAGAACGTAAGTTGGATCGAGTCCCAGATACTCGCCAAACATCGTGTTGAGCACCACGACCAGCCGAAGCAGCGGGTTGAACTGAACCCCCAAAATTGGCGTCAGGGTCTCGATGATGCCGCCAGGTAGGTCTTGTGAGCCATACTCAGCTGACTTTTTGCTACTCATGGTGGTATTGGCAAAGAATGATGGCAGAGCACCACGAATGAACTCGCCTAGCTCCATGATCGACTCCGTCGTGCAGTCAAGGGGAAAATAGAGGGAAATTGGATGGATAAAATGGACCAGATAGGTAAATGATAAGTTAGACGGTAGAAAGAAGCCTAGGAGAGGAGAATAAAGCGGCGATGTAAATAGGAAAATGGGGGGTTGTTGAAAATAAGCATCAGCCGGGCAAAGGTTGAAGAGAGGAAGCTGGAGGGTGGGTGGGAAGAGGAAAGGCTCTATAAGAGCCGCAAGGCCGACTGCTGATTGTGTTATGGTCGATAGAACTAGATTGTTGCCTAGGTAGGTAGTCTTCAGATCATGCTGCCTGGCCATCAACTGGAGTTCATTTTAGGGGCCACCGTGGTGCTGCGCTCCCCATGGCAAAAGAAGCGGCAGAGCTCCAAGCCAACAAGGACTAGGGATCGAGAATAGCACAGCTGTAAAGAAGTTTCCGGTGTTCCAGGATAAAAAGAGTGACACACGTGCCGGGAAACTCGTTGCTCAACATCCGGGTCATCGTGGAAACGTGCAGAAGTCGCGAACAATCCGACCTGTGGACGCCCTAAAGTGACTGGAATCACCTCATTCAAACAGCTTGTGCTCATCCAAATGCCGGTTACTTGAGTTTCTCCAACTGCACATGGCCTGTTACTATGTGTCGCTCTTTCCCGCGCGCCTGTGGGAGCAGAGTACGCATGCTCTGTGGATGCCTATGTTATTGGCTACGCTGCCTACACGATAGGAAAGTTAAAGGGAATGCGACACGGGCACTTTCCATCTGCAAGACCACGAGAGCTCGTGGCAGACAGTAGTGGGCAGAAGATCTGTTGCCTGCTGTTCTTTGGACAATGTGTTTTTTTTGCTGGTCTGGAGACTAGGCCAGCACAAACACCCATCTTGTTGTCAGCTGAAAGTAAGGCTGCTGGCAAGCATCAAGTTGGATGAGTGCCAAATGGCATGATATGTTAACAACCACATATCATACGGCTTTCAATCGATGGTCTGCATAGTCAGCAGGGAGAATCAAGATGCCGTGTTTGGCTCCTTTCTGGAGCTCTTTGCCATGTTCCTTGGAATTGACAAACTGTATACCCGTTGAATACGTGTTGGCAAGCTCAGAACCCAGTGCCGCGTGGCTTCAATGAGTCGCTGAGGGAAACACTGCAGGCTAACAGCCGTGTGGGCGTCTGAGGACGATCCATGGATTGCCAACTCTACCCACTCTCAAGCCTGCCCAATGAATTCAAGCTGGTGCATTCATCGCCTTCAATGTTGCATTTTGAAAGGCGTTCATTGCACCAACGATTCAGAGCTTGGCATGGGCCTGCTCCTTTCAGCTCCGGAAGATGGAGGACCGATCGAAGAAAAAGGGGAAAGAAGTTTTGACTACAGAAGCTTAACCATCCCGCTTTATAAGTCATATGGAACTTCAGTCAAGCCATCCGGCTGCATTGTTTTCTTGATCGACGATATCTGAGATACAAGCCAGATGCGACTTCAGATCAGTTGAACTGGACATGTTGAATAAATAAAGTGGTGTGCTGTGTGGCCTTAGATCTAGTCAGATTATGGCTGATAATGCTGAACATGACCCTTCTTACATCATCGATTTCGTCCGTATTTGTCGGGCACACCAATTGGGATGCGGCTTATGTACACCCAGATTCCAACGGTCTGGATGTGGCGGCCATGCGGTGGGATAAGTTCGTCCGGTAGAGTATTCCGAAACTGTCAAACCGCAGCAAACAGGCAGAAGCAGCGAATCGGCTTGGGAGGAAGATGGAACATCAGCGACATCGAAATGCTGTACTCTCCGATCACTGTGGGTCGTGCCTGTAATTCTGCACTTTTTCAGTTCCAAATTACCAGATAGCTATGAGTGGAGTGCCTCTTCAATGCTGCTTACGTCAACATCAAAGGCTGCGAAGTGTAAGCTGAAGGCTCCATCAACTATAAGCCATGTTCACACTCCATTAAATTAACCGGTTCCCCCAAAGAGTGTTCAAGAGCCTTGTCTGCTGCTACTGACACATACAGGTGATGTGATGCTGTCAGATCGGTGGCAGGGTGGCACGCTGCGAAAAATAGTGGGACTCAATTGAAATGTATGGTTTCCTTTCCGGTCAGAACCGCATGGCTCCAATGTTGATGCTGGATGATTGGGGAGCACCTATCCATGTGTATATCAAGGCTTATATAAGATAGATACTAGAAATAGAGCGCACGGCATATCTACGATGACAGGTGACCTGCCACACCTCTAAGGCTGCATTGCCGTTTGCTTCAACTCATATTGCAATACCCAGAAAGGCTGACAGGAGACACTGCCAGGTGCTAAGAAACACATGAGGAGCAAGTATGCTTTACATAACTAAATTTGGCGGATCGAACTAAGCGGCTATTAACCAAAGATAGCCAATAACTTCTCCGTCATGTGTGGATTAACGACTGGTAATGACCACAACCATGAGTTCTGAAACTCGATGGTTAATCATTTACACCTTGGCCCTTTCAACTTTTAGGAACACCATCATGGCGGCAACATAGCTATTGAACGACAAATCAAGTCATTAGTGAACAGCCTGAGCTCCGTGACGCGCAAAAAAGGACAGGAAAAGAGATGTGGGGACACCCGCGCTGCAGTTGTGCCTAGTGCTTCCAGGGGTCTCGAGGTCATAGCAAAGTTTGTTGGTAACGATCAGGTAAGAAAGAATCCAGTGATGACACATAGTTTCTTAGATGAGATTTCCAATATGTGGAGGATCCAAAAAGGCACAATTAGCATTACAAGACCAAGAGTGGTTGTGAGGATTGACAAAGTTATCCATCCTCTTGTCACTATAATACTTCATTATAGGATGCAAAACTTCCATTGGAACATTGACGCCCTTCCCATTTTCCAAATTCTGAGAGCTCAGACGGGCACTTGGGGTTCGCCTCTTTTCCTTCTGAAGAGGAAGGGTACGCAGGGATGGGTCCTTGTCTAGCATTCGACACAGCTATGCTTTCTCACGTGGTTCGAGAGCAATAAGACCATCCTTGCAATCTAGGTAAGTGCATTCCTCTTTCAAAATTGCTTCATTGTTATGGTGCCCATGCGAGCGTTCAAGATAAGTGATGTTCCAGGAAGCTGGAGCTGGCAAACTAGAAAGGGCGGCTTGTTCAAGAACGAACTCATCTGTGTTCAAGGAGCCAGATAAACTGCAAGGACCGCTATCTAAGTGGTACGAGATAGTCCTACTCACTGTAGTAGTGCAGTTTTACTGAAAGTTTGTTTAGTTTCGTTCTTCTCAAATTCATATCTTGTTGAAAGCTCCCGTTATTGATTTCCTCCCCTGGCTGGCGATTCAATGCTTCAAGCTTGGCCTACTCTTCTTCCAACCTGATATCTCATCTTTTTTTCGAAGCACCACTCGGACTTCTGGAGTTTCAAACCGACGGATTAGAAAGAAGTCGTCTTCGGAGGCGATCAAGTCACAATACACTTTATATCCAGCATATTACCATGGTTTCATGCTTCTCAAGTGGGTGGGAGTAGATGATTGTTCAAAATATGTCGCTACATGTGCTACCCCGCTGGGCACTGGTTTTACACGGCTGTAGCAGTGAAACAAGATCGTGGCCTTGGTGGGTGCATTGGAGGATCTATATTGGTTGATGTTATCGGATACGATGGTCGTAGTGAAGGCGATAATGGTGGAGGTCTCTCCGAGGTTATACTGCGGGGAATAGGCGTCTTCGTCAAACTCGACCGTCAATATATCGCTGCCACGCCCTGTCCTGAAGGGATTTCCGCAACTGGAAGAGGGCTGTATGGTGAATGTTGTGGAGGCAACGTGGTTAGATTTGGTTTCGGAGCTGGTTTGGATGTAAGTTCTGGGTTAGGATTTGGCTCAGCTGGTCCAGTCGTTTGTAATCTGTCTGTGGCATGTTGATCATCCGCAAACCAGTTTGGCTATTACCGACATGATTCAATAGAGCCTTGTCGAATGGACTATGCAACACTAAGGTATGTTGTCAATAGACTCAAGCATTGCACAAAGTTGAGCGAATCAAGCAGATAGCTGATCATTTAATTGCACTGTTTTGGAGGAGATAATGGCTGCAATACAACACCACCCCCCCCTCCCCCGAACATTTCTCAGTGACCCAAGCGTTGAACCTGGCGTATCGACTACATACATATGACCCTCAATGAACCTTTGCATCATCTTTAAAACAAGGCGCTTAGCGTCAGAGGCAGACCAGTCAGTATGTTCGCCTTCAATACACCACTACAAGTTCCTGAAGCCATTTATTCCTTGAAGGATCGGCTGATTTACTACCCTTTATTTACTGGATTCATACCATATGTGAAGAGAAAAATGGGAACTCCCAGAACCACTCCATTTTGGGATGACCACTCCTAAATCCATAATCACCCTTTCTCTTTCTCTGAGGGACTAATCAACGATCTTTCCAGTATCTGCCATCAAGAACGTCCTGGACAACTCTGCTTGCGATCCCTGCTCAACTTCTTGCTCAGATATCTCCACCTTCATTCCAGCCTCACCGATATTGCTTCCATCGCCCTCATCAATAAGAGTCTCAGCCTCGCCTTCACTCTCTGTCCTCTCACTCCTACTACCCAAATGATCAGGCGACTGCCCACGACTGACGCCGCGGCTTGAGGCGCCTTCCTTCTTGAGATTATTATCCATCCATAGATGAGCACCAGCCTCCTTAAGCAGTCGCACACATTCGGTGTTCCCAGTCTTCTCCGCGAGGTAGAGAGGCGTGTTGTTAGCATGGTTGCGAGCATGAACGCTCGCGCCACGCTCCAGCAGCTCGCGCAGGATCTCCGGGTTCGGACCGATAGCCGCCAGATGCAGTGCCGTGTTGCCAGCGTAGTCGGCGCGCTTGAGCAGCTGGTGAGAGAACTCGTCACCCTCAAGGATCTCGCGCACCGTGCGCAGCTCGCCGTTGCGGATGGCATACCCAAGAGCAGTGAAGGCCATTTCTAGGGAAGGACGGGTTAGCACTAAATCGTTGTATATAATAAGTAGTGGAGTATGAGAAGCTCTTTGGGACCTACCGGCTGAGGTTAATCTGCCGACGGCCGAGTCGATACTGCCTGCGGGGTGAGAGAAGGATGGCAGGGTCATTTCAGTCATTTCGCCGCGCAGGGAATGCGACATTTTGTTTGTGATTTCTTGGTATGTTAGACCTGGAAGTGCCAGGAGGTATGATAGCTTTGTGAGCGCCGCCTCGGTTGTCAAGTCATGGCCAAACACAACACCAGCCCTGCCGAGCGCCGTGCCAGGGGCATAGAGGGGTGATACAAAGCCATTTGTGCATTGGCTGACATTGACCACAACAATGCCCCTCTCGACTGCCTCTCGAATCACCTTAGTCAGGCTTCCATCCACCCCCCCAGGGGCGTTGCCCATGCCAAAAGTTTCGAGAATCAACCCGCGGAGGTTGGGTACCCTCAGCACTGAATCGACCATTTCGGGCTTGATCCCAGGAAAAATACGCAAGCATGCCACATGGGCAGTGTCCAAATATTTCGTGACCTGAAACTCGGCGATGCGCGTGGGCCTTCTCACAAGAGACCAGTTAACTTCAACGCCAAGGGCAGTGACCTTTGCAAGAGGTGCACAGTTCGGGCTGGCGAAGGCTTCGAATGACGAAGCCGAGACCTTGGTTGTGCGATTTCCGCGGAATAGAGTGTGGTGGAAAAACAAACAAACTTCAGGGATTCGGAAGGTACCCGCGATGATAAGGGAGCCGAGAAGGTTATCGACAGCATCCGACTGCAGGGCAAAAATGGACGCCTGGGAGCCTGTCAGAATAACAGGTTTCCCCAAGTCTGACATCATGAAGGACAACGCTGAGGCTGTATACGCTAGAGAATCCGTGCCATGCAGAACAACAAAGCCGTCGAATAAGTGGTAATTTTCTTTGATTGTCATGGCAATTTCAGTCCAGCCCATGGACGAGATGGAGCTCGAGTCGAGCAAAGGAGAGAACTCGAGAACGCCATAGCGGATGTGTCGCGAGTAGGCACTCGGCGGTGTCCGCAAGCTGTCCAAAACCAATTTGTTGCCGTTTTTGTAAGCATGGATTTTGACTGAGTTGTCAGCATGTTTCTCAAACCATGTATATGTAGCGTTAAGAGCTGGATTAATATGTAGTTGGAAGTTCAGGGGTGGAAAAGCATTCTTCGGGCCACGCTTCTAGAAGGAAAGATTGGGCCGGGCTTTCGAAGAACTTTCGAAGACTCGGACGTATTTCGTATAAGTCGTGGCGTCAACTTACCTCGTTCGGACTTGTCATTGAATGACGGACGAGGGGCCATAGCTTTCTCAAGGAAGCCATCCATGGGCACGAGACCATTCTCAGAAGGCCGCATGCAAATCGTGCCTCCAGTCATGATGATCAACACACGCGATTCTGGGTAGTGAGCCTCAGGGTTTATCCCCTCGGCAAAAGCTTGAGCCCCCATCTCGTCGAAAGTCAGTTGGGTAAGGTCTGATTGAAGAAGGTCGGCTATGGTGAAGGAGAGGAAGGCGAAAGTTGGGGAGAGTTCAATATAAGTTTTCAGGAAAAAAGTGCTCTAAAATAGGCCACCTCGTCAGCCCTCTTTCAGAGAAATCCAACACTTCGTCGCCGTTCCTGAAACGGCTTTGTGCTTCTCAGAATGGTGAAAGTCGACTACGGGGTGTGGGTCACTGGATCCGAATCCTTTGTTGCCCTCGACTCCGTCCGATCGGCTCCCAATGTCAGGCTACTGTGTAGCTGACCGAGCTCCAGACGGAAGGCTCACATCACGAAACTTAAATGCTGTGCATGCGATCCCCTACGATCCCATGCACACCAATACTTTTGCTTCAGAGCGCCGGCGACACGAAGCAGCGGAAAGAGGGATGGTAGGGCAAAAAGCAAGCAATTGGCGATGGGTTGCAGTCACGCGCTCACGGATCGCCTGGTGTTAGCTAACAGAAAGTCGATTGCGGAGGTGGCCAGGCATAAGAAGTCTAACAGGGCCAGGATCTGGAAGCCGTCGACAACCGGATGGAACATTCCAGCCAGCCAGCGCGATAAGCATCTGGGGACCGACTTCGGGCGTGATAGCCCTGAAGCCGAGATGGCACGGTCTCATGCATTGCAGCCGCTGAGCGAGGTGTTGAGGCTGGCGAGCCATGATAAGGCGCGGTCGGCAGTTCGAGCCATCGCGATAACGCACGGCTGCTGAGCAGCGACGAGCAGGGAACGCAGCCGGAACACCGCGGGAACGCAGCCGTCATCAATTGTCAGATTCCAGAAGCCCCGATAGCGGAGCCAAGCTCAGTGTGGGGAGCTGGCTGCGTTAGGCGGTGAGTTGCTGTTGTGGTGCTGTGCTGGTGTGCTGGTGCTGGGTGCTGAGTTCGCCATCATGGGCCACGGACGTAGTCCGAGAGTTTGCGCAGAGTCTTGTCAGGGCGAATGTGATGGGGCGGTGATCATGTCCTGGATTTCAAGATGCAGCATCCTGGAAACCTTGAGTCGAATTTTCAAACCCGAGACAATAGCTCTAGCGGCACTACCCTTAAGCACAGTGCGAATTGAAGTTATGTTTGCCTCGTACGTATGCAAGAGCGACCTGGGTATATGGTAACCAGAAGGGTTGCCAACAGTAGCTACCTAGGAAAGTATAGGCTTGGATTAGCTCCCTTGATCTTGTTAGAATGCAAACATCCGGGAGCCGCCTCTAATTGAAACATATTACAAGTGTAGTCTTATCTACGAACTTCTGCCTAGAATGCAGGTCATACTGTTGTAAAACAAGGAGAAAACACACAGTACCTAGCATAAAAGCTTCAGAGGATTGAGAAGAGCGAGCCCACAGACAATCCAAAAACAGAACAGGTCACATACCTGTTGCCTCCTCACTCTTTTGAGTGGTAAGTCATGGAAGCCTACATCCGATTCCATGGATCAACTTCTGCATAGTACTACCTACTATGTACCATCAGTTATCTTCTCAACTCTGCTTGGCCTGATCTCGAGGCAAACAAGCTTTCCCGTTCAACAGTATCAGTGAAGACAGAAGAGATATGAATTTGGCTCAGCCACAGAGCAACACAGTGTCCGCTTTGGGTCAAGCCACGGCCCAGCCGGTCGGCTCTGCAAGCAGGGCCTGCATTGACGCCCCACGGCTTGGCAGGGCCCAGTGTTCAAGAGACCCACCAACTGGACTTTTTGCGACTGCCAAGATTGCACAATTTGGGCAGTGACCATCAGTGCGGGGCCCACATCGCTGTGTAAGTCGCAGCCAGCGACCAAAAGAATTTTTCAACTCCTACCTTACTACCCTTCATTTCCCCCTCTTTTTGACCAAAATTTTCCCTTAGTTCTCGTCACACTCACCGGAACATCTCATATCTTGCAAAACCTCACATAACAGTCACAATGGCAGACCAAATCGAGGATACTCCCGTGTACTATGAGGAGCTCTACGATCTTGAGCGTGAGTTCGAGGATGTCGAGGTTGAGATCAGTGAGTCAAGCCCCAGAACGATTTGCGATGACAGTTTTTAATCATTTGTCTTGCGTGTGCGCAGTTCGCCAGCAGTACATCCTCTCCAAGCCTCTCTATGCTAAGCGCGCTGAGTTGGTGGCCAAGATCCCCAAGTTCTGGGCTCTTGTCCTCGAGCAGGCGCCCGTCGAGATCGACGAGTACATCCAGCCGACCGACGCCAATGTGCTCTACAGCCACCTTACCAACCTGACGGTGAGCCGTTTCTCTCTCGAGGAGGACGAGAAGAAGGGCGACCCGCGCAACTTCTTGGTCCGCTTTGAGTTTTCCGAGAACGAGTACTTTGAGGATCGCGTCATCGAGAAGAAGTTTTGGTGGCGCCATTCCAAGGATGGCTTTGAGGGTCTTGTCAGCGAGCCCGTTACCATCAAGTGGAAGGAGGGCAAGGACCTGACCGAGGGTCTGCTTGACCTGGCCAAGGCTGTCTACGATGAACAGCTGGCTGCTCCCAAGGAGGCTAAGAAGGGCAAGCAGACTGAGCTCACTGAGAAGCAGAAGACTCTCAAGAAGAAGATCAGCGAGACTGGAATGGGTGGAGTCAGCTTCTTTTGCTTCTTCGGGTACGTCGGTGAGATTGTTTCCGAGGAGGAGAGCAAGGAGGTCATCGCCAAGGAGAACGAGAGGCGCAAGAAGCGTCAGGCCGGTGAGAAGGTTAAGGACGAGGACGAGGATATGGAGGATGAGGAGGACCTCGATGATGATGAAGAGGATGACGAGCTGGATATCTTCCCTCCTGGCGATGTTGTTGCGGTGACCATTGCCGACGAGCTGTGGCCCAACGCCATCAAATATTTCAGTGAGTTCCTGTCTCGTGCTGGCGCCTGATCATCGGAGTCTAACCCATGGTAGCCCAAGCCCAGGACCAGGATCTGGATGATGTTGATTTCGAGGACTTTGAGGAGGATGACGAGGAGGAAGAGAACAGCGGTAATGCCCGGCCGCCAAAGAAGCACAAGCGCTGTGCCAGTGGCTGCAAGCACTAAATGGGTAGAGTCTGAAACATGACCTTGGTACAGGCGGATAGACAAAATTTACTGGGAATTTTCATAGAATGGTCCATGCAGTTGAGATCTAATGGCAAACGACGGATTTGTCGCGCAGAAACGCACAATTGGCCATCTTGTGCGTCTGAAAACCCCGAGTTCCATCCACTGACGACGTTTGGAGACTCAGTTGCGCGGGGTAGGTGGTGGGGCACTATGCTAGATCCACTACGCCAAGTCTTCAACGGTTGTGGGGTTCAGGTTTGCAAAACAACTGTTGAAATGAATGAAATCCCAGTATTGGCCCCGCATTCAAAAGCCATCTTCTACATTCAGTGTCAACCTGCTCAAGTAACCAACTGGAGGTGAGATTTAAGTTGGGAATTTTGGCTTTGTTCCTCACGAGTCACACTGCCAAAGCTTGCTTGTGAAAATGAAATATTGTGTATTTGGCTCATGGTACTGTCCTTCACTTCATGGCTGAGCCCTTAACTCCCTCCCTTGACCTACAAGTCACTTGGTGCATCTTATCACAGTGGGCAGGCAGGTGTTTAGGCAGTTCGCCGAACGCTCTTTGACAACAACATCACCACTGCTTTATTTATTTTCGGGTATCCGCTATGCTATGGTGACTAAGCTCTTGGGCACAAAAAGATGAGCAACTTAACCATTTTCCTTTTTAGACGACCTCTCCACCTGCCAGAGATTTCGGGTACCGATCCCGTGGCATCAGGTCATGCCTGACATGACACATATCCAGACGTTCCCTAAACATTTATACCAATACCCTAGTAAAGTCCTTGGTTTCTCAGACACAGTCTTAGCCCTACTTTTGCCAGGGCCTGTGTGAACATGTTACGGAGGGAGGTGTTTCCATAACATTTCGAAAGATAGCTGTCTAGTAGATGTATGAAGTGCCATCAAGAACAGATAAAATTCGCAGTTGAAGCACACAGAGACTTTTAACTTTATACACAGAGGATCATGAGTGAATTCCCAACTTAACAAACAGGACAAAGCAAGCAGATGCTCCACAAATCCGCAGGTTCACTTGGCTTGGAAAACAGAAGTGGTATCTCAAACCCTTGATTAGATACCAAGTCCTATTGATTGCATGTCGCTTCTCCCTTTGTGCAGCATCATCTGTCAGTTCTCACAAGTACAGCTTGAGGGCCAGATTATTGGCCAGTTCACTTAAGACTCCTTGAACTCCAATGGTGCAGTTAATTCCCCCTCAACATGCCCACAACAGCAGACTTTTAACAATAACGCGGTGACTTGAAGCAGTAAGAACACTCAGACTGAGTGGTTGAACCCTGGTATCGCAGTGCTTGCAGGAGACGACTTGGGAGACTTCAGGCTTGCTGTCACCACTGGCTTTGGCCTTGTTGTCTGCCCCAGTGGACTTTGTCTTAGAAGATTCTATTGTACTGAGCTGACGGGAGGATAATTCGGCACTTCTGAGTGTCTATTATATCGAATGCTCTGGATCGCCGAGACATAAGTGATAATCTGATAGTAGAGTTGAGTTGTTTAGCCGCGCAATTCCAATGCGTAAACAAAAAGGCTTGTGTAAATAACTATTCAAGAACATAATTATAATATATTTGTTGTATATCGATAAGATGCCTATTGGCATCTAAGTACAACTTAACTCTTATAATTCATCACAGCCTTGAATGTGACAATTCAGACAGACCTCCTGAGATGGGCTCGAGAGGTGCCAGGCCGCTGGACCTGAGAGACAGGAGTTCTCACACAGTCAGAATGATCCCTGTGATCACCAGTTGAACAGACAATTGCTTGTATTACTGACTGGAGAGCTCTTTGGCCAGATGGCCCTGCCTGGAGTCTATACACATCTCATACACCCTTATGATTTCTCTTGTTCCTTCTTGCCCAATGGCACAAACTCTTGGGGGGCAACATCCTTGGGTGTTGATGATCAATGCCTCTTGGCATTGAGGAACGACTCCTCAATACGTGAGATCGCTGGGGGCGGATATCTGGGTTTGATGGGTCACAACTCCCTTTTCCTCCAATCAGTTGGGGTTCTTGATATCAGACATCAGCTTTAAAGTGCTCAGCACACGCCACTGTCCGATGACTTTTTCCTAAGCATGTTCGAATTATAGTGAGTAAAATCCTCTGCGTTTCGGTGGAAGAATGGAGCACAACAGGTCAACATATGCATGTGTTCTGGTTTCTATCTGTTTCAGGAGTTATCAGGGCAAAGGGGATATATAAGCTGGATGGCTTCATGAAAGCAATCATAATAGAGTTCACTACTGTTAAAATGATACCCCCAGGCATTAGAAGGCTATGCAAGTCCACAATCCTCACACCTCACATGCAAATGTGGACCTGATACTGGGCTGAGGGCAACAAAATGGTTTTCAATGTGGGTTTGATGGAAGACATTTGGCACTCTCAATGGCAGACGTCTATCAAGCCTTGTCTTGGCGAGAGACAGGTAACATTGAGCATGCCAAGCTGTTCTCAAGCACCAATACTATGATCGTTTTTGACAGATAACTTGAGTACAAATAGGATAAAGCGTAGATATACGGGTCACCTGGAATTCTAATTATATATTTTGCTTACTCTTCTTCCTATAGACACGGAGTAGACAATTATGGCCCAGCATAAGCAAAGAGCGGCTAACAGTTCAGCGTGGCACTAAATAGTGCAGGCAATTGCTGACCGACTCGCTCCTTCCAGCTTTCAAGGCTTTGTTTTCGATCTTCCTAAGCAAACTATTCGCAGAATTTGCATGCTTTGTAAATGCACAATTTGTGCAATATGCCATGGTCTAAACTTGGCCTGGGATGATCAGCCAGACTTTTGCATTTGGCGGCGGCATGATCAGATCTCCCGGCCAAGAAACGCGCTGTAGCAGAGCGTAACGCCCAGCAGGTGCGAGGTAGCGTTGACAGGGGCAGGGGCTCCAAACAGGGCGACTCCTCGAACCTTTTGTGTTTCAGCCTCGTCCCTCTGCACCCTCTCGATAGTTCTCCGCTGTACCCCTCTGGGCCCCTCCTGGCGGCTCCATCGCTATCCGACTTGTAAAGAAATTGCAGGTTTCTCTTGGCTGGGCTTTGTTATGGAGATGTTTCTTTGGTGAGGCCGGGCTATCCAGCCGACCGTCTTACTTTCACTCCTTCTCCTGTCTAGTCCTCGTGTCCACCGGTCAGCCAATTGGTCGGGTATGGCACCCATATGACGGTCGTTTTCTAAACTGATCTTCTTTTGTTTCTTTTCACGACTTCAGCTGCTATTGTCTTGACGTATGGCGGCCTATTGACCGACCGCGCAGCTTGCAGCCAACATTCGTTTCTTCCGTCGCTTCATTGTTTTTTTTGTCTTGTTCTTCATCCCATTGTCTTCATTTCTCCACACCGGCCCTGGACTGGCCTTTGAACACGCAGGCTGGTCCTCCTGTCGCTACCGATTCTCAACAATTCAACTTGATGCGTCTCTCAGCTGGCAGCTCGAAATGAAAGTATAGGATGGGCACTTTTGGTTCAACCTCTTTCGTTTACATCCTTTTATCTCGTCTTGGTGCCCGTCGTTGCGTGACTTGGCAACTGTATGCCCATCATGAGGCTGTTCGAAGGACTATTGTTCCTTGCCTTGCTGGTGATAAGTCCGGTCCATGCCATCGACTTGGTCCTCGGAGATGAAGGTTTGTCAGCCAATACTGGAAACCTTAGGTTGGACATGGTGGCCTACTAACATACCGTCTTTAGCATCCGTTAAGGCGGCTGCAAAAACAATAGCCTTTGGCATGACTGAGTACTATACTGGCGACAATCCGGGAGACGTACCCGGGAACCTCCCCGACCCATACTTCTGGTGGGAGGCAGGGGCGATGTTTGGGATGCTTGTTGAGTATTGGGCCCTGACGAAGGACGACACCTACAATGTCATGACGATGCAGGCCCTTCTTCACCAGGCGACAGAGAACGGCGACTTTATGCCACCTAACCAGACCCGAACGCTCGGAAATGATGACCAAGGGTTTTGGGGGATGGCCGCCATGTCAGCCGCCGAGTACAACTTTCCAAACCCGCCGCAGGACAAGCCGCAGTGGCTCGCCCTCGCTCAGTCCCTCTTCAACCAGTGGGCGACTCGTTGGGAGGAATCAACATGTCAAGGTGGCCTGCGCTGGCAGATATTCAGTTTCAACGCAGGCTACAACTACAAGAACAGCATCTCAAATGGCTGCTTCTTCAATATTGCCGCCCGGCTGGCCCGGTACACTGGCAATCAGACCTATGCCGAGTGGGCAGCCAGAATCTGGGCATGGGAAGAAGCCATCGGTCTAATTACATCCGACTACCAGGTGCACGACGGCGTCCACATTAACACCAACGACAACACCTGCAGCCAAACCGACACTAACCAATGGACCTATAACGCCGGCATCTTCCTGCATGGCGCAGCTGTCATGTACAACCTCACCTCCAACCCCATCTGGCGTGAGCGCGTCGAAGGCCTGCTCCGGACTACCGTCTCAACCTTCTTCACCCTCCCCGAAAATAACACCAACAGCCGCACGCCCGTTATGCACGAACAGCTCTGCGAGCCTTTGTCCCTCTGCAACATCGACCAGCGCAGCTTCAAGGGCTACCTTACCCGCTGGCTCGCCAACACCGCGCAGCTTGCGCCCTTCACTTTCCAGACGATACAACCCCTCCTCCTCGCCGATGCAGCCGCCGCGGCACAGGCCTGTACAGGTAGTGTGCGAACCCTGGTCCCCAACATACCCGGAGCCCGACCAGAGCCACCGTTCCGCGGCGAGCCGGGCACCGCATGCGGGTTCCGTTGGACTGTGAACGGGTTCGACGGGCAGACTGGGGTTGGCGAGCAGATGAATGCGCTGGCGGCAGTGATGTACTCGATGGTCGTTGATCCCAATCTCAGCCAGTTCGCTCCGGTGCCTCTGACGGCTGTGTCGGGGGGCACGTCAAAGGGGGATCCGAGCGCGGGGACGAGTCCGCGGGGCGCGGAGGAGGAGAGGAAGAGGCTGTTGGATGGGGAGATTACGATTAAGGACCAGGTGGCGGCTGGGTTTTTGACATCGGCGATTGTGCTTGGGGTTGTGATGGGGTGCATTTTTGTGATTATTTAAGCCCGGTTTTTTGAGGGTGGTCGATTTTGGATATGGGTTTGAAGGCGTTCAGGGTCGTTGCGCATATGACTGGCGTTCAATGGGTCAGGACTTTATTGGAAACAAATGACGGCTCTGGGAGCCTGCATATCATGAGATATGATAACAGTTAAATGTAGAGCAGCTAGCGATATGTGCTAGTAATTATGATAGAAAAAAAAGAACTTGAAGATGATGTAGGCCTCTCGGGGTGTTGTGATGTACCCACTCCAGATCTGAATCAACGCTTTCGCAGCTCCAACGACGGCAACAGGGTTTGAGTCACACAAGTTCAAGACCCAAATGCTTAGGTTTGTTTCCATCACTCAGCAGACGAGTGGCCAGAAAGACAGGATGAAAAAAAAATACAAAGATGGTTTAGAGAGTGTGATGATGCCCCGCACACCCGTCACCTCCCCTCCCCCACTCGGCAACGCCAATGCCGTTCCTTCGATCGGGCAAGCTCTCCCGAGGACTGGAGACCTTCCTCACGGCTCCTGCATCCTGAGATCCATTGCTTGGTGAGCTGCAGGGTATCATTAGCGAACCGGTCTCTCGAGGCGATAGGTTCAAATTCTTCATTTGAACGTCAACTCCATATCAACTGTGGATTCAAAAAGGTACTTTGTACAACACAAACCGACTGACCACATCGGCCCCGCTCTCTTTTACACGTCGACTGACCGATTTAGCGAACTCACTTCATCTCGAGTTATAATTGCTCCAGTCAACTTACATCCGATCAACTTCTTACCTGAACTAAATCTATTACGCCTTAGCCGAACTTACCTCACCAACTCATCACCATGTCAACCAAACACTTCCTCCCAGATCCCACACACCTAGTGCACACCTCCCTCGCCGCCCTCCCGCTGCTGAACCCCTCCTTAGCCCTCGACTCATCTAACAAAATCATCTACCTCCGCCCAAACACCCTCCCCGCCACGCAAAAAGTCTCACTCATCTCAGGCGGCGGCTCCGGCCATGAACCCTCCTTCTCAGGCATGGTCGGCCGCGGCCTCTTGTCCGCCGCTGTGGCGGGCACCATCTTCGCGAGCCCCAGCGCTGAGCAGGTGCGCACGGCGATTATGTCCCGTGTGGACCGGTTTGCGGATAAAGAGGATGGCGGGGTGTTGGTGACGGTAATGAATTATACGGGGGATGTGTTGAACTTTGGTATGGCGGTTGAGAAAGCGCGGGCAGCGGGAGTGAGGGTTGAGATGGTTGTTGTGGGGGATGATGTGGGTGTTGGGAGGAAGAATGGAGGGAAGGTTGGGAGGAGAGGAATTGCTGGGACGGTGTTGGTGCACAAGATTAGCGGAGCGTTGGCCGCGAAGGGGGCCGGGTTGAGTGAAGTTGCTAGAGTTGCTAAGCTCACAGCGGAGAATCTGGTCAGTGTTGGGGCGAGCTTGGAGCATGTGCATGTTCCTGGGAGGAAGGGAATGGATGAGTCGGAAAGGTTGAAGGATGGGGAGGTCGAAATTGGCATGGGCATTCACAACGAGCAGGGTTCCAGCCGGGAGGTAGTCACCTTGCCGGAGCTAGTAGGCAAGATGCTGCGGCAGATGCTTAATCAGACTGATGAGGATCGGGCTTTCCTGAAGATCGACTCCAGCGATGAGGTGGTACTGATGGTAAACAACCTTGGAGGAGTCAGTGTCCTGGAGATGGGAGGAATTGTGACCGAGGTGGTCGGGCAGCTGGAGAAGAGCTACGGCATCCGGCCAGTACGTATCCTGAACGGCACATACATGACCAGCCTGAACGGGCTCGGCTTCAGCATTACGCTGCTGAAGGTCGTCGATACGGGTATTGAGGGCTCCAGTATTCTGGAACTGCTGGATGCGCCCTGCGAGGCTACTGGCTGGTCGGCGCCTGTGTTGGCGCAGACGTGGGCTGAGCAGAACACGGCCACGAGGGAAGGAGACGAGAGCGCCAGCAAGGTGTTGACGTCGAGTGGGCTGAAGACGGTTCCCGCATTGATGCAACAAATGCTGACGCGAGCACTCGAAAGTGTGATAGCAATTGAGCCTGAGGTGACCAAGTTTGACACAGTCGTTGGCGACGGTGACTGCGGCATTGGTTTGAAGAGAGGAGCCGAGGGTATGTTCATCCCTTACACCTCCCGGTACTGATCGAGCTAAAAATGCTGACAGACACAGCCATCCTCAGACACATCCAAGAGCACCCCCTGACTGGTGATGTGGTGGTCGATTTGGCCAGCATTGTACCAGTAGTCGAGCACAACATGGACGGCACATCCGGGGCTCTCTATGCCATCTTCCTCAACTCCCTGGTTACTGCCCTCCGAGCGCAAGGACCCGGCCAGGCGACGGCAAAGGTGTGGGCAGCTGCTCTCCAGGCCAGCTGCGACTCCATGCTGCGGTACACACCTGCTCGCCCGGGTGATCGCACTCTAGTTGATGCGCTCTATCCATTCGTCGAGACGTTGGCACACACTGGCGATGTTAAGGCAGCAGCGACAGCGGCGCAAGAGGGAGCCGCGCGCACGCGCGGAATGCGGGCTAGCCTAGGCCGTAGCGTCTATGTCGGCGGATCTGGTTTCGAGCAGGTTCCCGACCCAGGCGCATGGGGCCTGGCCAGATTCTTTCTGGGGTTGGCAGGGCTGGAGCGGGGTGCATAAGCTCATTCCTTGGTGCTAAGAATGTAGGATTGGAGGATGTTGGATGTTGGTGATGATATTGAGGACGACGCAGCTCATGACAGTACTCATGAGGGATTAGGCGTTGAAACGCTGCATGGCATACCCATATCTTTCTGTTATACGGTTTTTTGTTATTACCCAACTGACAACAAATAGTGAGTAGCTGTAAACTATTGACTTCAATAGTGCCATCAGGGACAACGGATATACAAATCCGTGAGAAAAAGAAGTGGTGCCGCGGAGGAAGGGAAGATGTTAGAGACGTTGCACACGGGACGCTTGGGTGTGACGGCCTTTGGCAGCCCTTAACAGCTGTTCCCAGCTGGATAGAGATGCTCCCCTCTAACTAACGGCTAAGGACTGGGGCCCCTTGGCCCGGACCGAGCTGGGGCTATTTTCCATCTGATTGGCTGCAGCCGGCCGTTGGACCTGCCTTGCAGCAACAGCTGGGCCGACGCTGTCCGCTGGAGCAACCCCTCAGCAACCCCTCGGTCCAAACATCCAATCACAAGCCGCGACACACTTCTGAGGGACGCAAACTCCAGGGTTCGGGTCACTAAAACCAAAAGCTGCAGTGGGGCTCGCGGGATCAGAGAATGGAGGATGGAAGTCGATCTTGATATCCAGCGTCCGAGATTCAAAAGGACGATTATCGACGGCAGACGGCAACGGCGCCGCAGCGAGAGAGACAAGGCGGGACCCGGCGCATAGTCGATCGCCAAGCTAAGACCTAGTTCGGTCCAAGTGAGAGGGGGAGACACTGAACTAAGCCGTCGACCTCGGATCTTTCCCGTTCTCCTGCCGCTAGACCAGCAACCACCTTTATTCCCGTCCCACTCGCCCTCCTCCTCCTAGGCCGCCTTCCTCTCCCTCTTGTCCCAATGTTCGGCCGCACCCTGACCCTGCGAGCGGTGCCCGCAGTAGCATCCTCGCTCTCAGCCCAAGCCTCTGCCTGCCGTGCTTGCCATAGATCAGCCACGTTCTTCGCTTCGCCTAGGATGCCCCTCCGCGCGAAGCTGCTTGCCGGCCAGCAGCAGCGATTGGTATGCTCTCTCTCCTCTTCTTTGTCAGAAGTGTTGTTGACAAGGCGATATGCAGTTGTCCATCTCTACCCAGGAGGCCTATGAGCTGTTCAAGCCTCAGCCTGGAGACGAGCCCGAGGATGTTGTCTTCAACAGCCTGTACGGCCTGCGCTCCATCACCCTGAATCGCCCCAAGAAGCTCAATGCCCTCAATGGCTCCATGATTCGCAAGATCGCCCCGCGCCTGATCGAGTGGGGCAAGTCCGACATGGCCAATGTCATCGTCATGAAAGGCGCCGGTGACAAGGCCTTCTGCGCTGGCGGCGACGTTGCCCAGCTGGCCCAGTGGAACAAGGAGGGCCCTGAGGGTCAGAAGAAGAGCAGGGACTACTTCGCCCAGGAATACCGTCTGGACCATCTGATTGCGACCTACAACAAGCCCTACATCGCTTTCATGGACGGCATCACCATGGGTGGCGGCGTCGGCCTCAGCATCCACGCCCCCTTCCGGATTGCGACTGAGCGCACCGTGTTTGCCATGCCTGAGACCAACATCGGCTTCTTCCCAGACGTTGGCGCTTCCTTCTTCCTGCCCCGTATGCCCGGCGCTGTGGGCACCTACCTTGCCCTGACCAGCGCCCGCCTCAAGGGTGCCAACGTCTTCTACGCTGGCATCGCCACTCACTACCTGCACTCGACCTCTCTGCCGCGCCTGGAGTCTCGTCTGGCCGAACTGCGCTTCCAGGACACCGACGATCTCGAGACTCGTCTGCGCGTTATCAACGCCACGATCGAGGAGTTCGTCACCGGCCTGCCGCACGACGAGCCCATCCAGATTGCCGGCGAGCTGCGCGAGGCTATCGACCGCTGTTTCAGTCACGACTCTGTCGATGCCATCATTCGCGCTCTTGAGGCCGAGGAGGGCTCGACCAAGGCCTGGGCCCAGGAAACCCTCGAGACGCTGAACAAGCGCTCTCCCATTGCCGTTCACGTCACCTTGCGCCAGATGCGCATCGGCCGTGCCTGGAACATCCATGACACCTTCTTGCGTGAGCATGCCATGGCCTCCAAGTTCATGGCCTCCCACGACTTCACCGAGGGCGTGACTGCCCTGCTGATCGAGAAGCGCCCAGTCAAGTGGCAGCCTGCTACTTTGGCTGAGCTCTCGCCCGAGGAGGCCAAGCGCCTGACCGACGAGTACTTCACCGTCGAGAGTAACGCTCCCAAGCTGACGCTACTGAACGATGTTGCCTACGAGGAGTACCCCTACAACGTGTTTACCGTGCCGACCGAGGAGCAAGTCGAGGCCAAGGTTCGCGCGGGCAAGTACACGCCCAAGCAGATTCTCAACATGTTCCTGTTTGAGCGCCGGCACAAGCAGGGTGTTCGCGAGGTTGTTTCGGAGATTCTGGCGCGGAAGACGAGCGTTGATGCTGCTGGTATTGCGGTATGGAAGTATTGAGTGTATTATACCTAGAAACTTAGATGTAGAATATAGGGTTGGCTTAGTGTAATTGGTGTATACTCAGGAGAAGATGAGTTTTCGATATGTTAGCTTATATACTCTATCATGCTCTACAGCCATCTATCCCATGTTTATACCGCCAACGCCTTTACACATTCCCACAACACCACCGGCACAACCACATTATCATTACCCCCCGTCAACACCGCCTCAGTCAACGAAGCCACTGTCGCACAAGCTGTAGCCTTCCCCAGCACACCTGTGCCCTCTGGGCCTGGGCCGAGCCATCCCCAGAGCCTCTTGACATCCAACACACTTCTTAGGCTCTCCATTCCACTACCTCCTCCACTACCCAGGTCTGCAATCCCCGGCACAGCAGTAGGCCACCCCCCAACCCGCAACCACGCTGCCCCAGCCAACAACCCGATCAACACCGCTACCGCAAACGCTACACTCCCCTCAACACTCTTCCCCCCTCCCCACAACCACTTCGTCTTCCCCCATCTCCTCCCCACAAGCGATGCCGCTGCGTCACCCAACCCGACACACACCACTCCGGCAACAAGAGCAACCTCACGAGAGGATAGCTCCCATCCCTTCCACGGATCCTCCTCATTGTTCGACGCTGAACGGGGCAGCGAAGCCAGGGAAAGCCACACCGGCACGGCGCAGCCAACTAATAGAAAGATGTGCGACACGACCACGGGTCCTCTCAAGTCTCGGCCGTCGACGAACGGCTCAACAAAGTGAGCGATAGGTTTTGAAAGGGGAGGAAGTTGGCTTGCGCGAAGTAGATCAAGCAAGAGGAATATACCCAAGACAACAGCCATCGCGAGGGCGACAAACGTAGGGTCGATGTACAGAGTGGGAAGGAACATGAAAACGGTGAGGAAGTGGAAGACCTTGCGGCGGGTGTCGACGTCGGAACCGCAGACGGATTTACGGGCTAGGTGGAGAAGAAGGAGGGAGAGCGCAAAAGTGATGAGGATAAGGTAGTACGCGGAGATGGCGAGCCTGGTGTGTGCCGGTCCGAGGAAAGTCATGCGCAAGCGGTTAACCCAGCCTGTTCCTTCACAGAGCAACCCTTTCTCGATGTCGTCTCGCAGAGGGGGGAGGGAAATCCACCGTTCCCAGTTGCCCTTGACAGCCCAGAACCGGAACTGTGGCCAATCTCCGAGGAAATAGCCCACTGCCCAGCCGAGGGGTTCCCGACCTCCCAGGGCGTACGTCTGGATGTGTGGACGTACGACGAGGAAGGCGATCACGAGTGTGCAGGCGTAGACGTAGCCGGCATAAAGCCAGCGTCGGGTAACTGACTGCTCGTAGGTGAGCGAGAAGAACGCGCGCAGGCTGGCTGAGGGAGCACGTTTGCGTCGGCCGGAGGGAGTCGTGGCGTGGTTGGAAGGGGGCCGGTCGGGGACAGGACAGGTGTGTGCAGGATGGGAAAGGAGAATTTCGTCTTCGTCTGTCGAGTAGTCCGATTCGAGATTTAAGCGGGAGGTCTTTGAAGATGTGCGCGGCCGGAGGAGGGACAAAAGTTCCCTGAAGAGTTCGGCTAAGGCTGGTTCATCGGACGGGGCTTTTCTGAACCGCCATTTGGGAATGCGGGCCAGAGTAATGCCCCAGCGAATGACATGGCTGCATGAGACGAGCAGACCGAGACCGCCGCCCCAGAGAATGGCCCTCAGGATGACTGCCTGAGGGGAGCGGGCAAACAATAGTAGATGGATCAGTCCAATTGATAGAAGATGAACCTCTGAGACGAGCAAGCTGGTCGTAGTCAAATATAGCAAGATCAGGCATAGCGTCTGATGTAAGGGATAGAGCAGAGCCAGAATCTCGGGCGCGATCTCCTGCTCTCCATCATGCGGCGACCCAAAGCCCAGCTTATGTAGGGAAAAAGGTAGACAAGACAGCAGCCACTGCATGTTACTGAATGTTTCCCAAGGACGCGCTGTCGGGATCAGCGGCCTCGGAAGGGCGCTGATGCTGAGCACCAGGCTGGGCAGAACGACGCCCTGGAGGTTATGCGCCACCAGGAGGGAGATGAGGACAGGGATAATTTGCGGGTAGAGCATCGGCGCAAGGTCAAATGAGGCTGGAATGCGGATTGGGATTGTTCTCGACAGCTTGCCCTGCCGGTAGGCCCAACAGACAAGTCTCAGAGGGTAGAGTGCGATCAGGACGCACCAGAGGTTGCCAACTGAGAGCAGTTCTGGCATCGAACTAGTCAGCTGTGTCCATATTGCCATATTTCTAAGAACCAAACGGCACATACCTCTCCAATAAGTTCTGATAACTCCCTCAGCATCAGGGTTCGCAGCAACCATTGCGGCCTGAAACCCCAATAACCCCACCTCAACTGCTCTCCTTACTAACTCCCTTCGCCGTCTTCCTCTATCACCAACCCTCTTCCTTTCCCTATCCATCCCCCCGTTTTGCTTTTTCCTTACCCTCCCTTCCTCCTCCAACACATCAGGCGACAACACCGAAGTGGATGATTCCGATACCACCTCGGCCTTACCACCGAGGGCTAATACGCTCTTGCCATGGTGACGGGAACGCGGCACCGGTAAGCCTTTCGGCACATGCTCGTCGTCTGCTTCGGTGCCACTTTCGCTTGGCATAAAAGATTCGCGCGCGAACTGGGGCATGGTAATGTTGGAGAATGAGCCGCGGTGGTAAGGTTGTGAGGAGCGCGAGGGGATGCGTTCAGGAGGGGCGTCAGTCGCTGGTAGAGCAGGAGAGGAATCGGTACTGGAGGAGCTCGTAACGGATGAAGTCCGGTCGTCTGTCATGGCTGATTGTTGTTTGGGAGTTCATCAAGATCGCTGTCGTCGTTGAAATAATAATTAGTTGGTTGGGCAGTATTTACTTCGATCGCGAGATGTGGCCACGCAACGGAAACCGTGGATGGGAATTCAAGGATGTTTAAGTTCAGAGAATTGTCAGGTTCGAGGAGAATGGATTAGAAGAGAAACTTCCTTCCCTTCATGCTTTCCCACCAATCCTATCCGACGTTGCAGATGGTGGTGCCATGGTGAGCTCGAATCCGGCGCTGCTGTTGCGTGTCCACCATCGCCAATGTTGCATCACATGAAAGAGGCCAGCTGTGACTGACGGCGCTCAGCATTCTGCCCTGAATGAACGGATCCAGCCCAAGCTGTGCTGTGTGGGGAACTGACAGTCTTAGCTGTGACCGTGTTACCCAGGGGCCCACGGCCCCAAGCATGCGGTTCCGTGAATCAGCCCGTGCGGCACCATCGCACTCCAGGAACCCGTGTGGCTGGATGTGGCTTGCTGCTGTCCGCCTCACGCCACCACGAGCTGTAACAGCAGACCAGTCGCTTCGCCTCTTCGTCAGGACGGGGAACCTTCGCGAGGGGTTCGCCAAGACCGTTGTCTACCTACTGGTCATGGATGGTGTAAAGACATCAGTCAACTCCCTCTGACCGAGTTGGTCCTCGACAACTTCGGGTTCTTTGGACTCTGACGAGTTCAAAACCAGTTGGCTCTCGTCGTCTCGGAAACCCGCATCTCATAATCATGTCTAAGCTCCTGAGCAAGTGAGCAAAAGATGGGTTTCGCTCAATGATGCCTGCGAAGCCAAAGTAGTGTTCAATTTGTTTATTTAATGGGTAAGGTCGCATGTCGCGATCAGTGGCTCGTGGCTCCCAAGCTGCGAAGTCTTCTTGACTCAACGAATCGTTGTACGAAGGGCCGTAAGGCTGAGCTTAAAATGAGCTTATTCCTTCGCTGACCCTACAGTTGGTGCCGCGATGGCCTGACATTGCCCTGTTCGGAAGACGGGTTACCCTCTGTTGGTATTCGGGCCATAAAGCTAGCCGGCCTTATGCACTTACCAGCCGATACTTCTTAACCTTAACGTGGGTCGAAAGATAGTGCGTCCTAGAAAGGAATGCTATCATCTTATTACAGCGCGCGTGCCAGTCTGCTGAGCACAACTTCAGCTCCTTCCCGTAAGAATAGCGTGATGCGTTGAAATAAGATAGATCAGGGGAAGTCTTACCAGAAGGATGGACATATGCAATATAAGCTCAACAATGAACTTGCAGCAGACCGTCCATCTCCTCTTCGAAATCATCCCTTACGGGCAACGTCTTCAACCGACCAACCATGAGCACCACACGCGATTCCAACTTAACCCAGTCGATTCCCGCTCAATGGCAAATCTACCCAAGCATCCCCACGGAATGTCCCAGACGCCGAGACACCTTCATCGCGTTCGCCATCACTAATCTCGTCACAATGGTCCTTGGCCTAGCGGTCGGCTGCCGGCCCTTCATCTACATAATAAGCTGTCGCATGTTTGGCAAAAAGAAACGCAAGAATGTATACTGGTACAACTGGCTTCCTACATGGGGGCTGACATTCGTGGGAAATGTCCTTTGCGCGGTCCTAATCATGAGGACGCCGGGTTACGAACACATTAGAGTCGCCGATGTTGCGATGCTTTATCTGCAAAGACCGCGCATTACGCTCCTAGCCCTCACTACCGTGACATACGCCATTGTGTGGAAGGGAGAGATGCCCTGGATTCGTGCATGGGTGGCCACTGCAGGCGCTGAACTGTTGTTGCAGATCATGGCTGCCATCTGGGTCGTGAGAGCAGGGGAGGGATATTTGAACCAACGACACATCCTTGCGATCGCTATTTGGGAATGGGTCAATGCCGGGTTGACCGCCATCATGGCGATTTATATCGTCCGATGTTGGCGAAATCAGGTGGCTCACGCCGAGGCTGTTGATGAAGCCGCCAAGTATCCAAATGGCTTTGTGATGCAAAATGACTTTTGGGTTCAAAATGGCTTTTCAGAGAGACAGGCAGTTCCCAAAGTAAAACGGCTGACGTTCCGAGTTTGGCTAATTCTCATGGTTATTGGCGGTCTTGGATATGCAGGCGGTTGGTATTATTTTGTAATGGTGGTGAATGTAGAGGGAGGGCAGTAGTAAGTTTCCCTTGACTTTGGCTCCGGAAGTCCAAAGCTGTGGTATGCTGACACAAGTGTTCTGTAGTTGGTGCCCACCAAAACTTGGGGCTCAAGTAGCGGTTTGGATTGGCGCTTCTGCTCTGGGTAAGAGAACTTTTTGAGGTGAACTGTCATTCATTAGCTCTGACTTGAGTTTGCAACAGGTACGTTTGTAGGTGCTACCATATAAAGTTTACCCGACGAAGCGAGTTGTTGTGCACGCTGAAGCTCAAAAAGAGTTGAGCCTTTCGGTCGCAAGTGATGGAGCTCAAGAGCCGGGTCTTGCTCATTATACTTCCAGACATACCTCTAAGTAGAAAACGAATGTACTTGTGCAGATACCTAAGATGCGCTGCAATGATGGGGAGATCTAGGGTATTTGCAAGGAGGGAAACCAAAAGGTAGATTTCACATAATTGTGCTTCCTAGATGTTATATAGCATAGAAGAACACAATGATGGATACAGTTCTACGCTGACAAAGAACATACTTTAATCAAATTGCTTGGAGCATAGAGCTCAGTAGATAGGAAGAGAATTGATGTTAGAGCCGTTCCCAATATTAAAATAACGACACTGTACATATTGGGGAGGATTACGCTGCAGAACGGAACTCGGGACGGTGTCTGGTCGACCATGCCATGTTCAAACCTTGGCAGTGACACAGCCACGGCCGCATCACAGGAATCTCGGCGCATCTCGCTTGAGCGACTGGTCTATCCATGTGGCTGGAGGTGGCTCCAAGGCTGGGAGCTTTTTGCCAAGCCTGACGTTCTGATCGCGGTTCGGGTTTAACGGGCATCGAAACTGACCATTACACAATCATCATGCCATGCACCATACAGATAGATGTAGGTATGTACAGCCTGGGCCAGCTGTAAGCATGCTGACAACGCTCAGTTGCTGGATGGACGAGAGGCTCGCTGCCTTCCTGCGCTGACGAAGTCATGCATGCTGGGAGGTCAGCACCAGGCTCGGAGTGCTGAAGACAATCTGCACCCCGCTTGACCCGGCATCTGTCCACTAGCATCCGTCCTTCTCCAACAATCAACACATTGCTTGCCCGGTGCTGTGGCTCAAACCGCCATTGTTCCAAAAATTCGTGTTGATGGTTGGGCTCTGCGCGGCGACGAGTGGGAGAACGCTACGCTGTCCGATGGCCTGCAGGCTCTCTCCTCTCTACAGTGGTCGCGGTGGTGGGTGGCCATCGGAGTAGTGTATCAGCCCCCTGACCCAGCAACGCGCTCTCGGACTGTCAGAATCCTGCGAGCAATGACGTCGAGGTCGGCGATACGAGCGGATCGGATCCACAAAACAACCCTGGAGCACAGGACAGAGTTTTGCTGGGTGAGTTCTGAATCAGGTTGGTGCACCGGCGACCCTGCTCTGGGTCGACGTCTGCAAGAATGCAAACGCGCAGAGCATGCAATTGTCGCGGACCGGCTTTCTGCTGCAGGAATTTCTTCGTCGCGCGGCAGGACACGAAGAGGCGAAACAGCAAGAGGAAACACCACGTCCAAAGAGCTGGGACCGGCTCCCCGAGTCTTTTTTTTGTCCCCTGTACCAGCGCATGCCAAGCTTTCATGATGTTGTATGTTTCCAGCTGCCAAGGCCAATCTGCGGTCCGCTGTGGTCCGCCTGGTGGGACAGTCCGCGGCGCTGCCCCCACATTGGCGGCAGGCAGAGAATCAGGCAATACAGTTTTACTTAGTATATCTGTTAATATGATACTTGTTTTGCAAGCCACATCTCATGTTTGGGAAGATAGCTTGCGAATCCCTCAACCTCTTAACATCTAAGTATAGCCCAACTTTCAATACGAAAAATTGATTGGATGGTAGATATCTCGGCCATTAGAGAGGCACAATAGCCTTTTGAGCGCCCCCAAGGCTGACGTTCTGAGCACTCAATTGCATTGGTGTTGTACCTTGGTTGACGCCCTTGCTATGGCTTGTTGCGACTCGAATTAAGTACTGTGCTAACAAGTAAAACCAGGTAGAACTGTACATAGACCAAGGCGAAAAACGATGGCTGGAGGCTGTGCTGCGAGAGGTGAAGCTTGGGCCCTGGTCGCGACAACAGTGACAGCACTGAAAGGCGAGATCAGATCTCCGCGTTTCCATTGTTGTCTTGGTGGTCAGTTGGGATGGGTCGGTGGTTCGGACGATATCTCCAAATCAACATCCACCGGGTGGTTGTAACGCCTGTTTCGCGGGGTCGAAGTCTCAAGATGGAACGGTAGAGGTGGGAAGAATTCCTTATTGACAACGTGGGTGTGAGACCAGATTGGTGAGAGCAGCAACAGCAACAGCAGCCCGATGAACAGACTGTGTCCCACAGTAAGGACTGTGGACTGGGGGACTGCGGCGGATCGCTCATTGTGCTGCAGCGGACCCCTGCTCTTCCCGCGTCATGTCGTCTTCGAGGTCCCAGCTGAGCCTACCGCTGCAACAGCCCGGGAGCCCCTCCACTGATGCCATGGGTCGTCCACGGGTCTGGCGCCGAGTCAGCGAGATTATATTTTCGCCGATTGCCAACTGACCACATTCCTCAACGGATATATACAAAGACAGACTGTGTCAGACAGACAACAGTACCAACAGCACAAGCGAGAGTCCACAACTGCCGGCCTGTGCCGTTGGGAGTCGCCAGCACCGGAGCTGATCACCGGTGACAAAGTCAAAATCCTGCAGAGGAATAAACAGCGGATATTCGTAAACGAGGTGGACTGTGCAGCGCAAACGGTGTGTATGACCATCCGACAAGGTTACACTTTTCGTCATTTACATAGCCGGTTGGGCTTATAACCCAGGCTTACGTCCTCACATTCTGGCATTTCTCCCCGTTGCCCTCTTATCATTCACTTGTTTTGTTCTTGACCGCTAACCTTCCGTAGCTTGGCCAGTCACAGTCTCTCAACCGGCTGGGTAGAAGTGAGCTGTCCTGCATTGCAGCGCAGTCAGTCAACGTATAAAACGCTAGAGATCGCCACAGTCTTGTTTTGGCCAACTTCTGTCGTCGTCCTTCATCTGCCATGGATCTCTTTAAGGGCGAGAAGTCTCCGTCTGCGGAGCCTCTTCTTCCTGTGACCGAGAAGGAGGACACTGTCGCCCAGACTCATGCGCCAATTGACGACCAACAGCTCTCTGGCTCACCCAAGACCATGCGCTCACACACTCGGCGACTCCTCCTTGTCCTGCCACTGGCCCTACTGCTACTCATGACTGTCCATGTCGCCGGCAATCACTGCCGCAGCAGGATGCTGCCTCATCATCAGAACGCCGCCAACCCTGCGACAATCACCACCCTTCCCCATCATCACCCTCATCAGGAGCACACTATTATCGAGGCAGTCCGGAAGGCGGAGGGAGCCCTGACGACCTCGATCCGGCATCTGGTTAGACGCCAGGACAACTCGACTGCTGATCCATCGCCGACGGATGATGACTCAGACAGCTCGACGCAGCCCCCTGAGACAACCACATCGTCGGACCCCGAGACCAGCAACACCCAGGCCCCCACCACCCAGGTCCCTCCTCCGGAAACGACTACCTCTGTCCTTCCTCCCAGCAGCTCTAACTCACCGCCTACCTCTAACAACAACCCTCCCTCTTCAGCTACTCCCCCGCAAAGTTCCAACTCCCCTTCCCCACCTGGTACGTCCACCACTGAGATAACAGTTTCTCCTCCCGCTCCCCCTCCCCCTCCTGCTTCTTCTGATTCTCCTGCTCCTCCTCCTGCCCCATCTCCCTCGACGACGACGTCCGACGAGGAGTCTTCATCTTCTCCTAGCGAGACAGCCAAGACGTCCTCCACGCTGGGAGGTACGTCACTCCGGCGTGCTCTGCCGGACTTTCCTCTCCTTTGTTCGTTTGAGTAACAGCAAAGATGTGTGCTGACTCTCTTCGCAGACACCACTCTTACAACTGTGACCAACGCCCCGAGCCCGACCAACCCGCCTGCCACTAGCTCAAATGATGATGATGACAAGACCGACGATCAGCCCACCACCACTAGTCCTACCGCTCGCACTTCTCGCCCCATCACCACCACCCGTACGACTACTTCCAACGGTGTCGTCGTTACCGTCACGGCCGTAACCTGGGTTCCTGCTGACCCCACCGAGACCGGCGATGCTGACTCGACCAAGCCGCCGCCGAGCTTGCAGAACACGGCTTCCCGCAGTTTTGTTGGGTCACTGCTTGCAGCTGTGATGGCCGGCTGCCTCGGCTTCTTCGCCCTGGTCTAACTCAACGGCCGGCTTCGTTTCTCTCGTTTTATGCAGAACCAGCATTCGTTCATTTGGGCATTGTATGGAGCGTTCTTTCATTTCACAGCATCGAGATATTCATTCATTATGCATGCAGCATGGCTGAAAGCGTGTTTTAATCCTTCAGCATCTTGGGCGGACTTTGGGAGGAAGGCATAGCTGCTAATATCGGGATCACGAACTCACGATATTCACGTTCGTTTTGACTATTCAACAACATCAACTGGCATGGCATTGGGCTGGAGGAATTATTTGGCATACATAGAAGGATGGACATGGGCTGTGGGCTGCTAACCTCTGTATATGGGAAACTACTTTGTGTTGGACCTGGCTAGGAAACAGCACATTAACTGCGTATATCATAGCAAAGACATTGTATATTTGTATATAGACGGGTATCAAACAATTAAGCTAAAACGCGGTCAACAACCTGAATTGCGAAAAACCCCCTCATGGCGCTTCTGTGTTCCGTCCACAATATCTCCGTATCCAGGAGTATTTTGACAAATACAACATGTAAGCGAAGGTTTAGCAGTGTCATTGCTCATTAGCCCGGGCCGATCTTGGGCATGTCGTGGTGGTCGGTCAGGCGAGCGAGATGGGCATTGAGCTCTTCCACACGCTGCTTGTGTGTTTTGAGCAGCTGAGGGCGCACTTTAGCTGACTCTGTTAGCTCTTTTAACTGTTTGCCAGTCGCATTAGTATCTCGTCTGTCTCTAGATCGCGGTTTTAAAGAGATAATATCCAAGGTTTTTTTTTTTTTTTGTTTGGGAACCGAAGACATACCCTCTTGCGCTTGGCCTCCAAGAAGCGCTTCTCCGCCTCAGTCTTGTACACTTCCTCCTCCTCTTCCTTCTTCTCCTCCTGCTGTGCATTTTCAGGGTCTTTCTCCTTCCCCTCGTCCTCCCCCTTCACGAGCGCCGTCTCGCTAGCACTGCCACTGCCGCTGCCGCCCGTGGACAAGTTCTTTTCGAGATCGGTCTTATTCTTTTTCTTCTTTTTTTTAGTCACACCCGCGGTGCCCTTGAGCTTGAGTGGTCCGCGGGCGACTGAAGTGTACTCGTCTGACGGCATTGGGATAAGTGTGTGGTTGCTGTGGACGAGTGACACTGCAAGGAGTATGCAGTTCTCGATGGAAGCAGAAACTGCGAAAGCCCCTGCGACGGGAAGACGTGTCACGCGCCGGCGTCAAGAGCGCCCAGCGAAAGGCTTGGTATTATGTAAGCACTCCATGACCCCACTCTTCAGCTTGGGCGGGGAGCGGCGACGAAGCCAGCCGAATAAATTCTTCGGGTCGCATCCAAAATTTGGGAACCTTTTCTTCTCTTTTTCTTTCTCAGATCAAAAAGTACCAACGAAGTTGCCACGACCTACACTAGATTCCCACGGTGCTTAGGTTGCCAGGTGTCCATTGACACCTTCTTCGGAGAGCAAAACTCCTTGATAGGAAGTTTTCCGCCTTGATCCATGTGGGCGGGAGATGCTGATAGATTGGAGACATTTCTTTGTTCCGCTTCGAGCTCATCCGAGAATTTCCATACTCTTGACGGGCATGAAGCATTTTGGCATACGCTCAACCGCTTTATTTGGCTCTACCAAATTGTCTGCTTATATTGCCTGCCATAAGACTTTGCTTTTGTGTGCTGTCTTGCCGTTTTGGTAGATCTTGAGCACGTCATTGGGTCTGTTGAGACGCATTTCCTTGCTTGTCTCAAAAACTGTATCGAAAGAAAGACCCTCATCGGTTAGCTTGCCAGCGTTCCCGTTTGTAGTGTGTTTTCTGCTTTGCTATGGACTTTTTCAGCATGGTGTCCACCGGCTTGCTCGTTCCTGTCCTCACGGCGACCCAAGGCAAGATTGGGATATGTCACATCATCTTCCGTGTAATCCAGAGCTTCCTGGCCCTTCTACCAGTCCCTCATGGGTCGAGGGGTTATGATGTTCAAGGCTGTGATGTGGATTGGATTGTCTATAAAGCTTCAATGATTTTTTTTTCTAATATTATCGTCAGGGTTTTTGGTTGAGGTCCGTGTATATCTCAGAACCTCACTTCGTACGAATCCGTACTGCACATGTTGTATCTCTATGTACAAGACGCCAGAAAGAATCCTTTTCAAGAGCAAGGAAATTGCTTTGAGTGTTTCAAGAAAAGAGAAGCTCCCGCGTAGAAGTATTTCGCCGCTATTGAAAATGAGTCGAACAGTTTCCACAGCGGCAACTTTTCCCTCAGCACTCCTGCCAAGACTTGTGCCCCTCTAAGCACCCCGCGCTATCTTTCTTGACATTTGGGGTCTCTTGCTGGACTTCTCTCATAAAAGCCGCTCTCTCACCAATTCATGACCTGGCACACGTTCATTACGTCCTACTCAAAATAAACAAACAATCCCGACCTAATCACCATTTCTCCCCTCTTTAAGCTCACCCTCCCACACTCCTTTCTTTTTTTTAAAAAAAAAAAAGACCAAAAACAGACTCTACCAAAATGCCCATTCCCATCACTATCATCACCGGCTTCCTCGGCGCCGGCAAGACCACCCTCATCCTAAACCTCATCCCTCAGCTGCGCGCACTCAACCCAGACTACAAACTCGCCCTCCTAAAAAACGAGTTCGGCGACGTCGCCGTCGACTCCCAGCTCGCCGCCAGCAGCGCCATCGCCGGCGTTACCGAGCTCCTGCAGGGTTGCATCTGCTGTAATCTGGTCGGCCAGCTGGGTCCGGCTCTGTCCGAGTTAAGGGAGACGCTGGGGGGTTCGTTGGATAGGGTCATTATCGAGACGAGCGGGAGTGCCTTCCCCGCAACACTGGCGCTCGAGGTGAACCGGTTGGCGAGGGAGAGTGGCGGGGAGTATGTCCTTGATGGGGTGGTTAGTGTTGTGGATGTGGAGAATTGGAAGGGGTATGAAGATACGAGTTATACAGCGAGGCTGCAGGCGAGGTATACAGATTTGGTGGTCCTCAATAAGTGGGAGGGGGCGGGAGAGAGGAGGTTGGATGAGGTGCTGGATCGATTGGGGGATTTGGAGGTTGACGTGGCAAAAGTGAAGAGTGATCGTGGGTGGGTGGATATGAATGTTTTGTTTGGCATTGATGGTGCGTTGGCGAAGGGGCTGGGTGAAGAGGTGTGTATGGGGGATGGTTGTGAGCATGATCATCATAAGCATGGTGATGGGGAGAAGCATCACCAATCCGAGGTTGAAGTTCTGTCTGTTGAGCTGAAGGGCGAGCCGGGCACTGGTGTTGATGCGACAAAGCTTATGACTCTCCTGCAGAGTGCGCCCAAGGACGAGGTCTACCGCATCAAGTCCGTCATGACCGTCGCATCGCCAGCTTCGCTGCGCAACTCAGACGAGGACGTGCGCCTCCAGACACCAGCAACAAGCCCCAGCAATCGTTACATCTTGAATTGGGCCTTCGGCCGCTGGACGTTCACTCCACTGGGCGAGAGCGTTACTGAACATCAGTCGACTAACCAGGCGCTTCTCCGTATGACTATCATTCTGGCTCAATATGAGAGCACCAAGTGGAAAAAGAAGCTCGAGGCTGGCGGTCTCATCGAGCTCGAGAGGCCAAATCAAGGAGAGTTGACCGTCACGAGGGTGAACTAAGCAGGAAGGAAACACGAGAGTTTACTTACTAGGGGATATAGAGCTAGACTTGGGCATGTCTAGCACGATGATACATAGCGTCATGACTACATTTTATACCATTTAATGCAATGCCATCTACAACATTACTCGGTTCTTAAATCCAACCGCCCTGCCATCTCATTTCTGGATGCAACCTCGGAGCCCTTGATACCCTCACTTCCGTTTCGTCATCCTCATCACTCCCATACTGATCGATAATGTCCATAAACAGATCGGCATCATCTCCCTTCTCCTTCATCTCCTTCTCAAGCTGAGCTTTTTGCTCAGGCGTCTTCCACGCCAGTACTGCATCCAAGTTGACATCCCTGCAAGGACTAGACCGTGTATGGTCTGGGATAGGAGCAACTGACATACCTTCTGCCCGGACCCCTTGCCTGGTCTCTTCTTTGCTCGGGCTAGCATTTTTAATATCGAAGGTAGTCGTCTTTGACGAGGGCCGTGCCCCGCAAGCAGACACCAACGCAATCGATGCTACATTTTTGAGACCCCTCTGTCTGCCCGCAACGCTACTCTCCGAGGCTTTTGCACTCTTAGGAGCACTGGCGACAGACTCCATTCCAGTAGTACCGGGTCTCTTCGTCCCCATCCCTGGCCAACCCAGCGGGTCAGCAGCCGTTGGTCTTTGCGGAGGCGGTGGAGGCGGCGCCCTTAATTGCCCGTGTCCCGATAGTGGTTCCCCTGGAGAAATAAGAGAAGTGAACACAGAGCAACGAGATAAAGGCGAGGGAGGTGAAGGCAAAAAGGCAGCTGCGAAGGCGGCCTTGCTGCCATCGCCGTCGGATGAGAGAGGTGAGATTTCTGGTATAGTGGGAGCAGCTGTCATTGCCTCACTTTGTGCCGGGTGCTTGCTGGTTGAGCTGGTATTGCGGAAGAGTGAAAGAGAGAGGTTGTTGAGGAGATTGGAGAGCTTGCTGTCTTGTTTCTTTTGCGAATCTGGGGGCTTCTGTTGTGGTTGTTGTGGTCGAGAGGAGTTCAAGCGTCGGGAGTTGAGGGTCGGTTGAGATGTTTGTAAGGGGCGAGGAGGAAGGGGCTTGTTTTCTGCTGCAGGTTTTACTGTTTTGGACTTCTGTAGACTTTGCATTTCGCTTAATTGCTGTTTCCAGGCTTGATATCCGTTTTGGGTTTGTAAGGGGCTCGGCCACAGGGTCTTGACCGTGTCAGCTGGGGAGGGATCTCGTGTTGATGGCAGTTTCCGTTGTAGTTTTGGATGTGCTCTAAGAGGTGATTTGGGCGGCGGTGGGCCAGGAACCGGATATGTTGATGTTGTCGCCGTTGTTCCTGACATCTCCATCCTTCTAGCTTGCTGCAATATCGCGACTCGTCTCAGATCGCTCATCGAGTCTCGTCTTGTAATGGGCTTGCTGCTAGGATTGCACCCTTTGTCAGTTACCTTCCTCTGCTTCATTAAAGCCAAGACTGCGGGAGTCTCCTGACAATGATCGTACTTTTCGGGCTCTGCCGACTTCCTCGTCCGAGGAGGATAACGCACAGCACCTTGCCTACTAGGAGACTGACTTCGGCTAACCGGCTGGCTACTTATCAAGAGAGGTCTGTCCGCCAGCCTTGGAGGCGCCTTCTGTCTCTCTTCTCGTGTCGAAGTCCAGTTCGAAGAGGCTGTGAGACACTCGCGCAGATCGCGTCCACAATTCTGGTAGGGGCATGCCAAGGGAGTTGGGGCGTTTTTGAGACGGCCCCGGCAGAAGGGACAGATCCCTCGGCAGTAGAGATCCATGGGCGCTGCGTTGCTGTCATCAGCGGTGTTATCTTTTATCGTTGCTTGTCTACTCACCATCAGAGCGGTCCTGGGATTTCTTACTCGCTTCAGTCTCTTCAAAAACTGTCTGTGCCGTGGGCGAGGGAGGGGCAGACTGATCTTCCATGACGGTCGAGGAGATAGAGCTGTTACTCTGGGTCGACGCATAGTCATCCTCGGAGTATATGGAAAACGAAGCCGTGCTAGCTGAGGCGCTTTCAAGTTGGCCCCCACAAGAAGAAGCGGAGTGTGTTACAGTTTGGTTCTTCATCTGTTGTCCGTTTTGTGTCTCTGGTGCTTTTTGTTGCCAGAACTTAACCGCTGGATCATAACGGCTGATGGACTGACATGTAACAGGTTGTGGTTGATTGCTATGCCGGTTGGCAAGCCGTTGATTTCTGTCTAATGTGATTTTCTTGGACAACTGACACAAAGAATATGTGTCTTCGTGGCTCTCACTTTCAGCGTAGGACGTGAGATTTCCCTGGATCTGAGCACAAGTCAGATCTGACAAGTCAAATCATGGAGGAGTCTAAAATATTAAATCTAGCCCTGCTATATCGACGCTGGTCACCTCTGTCACGCACCATCTCTTCGTAAGATGACTGATGTTTAATGTTGTCCTCGCTCAGATGCTCTCTCTCTGCCGTAAAATGCCAAGCCGCAATCTGGTGCGCACACTCTTCTTCTGATGGTGCTTCTTCTGGGAATATGATCCGTCGAGGCCTATCAGGAGTATGGATAATCTGGAACGAGGACTCTTCGGGCTCAGCAGGACTGGGTCGGCGACGGCTGAGGTCGCGGAACTTCTGTGTAAAGCCTAAAAGATCGTTGTTTGCGTGCTCCGTCAACATGGGGCCAGCGATTTCATGGAGTTGAAAGTTTAAAAGACAGCCTTGTTGCAATCAGTTGCTGCGTTGCCTGCTTTGATGATGAAAGTTGTTCAAGAGGCTACGTGCACAAGATCCCGTGGAAGAGTGGCATGTTTTCCTGTATGCATAAAGAAAGCCCTATATTCTGACAGAACAGGCAAACTTCTTTGTACTGTCATTCCATCTCGCAGCATCATCTCGGTCTATTCAAAAGCCTCCTGATCCCTCCGAGTTTCATTATCTTAGAAAAGCCTCTTTGTTCGCCTTCCCTCCCTCCTCGCAAATGGCGACGATGAAAACAATGGCGCAGCCATGCCTTGCTTAGCATGCAACCATGCAATGCCATGCCCGTGTTTGCTAACGCCCTTAGAGACTAACTGTAACCGTCATGTGGTTGCTGAGCACCAGCAGAACGGGAGGAAGTCCGTTGCACAAAACCTCAACGTCAGACAAGTATGCCAAGCTTGCCTCTTCGCTCTGGCATGTGTTCTCCTCAGGGATTGGTAACGTGGTAAACATCACAGCTGTATCCTTACTGTGCTGCCGCATCAACTCGTTGAGGATTAGATGTTGAGCCCGGCTCGGAAGATCGTTGAAAGAAAGAGTGAGGCCATGCATCGGGTACTCATCGTCATCCGAAAGATATGAAGCCAATAGCCCCGCAATATTGAGCGACACATCGCCGCCGTTGTCACCGCCTTTTGAGAAGGAGTTCCGACGAGACAGCACCGGGGACCGAACAGTAGGGCTCAATTCAGCAAAGGAAACCCTCCTATCAATGCCGGACTCTTCCTCGATCGTTTCCCCGATCCCACGCGCCAGCGAAGCTTGCCTGGAGAACTGTGGCTTGCTGTCCTGTTCGGCAAACATGATTCTCGGACCAGTGCCATCGGGAGAGTCGTTGGTGATAGTCGTCTCCGGAACCAAGCTGCTCGTGAACCTCATGGCTGTAGAGCTGGTGTGCCTTGAAAGGGTTGGCCTGCTGTCCGACTTGAGGATACCCCGCATGTTCTGGAAACCTTCCGATACGCTACCGCTCCTGATCTCAGTCATCCTTGTTTCTGTTGTCCTTGTCTCAGTTGTCCTCGTCTCTTTGCTGCTGTCCGTGGTCCTGGTCTCTGTCCTCCGCAGCTCTGTTGTCCGTGTCTCCGTCGTCATCGTCCCGTATGACGATGCCGGTCTTCTCTTAGGAGTGGGAGAGCGTGTCCGTTCTGGGGAGCGGGTCCGCTTCCACTTGCGCTTTTCCTTCAGCTGTTTCTTAGCCCGCGTGAAGATGTCGGCGAAACTCTTCCGTCTCCGGTGGCCTGCTAATAAGGGACGCTTAACGCCATCGTCGCCATCGCCATTTGCAGTGTCAGAATCAGTAAATTGACGCTCCATGGCCATGGTATCCGAATCGCTGTCCGAGTCGCTGTCGGCTGCAGTGTCTGTATCGGAATTATCGAAGACGTTGAGGAGGTTCTGGGTGTGGATGCCCATGCTCACGCCCCACTTGACAAGCTGTGACATGGTCGGCTTTTTTGGGAGGTCAGTAAGATGGGCCAGACTATGGCGCCGCTTCTGCTTGACGTCCTTAGAATCATCCGAAGAGTCGCTTGGTTGGCTTTGTTGGGTCGGTGTGCCAGCGCTAGACTCCAAAACCTGAGAGATCGAGGGAAGATCAGGAGGAGTTGTTGCCTTCGAGCTCGACCTTGAGCGGCCTTTGCGATAGTTTTGCAGATCTTCCCACCACTCCTCGTTCTTGAGGCAGCTGTTGACAAGGTTCTCGGTCTCCGCATCCTGAAAACGCCCATGGACGATAGTCTCGTACGTCTTGAGCAGGCCCGAAGCGAGCGAGAAGACGAGAATCTCGGCATCTATCCTCAATTTCTCCAACAGAGCCTTAACTCTGCCCCGTTCGATATCAACCTCGCTTTCATACTCCACAAACACAAGCACACGCAGCTTGTATACCTTTTTCCACGTAGGGACAGTGTGGAGGATATATCCGAGCTGAAGGATCAAAGTATCTGGACACTGTTAGTCAGGGAGCGGAACAATGTATGAATCCGCATCACTCACATGTATCAAAGTTGGTTGTAAGGACACTCCTGCCCTCCGCTTCAAGGGCTGCAGACATCTGGATGGGCCACAGATCGATGTACCTTTTGGTATTGGTTCCATCATCCCGTGGTGTTTCCAATTTGTCGAAGCCCTTGCCAATGGCAACATTCAAGCGGTAACGCAAGGCCAGATCCTCCAGAATGGTGAGATAGCTTGTTACAGGCATCAGCTCCTCGGTTTTGATGACATCTGTCGGCAGCTCGCCCTCCAGAATACGGGAAAAGGTGTCGCCTCTCCTCCTTCTACGAACAGTTCTAGGGGTCGAGGTGGTTTCTTCACTTTGTGATGGCGGGGGGGGATTGACTGGCGGCTCAGGGACTTGTGCGGACCGAGAGCGGCGGAGTTCGTCCATGTTGTAGAAACCCATAACAGCAATGTTGGGTCTCATACCGCCTAACCCAGCAGAAAGGATGAGATTTCTGACGCCCCATGTTATGGTGGGCGACATAGTAAGCTGTACAAAGGCCTTGATCCTTGAGGACTCGGAGATGTACTTGGTCCAAGCAGCCTGCTGCAGCTTGGCTTCGGCAACTCCAGCTGAGAAGTCATCTGTCACAATGACGTGGCCAAGGATATACAATGCCCCCTTTTTTAGCGAGTTACAGAACTGGATCAGACGAGTCTGCCGTCTGGGATTGTTAACCAGCAGAATGATCTGCGGGCGCCAGAACTTGATATGCTCTGGCTTGAGACGCAGGAGATACTTTCGCACTTGATGGTAGATCAAGCTCTGGGAGACGTCTCCCCAATGCTTCGGCGGGCTCAGGTAGTGGATCAAGAGGAAGAGGAAGATCATCAGACACACGGCAGAAGAGGCATATGTTTCGTCAACGAAGAACATGGCCGTCGCGGAGATGATACTGCCAGCAAATGCTGTCTGCCAGCTGAAGAACTTAAAGGCTGGGCGGAAATTAGGGGCTGATCCGATCTTGAGCAGGAAACACGCTAGGTTCATCACAAAGAAGGTCATCTACAAATTGTTAGCCAGCAGTCAAGGACAAAGAGGATCAAACTTGAACCGACCTGATAGCCCATGGAAATGAAGGTGGCGATCTGATTCAGGTTGGCAAGCATCGCAAATTGTGCAAGTATATAGGTCAAGAAGATAGCAAGAACGGGTTCATCTGCCTTCTTGGTTCCCTTGCCAAAGACTTCCAATCCCGGGATGAGCTTGTCCCTTGCCAGAGCCTGCAGCAACTTCGCAGCCGCGATGACACCCATTAAAGCGGAAAAGAAGGTAGTCGCGAACTCTCCAGCGAAGATACCGGGAGGCCAGATGTTGGTGTCCTGGATAATGTTGGGATTCCGAAGAAACGAGTGGTGCCTTGTGCTCGATGCCAAAGAGACAATCACCAGTAGATATGCAAGGAAAGTGGACAACATAGCCCAGAGCGTGCCACGGGGGATGGCCTTGCTGGGATTGCGTAGATCACCGGACATGGAGGCACCGGCAAAGATACCCGATGTGGCAGGGAAAAGGATACCGAACAAATCACGGAACGTTGTAAAGCCGTTGAAATGGCCGCTGGAAGAATCGGGGAGGAGGTTGGACTTCAGGGTAGCTAGACTGAATCCGGTGAACTCGATGCCCCTTTCCGGGTCAACAAAGGCGGGGTTCAGGAGAGCAGAAACCGGAATACTCAAGATGGAGAAGGTGAGCACAACCAAGAGGGCGTTGCTGGCTTTGGCAAACATGGAGCTTCCGGCGAGGCAGAGGCCTGTACAAAAAACCAGCGCAACCGTGCCGAATAGGTAGTCCCACCAGTAGCCATGGGGCATGGCGTAGCCGAAGTTGAGCTTAATGCAGTCGATGAGACCGACGACATTGAGAGCTGTGTTTAACACTTGAGCCAGGTAAAAGAGGACACCAATTGAACCGCCGAATTCGGGTCCCAGAGACCGCGAGATAAGGTAGTAGGCTCCTCCGCCCTTTACTTCGCCGTTGGATGCGATAGCAGACAACGAGAGGGTCGTGACAAAGTCAACCGTGTAAGCACTTAACAACAGGCCTGGGCTGGCGTCAGCACTTATCTCTGACTAGAAAATAAAACCATACGACTTTGTTTTCTTACCGAGCATGCCCAGCAACCCGACCTGGCCTAGGATGAGACCGAATCTCAAGAACATAAGAATGCTGAGGATATTGAGGCAGACGGGGATGTAGACCCCGGACACGGTCCCCAGTTTCGTCCTCTTCCCAGAGGACTCTGGCTCCATGGTAACCATTGTGACTGCCGTCCTCAGGATGTCTGTGGTTTTGGATGTGGCCAGGACGGCTCATTGACGTCCGAGAAAAGAAGGCCGCCCAGCTGATGGGAGCCAGCGAGCGAGAACGGAAATTCAGACTCGACCTTAAGCGGATGAGACTGACTGAATATAATATAGTCGAGATGGGACTCCCACAATGCCAACCCGGTTATTATTAGGGCATTTGTTTGGGGTCGTTGGGATTATCGGCCGACGCGACCCTTGGCTGGGGACTCTGCCCGATGCACCGACGTAACGGGATGGCGAACAAGTCTTAAGCAATCTTGGACAAACCGAGCAAGCTGAACAATCCTAGATGGCGTCGTTTTAGCATCCAAGGCCATCATCACCCCTCGACGCCGCTCCACGAGACCTCATGCAGATGCACCAATGCTCCAGCTCCACTACAGAGCCACCATATGCATTGGCCCCAATGCTTGTTGATGCTTGGTCAATGGGAGTTAGATCGCCAACTCCACCGTGCACCGCACGCGAAAGCCAGGAAGCGAGTGGCCCAGATCGGTTCATCAACAGGCGAGCCCCGCGCCAACCACCGCTCCTAACAGGCTCTAACCGACTGTTTTCCCTTTTTGATGTGGGCAATGATGTGGGCAATGGGCAACGTGTTGTGGGACTTTGCAGCGCCCCGCGCTGGCTGGCCTCGTTTGCACTCTGCAGAATACTGCAGGAAATGCGTAAGTATGGACGAAAGACAATGCAATCCACACAGAAAAAAACTCTTGAAAAATGTCAAAGAAAAAAAACAACAAGTCGTGTGTTGTCCGGCTACCCGTCTGAAGCCTAAGAGCGGCTGTCGGTTTCAGATGAACCGATATACTTGTTGGCAACGTGAAGTCGATGGATGTTCCAGGCAGACACTGGAATTGCCCCTCACTCTCCTCATTTTCATGCTGACGGTGGCGGGAGCAGTTGGAGCCTCCTAGTTTTAGTGTCTTGGCAACCTCCGGAACCGTTTTGACGTGCCAACGAATCAACACACGGGATCATCCCCAACAGAAAGAGCTTTCATCAAAGAAAATGTTATCGAGAGTCTTAGTCACTGGGGACCCTATCTCTGGATCCATTATGTGATGTCTTGCGGCCTTGGATGCAGCTGTCCGATTGTCCAAGGCCTCCAATCCACAAAATAGGACCGTATCTGTCAGTAGATCCATACATGCACGTGACAGTCACTTACACACTGCGCCTGCGAAGAGACGGCAGACCACACCGCCTTTTATGGAGTACTGGTGCAAACAAGGACAAACTGCAAGTTTCCCTCCGGTACCGGGCTGCATTTGTAATTGTACGGCCATTTAATATGGATAAGCTGTCGTGACAGCGAGATATGCGAGGGACGACGGAAAGGCAGACGCCAGAAATGCTCAGCCCTAACCCTGAATCGTAAAAGTCACTTTACGTCATCAGTTGTATCTTACGGACTGTAACGCTATCGCTGTGGGGCAGATCTCATACAGTGAAGGCCCACTCTACGGCAATCCCCCCCGAAACCCAGCCAAGCCAGAGCGCGCTGGCGGACCGGGTCAGCAGGGAGCCAACTGGGCGTCTCCATTCGCTCTTATCAACGACTTGGCAGTACTGAGGGTCACACGTCGCATTGAACGGTCGCTCCAAACCGCCCTGGATTTTGCGATTGTTTCTCGTGCACCTTCCTGCTTCGTCGCCTGTCCTTCCCTGGCTTCTCTCTCTTACCTGCGTGTTTTTGAATTCCCCGGGTCCCTCTTTTGATCGGTGGGGATTCATTCTGTTGTTGTTGGTCGCTCTCTGTTCCCTCGGCCTGCCCATCGGTCAACCGGCCCAGATCAGAATCGTCCGCCGGCCAGTTATCACATACCTCCGTTTGTAGCTCCGAGCAATCTGCATTAGGGTTCTCTGCTATCCAACACCGAATCAAAACGCTGAAGTGACCACAGCGCAGATCACCGAAGTACTCAATCCGGACTTTGCCTCAAGAGATGCAATAGCCGCAGCTACCGACGTCGCAAAGTCCATCAAACATTCATACAATCCACCATGTCCAACAACCAGTTCAGAAACTCGCCGCCCCCGCAGCGTTTCCTGTCTTCGTCTCCGGGCTCCTTCCGCGGTCGTTCCTTTGATCGCGCTTCGTCAACCGCTCGTCTGGCCTCTCCAGTGCCTCTCAAACCTCCACCTGCCGCCGACGAGTCCAGTCCCGGCCAAGTTACTCCTCTCGCCGGTCCCGGGTCCTACCACGCCGGCCCAGGCATCTCGGCTCTTGCTGCCGCCCTGAACAACTCGATAGGCACGTCTCCCCCCGCTTTGGCACCCCCCCTATTCGCCCTGCGTCCCCAGCATCGCCTGCCCCGGCTTCCGTCCAAAATGTTACAATATCTGCCACTCCCAACTACGGCTCCTTTGATAGTAGGAGACAATGGGCCTACGAGGATCCCGAGGTTGTCAAGAGGCATCTCGTGCAACCAGAGGACCTTGGGCTCAGCGACGGGGATAGGGGCTCCGGAAGCAAGGGCAAGGACACTGCCGCTTCGGGGGTTCGACGACGACGAGTTTTCCAGCCTGAAACTTCAGGGCGGCGACATCACACGGCCGATATACAAGTGGACAGAAGAGGCGAACCAGCGCAGCAGGCTGCAGCGGAGCCGGAGCTTTATCGTCCCTCGCCCAGAGCCTGAGAACGAGGAGCTTGATATTAACTATATCAAGGTGCCTGGTGGTTTCAGGCGCAACTTCATCCGGCGGGCGGCCCGGGAGGCCGACCACGAGCCTGAGCTTGGCCGTGGCGGTGCGTCGTCGGCTCAACCTCGGCTGTTTACAAGTAGCTTCTTGGAATTCCTAACGTTGTATGGCCACTTCGCCGGTGAAGAGCTTGAGGAAGACGACGAGGTTCTCAAGCCTGGAGAATATTTCGTGTCGGGAAGTGAGGGCGATGCCCAAGAAGACGCGTCCGACGAAGAGCCGATGGAGGACAGTGCGTTATTGACACCGGGTCCCAAGAAGGGACGTCGCCGGAAGGAGCGCGGAGGAAGCGGTCAGAATAGCCCCTTTGGAGCCGCCCTGCTGTTGCTCAAGTCTTTCGTCGGCACCGGTGTCCTGTTTTTGCCGCGTGCCTACCTCAATGGCGGCATGCTTTTCAGTAACTTGGTGCTGCTCTTCGTGGCTGCACTAAGTTACTACTGCTTTGTGCTCTTGGTCTCGACGCGTCTCCGCATCGAGGGCTCCTTCGGTGATATCGGTGGCATCCTCTACGGAAAATGGATGCGCACCCTGATCCTGTCTTCCATCGTCATTAGTCAGATCGGCTTCGTGGCGGCCTACATCGTCTTCACATCCGAAAACCTTCAGGCCGTCATTCGGGCCGTGTCGGACTGCCAGACGCTGGTGCCCATCAAGTGGCTCATCATCATCCAGATGCTCATCTTCCTGCCCTTCTCGCTCCTCCGTGACATCGGCAAGCTGGGCTTCACCGCTTTGATTGCTGACGCGTTCATCGTCATCGGCTTGGCCTACCTCTTCTACTACGACGTCCTCACGCTCCACTCCCAAGGCCTGGCCGACATCATCATGTTCAACCAGCGCGACTGGACGCTCTTCATCGGCACCGCGATCTTCACTTTTGAGGGCATCGGCCTCATTATCCCTATCCAGGAATCGATGCGGCAGCCTGAAAAATTCCCGCGCGTCATGTTTGTCGTCATGATCATCATCACGACCCTCTTCACAGTCATGGGTGCCGTGTCATACGCTGCTTACGGTTCTAAGACCGAGACCGTCGTCCTGCTAAACCTTCCACAGGATGACAAGATGGTCAACGGTGTCCAGTTCCTCTACTCGATTGCCATCTTGCTGTCGACACCACTGCAGATCTTCCCGGCTATCCGCATCACCGAGAACGCGCTGTTCACAAAGAGCGGGAAGTACAACCCATATATCAAATGGCAGAAGAACATCTTCCGCTTTTTCGTTGTCGTTATTTGTGCGCTCATTGCGTGGGGCGGCGCCGACGACCTGGACAAGTTCGTCGCTCTGGTCGGCAACTTTGCTTGTATTCCACTGGTGTACATTTATCCGGTATATATTCCCCTACATTCTTCCTGCATTATAATATTGCTAACAGCACCTCTAGCCCATGCTGCATTATAGGGCGGTGGCCAGGACCCGGTTCCGCAAGCTGTCCGACATCCTGCTCTGCATCTTTGGTTTTGCGGCAATGGCCTACACCACCAGCTTGACGATCATGAGCTGGGCCAATAACAATGGCGGGAAGTCACCGAGCTACTGCGACCTGAAGGGGTCTCATACCGAGTTGTAAGCAAGGAAGGTTACTTGTGTTGGGTCAGCCTGTTGAAGAAAGTAGAAGTGAGCAAGAGTGAAAGAGGGGGACAAAGACAGAGGCTTGTGAGAGGCAGTGCTTGGTGAGAATGGTTTTGGATACTTCATTCTTTTTATGCTGGTTGTTAGGCTTGTGGGTTGGGTGTTTGGGATACATGGGATTTTGGGTGTTGTGTTGCAGGGTCCTCATGAAGGGATTGCGGGATTTGCTCATCAGCGGATGTTTTAATTTTACATCGGACAGGGCTTGGAGGAGCCTGTTATAATACGCTTGAGCAGGGCATTTTTCACGTTGTAGATGATCTAGAGATGCATTTAACATGTCGTAGAGGGGAGACGGACAGTAGACAGACAAGAGAAGGGTAGAGCCAGGGACAACTCCCTGACTTGGCTTCACACCAGATCATTATTCCAGACCTACATCAATACATCCAATTTCCATCTGCTCAGGATGCAGTTTAATCCTTTACTTGGCATGAGATGAACAAATGACCTGCTGACCTCTAGTGCTGGCTGGGAGGAAAGCATGTGGTCTGTGCACAGTCTGTGAAACAGTGCGAATATGAAACCTGCGATCCACTTTGGGCGTTCACCTCAAACTTCAACTTGCAACATTCTGCTTTCATCAACAACAAACCCACCATCACCCATTTCATTGTAATTGAATTATTGTCTTGCTGCTTTTGCTTCACTATTTTCTTGGTAGCTTGAATATCTCTTATTCACAGAGTTAGCAGCGATGAACGCCCCCGACAGGTCAGTTGCTGAAGTTCTCCAATTCATTCCCCCATTCTTCATCCTTCACTTGAAGTTCTGGGGGGAGGAAGATGATGAGCAGGTGGATCGATTCGAAATCACCATGAGTTGTGGCCATTCACTACAAGGTGTCATTACAGGATCAGGGACTTCACCTATATGACACTACATAGCTGTAGCCCAAGCTGGTTAAGCCTTAAGGCATAGTGAAGAGAGCAGGAAGGCACAGCCCAAGAGAGCCGATGAGGACATAGATTAGGAAGAAGGAAGTCCCTCCTTCTGTCGGATATCGTCAACACACGGACCACCAGTGAAAGGAGAATGTCAGCAGAATTCTACGCAGAAATGAGTTTCTGGCTGGGATTGTTGGAGCCTGCATCCAAAATTGGAGTTTTCGAGCCTGAACAACTGAAGTCAAGCTCTCGAGTCCATCGAGTTAACCGACTTCACGTCTGGGCTTGTAGCAGCACAACATCCGACTAAGAAACCTTCTGCAATCTACATTATCCTTATCAGCCTGCTAGTTCTCTCCTAGTTGTGCTGTCTCCCTATTCTGTCCCAGCCATGGCTTTCACCAACTTCCGTCACAGCGATAACCTGCAGACCGGGTTCGCATTTTCGATATGCTGAGAGAAACGTCACAAGGAGACCAGAAGAGCAAGCTTAGCTAACATTGTGTTTTTCAACAGGTTTGAGCTTTTTCTCCTCGCCGAGGGCGAGAAGAAGATCACCGAGAAGGTTGTCACTGGTGAGTCTTCCGACTTGCTACCTTGTTTCACCTCCAATTCACATCCTAACCGGCCGGTTTCATCTCAGGTATGGCCAACACGTCCGACTTCATCATCTTGAAGGAAGACCATACCATCGGCAACCTACTGAGCGAGCACCTCAAGCAGGCCCCCCACGTCATGATGGCGGGCTACAAGAGTATAACTACCCCTGCCAACAAATGACATTAAAATTGCAACTCCAACTAACAGTAATTGCAGTTGGCCATCCCAACGTGCCTGAGGTCCTCGTTCGCGTGCAGACGGATGGCACGATCACGCCCCGAGAGGCGTTGGTGAATGTCTGCAAGCAGCTGGTTGCCGCCTACGGCCAACTGGGTCGCGAGTTCCAGAAGGAACTTGCACTGCGCCAATACGCAGACCAGGGTGCTGGCGCAGCCGATGCCGCGGCGGGCGCTATCGGTGGTACTGGGCAGAACGGTTTCTGAGCCCGCGGAAGGGAGGGGGGGGGGAGGTGTGAAATGGGGGTTCACGAGAATGAAACTAATAAACGGAGATAATGGGGTTTTACCGGGCGTTACGGGGTGCTTAGGTATAGGGTGTTCGGGATTTCGGCCTCATCTTTGGCGGGTTAGATTTCACGCTACATCTGGGGTCATATCGCATTAGTGGACGGCGCCTTTGCTGGCGCTTTTCGAACAACACTTCGCGTTTTGTCATCGTTCCCATGTCTGTGGCCTGTTGTCACGATGCTTCCATTCAGTGCTGATTTTTATTCAGGGTTTGACGTAGCTCACGACGAAAGGTACCTAACTCAGCCACCTCTACCGTCTTAACGACTAGACCTATCCGTCTCGTGACAACATGGCCCATCTTGTCAGCCTCATGATGAAGGCTGGGGAGCCACTGCCGTTGGACCTTCTCCTCCGGGGATAAGCTGGAGTTATATTAGCCAGACATGTATCAGAGTTAAGGCCGAGATTGCTGTACCATGCAAATGTTGTTGCCGTTCAGCAGGATCTTTTTGAGCTTAGTGTGGTTGCCCGAATAATCACTTGAGCCAACCATTAGCTTCACAGCCTTAAGGCACACAACGAAATGGCGAGTCTGTCTTACAACTCGGTTACATCTTCCAGGACCATGTCTGCAACCGTTGGTTAGTACGCGCTTATACTTTGGGACTAGCTGGGGACAAGGCAGAAAACACCTACTAACATAGTCGTCGAAGCCCACCAGGGTACCCGCAAACTCTGAATGGTGCAAAATCGAATCAGCCGGGATGTTCAATTGAAAGCAGAGATGGGACGGGGGCTGTAGTTTCTTGGTAGGTTATTGGTGATAGGTACCTTTGTCACCCTTCATGATGACCCAGATGCGGGACCCAACACATTTGTCGATGAGCTCTGTTGGACATGGTCAATTTGTGTGATTTGGAATGCAGTTTGCAGTTTTCGGGGACTCATAGCTCGAAACGTACCGAGAGGCAAAAGCTGTGTGGCCATGATGTCTGACGAGATGTGATGCTTACCAAGTTCAGGGCATGTCCAGTTAACAGAGTCAGGGATGCACGATCAGCTCGCTGGCGATGGTGCTCTTGCTGGGGAGATGGCAGATGAGTGTATCCGTAACTTTTGCAGTCATTGTTACGAAAGGTATGTTACGTTACGCAATCCCGTGACATCGCGCCTGGAACGCGGCCTCCCACCGTCGCGGTCAGCCGCACGAGACCCACTACACAACCCCGATAGATGCATTTTAGCTGTTTGTGGGCCCCTGAATCCCTCAATCTCTGCTTTTCCGCGCCAACCAAGACAAAGAACGTGGATCGAGGGGCAGCACGAGGAACGCCAACAGTGACGGGCTTAGCTGCTGCCAACTCGCGATCGTTGGGGCTGGGACGTGAGGCTGTTGTGAGCGTGAAGCGTGCGCTTCTGCCTGGGCAATTTTGCATTTTTAGCTGCCCTTCGCCGTTCGCTCTCAAGCTCTGTTGTTCTTACACTAAGTCTTCGCTCAGCACAAATGATTGCAGGCGTCGCACTTATAGCGGAGGCAGCAGCATTGGAATCAGTAGTAGCGCCATGACAGGCCGCAGCCATGGCGCTTTACGGTCGTTACGCCGGTCCGCATCCGAACCAGCAATGACTGTCTTTCGTCTAGGCACCCGCATCAGCAGTGCTAGCATTGGCCGGACTACCCTGTTCCATTCATTGCAGCCCAAAAGACCCACGCGGGGCATGAGACCGGCAGTCGCTCTCGTTCGGTCCCATGCAGCGGGTTTCTATTCTCTTATGAAACTTCGCTGTAGGGCTAGTTCTGGCTCTTGTCGCTTATTTTCTGTCTTGTCTTGCTCTCGGTCTTTGCCCATTAGCAACTCGTGAGTTTCGAAAGTGTAGTGTTGATACAAGTCTTTGTAGCTGACTAAGTTCAGTTCGCCATATAATATCACCAGAATGGCCGCTCTCAACCAGAAATGTCAACTTTGGGACGTTAGCCGGGGCATCGTCTTTGCCGGAGAGCCCAAGGTTTTCTATCCTAACTTAGTTATGGAGAGCTACCATACCGCTGCGGCGACTGCGACAGATAGCGAGGCTCAGTCGGCATGTGTCGCAGTTGCCAGCATGGGGGAAATCGCAAAGAAGCCTACTCGTCGTCGGCGGAAGCTAGTCGTCAGTGATGTCGAGGTTACTGCGACCGAAGAGCCAGTCACCATGAGCCATACCTCTGCTTCCGCCGAGGAAGAGCCTGTTCCAGAAGATGGCGAGGAGGTTGAGGAACCCATTGGCAACACCATCAAAAAGCAGCCTGAAAATTCTTCCACCATGGTACCTCCATTCACTCCGCTCCCGTTCAAGATGCCAGAAGAATTGTTCAGGGCAGCGAAGCAAGCTGCCGAGGGATCTCCACAGTCCTTTTGGTCTTACAGCATGTATCGAGGCCCAGATGACGAAAGGGTTAAGGTCCACTACTGCACCAGCCAATACACCACAGAAAGGGTTCTTCAGAACTACTTCGCTCACGAAGAGGTTCTTGGCTTTGACCTGGAGTGGGAAACCAACGCCACGAGGTCTCGAGGTCCAAGGAAGAACGTTTCGCTCATCCAGATCGCGTCTCCGAGTCGCGTGGGTCTATTTCACGTTGCCAAATATCCTTGCAAGGGCAGCCTTGTTCCGCCAACTCTGAAACAGATCATGGAGAATCCCAAAATCACCAAGGTTGGCGTGGCCATAAAGGGTGATTGCAGGCGCATGGAGCAGCATTTGGACATCAAATGCCGTGGTATTCTTGAACTGAGTCATCTCTACAAGCTTGTTCGGTTCTCGAGAACCGGAGAATATAATCTCATTAACAAAAGGCTGGTGTCTCTAGCCTTCCTAGTCGAGGAATGTCTCGGTTTGCCCCTCTTTAAAGGGGCTGATGTCAGGACCAGCCACTGGGCTAATGTACTGGACGCAGACCAGATCGAATGTAAGTTTACCATGTCCTTTCATGAATTGTCCCTGGGAGCTCACTGTCTATCATAGACTCAGCATCTGATGCCTACGCTTCCGTTCAGCTCTATTTCGTGCTGAATCATCAGCGGGAACAATTAAATCCTGTTCCTCCTCTGCCACCTCATGCCGAGCTCGACCTGCCACTCAGACATGCGGGAAATGACTACTTGTTCGCTGAGGACTCTGAGGCTCAGTCGCCAACCGAAGACACAACTGACCCGCTTAACGCGAGTACCACGGCTAAACAAACAGATGTTGTCAATTCCAACGATCCCGCAAATATCGACAACCTCGTCGAAGCTTTCGATGACCCCAACGTCCACCCTCTCCTTAACGCAGCCCAAAAGAAAGCCTACCGACTGTGTTTTACCCGCCAGGACATCCGTATCAGTCCGATTCGACTACGTGCCTACTACCTCTGGTACGACAACCCGGACCTCAAGCCGGAAAAAATCTCAGAGATTCTGCGAGACCCGCCGTTGGCGACTATTACGGTTGTGGCGTACATCCTGGACTCATTGCACACAGCAGGACTGCCGTATGATAAGGAACGGCTCCGGGACGAGGTGCTGGTGCATGTGACCCCTGAGGTGCGGGCAAAGGCTTGGTGGAGGACTAAATCCGGTGATGTGTGGGTCAAGCCTTTTGAGAAAGAAGGGCTGTTGCCGGTACGTAGTCAGGAAAGCGGAGAGCCAGTAGGGACACAGGCGTGAGATTCGACATGAAGCCATGAAGAAGTATGCATCATGTTGATTAATGTTTGGTGTGGAGTCTGGATCTATGTACTGCAAACTGATAAAAGTCTGGGTATTACGGCGTCGGGATAGGATGGGTTGGATTTCTGTACAATGGTCGATACTACAACATGAGCCATGATATGTACCAGTACAAGTGAAGACCATTCAGTGCTTTAAGTCAGAAAACACCATTAACGGTAAATCCCAATTTTTGATGTGCCTTTTCACCTATCCTGGGTATATACGAACAGTTTCTTTTTATTATTACCACATTCATCTCACTCCCCCTTCGCGCAACGTCACCCCTATTTTTGCTCGGTAACAATATTTCTTCCCCGGTTGACTTGTACCTTCTTATCCTCACCCCCGCTGAAAATACCCAGCTTATCCCACACCACACTAAACACTTTGCACCCATCGCCAGCAACCGGTCTCTTCTTCTTCCCCTTACTGGCCCAGCTCTCGCGCTCAATAACATATACCGGCTCGCTGACACCACCTAGACTGCCCTCTTCCTTGGTCGCGGGCCGCACGCTGCGCAGATCCCACACGCGACATGTCCCGTCGTGAGAGCCAGATACCAAAGAGTACTCGTTCTCCGGCGACGGGCTGAGCGACACGACCTTGTTGGCGTGCCCGCGCAGCGTCATGACGGATGTTGTTGCCGACGAGGCGCGCGGGTCGACCATTGTGATGTGTCGCGCGGATGTGCCGGCCGCGAGGAGAGGGGACGTGGTACCTGCGCGGGTGAGAGCGCTGAGGGAGAGGAGCGGGTGAGTAAGTGTCAGTGTGCTGACAACCTGGCCCGTCGTCAGGTCCAGTGTGCGGACAGTGTGGTCCTGTGAGGCGGAGTAGGCCACTGTGCGATCGCGCGGGTCAAAGATGGCTGCTGTTGCCGGGGCAGTGTGGATGGACCAGAGGCCAAGAGGGCCACGCTGGGCGGTGCTGACGGAGGAGGTGGCCTTGCGCCGCTTAGAGACGTGCGCGCCGGGGAGGAGAGAGGCGTCTGGTTCAGGGGCAGAGGCTTTCGAGGCGCTCCAGAAACCGATGGCGCCGTCGGCTGAGGCTGTCAGGATGTGCTTGGAATGCCCGTCGACATCGAGCCAGTCAACTGAACCGGTGTGACCATAGAGTTCGAGCGTCGGCTTGAGTTCACCGGTGAAATGGTCGCTTTCAGTGTACTTCCACACGCGCACAGTACGGTCCATGCCAGCCGAGGCGAGACGGTCGCTGGTCAGGAATTTAGCTGCCTTGATGCTGGCTGTGTGCCCGCCGTGGCTGCCGGAGGGAGATGTAGCGATAACACTGCCAGAGGCGTTCCATATCCTGAGGAGACCATCATATGAGGCGGAGAGCACACGTTCTTGGCCAGGTTGGACAGCGGCACTGGAATTGGCAGCAGAGGACCAACGGCCGGCTGGAGAGGTAGCGGACAACACATCGACAGCGCTGACCCAGTCGTCGTGTTCAAAGCTGGCCTCATAGACGGGCGGGATCAGACTGCGCACATACTGCAGGGTAAGTGTCGTTTCAAGGGACAGGCCGTTGCTGGTCAGGTAGTCCTCGAGGCTACTTCGCAGGAAGCTGCCGTTGATGAGGAAGTCGAAGGGGATAGACCCCGTGTCGAGCATGGACTCGGAGTTCAGAATGCGCGAGAGGCCATAGCGGCGGATATCGGCGGGCACGAGGAGCTGACGCTTGCTCTCGGGAAGCTCGAGATCGGGCTCGGTAGTGGTGAAGATGACCTTCACCTGGGCCACGGGGGCCGGGGCGTCCTCCATGGGGGCGTCCATGGCGATTGCGCCAACGGCGTTGGCTGGGATTTAGTAGGTTTTTTCGCTGAATTAACTTCAATAGGGTTTTTTGTGTCCAATTGACTTTCTAGATGGACGCAGAGACCCTGGCCTGGTGTTGTTGACGTTCTCGTGGTAGTTGGCGATGTTTGCTTGGTGCTCTCTGGTCTAAAGTCGAACTTTTTTTGGTTGCCGCGACGGGTACTTTACCCCACGGCCTTATCTTATCGCACCCTGCAGGAAGACAACGGACCCTTGCTACAGTTCCCACAGCTTAACGGGGCACGTAACGACGCGTAACGACGCGGTTCGTTAATTTCATCTGGTGCTCCTCTGATGCACGAGACCCTGAAAAAGGCCCTGAGCAAGCCCAGGTCCATTTGACGCATCGCGTCCGACTACAACAAGCTTTTTTGGGGCTTCGCCTTTTTCAGGGCTCATTAAGTCGGTTTCCTTGGTATACTGACCATACACCTTTACAAGGAGGTCTTCTGTTGAGGCCCAAGGAGCCATGGTCAAGCTCGAGGAAATTGCAGACACTACTCTGCTGCAGAAGCCTTCGTAAGTCGGCGATGTATTCTGCTTTCCTTTTCTCCAAGAAGACATCGCTGACAGTCTCTTCTTCAATAGCGGAGACACTCAGTCTCCCGTTGAGCGCGTTGAGTCCAAGTACAAGCCATTATACAAGTTTAATTTGCCACGGCACCGCCAGTACCACCAGCAGTATGCCGACATCTACTTCTTGCGTCTCACGAAGCTTAAACCTGCTGTCGAGGCCGTTGCCCGTGAGGCATGGGAGGATACTATGATCGGTGGCGAGATTGCTCGCCGAGTTGAGCGTGTGCTAGATGTCCGCCAGGGCCAGCTCTGCTGGATGGTAGGCACAGTGTACATGGACATGCCCCTAAAGCCTAGCGTTCTCGAGGATATCTCCAAGGACCGCTGGATTGGTAACCCGATCACAACTGGTCACTACTTCCAGGATGATGGCAGTGGCACAACCATCATGCTCGAGGATGATTCTGGTCGTATCCGCCTCGTTGGTAGCCGCCTGCAAGACTTCTTTCTGGTCACCGGCTGTATCATTGCTGTGCTAGGCACCGAGAATGTAAACGGGGAGTTCGAGGTAATTGATCTCAAGTTCGCCGACCTCCCTCCCCAGCCGGAGCGCTGGGCCCTGACCAAACCCCCGTCCAAAGGCGGCCGCAAAAACGAGGACATCGAAATGGCCGACTCCAAACCCTCCAAAAAGATCGCCATCGTCTCCGGTCTGGAATTCTCTGGCTACGACACCTCTCATGCCATGGACCTCAACCTCCTCCTCGAATTTCTCCTCGGCGATGCCCTAACCCCCTCAACCCAAGCCACCGAACTTTCCCAAATCTCCCGCCTCATCATCGCAGGCAATTCCATGGGCGACAGCACCCACAACCCAAGCACAACTGCTTACTCACGCAACCCCCACGTCCCGCCCAAACCCCACGTCAAAAAGTACGGCTACGACTCCTCCTCCTTCAACCCCCTCCCCTCCCAACTCCTCGACCAATTCCTCTCTACCCTCCTGCCCACCATGCCCGTCACCCTACTCCCCGGCATCTTGGATCCTGCTACAGCTAGTTACCCGCAGCAGCCGATCCACTCGGCGATGTTCCCCCGGGCAAGGACGTTCGGGCCAACGCCGAAGCCACCGCCGCCGCCCCCGCCGCCGGGTAAGGAGGCAGAGGCTGCGCAGCAGGAGATGCAAGAGGAGAAAGAGCCAGGCTGGTTCGATGCAGTGACAAACCCTTGGGAGGGTGAGATCGAGGGGTGGCGGTTCTTGGGGACCGGCGGGCAAAATCTGGATGATATCTGCAAGTATATTGATAGTGAAGACCGGTTGGGTATGATGGAGGCTATGTGTCGGTGGAGGTGCACCGCGCCAACTGCGCCAGATACGCTGTGTATGTCTTCCTACCCCGATCTACTGAATAAGAGATAAAGAAACTAACCGAGCAAACAGGGGCCTACCCCTTCCAGGAAGATGAGCCCTTCACGATGCTGGAGTGCCCGCACGTCTACTTTATCGGCTGCCAGCCACAGTTCGGGACGCGCGTGATCGAGGGTCCCCAGGGCCAGACAGTGCGTCTGATCTTGGTGCCGTCGTTCGCATCTACGCGTGAGATCGTGCTAGTTGACGCTGAGACTCTTGAGGTGTCCACAGTGAAGATCTCGACCTTCTAACTTTACTGTATATGGACTCATAACTATCTATTTGTTCTCCTGTCTACCTAGCTAAACTGTATAGGAAGACTGTTTGATCAAAAAAAAAAATCAGAAATCTCCGTATGTGGCCATGTCCACAACCTATCCTCCTCCTATACCCCTCTTCCCCCAAAGGAAATAAATATACTCATCCTTCCTGACAAGATCCCCCGAACGTGTCCGTGATTATGGCCGAAGATGTCCGTATGCGACCTATATCCCGTCTATCATGTTTCTCCATAAAATGTCCCAAATGAAGATATTCTTATTAACACAAGAATAAAGGAAAAATCAAATAACCCAGTGCCACCATCTCAGCACTTCTTGCTTGCCCTCTAAGGGCGATAAGCCCTTTATTCAACGCCAGCCTTCGCAAACGACATCACCAAGTTCTTCCTCCCCTGCTCACTCATATCCTCACCACGATCACTCTCGTCCTCACTTTCTGACTCCTCATCTTCAGACTCTTCCGCATCCACATCCCCCGCCAGACGCTTTTCCAACCACTTCTACTTCTCCTTCCGCTTCTTTTCCGCTTCCGCGTGCTCTTCCCAAATGTTGTTTTCCACACACTTTAGCTCGGCAGGTGAAAGTGTGCATGCCTCTTCGATGTGACGGCGCAGCGAGAGGAGAGCCTGCTTTGCGACTTGGCCCCTCTCGCGCCGCTTGGCTTGAGCCAGCTCATCGTGTTCGAGTTGGTCGGGCAGCGGAGAGGGAGACAGCTGGCGCTTGACGGGGGTGTTAACTTCGTTCCAGGGGACGTAGCGAAGGTCGAGCGTGGCTTCGTAGTGGCGCGAAGTAGTGTCCGAAGTTTTCTTGTAAGCTGCGGCACTCGACTGGAAAATGTTATTGCCAGAGTCAGAGTCCGATGAGGAGTCAACGCCAGCGTTGTTGTTGTTTGCGGCGCTGGCTGTAGTAATGATGATAGGGGTAGGGGCACGGCGTCTGCCCAAGGTAGAGTTGTTCTGCTTAGAGTTGGTGTGCACATTGATGCGCAGGAAGCGCGTGTTGACTCCCAGCAGCGCCTTGAGCACCGGCGCATTCTTGCTAAAGTAGGGAACCACGCTGAGATATTTTGTCTTCACAGTTCCGGAGCCGCCGGCCTTACGGCGATAAGTCTCGAACAAGGGAGAGACTGTGATGGTTAACTTGTACAAGCGAATATGCGGGAGGGCCAGCGCCTGGATAGCAGCAGCCATAAGTTTCTCATAAGCGGTGCCACTGCGGTTCGGCTCGAGTTCGATGGTGATGTGACGCAAAAGATGAGCATATTTCTCGAGGTTGATGCCAGTCTCGGGAAAGCCCCGGGGAGCAGTACGAAGGACGAGGCGATGCTCTTGCTGAAGACGACACACGACTTCGGGATCGCGAAGCTGATAAAGGAATGTGTTCTCCGAATAGAGCACACGGATACCCTCCGCAGCAGTCTGGCGACACACAAGCAGGATGTTAATGTTAATAATGGAGTCATTACCCCTAGTGCCAGAGTCACAGTTGCCACGGCGCCGCCTTGTCCGGCGAGCAAGCTCCGTCCAGAGGTTTCGGACACCGACGGGCGTCGACGAAACAAGCAAATGACGATAGATCTTGTCTCGAATTTCAGGAGCCAAGCTGAAAAACCCGGTAGAGGACTCAACACTGGGAAGGATAGACGAAGTAGCCACCATGATCTCGGACTCAGCAATGTCAGCAGCCTTACGCCTCGGGCGAAGGTTCTGGTTGTGACTTGTGTTGTTTTTTTGGACCGCGGAAGGCTGAGGTCTCTCAGGAAGTGCCATATCACGGTCCGGAACCGGCAAGTTCTCGTGAAGCCTGGCTGAAAGCGCATCAGGGTAGTTTCGCGCACGCGTGATGCGTGCTTGTGCACTGGCTCTAGGGTTATGTAGCTGGGCTCTAGTCTTCGCGGCCTGGGACACAGCTTGGACCTGTCTTTGCCGCTTTCGAGGTCGCGAGTTCGTGACTACTTGTCTGGGCGGCTTGTGGAGGAACGCACGAAGGCCCTTGTGGTATTCAGCCGCAGGTGGTTCCAGCTCGATGACATCCTCATCATTGCTATCGTGGGAAAAGGTTGTACCCGTGGGCAGCTCTTCATCGGCTGTCAGATCGATGATATCTGCGGTAGTAGGCGGGCCTTGACGACGAGGGACACGAGGGGAAGCCCTGGCAACCGGGTCTCGTACAACGATGATGTCTTCATTATACTCATCTCGCTGAGCTGTAGTGCGCTTTTTGGGAACCTGCTGGACGACGGCCTTGGTACGAGGAACGGAGGAAGAGGCAGCAGGTCTTCGAACTGTAATGGTATCTGAGATGCGCTCATCCCGCTGACCGAGAACACCCTTTTTTGGGAGTTTCTGCGCTGCGGCATGACCACTAGAAGGTGAAGCAGGAGCAACAGGAGCTTGACCGAGTCGATGCTCTTGACCAATGTTCGAAGCATAGGCGGACTGGCCAACCACGTTTGAGTGAGTGATACTGGAAGTGGCAGGGGAGATTATACTTCTCGGCCGAGCACCAACTGACACGAAATCACGGTTGAAATTTTGAGTGACCTTCTGCTGAGCAGTGTTTTGGCGAGTAATGTACTCATCGTATAAATTCCGGCCAAATGTGAGAGTGTTTCGAGCCGCATGGTAGCTGTAGAAATGGCTGTCAGTTGACATTTTCGTAGAAGCAGCAGCCAAGGACTCCCGAACTGAGGAGGATGTAGAATATTCGGGGCATCCAGGATGAGCAGCAAACGTAAAGTATGTAGAGTACACAGGTCGAGCCTGGATAGAGTATGAGTATGGTGTGGCCGCTTCGACTTCGGCCGTGGAGCGGCGCCGGTCTGGTTCGACTGTTCGGTTAAGAAAAGGTTTGATTTGGACTGACATCGTGGGTCAGCTCTCGGTGAATTCGCTTTTTTGAGGAGTAATAAAATTATTGGGTCCGAAGCTCAATAGTGGGTAACTGAAAAGAAACCTGCGATCGCCCATGCTTGTCTTCCCTCACTTTGGGAAACCAGGAAAGAGCAGGCCGAATGGCTGAGTAAAGGGCAATGGGAGAGGATGAAGTAAACGAAATAAGCTCTCTGAGTCTTGCGATCTGGAGCGATTTTTTTCTTGTGATCTTGAGTCTGTAGTTACCTTGTGAGGAAGGATTGAGGATTTGATTTCGAGTTGGGTAATTAGCGCGATCTCGAGTGTGCCACGGTCTCAAGTGTGATGTTTCGGTTTAGCGTTGAGAGTCGTGGTTCAGAGTATGTGAACTCGCAGTCTGAGGCCAGCCCACTGGCTGGCTGATCTGATCTAGAGCGATTGGTCATTATCTTAACAGAAGTTTTCGCAATCTGAGCCAAACCAGTGCGATCGAAACCCAGGTTCCCACAATCTCAATGCTACTCACTGTGATCTGAAGCGGCCCTCTTTCCCTCTGGTGCGAGAGACAAAAGGGGTTGCGGTTCATGCCCAGGCAAAATTAGAGACATTTGAATGCTTGAGAGAATGCGAGAAGGTAAATAGATGTCGGTATCTTAAAGGAGAGGGTGAGAACGAATTGCTGAGATGTTTAGGGAAGCGGAGGATGAAGGTTGCAAATTAGCTACTACAAGTTGTTGTTTGGGAGAGGGGAACTTCCTGCTCAAGAACGCTTCAGGACTTTAGGAATTCGCAGTTGGGGTAAACATCAGATTGCTAAAACTGTAAAAGTTGTGAATACCTAGGAGACACATTGTGCATGCGCGTCATGATATCGGACAAAATGGCAATTGTTGCCAAGGAACTTGGGAGAACTGGATATCGTGATTTTGGAATGAGGGAGGATAGGATCCGGTCCTGCTGTTGGATTTGCCCAACGCAGCACAGGCTAAAGTCTGTTCTATATATTATGCTGTCGAGCTCTAAGACTGAGGCACCAGGTAAAGCCTAACTCTCATCATGAAGATTCCAACCATACGTGCACAGCTACAACGCAGCTGTTTTATCGGACGAAGAATGGGTTATGAATCAAGGACTACTGGAGACTCAGCAGACCTAGAAAATGGCCACGGACTAAATCCAAATATTAGCGCTTGATACATGGTGATTGTATGATCTCAACCCTTCCTGGAGCATCTATGATCACAAAATAAGTTTCTGACTTCATCGTATCTGGATCTCCGGTTACGCTATAAATTGAAGATGATAGGTGACTTTCAGCAGCAGCTGAGTAGAGAAAGTACGATGGTAAGATCTGATCACAAAACTATGGTTTTTGCTCATGTTGATGTTAGCAAGGCTCATCAAAGGTCACAATCAGTATCGAATGGCCGAAGAAAGGATTCGATACTGCTTCCGCTGCTGGATGATGTCAACCTACCTTTCCTGACTGACTTCAGAAGTGACAATTGTAAAACTTCTGTTCGATACCGAGTATTCGAGGCTCAAACTTACTGAAGTAAGCTGTAAGCTCCGGACACTTGCCATAATATCAAAAAATTTCCAAGGACAAGATGAGGACTGATGGTCCAATGCATCCATCTCGCCATGGAACAAGCATAAAGGCGCATCCTATAGAACAGTTTAACTTTAACTTTGTATTTGGATGTATTCCCGTATCAAAGTCGAACGAGCAACACTTGAGAGAACCTTGGTTGTTCTTGGAAACTCATTCTGACAGAAAAAAACTCCAAGAAATAGAATTGAGATCAGCATTCCCCACCGTTTGCTGTTGATCCACAGCAGATTGGAGTTAGTCTATTCGTTCCCTAAACTCGGTGACAAGCCGTCAAAGATGGAACTCCGATCCCTGAGAGACGACTACGATGGCATGCATAGTGGCGTGGCTCTCAAGTCTCAATTGTTGACAGAGACCGGATACGTCTGGTTCGACTGCATAGTTGACGAAATTTCATAGAGTTCAACAGATTCAGACACAAATTCAGACACAAATGCTTGAAGAGGCTGGATTCATTAGTACGAACTACGGTTTGGCGCTGGAGGTCATGTGCTCATGCTCGAGCATCTCAGGAGTCGAGGTACAAGATGCTTGCCCCAACACTTCTCACCGACTCAGGGACAAGAGCTGATGACTCGACGACCTATGTACTAGCAAAGAATAGCAATGAAGCAAACAAGTTTCACGTGTATACACAAAAGCAGCCAGCAGGCAGTCGGTGAGGAATTCATCTCGAGCGGGACTTGGAAGTCCGGATCTAGAACCGGCGACTGTCCGGTTTTCGGTCCCATAGAGGCCTTGACCGTGGCGACATGCCGTCGATTGCCGTCAGCCTAGCGCTCCACCAGGGAGAAAAGCCCCGATCCGAACCGACCCCTCCTGCGCCCCAGGCATTGCGCCCCTGGCTCCATGCGTTCCAGCGAGTACCAGATGACCTTCCGGAACAAGGCGAGCGTAACGTTTTTAGCTGCCGATACGGCAGATCTGGGGTACGTACCGGCTGGTACCTCACTCCCCTTGCTTTCCACCATCCTTTTCACTTACATTGACAGCTAAAGATAACCGGTGCGTAGTCTTGGTTGTGGCACCCTGCGAAAAAAAAAGTTTCTTTTTCGTAATCGCCGGCATCACCAGACCAAGCCAGGGCATTTGCGTCATGTAATTATTGGCAAAGTACAAGAGGTACTATTTGTGTTTCAGGCAGGCGGAAGGGTTGGAAGCAAGCACGTCAACTTGGGTAGTGCGAAATTGACAAAGAGGGGCGGAAGATTGAACGTTTATCGCCGGCTTGATCCTCGTTATATGTATAAATTGAGGAGTTTTAAGAAGCCGGTCATCGGCTACTGGCCTCCTCTGTGCTTGTTCCCATTAGAACTTCTCGTAATTACTTAGACTTTCTGGCTTCATCTTAGACCTCCAAACACAGCTTTTAGCACTTCGATAAACAACTACCAGAGGCAGATACACAACAACAATGGGGTCTCTTCCTCAATCGCCGCCTGCCAAGCCGTGGGTTGAGACACCCTTAATCTTCTCTCGGCCGCTGTCCGAAATAGCAGGCTGCAACATCTTTCTCAAGCTTGACAACCTCCAGCCGTCTGGGTCCTTCAAGTCGAGGTATACCCGTCCTTCAAATGTGTGCTCAAGTTGACAGACCTACTAACTCCTGACAAAGGGGTATCGGCAACATGATGTACCTCGCCATTCCCTCAACTAATGACCCCTCCTCCCCTCCCTCGGTACACTTTTACTGCTCCTCAGGAGGTAACGCTGGCCTCGCCTGCGCAACCACCGCCGCGGCATTGAACTGCCCAGCGACCATTGTTGTTCCAGACTCAACATCCGCCTTCATGATCAGTAAACTGCGGTCTCTCGGCGCAGAGGTGATCCAAACCGGCGCAAGCTGGGCCGAAGCTGATGCCTATCTGCGAGAAACCTTCCTTTCTTCCCCTGCCGCCAACGGCGTCAATGGCCACAGCAGCAGCGACGAGATCTCAAAAGCAGCCCCCAAGAAGAACGTCTATGTCCCACCGTTCGACCACCCCGATATCTGGACGGGCGTGTCAACCCTCGTTGACGAGCTGCTCACCTCCATGCCCCAGATCAGCCGCACCGGTGTCATTGATGGCATCGTCTGTAACGTAGGCGGCGGCGGCCTGCTGAACGGTATCATGGAAGGTCTTGAGCGGCACGACATGCTCTCCACGACTAAAGTCCTTGCCGTTGAGACTGAGGGAGCAGACAGCCTGCATGCTAGTGTTCTTGCCGGCGAGCACGTCACACTCCCCCGGATCACGTCCATCGCGACCTCGCTTGGGGCAAGGAGGGTCTCGGAAAAAACGTGGGAGTGGGCTGTGAAGGAGGGGGGACAGTCGCTGATCAGCGCGGTAGTGACGGATGCTGAGGCGGCTGAGGCGTGCTTGAGGTTTTTGGATGATGCTAGGCTGATGGTTGAGGTATCGTGTGGCGCGACGATCGCGACAGTGTATAAGGGGGGGTTTCTGAGGCGACATCTTGGGAAAGGACTGACGGATGAAGAGTGGGCGACGAAGAATGTTGTTGTGGTTGTATGTGGCGGGTCGAATGTAAGCTGGGAGATTCTAGAGAAGTATAAGAAAACGTTTGGGATATAGACAGTGGGAGTTGACGACGGGGGTCTTGTGTGCTTTGCTCTTCCAGCTTCAGTTTAATACCACCATTATTGTTGTTCTCCGGGCTGTCCATTCTGTGTCTCCTCATCCCGTTGATAAGTAAGCTCTTTATATGCCTCTGGTACCTCCTTAGTCGCAAACTCCCCAAGATCTCGCAGCACGAGCGTTACCTCCCCAAAGTAATTCACCTCACCGACCTGCTCAAAGCCTAGGCTCTTAAACAGCGCAACGCTCCGTACATTCTGTTGGCCAATTTTGGCCATTAGATGCCTCAACTTCGGCCGTCCGATGAGCCCCTTATCCAAGGCATACTCGTCGGTGATGTCGTCGGCATGTCGCCAAATGTACTGCAGGAAGGCTTGCACTACCGCCCGACCTAAGCCCTTCCCGCGGTGTTCTTGATCAGCAATCATAATATCAACCTCGCCGACACAGTCGACTCTCTCCTCTCCAACCTTGCTGGGCATCTCATCACCGTCCTCGGCGAAGTCTTCCTCATGGGGGTAAAGGAAGAGATTGACATCGCCGATCATCCTATCAGGGGCGTCAGCCACTCCGGCCTGGACCCTTTCAGCTGTGGCTGGCGACGATAGAGGCTGGCAGATGATGAAGGTGAGCTTGTCGTGCGAGGATCGCCACGACTGTTGGTTTTCATATTCCTCTTCGAGGGTCAACCGGTCTGAAGCTGTCGCCTCAAGGATGGCCTTAGAGGTGTTAGTTATGACAATTCATTCTGGTTTGAATCTATTTGAAACAATACGGCAGAACATACCATATGGAAGGATAACAACTTACAGGGTCTTGCATCCAGCCATGGTAGGTCAACACATGACGAGCCTCATATGGAACAAGGAGTGCTCTGGCCGTTGAAACGGCTAGGAATCCACTTGCTTGTCAGCAGATATATTACAACAACTGAACTATTCTATAAGGGAACAATACCGGTAGATTCATTCAGCCTCATTTTATGGTTGATTTCTTACTTCTGAAAACGCATGACTGGAGGACTGTAAAATGAGAAATGAAATGTGGGGATGAGAATCTATTTTGCGATCTTGATGAGATGCTTTGTTGCATGAGCATTTGCCAAATATCAGATAACGGGGTTCCACAAACCGGAGCGGCTCAGAGCTCGAAGTACCTACCGCCATAATAATCTCGAAATGTTCGTGACAGCGCCCAGATCACTACACCCAAAAAGCTGTTCTATTTATTTACTGTACAGAAATACTACACAGTTGGCGGGGTATCATAAGGCTGGAGCCAACAAACCGCCAGCAAATCATCCCTCATCATACACTAGGTACAACCACTTCAGCATACAACCTCCCCTCGTCTCCTTAATCCTCCGTAACGAGGATTTCGTTATGACCACCTCCCTTGGCGACCTTTTTCCCACCCTGGAACTGTACATTCTTGTCCTCCACCAGTGGCGGGAACAGCCCTGTGTTACGCGGGCTGCCCTCCTTCAGGAAGCGCAGACCGTACGTGTAGTCGCAGCCGAACACCGCATGCTCGAACGTCCGCTTGTCCGGGGCAACGCCTAGTCTGTCGAGTAGCTCCGGGGCCTTTCCGGGCAGGAAGGCCTGGAGCAGAATGCCCGAGATGCGCAGACCTTCGGCCGCGGTGAATAGAACCTTGCAGGCGTTGGCTTTCTGGACGGGGTCCTCGGTTTTAATCAGGGACCAGGGCTGGGTTTGGGAGAGAAGCTCATTGACCTAAGAGTATGGATTAGTTTCGCGTGTTAAATAGCGGGAGAGGGGGTTACCTGTTACGTACCTGACCGGCCGTATCAATAATGTGGCGGATGGCAGCAACAGGGTTGTAATCATCCATGTAGCGAGCCACCACAGGTGCTAGTTCCTTGAAGCGAGCCTCATAATGGCCAACGAACTCCTGAATGGCCTGAGAAGGTTGAGTTGAAGATTCATCCCATTTGCTCGAGGCTTCAATGATGTTCCTCAGGTCCCAGGCAGGCGTCTTGGTAAGGCGGTTTGTGAGGTTGCCGAGACCGCCCTGCAAGTACTTCTTGTACTTCACAACAAGAGTGTTGTTGTTGTAGTCAGCATCGTCGGTAATGCCGCCCTCGAACAGCAGATAGAAGCGCATCGTGTCAACACCCCACCGGTTGATGGCATACAGGGGGTTGACGACGTTGCCCAGGCTCTTAGACATCTTCCTCTTGTTCAGAGTCCAGTGTGAATGGATCAGCATCTTCTTGGGAAGAGGAAGATCCAGAGCCATCAGTAGAGCGGGCCAGTAAATGCAATGGAAGCGAAGGATATCCTTGCCGAGCACATGAACATCAGCCGGCCAGCCGCCCTTGTGCGACTCACCAGGTGGCCAAGCTGGGAAGCCGGATGCTGTCAGGTAGTTAATCAAGGCGTCCACCCAAACATAGATGGTCTGCGACGGGTCATCGGGCACCGGAATACCCCAGCTAAGCCGTTGAACAGGCCGGGAGATGGACAGGTCCTCCAGATGGTTCTTAACCCAGTCGATAACCTCGTTCATGCGATAGGCAGGCTCGATCCAGTCCGGGTTTTTGGAATAAAATTCGAGAAGCCGGTCTTTAAGCTCAGTCATCCGGAAGCAGTAATTCTTTTCTTCTATCCATTCGACCTTGGTCTTGCTCTCAGCAGCAGCCATGTATACGGCACCAGTAAAGGGCTCCTGGTACTTGATGACTTCAGACTCGGGGTAGAAGCACTCGTCACTAACGCTATACCATCCCTCGTGCTTTGTCTCGTAGATATAGCCCTTTTGACGGAGTAGCAACCAAAAGTGCTCGACCGCCTGGATGTGATCCGGATCTGTAGTGCGGATAAAACGATCGTAGCTGATATTCGTCAGGTTGGCCAGCTCCTTGAACTTCTCGGCAGTCTCGTCACAGAAGTCCTTAGGTTCCATGTCGTTCTGAGAAGCAGCCTGTTGCACCTTCATTCCGTGCTCATCAGTTCCCGTACATAGGAAGGCTTGTCGCCCACGCAATGTCTGCCATCGCTTGAAGGTATCGGCCAGAATCATCGAGTACATGTGCCCGAGGTGAGGAGCTGCGGCTTGGATCAGCATGCTGGGCCCCTCCCCGGGTGGCGACGGCTCTAACCTTTCAAGCGGGGCACATACCGGCATTGACGTAGAAGATGGGTGTTGTCACATAGAATGGCTTGTCACTGGGGACAGTTGATGACACTGATAGCTGTGATGAATAGTGCCTCGGTCCGGACAAGATGGCGCCGGCAACATTGCGAGCTCGGCATGAGCTACACATCCATGTAGTTGCTGTCGTCTTAGGGCGGGTCAACGTCGACCGCCACCGTAGCAAACGGCGGGCCGAAGCCGCCTTCACAAACTCCATGGCAATTGGCACCACCAATGCTCTAGAGCGGTGGTTGCTCAGACCTTAGGAGCTCGTAAGTGGTGGTTGATCGAACTGGTGTCCGAAGCTCTAGCAGATGATGCAACCACGGTGGGTTTCGACCTCGTGAACCCTTGGCTTCGGACGGAAATTTTGGCAAGGGGTCAGGCAACGGACCACCTCTTGGCAAACCCCGCCCAGGGTCCAAAAGTTCAGGCATCGTTCAACAGAGTATATCGTATTATCGGGGTCAAAATTCCTTTTGAAACGGTGGAGGAAAATAAGGCGATGGGATGTTTTCCAGTGTATTATCAGACAATGAGCAACTGGTGAATATGGCAGATGAAAATTTGATACGACGGTACACACCCCTCAGTTGCAGTTGCTTGCGGTTGGATGCAGTGCTGCCAAAGCTCGGACAAGCTCTGCTATCTGAATGTCTCGCCAAGCTGCTGAGGGAAATATAGAAATAAGGACGCTCCGCTTCTGTTATTCCGTGTTGTTCACCCAGTCCCAATCGTCGACCCTCAAATATCCCAAACCGTTTGGTCAAGCTATTCCTGCCGCCATTCTTATTCCAAACGAAATTCGTGCTTGGGCATCACCAGCCAAGAGCATCCGCAGTTCCAGCGGGGCAAGCCGGCCGCTTAGCGGAGAGGGGCTGGCCCCACAGGGCTGAACCATATCTCCTGGCCGATGACGTCGAAGATTAAATATGGCGGCGATGGGACTTCGCTCTCGCTCTTCTCTGCTCAAGTATGGTCACCTTTGGTCGCTCCTCGTCCATGGCCACGCCCTGTGCAACTTGCACGACTGGGTCTCTGGTATACCGAGAACATCAGGGCGATACGCGGCTTTTAAGGAGTGGTCCATTTTTCACTTCGTCTCCGTCATCGGAAGCACATGACGGGAAACATGATTTGAATTCTTGCGTGGTTTGTTCTTGTCGAACTCGAGTTGAAACGGCGCCCCAGACGAACAGGAAATCGCTCATCCTGATTGGTTGGATAGCCGACTTTGCGACGAGCCTGCTCGCCAACAAAGAAGCCTGCCCATGAAGTCTAGGTTAGCCTTCGTAGAGGGCGATGATGTGCATGAATCTCGGGATTTAGCCATAGCAAAATTCAGATTTTGGGGTTGATTTTGAGACTAGTGGCCATACAATCATGTTGTCTTATAGAACAGAACATGTTACTGTCTCAAAGCTTGCGAAAATTCCGAAAATTGAAGGTTGGGCGGCACAGCACAGGCAAACACAGTCGCGCCCAGGTGGGGCATTCCCCGTCAGCCTGGACGCGGCACATGGAGTCTGTGCGGCGGGGGTCGTCGATCGGTGCCATCCGAACCTCGACCAACAGCACGGCCCATAGGAACACCTCACTGTTTTCTACACGGTCCAGCGCCTGGAGTGAGGCACAAGCACTGTCCAACGTCCGCTGAGGCAGCCGTGAGACCTGAGGTGGCCTTGGTACGTTGTGGAAAGTCCACAAGGCCCTAAAAAGAAGCGCATTTTACACAGGTTGTCATTCGTTTTGGTCATTTTTCTCTGGTTCCAAAGAACGTCAAACAGTCCCATTTCCTCAATTCCCGCTCGTGACGTTCTGTCCTTGAACCGCGCGGTCGGTCCTTAGACAACCCTTGGAAACTCAATCCTGGTCCTCATAATCGGTCCCTGGCCGCACGTCAGCCACCTGTCACACTCCGCAGCACCTGCACCTCCCTGCACCTGCTTGACTTGCGATCAAGTGCCCTCAGCTGCGTTCCCAGCCCTCTAGGGGTTCCAAGCAATCCAAAGCCGAAGCCCTTCCCCAATCTGACTTGCTTTCCATCCCGTCTTCCTGCCTTCTACCTTCTAAGGCTCAGTCTTCGCGCTACCCTCACAGGGCCCCAAGCAACGGGTATAGTATCAGACCCGGGTCTCGTGCTGGTGCTTGCTTGGTTTCGTTCTCTTCTTATTCGCCTGTCACATTGGGTACCGACCCGTCTATATCTGACCGTGTGCGCCGCATTCTCCTGCATCGCATGGTTCTTCAGCTCTCCAGTCAGCCTCGTCTCCAACCGGTGATTGCCGGGTGCAAGTTCCTTGCCATTGACAGCATATTCAGCCTGACTTTTCCAACGAGACTGGTCTGACGGCTCAGGAAGTCGACATGATTCTGACCTAGGAACACTGTGTGCGGGAGTAGAGAAAATGGTCGAAAAGGAAGACGTCGAAGCTCTGCTGAAGACAGGGTCCTGGAGGACCTCGCGCTCTCGGAGCCGAGATCCGTATGTCTCATCTCCCTCTGGTCCCCATTAGAGCATGCGAGTATTAACTCATATGTGTCATAGCCGCGACTCATACCGAGTGCGTTATGATGCGCCGTACGACCATGCTAAGTCAACCATTTCCATCTCTTATACCCTTGAGCGGTCTTCACGGCAGACGTGGCCTCCTCCTCCGACTGTCGAGGATGAGGCCGTGGCATTGGCAAAGGAGTATCCGGGTATGCGAGAATGGCAGCCACCAGCTGATGAAGAACCGAAGAACCGCGGTACAATCGACCAAATCCCCCTTTTTGAAGTCGTTCATGAGTACAATCCAGAGCGCCGATTCATATACATACCTGGCGCAGCAACCCAGGAAAGCAACAATGTTAATCAAGCTCGCTACGAGAACAATACGTGCCGGAAATTCGTTCTGGTAACTAAAGACAAAGGCACTGATGAAAAGAAGGCGGTCGACGAGAAAGTTACCGCAAAAGGACAGGGCGTCAGCCAAGAGAAGAGCACTAAGAAACCCGACAGCCCTCCCAAGGTTGAGGTCCCAGAAGAGAAGCCAAAGACCGAGCTGCCGAAACGAAAAAGTCACCAGGATCTACCCCGCCTCAACACAAATCTTGTTGGTCAGGAGCAGCCTGTTCACCGTTCCAGCAGCCGACGTGGCCGAGAGAAACCAGTTGCAGACCAAGATACTTTGAAGCAAAGCCAAACTAACAACCAACCAAGTGCGAAGAAATCTGATGGCGATGACTTTATCTCGCCATCTGTCCAACAGACGATCGGCAGGCGTGACAAGGCTTATTGGGACTACCATCTACCATCACAGAGAAAATCTGGCCACAGCCCATCACGATCAGAAGCTGGTGTGGAAGTGTCCGGCAAGAGACGGGCGGACCGTACCGGCTCTAAACATCTAGCTACTCCCTCGAATCGTCGTCGCTCATCATCTACACATGGCATGCCAATCCGCAACAACTCGACTGCTGAGCAGCCACAATCGTTCATACAACTGGCTGATAGTGCTTTCAACTTTGATCGTGATGCCCTTCTTGGGCGGTTTGCGCTTTCGTCATGGGGCAAGAATGATATCTACGGTTACATGGAGCCGGGAGTGGATTACATGACTGGGGTCCGAGACATAGCCCAAAACTCCTTCCCGCAAAGGGCTGCTCAGATTCCTGATCCCCAACTGCATCCCCGTGGTGCCAGAGAGATGCCTTCATCATCGCCCTCGCGTAGACGTAACCGGAGACGGGAAGTCCAAGAGCGAGAGCGTTCGTCAAGTGATGAGGAAGCCTACAAGGGAAAGCCGCCCCGTCATTCGGAGTTGCCATATCCCAGTACACCTGCACTAGAGCTTGAGGAGCCAGCTCACAGCTTGGATGCAGCATGGCAGCCAAGTGCCAAGGGGTTGGGCCCAATCCCGCAGTTAGCTCCTCCCCCCTCCGGAGGATACCAACGAGAGATTTCACCGCCGCAGAGCTCCCGGCCTGAGCCGATGTCGGTAGGAAGGGCTCGACGGAACAACGACCTCTCTGAATCACCTGCTGCGAGTGGTTCATCGCCAAGGAGAAGCACACATAGCCTCATAATCGGACCAGAAAAGTCTCCCAGAGACCAGAGTGTCGATTTTCTGCCAAGCGCGTCGATGTCAGTGCGCCCCGCCAGGCTCACTTACAGCCGCAACCATGCCATTACAGAGTTCACCCCATCTGCTTCAGCTACCTCCCTTCTCTCACTGGATTCATCCACGGATACACCACCCCTACTTGATTGGCAGCCGGGTAATCTGGATGAAAGAATTCTCAAAAGATCTGGTGGTGGGCGCTTGAAGCTAGAGCTAGACCGGCTCTCCGACTGCCCGTGGAAATACCCCATGGTTGTTACCTATCCGGGTATCAATAATCAGTTTGTGGCGCTGAATACTGCTGTTATCGACTTCACAATCTGTGTGGAATGCTATTGGAGGCATTTTCATGAGACGGATTATCAGGGCCTCTTTGTCGCCGCACCCAGCCGACAGGTCGGCCAGTTAATTTCTTGCGACTTCGGCTCCTCAGTCTGGTACCGCATCGCCTATATTTTGACTAAGGAGCAAAAACTTCCAGATCTACGCTTGATGGAGCACATTGCATATGTTGCAGCACGAACCGAGCCTTGCACAGGCACTCAATTCCTCCCGCGCAATTGGTACAGCATCCATCACCGTGACCCCGCATATGGCTACGTTGAGGAGTTCAATGTCTGTCAGAGATGTGTCAGAATTCTTGAAGTTCTTCTCCGCCCTTTTAAGGGCCTTTTTCAACCGATTGCAGAAGAACTCCGTAGGAGCTCGGGTATCTGTGAGATGCACTATGCACCCGACCGCAAGCGCTTCTTCACCTATTTCCACATCTTGCGAGAGGCGGCTGAGAAGGCACTCGAGCGAAGCGTTCCTGTTAACGTGAACGAGGTTGCAAGGCAACTTCGAGCTGTTTTATTACACGATGAGTGCATGCGCGACGTGAAGGTACCAGAACGCGCATGGTTTGTGCTAAAGCAGATACCAGAGTTCACAGTCTGCGAGGAGTGCTACGACACCGTGGTGTGGCCGATAATAGAGGCTAAGCGGAATAACGTCGTGGTCAGGAACTTCCTGGACAGACGGCAAGTCAGGGCCCATGCGTCGTGCCAGCTGTACAGCGACCGTATGCGCAAGGTGTTCAGGGAAGTATGTGAGACTGGTGACTTTAAATATTTGGCGCATGTGTTGCAGGACAGGATGCAGGAGATGTTGGAGATTGAGAAGCGATATGAGCAGCTCAAGAAGGCGAATCAAGCAGATCCAGACGTGCAAAGGGAGTTGGCCGCGTTGGCCAGGAGGTTCAAGGAGATCGAGTAGGAAAATATTTTCGGATTTCCGGGAGTTGGTTCTGATGTTTTCTTCCAGATTATTTGCCTTGCTTCCTAATTTACCGTTAGACTTCTACTGTTTGGAGTTATTTGTTGTTCATAGAACATGTTGATGAGTGCTGCTTTCCATGATACCATGATGATAGAAGGAATGAGACTACGGTTGTGATGACGAACAGATCCTTTGGTTGTAGTATTTTCTTCTGGTTGTCAATCTTATCTCAGGAGGTTCAGTGAGCGACCATTGGCAGGCACCAGATGATAAATGCCGAGTTAATATCCCATATACAATTCCCGGCTACGCACCCCAGATCTTCGTCCCGGCTGTAGTGGGACACAGATTCTACGGCTCATGGCTCGAGGTATTCAGCCGGAAAATTTTAACAAACGAGAAGTCCAGGGCCAACAAGATAGGGGAGATCATTCAGTAATCGAAGTTCTAGAAGGTGTATATTGAGTCCCAGACCTCGGGCTCTCGATCTGCAAGGGTGGTGAACAGACAGACGGAGAATGAAATCGCTCGAATCAGAGACGGGCTTACAGCTATGAAGTGACGGACGGCGATATTGTAATATACCCCTGGTCACAGCTTCATAGCCAAGCAGCTTTCCTGGCTTGAGCTTCTCTCATGATAATCTCATGATAAGCGATCCGCTGAACTCGTTCTCTAACAGAGTTTCAAAGAAATACTAACAGCTGAATCTTGATGTTGCTCTCCAACTTGATCCTGGTGCTCAGCATCATCTTCCTTCCAGCCTCCGGCTCTCTGTTCAAAGAAGGCTCAACATGCATTGTCACTCCCATAAGCGCTAGCCCTCAAGCCCTCGTCCGCCGCAGCATCGACACCGTCCCTTCCACCGGACGTGATGTCGACCCAGACCAGTCCACCGGCCTCTGGGACGTCATCGACCCCTACAAAAGCCCAGCCCCTGGTACCCCCGGCGCTCTGACTCACTTCCCGCACCCCGAGCCAGGCCGTGCCCACTTCCACGCCCGTCGAGGTCTCTCCCCTTTCGAACGCGAGGTCGAGCCGCTCACCACACGACAGACCCCTGCCCCCGTCGACGATACCCCGCAGATCCTCGAAGCCTTCAAGCAGTGCGGGCAGGATGGCACGATCATCTTCCGTGAAGGGACGTACCACATCCGGCAGGTGATGGATACGACGGACCTGCGTAACTGCAGTATCGAGATCCACGGCACGTGGGTGTGGAGCGCGGATAACATTCCGTACTGGCGGCAGCGAAGTTTCAGTGTGACCTATGCGAACCGGCAGACGGCGTGGCGGTTGGGCGGACGAGATGTGAGTCTGCGAGGGTTTGGTAAGGCGCTGTTTGATGGGAACGGGCAGGTGTGGATTGATTTGGCGAGGGGCCAGGCGAATATGGACGGACGGCCGATCTCGCTGACGATTTGGAAGGGGACGAATGTTCTGATTGATGGAATTCGGTGGCAGATGGCGCAGTTTTGGCATACGTTTGTTGCACATTCGCAGAATGTGACTATGACGAACCTGGAGATGCACACGTATTCGAAGAGCTCGCAGAGCTCGGTGAATACGGACGGGACGAACACGTGGAACTCTAGGGATATTTACATTGCGAACTGGACCGTCACATCTGGTGATGTAAGTGTTGCAGTTTCTGGTCCTGTTTACTTAACTCTGAGCCTACCACTGAGCGTGAGACTGATGGGATCACCTGTAGGACTGTATTGCTGTTAAGGGCAACAGCACTAACGTCCACGTCAGGAACGTCACTTGTTATGAGTCAGGTGCCATGGTCATTGGCAGCATTGGTTCCAACTCATGGCAGCCAGACTATGTCGAGAACGTCGTCTTCGAGGACATCAAGCTCAACCACTCGAGCAATGCGGCCTGGATCAAGACTTACCCAGGCACGGGCTACGTCCGCAACGTGACCTTCCGCAACATTGAGTTCAGCGATGTCAATCAGCCAATCTATGTAACCGCATGCATCTGTAAGGCCCCCTTTCTCTCTTCTCAACTTATTGGCCTTTACTAACCGTCCTGCTGCAGACTCTTATCGCGGTTGCGATAACTCCCGCATCCCCATTACGGACATCCGCTGGGAGAATATCACAGGCACAAGCCGGTACAACGTGGCAGCGGCCATGCGCTGCAGTTCGCAGGCGCCGTGTGACCGCTTCTCCTTCTCCAATATCAACATCCGACCAAAGAATGGAGAGACGGCCAAGGTGCTGTGTACGAACATACGCAATCAGGCTACTATGGGCCTGACGTGTACTGGATCGATGCCCGAATCGCATCCTCAGCAGTTGAATGGGAATGTGTGAGGTTGGAGAGCAGGGGTGTAGGCTGCGAATAAGAGGGCGGTCGATTCGAAGAGAATCGACGTCAAAAAACCTCTTTCGTTCCGGGGATGCAAATATGTGTAAATAGAGTCACCTAGATGTAGTTGGAGTTATGAAGTTCGCAGGCTGTCGGTGAGGTGTCGTCTCTGGGCTTCAATAGGTCGTTCACAGTTGTTCTGTTGTGGAAATGAGTTTCCATGGTAAGCGATAAGAGTTAATGACTTGGATGGCAGCGTATGATATCATGCGGATGACTGTTGTCAACTCCTGAGGGATTACGAAACTCTCATGCAACTCTCACTATGAACTTTACCATGTTTTGCTTGCTAGATGAGAGTATCGAGGTGAGAGTAAGTGATCTGTGAAGGAATGGAGAGTTGCAGCCGATCGCTCCCCCCTGTTGCCGCACCCTTGCCGGTGGCGCATGGTCTTGGCGTTTAGTCAGCTGGCAGCTGCTGAAAGCTTACCCGTTTTAGTCTAGCGCGGATTAGGGCCAGTGGATGCGCCGAGTAAACCCCACGAAGCGCACCTCCACGAAATATTGCAAAATTTCAATTGGAGTGCAGCTGGCCTTGATTTTTCTCGATCTTCACTAAACCGCCCAACGCCGAGGTAAGCACACCCGTCCGCTCGAACTGCTGTTTCTTCAAAGCCCTCGCAGCTCTTTCGAACGAGAAACCTCGGATTCTCGAAACTTGAGCCAAAACAAGCAGTTTTGCTGACTCTCGGATCTCTGGTCGTAGCCCTTCTCGACTTGTCCCAGCATTGGACAAGATGGCCTCTCGCCCGACCGTCACTGTTTTCGGCGCCGATGGCAAGCCCACCGGCGCCACTGAGGTCCTTCCCAAGGTCTTCAGCGCCCCGATCCGGCCGGATATCGTCAAGCACGTCCACACCGGCATGGCCAAGAACAAGAGGCAGCCTTATGCCGTCAGCGAGAAGGCCGGCCACCAGACCTCGGCCGAGTCCTGGGGCACTGGTGAGTGCTTCCAAAATCTCGACTTCGAGTTCGATAGAGAGAGGAGGAACTTAAGGATTCGGGACAATTGGCGGGCCATTCTGGAAGGATGGGAGAATTTGAGTTTAAAGTTGGGCAAATGCTGATATGATATGGATTCCTCTAGGTCGCGCCGTTGCCCGTATTCCCCGTGTCTCGGGTGGTGGTACTCACCGCGCTGGCCAGGGTGCTTTCGGTAACATGTGCCGTTCCGGCCGCATGTTCGCTCCCACCAAGATCTGGCGCAAGTGGCACGTCAAGATCAACCAGGGCCAGAAGTAAGTTTTGAACAGGGATGCGGCTTTGGGAAGCACGGTTTCTGACCTTATCACAGGCGCTTTGCTACCGCTTCTGCCCTCGCCGCCTCTGCCGTGGCTCCTCTCCTGATGGCCCGTGGCCACCAGGTTTCGACCGTCCCTGAGGTTCCTCTGGTCGTCGACTCTGCTGCCGTCGCTGGCGACGCTGTTGCCAAGACTGCTGCTGCCTACAAGCTCCTCAAGGCCATCGGTGCCGGCCCGGATGTTGAGAAGGTTAAGAAGTCCAAGAAGCTCCGCGCCGGTAAGGGTAAGATGAGGGGCCGCCGCCACCGCCAGCGCCGCGGTCCTCTCATCGTTTACAGCCCCGAACACGACGGCAAGGAGCTCGTCAAGGGCTTCCGCAACATCCCGGGTGTCGAGACCTGCCCTGTCGATGCCCTCAACCTCCTCCAGCTTGCTCCTGGTGGCCACCTCGGCCGCTTCATCGTCTGGACCTCGGCCGCCATCAAGCAGCTCGATGCCGTCTACGAGAGCAAGAAGGGCTTCTTCCTGCCTGCCAACATTGTCAGCCAGGCCGATCTCAGCCGTCTCATCAACAGCACTGAAATCCAGAGCGTGCTCCGTGCTCCTAAGGGTGAGGCCCGTACCAAGCGCGCCTGCGTCCAGAAGAAGAACCCTCTGCGCAACAAGCAGATCATGCTGCGCCTCAACCCCTATGCTTCCACCTTCGCCAAGGAGAAGCTGGGTGAGGTTAAGGCTGAGGAGGGCAAGCCCCCTAAGGTTCCGGCTTCGTTCAAGGAGCTCCTGCACGAGGCTTAAGGGGCTGGATGGGGTAGGAAAACGGGAGAGTGGACTGGTTGCGGGTACTTTTCGGCGTAATGGATTAGGCATGTGTGCACATCCACATGAATGAACTCTGATACCGGACACAAACATGGGCGTTTCCTTTGTGACATGAAAAGAATATGGGAGGTCTTGGTGGTCAGCAGCCTGCAATATCGGTACCTCCTTATTTCGTTTTGTGATGATGTTGCCTAGATCCAAGAGGTTCCTCTCGAGGACATATCCTCCTCACTCTTCATACTCCATATGCTTTTTGGTAGGCCGTTGTGGTCTGGACTCATTTCCCATCTTTTCGTGCCCGCTTATGCATATGTATGTATCAGTCCATCTGATGAGTCGACCTGTCATGTGCAGAGTCATGGGTTGGATCCTTGGGTCACGGGTCTCTTGGCCTAGAAGTTTGATCCCTGCATTGCTGTGGCTTGCATGCGTGAGCTCTCCCACCCTGGAAGCTGGTATGGGGGTTTGGAATCATGACGTTATGCATGATGGTGACGATCTAGGCAAGTTGTTGGTTCGTAGATTACAGACCTACCTACTTGGTGTGGTATATCAGACTCGGATCTCAGATCTTCAATCATAAGGCCCCCGTTTGATCAACGTTCATCACCTCTGTTGGCGAAGCATTCAGATGTGCCCCGCCAACGATCAGCGATCGCTGTCCGGCCTGTTTGACCGACGGGCCGTCAAACACCGCAGACCAACACGGCCGGCCTGTCGTCGTTCGTGGTGGGGCTGGTCCGTGTCACCCAACAAGCTGAGACCCTTGCGGGCCCAGCCCACGCTAAACTTTTTTTGCCGGTGGAGTTCAGGTCTTGGCACTCGGGTCCAAAGGCGGGGCGCTGCCCATCCGCCACAGCTGGGCTGGTTTCGTTGCACTTCGGGTTCCAAGCGATTGGGCTGCAGCAAAGCAGTTATCAACCTCCCCCTGCCCGTTTCAGTTTCCGGTGGCACTGCGCCATGTACAAGACGTAGACAATGACGTCGAGCCCTCTTGCGGCCTCACTCAATCCGGGGGCCATGCGGCCCAGCCCTGGCAGCCCATGATGTGGTTTTCTCGTGTTCGAAGGCCGGATAAAGCTTCTCTACTGTGTTGGAGGGGAGGGTGAGGGGGGATGATCTAAAGAGATACCCCTCGGTTTTCTATGGATGAGTGTTAGGTCCCTCTTTTTCCCCCCTCTTTCTCCCCCTTTGCCACTTGTTAAAGGAGAAAGTTGATCGACAGGTTCTTTTGTGAACCAACGAGTCTATGTATCCACGACTTTGACTTGGCTTGACCGAGGCCTACTGTCTCGACCACCCACCCACCTACCCACCCACCCACACTCACTTACTCACTTACTCACTCACTCCTCGGTCTTGCCCTCCCTTCTAGGTTGTTTGAAGTTCAAACCATTGGAGCTGGCTGGTCCGGGGCCATATATCCATGCTTTGCGCATCAGACACAGAGACGAGGGACGGTAACAACGAGATATGAACAGCGTGCTATAACCTTTCGCGAAACCCCGTCCCACTGGACTCCAACCCCGACCGTCATCGACTCATATCCTCGGCATTCGAAACTGGGCGACGAGCGACCTCTCCCACTGGTAACCCGGGACTATCATCACAGGGTTGTCCTGACTTACAGCCTGTCCATTTGTGACCTAAAACAACTTTTTTTTTAACTTGCAGCCAGGCTGCATATGCAGCTCAGGAAAAAAAAATACTGAGGATCGGCAGACGGAAAGCACGTTTCTCAATTGTCGATGAATTTCATCCTTTCGAAGCGAAGATAGTTTGTTAGGCTTCGCCATCGCAGTCGTCATTCGCTCGCTTGATTCTTTCTGGATGATAGTGGTGATATTACAGATATTCTTGCTACTACCCTCCTGTCCACTGAGCCACTTGCACCGTTACACATCGTGTTCGCTACCATCAAACACCAATTTCATACGAGCGCCTGCTGGTTCAGGCCTATTGATAATTCATTAGTTCGCCGTTGCCGTTTGAATAGAGGCATTCTCCTCCGGTACCCATCCGGCGTCGCGCAATGGCGACAACATCAACATCACTAGGCCATGATCATGGCGACGAAACCTTCCCTTCCTCTGAGGTGTTGAGTACGTCCCTTCTATCTTGTGTTGTTGTTGCCGCGATCTACCGCACAACAGCCTGCTGCATCCCCCCCAAATTACTTGCATATGCGTCACCACCACCACCTTGTTCATTCCTGTTAGATAACCTGCTTACATTCCCATTTAATCACAGCCCCCCCACAACTCTGCAACACCATCCACATCCACCCTTCTACAACCACCACAACCGCTCTCAAACCTACCTCAACTTTTGGTAGTGCCCCAAAACCCGATCCCTCCGCCCTACTAGCCGCCGGCCTAGCCGGCACCCGCCGCCGACGCTTCACCCACTCCGATGCCTCCAACCTATCATCCCCCGCGGCATCATCAGCATCGGCATGGGCCTCTAGCGCCAATGCCGCAAACGTCGCTTTCCGCGGCGGCGGCAGCCCCACCCCGCCACTGACTCCGGAACGCGGCTGCGCCGTCGGCGCCGGCACACTACTTCCTCGACATAGTTCTTTACACGCAGCCAAGGGTGCATATGTTGCTGGCTCAAGGCCGAGGGCTAGTTCGTCGCCACCGCCGTCCAGAGACCGGGACGTTTTGGGTCCGGCTGCGGCGGGGGCGGAGATGGTCGGTGGGAGTGGGATGGGGAGTTCGTCCAGCGCAGCGAGCGCAGCACACCGGCCTGCTTCGTTACGGGCCTACGGGGTCGCTGGCGAGGGCGGCACCGTGCCGTTTACTACTCTGGACAGGCAGATGCTTACTTCGCATCCGCCTGTGCAGCCTGAAGTGGATGAGAAGCAGCGGGCGGATGTGCTGAGGGCATCGGCACTGGCTATGGCGAGGCAGATGTACGAACTGCAGCAACAACGGCAAATTCAGGAGCAGCAGAATGCCACGAATGCGGCGTTTAGAGCGCATAGGCGCTCTGCATCGGCGACTTACCCGAGCCAGAGTCAGACGGCTGCTGTGCTGGCGAGTATCGACGAGAGGCAACGGAGTCTAGGGGAAGATGATATCCTCCCCTACGGCTGTACAAACCTCCAAGAAGCTGCCTACCGCATGGCGCAGGAACGGCTTGCCCGTGTGCAGGAAGAGCATCAGAAGCAGCGGCGCCCGTCGCTTTTCCAAGAACATCCCCAAGTTATCCCATCACCACCGCTTCGCTCGCGCTTTGGTAGCCTTCGCGCCAAGCTGACTCGTAAGCGCGCGTCCAGTGACGGAGCTCTGCTGCTGGATGACTGGCTTAGAGCGGAACATGTCCGCCGACAGGTGTCCCAACACCAGTTAGGTGGTCCCGGTAGGGCGACGGGGGTATCAGATTTTGAGGTTGATGAGGTTGAACTAGCCCGCGAGCGTGAGGTAGTTCTGGAGGCAGCGAAGCGAAGCGTTCGGGCGCAGATGAGGCAGCTAGATGACCAGGTACAGACCCAGGTGGTTGAGGAAGGGAAAGGGAAGCTGCATAAGGAGGAGGCATCGAGGTATTGGGGGAGGAGAGGAAGACGGGATGTGTGGGTTGGGGATTTGGCTGAGCAGCAGAAGAAAGTTGATTTGGGGGGCGGGAAGGTGATGGATTGGGATGAGGTGGGGAAGATTGCTGCGAAGAGGGTGCAGCCTATTATTGATGAGATTGAAGAGAGGGTTGAGAAGGAGAGGGAGAAGAGGGCGGCGGAGGAAAGGGATAGGGTGAAGAAGTGGGAGGAGAAGGAGGGGAGGAAGGCCAGGGAAAGGGAGGTGAAGGAGAATTTTGAGCGCCTGAAGAGTAAGTTTGGTTATTGGGGAGTTAGAAGTTGGACTGAGCTAACTCGCACATTGTAGAACAACAAAAAGACCATGAGAGAGCGCAGATTGCTGCTCTCGAGGAGGAAAAGATTCGGAATGACGAGGCTTCTGAAACCGAGGGACAAGAGCAACCAGAAGTCTCGACAAGCCAACACAACGACGAGCCAACCTCGCCCCCCCACGCAGAAACGACATCGACTTCCAACCAACCTCCCACTCGCACGGCAAGTCACCACTCCCGCGCCCTCTCAGTATCCTTCCTCAAACGCCAATCTCGACCGCGCTCCCTCTTCGTGAAAGAGGACTTTGCCGAACTCTCTGCCGCTCCTGACACTGTTGCTGCCCACGGCAGTCCGTCACAACGACTACGTGCATGGTTCCGTTCGAAGTTCCCGCGGAAACGGGCTTCTGTCAGCAGCTTGTCGTCTCTCAGGGACAGGGTGTGCGGGACTGGAAAAGATGGAGGGGATAAGAAGGATGATGTAAGTATTGCTGGTTCGCAGGGTAGTATCAAGGAGGATAGCCAGCAAAGGGGGTTTATCGGGGGGATTGCCTTGGCTAGGTTGAGGGAGAGGGAAGGGAATGCTGGAAGGGAGGGGCTTGGTGCTGAGGTAGAATTGGGGCATAGTAATGAAGGGACTCACGTATTATCGACGCCACCTCGTCTCCTCCAGGCAGGTGTACAAACTGCATCTCCGATCGGCCAAGATCAGGCCGATGCTGTTGATGTGAGGAATCAGCAGCCAGCATCAAGTGTCGAACCAACCGAAGCTGGTCAACAAACGAACGAGAACGAAGACGATTCCGAGGACGAAAGCTTCGTCTTAGCCCCGACTTCTCCCATTCCTGAGGACCCAAACCCTTCCATCAACGCCCCGGCGCCGTCTACGATGACAGCTCCGAAACCACAACAATCACCACATCCAGGAACACCAAGCCCGAGAGCAAGCCCTAGCCCAAGCGTCGACCTAGCTGCGCGGCTGACTCCAGTGACTGCCAGGAGAAGAGCGTTAGCAAGCTTGTCGACGTCAGGGAGGAACAGTCCGTTTAGGGAGTCGAGGTTCTCGGAGATCATTGACGACTCGGACTAGGAGACCAGTTGGGTTTGAAAGAACTGATTGTCGTTACGTATATATGAAAGTTGAATGCAATGCAGTTATGTATATATTGGTTTTTTTTTTTGGAGGATTAGGGTTGTGCTTGGTTGAGAGACAATGTGGCTATCTGTGTGCTTGTGAGAGGGTTTGGGAGAAGGCAAAGGGAATGGGACTGGCTTTGTTTTATAGGATTACTCTTTTGCTTAGGGCCTCGGAAGTTGTATGTGAAAGCAATATATTCTATTCACGTAAATGACAAAATCAACGGGTAGCAAGTAGGAAATGCTATGTCTAGAATGCTGGGTATGTTAAAAAAAAAATGTCAAACCCCCAACACCGTGCCAAAGGGAAGACGAGAGTGCTCAAACACAACTCGTCACCACTTTTTTATGCTTACGTGAACGACAATTGCCCTAAACAACGCTCAAGCAGGCAACTCATGTGCCCTACGTACCCACGTGCCGCTCCTTCTCTGTCACATGCCAACACAATGCCCAAAAACCCCTCTTAAAAAAGTCAATTTTTGGTACTACCCTTCTAGGGAGTAGCCAACCGGACCGAGTGGTCTGGTTAGTTAGAGTCCAGCCCGCAACCTGCGTGGGCGGAACTGCGGGAGGCTGTGGTTTCGGGTCTGCTCTGCCTACGTGGACCCAAAAGAAGTTCACGGCCCCTAGGGCTACGCATGGGATATTTCCCCCCTGGTCAGGGCCCAGGGACAGGGTTCAGGCTAGCCGCTTTCCGCGACAGGGCAGGCTTGTTCCGCCGCCGAAGTAAAACTCGAGGCGATCGTAGATCTTCAGAGCCAGGTACCCTCGCGACGTGGGCTGCTTGGTGAGCCCTCTTGTCGTTGTCATTCGTTTATTGGTCTCTCTCATCGTCAGAGATAATTTAGGTGAGAGTCATTGGACGTGCAGGATGCGTCGTGAGCTCGTTGCTATTTTCCATCTCGGCGTTGACAGCACCATCACCAGCCTCGTGGTTGCTTCCCTCTTCTTCCTCTTGCTGCTGTCGCCGTTGCTTCTCCCATTGACGAGCAGCCGGGTACAGATCAAGACAGAACGAGAAGGCCCAGGCAGCAAAGATCAAGGCAATTACCCACTCGAGCACAGCAGCCGGCTGATAGTGCCTGGTTCGAACGCAGGCAAAGAAAGCGATCGCAAGGGAGACCTCAACGACGACGAAGAAAACTTTGGTGTAGTAGGAGAATCGGAAAGGTCGCTGCTCCGGATGGTCTGGGGTTAACAGTTAGCTGACCTGAGCAAACCGACGGAGAAACGGGGCAACGCCTCATACACTTCCGCAAGCGCCGATACTCCCAACAGCCCGCCAGCGCCGAAAACACATAACTCAGCACAAACACTGCCAAAAAGCTATTGTGCACAACCGGATACCGCGCTGTATCGAAAATCGCCAAAAACACCAATCCAATCCCCCCAAGACATGCAAACCCCAGCACCAACCCCGCCGCGACATTCACCCCCTTCCCTCCCCCCTTCTCCCTCCTCTCCCCCTCCTCCTTCTCAATCCTATTCTCCAGCCTCCTCTCCAATGCCCGTCTCCTGACCAACCCCCGCCGATGAAGCCACCACCAATCCAGCGCCAGCGTCGCGCTCATGGCCAGGGCGGTCACCAAGCAGCCGGTGATGAAGACAGGGTACATTCTGCGATTTGGGGTCGCGTTCGCTGCGACATCGCTGATGAAGGCGATGCGCTGAGCTGAGGCCATGGAGACGGCGTAGTAGGCCGAGTGCTCGTGAACCAGCCAGTAGAGGAGGAGGATGAGGAGGGTGGTGAACCAGGCTGTGCTGGCGATGAGAGGGGGGAGGAGGAAGAGGAGGGGGCGGCTTAGGATGAGGAGGGGTGGTTTGAGAGGTGGCATGTTAGCGGTTGGATATCGAGATTGGAGGTGTAAAAGTGGTTTGGATATGAGTATGGGAAAGGAGCGATTGAAGTTACTGGGGAAATGAGCGTGATAGATCTCGGATATAGACGCGAAGATAGAATTTTAGAGCAGTCGATATGTGTGTGTGAGGTGGTGAATCTGATGGTCCCCCGACGGGCTGCGTCTCGAAAATCAGGTCAGGGGCATCATGACTGGGTCTCCCGAGCCAAAACCACCATGGCGATATTTGTATTTTCTTTTGCCTGACAAAAGATCCAAAAAAAATTGGGGGGAAAACACAAAGTCCAATCATTAAGCCAATGCGATCACCTGCGCCCCTAGAATTCCGCAAGTCGGGCAAGAAGTGGATGGTTGGATGAGGCAGAGTGCAGGAAGACGACGACTGCAACACGAAGCGCCAACCCAGCACGGCGCCAACCCTCGGAGTCTTTGACCCCTGGCCTCGGACGGAGAATTTCATGTCCCCGGCCGATGATGGGGCGTGACGTCAGCGGGGATGCTTTGCCAGGGGTTGTGTGTACAGTATGCCATGCTTTGCGGTTTCCATGGTTGATAGTCTCCAGGTGACACTTGGGTTCTTGTCTCGCGGATTGATCAGCTTAGAAGCTTTAAAAACCTCTACACAAGTTCCGATTTAGACGGCAGAGCACATCATCTGATGGCTTTGTAAGACTCTCAAAACCAAAGCTATCGAAGTTTGGCTGGTGAGGGTAACTTAAACAGTATCAATATAAATCGACACTGTCAAAACCTTGGCATAACGTCGGTGTCGGGCCATCAAGGGCCGATTGGATTCTAGATGCCTTCGACTTTCAGTACCCTCTCTTCATCCCTCCCCCCCCCCCCCAAAAACAATCACAGCCCAGACCGTCCAACAAAACGATTGAAAACAGTGGATGCCATGGCTGCATCACCGCTCATCGCACCCCCTACTGACGCTTTACAACAGTCCCGCCCGGGTTCGACCTCCTCTCCCTTCAAGCGACAGCCGCAACAACCAAGCCAGCCTCCCTCATCAACAGCCCCCTCCTCGTCCAACGCCAACGACACACCCCAGCTCGGAAGTCGCCCTCCCAACATCACCATCGCTAATGTCACCTCAGCGCCCTTCTCCAGCCGTCCGGCCATCACCCCCGACCCGGTCGAGCAGATGAACGAGGCCGAAAAGCGCAAATACATCAAGGGCAAGAAGCTCGGCGAGGGTACCTATGCGAACGTGTACCTTGGCCACTCGCGGGACGACCCGAACTTCAAAGTAGCCATCAAGAAGATCAAGGTTCAAGCCCAATACAAAGACGGGATGGCGCCGGACGCGGTGCGCGAGCTCAAATACCTGCGCGAACTCCGCGGCCACCCCAACATCATCGGGCTCATTTCCGTCTTCAGCAGCAAGGACCAGAACCTGAATCTCGTGCTGGAGTACCTGCCACTGGGCGATCTGGAGATGCTGATCCGTGATGTCGAACGTGTGCGCTACGGCGCGGCGGATATCAAGGCGTGGATGGGCATGCTCACGCGCGCGGTGTGGTGGTGCCACGAGAATTTCATCCTGCACCGCGATATCAAGCCGAATAACTTACTCATCGCCGCCGACGGCGAGGTCAAGCTGGCCGACTTCGGTCTGGCGCGGTCCTTCGCCGATCCCGGCCGCCGCATGACCGCTAACGTCATTACCCGCTGGTACAGGCCTCCCGAACTCCTCTTCGGCGCGCGCCACTACGGCGGCGCCGTAGATATCTGGTCTGTCGGCATGGTCTTCGCCGAGCTGATTATCCGCTCGCCCTTCCTGCCCGGCAACACGGAGATGGAGCAGATCACGCTGATCTGCAAGCACATCGGTACGCCGACGGAAGAAAACTGGCCCGGTGTGTCCAAGCTGCCGGAGTGGTGGGATCCGATGGAGGAGCCGATCCCTGTGTGGGGGAAGGACGCTTACATGGCGCGGTTTGGCGCCGTCGGCTCAGAGGGTGTTGATCTGCTGTGGCGTACGCTGCAGCTGGATCCGAAGAAGAGGATTACCGCGAGGGAGATGCTCGAGCATCGCTGGTGGCGGACTGATCCGAAACCGACGCGCAAGGAGGACCTGCCCAAGAAGTCGGGCGGTGAGGATAAGATGGGGGCTGATTTGAAGAGAAGGCCCGGGATGGTGGAGGATGAGAACGGGCCTAGGGGGTCGAAGGTGGCGAGAAAGCTTGATTTCGGGCAGCTCAAGTAATTCAGTGCTGCTCTATTCATGGTTGCTCAGACGAGTTTCGCTTCGATTTCAAGACGTCAGGATGAGGTCTGGGACGAACTACACTAATCTGGTACATGGCGTTGAGGTTGATTTGGACCGGAGTTGGGCAAGGGCAAAAAAAAAATATGTAAAATAAAATAAAAAAGTTGCGTAGCTACGCAAAGCAAAACGTAACTATCAAACTGTTTCTTCATGAAATAGATCAAGGCTAGCCAGCCTTTCGTTATCATCATTCAGTGAAATCCAATATTTACTTCATAACACTACGTCCATGCCATACCTACAGCCCTTTTCTCTATGTACCTACTACCCAAGCCCATCCATCCTCAAGTCCTCCCTCCCAACGCCATATACATACGCCGCCCATCTCTCACATAAGGGAGCACTCTAGCCCATACATAGCACGTTCCACATCCTTCCTGACCTGATACCAATCCGCCCTCCTCTCGGCATACTCATAAACCTCCTCCGCCCGAAACACCCCCCCAAACCGATCCCCATCGGCAATGATCGCCGCCATCTCCTTCGCATGCTTCGCATCGATAAGATAAATCTGACTCAGCTCCCGCAATGCCTTAAAATAAACTAACAGGTCGTTATTCTTCAGCTGCGTGCGCACAAAGTCAAAGTACAAATTCATATCCGCGATCAGTTTCACCGCGCCCTCGGTGCTGATGCGCTGCCGCTTGAGGTGTTTGCACAGCGCGTTAAACAGGCGTAAGCCGACCTCGCCATTGAACACGTCCAGCATGGATTTATCCGTGCTGCCGACAAGCATGGACGTGTGCGAGGCGACCAGGTCGCGGATGCGGATTGCCGTCGGAGTCGGGCCGATGTCGAGGTTCAGGCCGAAGGTGGAAGAGAGTGTAGAGGTGGAGAAGCGCTTCTCGTTGACGGGAGAGGAGACGGTTGGGGAGGAGACTGTCCCGGTAATACCTGAGGAGTCTGGGGTTGTTGTGGAAAGGCCTGGGTTGTAGTCCGTGGGCAGTTGGGTGGTTGCGCAGATGTACTCGACTTCGTCCATCAGCACGTCGATGCCCTTGTTAAGGCCAGCGGCGACGCTCTCGTCGAGCATCTGCTCGAATTTCTTTTTAGCTAGGCCAGCTGGATCGAGGAAGTCGTTTCGATCGGCAATCTTGGGCTGCGCCAGTTGTTGTTCGTAGAACACGTCAATCATCTGCGAGATTAGATCGCCCACGTTGACCAGCTCGATAAACGTAACTAGAGGCGCGACCCCGCGATCGTGTTCACGCACTTCGCGCGGGTTGTATTGCGATAGGTGAGCCACGGCCCGATCGAAGCCCGGCTTGATGTGTCTGTTACCCAGGATGCGCAGGAGCGCAACGAAGACAGCCGCGCACTGCTCGCGTGCCTCGCCCCCGGCCTGCCCGCCCAACTGAATAAACACAGCCATGCGTCCCAGACTTGCCTTGGCCATGTGTATCAAGTTTAGGGCTACCTCGATGCTGAAGAGCGACTTGATGCCCTCCAGCCTGGCCGTCATGAGTGCTGCTTTGGCTGCTAGCTCATCTGTCGGCGCAGAGCCCGTGCCAGCGACAGCTGCAGGTGGGACCGGGCTCTGAGAACGAGATGGTTGCTGTGTACTAATCCCGTTTGTACTTGCCCCTCCGCTGGATCCTCCTGACTTGAAGGGAAGGGTGAGTGTGGTCGGTAGCACCGTCACGGGCATCATGACCACCTTCTTGAAGGTTGTCAGGAAATCCTTCTTGTCAGCCTGCCGATTGGCAGTAAAGCTGCCCATGTAGAAGGACTCAGCGCTGGCCTCCTGTTCGGACAGCTTCCTTTCCCACTCGCCGACCTCATGCTCTGCCTTTTTGGTGAAATCGTCCAGCTCATCTTGCAGGTACAGATCCATGTGTGGCTCGAAGACCTTGAGCGCCATCTCCTTTATGTGCTCCTCTTGGGCGACATTTTCCTCATCGCCGCCCTTGGGCGGGGTTAGTGTCCGTAGGAAGTGCATCATTTGTTCGAACAGACCCGAGACAGCCCGCAGATACGACGGTATACTGCGCTCGCGCGTCTCGTCGAACAATGGAGTGGCATACTCCATGATGATGTCTTCCCGGACCTTGTCAACAAACGCCCAGAACACCTGAGCCGGATTCGGGAAGATGCGCTGGATGACCCCGGCCTGCTCGTTGACCTTCCGCGAGAGCGTCTCGAAGAAGAGGCGTGATGGTTCAAGGGAGATGTTGTCGCCAAGTGCATGACGGATGCAGTCCGTCGGGTTGGCCAGCAGCTCTTTATCTGAGAAAATGGGATGTTTATGGATGAACAGGTCGACAGCAGCATTGCTGCCATTTAGCATGTTCAGCACATTGGCATACCGCCGCATGCGACCGTCGACCTCCCAAAATTCATATCCTTGCTCAAACTCGCGCAGCGCGGCGCTCTCAAAAATGGCCATCATAGTCTCAACTTTCTCCTCCCGCTTCAGGCACCCCGCAGACCAGTCACTGCGCGCAAAGGTCCGCAGATTAGCCAGCATCTGCGCCTGGCGCTCCGGGTCGCGGAAGACCTTGAAGACGAGCGGGTCAGTATGGCTCTTCGCGCGGCACAAATCGAAGTAAAATGGTGCCAGCGCGCCATAAATCTTGCCATACTCCTGCCTTGCATACCCCCGAATACTCCGCGCGTTCTTGATAACCTGCAGCAAGGCATCCGGATCACGCATCGGATCTGGGCCTGTCCCTGCCCCAGGCCCGCCGACCTTCATCGTCTCAAACCCGTCCCGCACCTCTGCCATCATCATGACCAGCTTCTGCTGCTGCTGTCGCTGTTCCTGCAGCTTTTTAGTCCGCTCCTCCTCCACGGTAGCATCGAACAGAAGGCTTCCCCTGTTGTTGGCAGTCGGGCCATTACTTCCTGCTACTGTCACACCCCCTCTGCTCATCCTCCCTGCACTAGCACCAGCAGAACCGGGTCTGGCCGCCTGTGCCGCCTCCTGCGCTATTGCTTTGGCTTCCTCTTCTCTCTTTCGGCGAGCAAGCATTGCTTCTTCGAACCGTCGCCTAGCCTCGGCCTCGTTCCAGCAGCCCATGGCCTTGAGCCGTGCGACCCATCGGGCATCCTCGTATACCATCTCGCACATGCGGCGCGATGTGCGGGCGAAACGCATCTGGTCGGATACGGGGAGGTAGTCGAGAATCATGGCCAGGATTTCTGTAAGCAGGCGTTGTTAGCAGGCACCCAGGGACCTGGTAGATCTTTAAGTACAGAACAGAATAGTTTCATACCTGCCGGCAGCACAGGCTTGGTATCAATGATGGTTGCCGCCTGGAGGGTCTGTAGGATGCTGTTTGTCTTGACCTTGGAGGAGCCGGCCGCAGCCTCTCTCCTAGATGAGGGACGGCCAGACATGTTGGCGGTCTGGAGAAGTCGTATGAGAGAGAGAGATCTACGACGGTCTCGGCGACAACGGTGAATCGGTAATAGCAGAAGACCTGGCGACTAGCCGGCGAATTACAGATTACGTCTGTAGGTAGAATAGGGCGAATAGGTAGGCAGCTAGGGCGATGGCGATGGTTGGAATGGCGGCGAGCGTGTCACGGCATCGTAGTCGTATATAACCGGTAGGATTCAGGAAGCCAACGAAACCTGATACGAATATTGTTATACAAAGATCAGCTTCGGATTGATGTGGTTGTGTTCAAACCCGCGCCTGCATCATCAGGCGTGGGGAGAATGCTGCATGTCATTCACGATCCGTGATGCGGGACGGCGGGCTAAGATGCGGTAAGAGTGTATCATCAGGTAACTTACAGATGTATAGACGTATGTAACTTACAGTGATGTCTGCTTCAGGGCAGCTGTCCGAAGGTGTCAGCTGTCAACAATTGCTATCGGCTGTCACAGAAGTCTGCCTCGTTCTCAGGGGTGGGCCGCCCCTGAACTGTCGCAAAATACAGAGCACACGATCGAGTTCAGAGGTTGTCCAGTCCAGCAAGAGAGTTCTTGAATTGTGTGATCTATCCCAAAATGTCTTTCCGATCAGTACACCCATAGCCCTATCCCTTATTTCCAGACTCCAGACTCAGATTTCTATTTACTCTCCATCACCCTGATCACCCCTGATCCGTCTCTCAGCAGCTTCAGCTGCCAAGAATCTTCTCGTGGCAGCGTTCACCGGGTTCGCTGAGCCACCAACAATCCCAGAGTTCTTGTTCTTATTCAGATGTCCGAATAAGCATGTCCAGAGGTCATCCTTATCCACTGTCTCGCCTGAGATCCCATCCTTGCCCATAAGCTTGGACAGATGCGCCTGCTGCATCTCCAGCGCGTTGGCTTCGTCCAGCGTCGTGTCCGAGAGCTCAGATGTCAACTCCTTCCCCTTGCCCGCGAGGGTCCGGATAGCCATGTGTTCCATTCGCCTCTGGACCGATAAGCTGTAGATCGACTCTTCAACGGTGCCATCAACGATGTACAGCCACACCGTCGTTTCATGCTGCTGCCCAATACGGTCAACTCGAGCAATAGCCTGAAGTTCTAACGCCGTGTTGAGTAGCGGCTCGCAAAGGAACACGTGGCTGGCGTTGACCAAGTTGAGACCGCTGGCATGAGCCCGCGCGTGCAACAGGAACACCTCCGTGCCTGGGTCCTCCTTGAAGTCCGTGATACCGCGCGCCTTATCGAACGACGTGTATCCGATCCGGTACCTGCGGAAGGCCGTTCCGAGCACGTCAAGGAATTCTTTGTATTGCGAGAAGACGATGGATTTCGCCCCTGGATCAGATTCCCGAAGCCACAGCAGGTGTCGGACTAGGGTGTCGACCTTGGTCGTAAAGCTGGGGCCATCCAGGTCGATGTTCTTGATTTCCGCCAACTTTTCGGCATTGAACTCCTTATAGATGCCGGACACATTCGTTAGTTGGTGCCCTTGATCGCTTGGCTCGTGATCCCGATTCGATGACTCCGAATGGACCTTGAGCTCCTGTGGTTTGAGAACGATATCATGGAGGTTTGAATGAGTCAAATGGCGCTTGCAGACTGGGCAGTTCCGATGCTCCTTGAACCACAACGTCATGCATTCCTTGCAGAACTGATGCCCGCAGATGGTCAAGACGCCAATCGTGAATGGGCTCTGGCAAATGATACAAATACGCTGTTCCTCGGAGTTGGCTTCGGCCTCCTTGAGGTGAAGCACTAGAAAGCTGGGTTAGCCAAGGGATTCTCAAGTAGGTGTTGAAAGTTAACTTACAATAGCGATGCTTCGCCTCTGTAGCAGCAAGCTTCGTCTGCAAACTCTCTTCCTGCCTCTCCAGATTCTCTAGAGCTGCGGCTAAAGCACTCTCCTCCTGGGGCCCCTTATAATCGGCAACCATGTCGGAAACCTCCTGGAGCTGGCGGTAAAACTCGATCCGAGCATTCACCGTGTCCATGAACTGCTGAAGCTCCTTCTCCATGGCTGTTGCTGCCTTCATTTGCTCTGATTGCTGGTTCAGCGTCGACTTGAGCAGATTCGAGAGAATCGCCTGCTCTGCCGCTGCGCGCGAACTACCCATAGCTGCGTCATGTCGAAGCTTGGCAGACAAGCTACGCAGCTCAGATAACAAGCCCCTCAGCGAGCTAAGAGGGTCACATTCCTGGAACGGGGGCTTGATCGTGTCGCGAATCTTCAACAGCTCAAGCAACTTCTCCGGGTACGGGCCATTTCCTGCTTTGGCTAATCTGGCTGCCACATTGGTTTCGTGTTCAACCAGGAAATTCTTCTGTCCAGTCAAAACCGCCTGCCGGTCGGCAATCGCAGTCCTCAGGACCTGGAGGTAGACTAGGATTTCGTCCTGAAGTTTCGTGGACTGCTCATACTCCTCGCCAGTCGTCTCCGAGTCCTCTTCATCAACTAGCGGCTTGAGTAACAGTTGGATAACATGCTCACGCCAATCATCCAAGTAGCTGGCTTGTGCATCTAACGATACTCCGAGGTCTTCTAGGGCCATTGCTATCCTGTAGCTCTCAATACCCTTGTTATTGATAGCTTTGAATTCAGGAATTGTGGCGAAGCTTTTCCTTGCAGCGGCATGAGCTAAGCGGCCCATGAGCTTTTTCGCTTTGCTCTGCGTCTACGAAAATATTCAGTAAACAAGCTAAACACCCTGCGTAGTAGGTTACCTACCTCATGGAGGATCTCCTTTCTGATCTGTTTAGCCTGCTCATACCCTTCTACTTCAAGCTTCTCCCACCGTTTGAACTCCTCTGAGCCGGGATCGGTCCGTTCTTTGTCCGATTTGATCGTGAAGTAGGCATTCGCACAGAAGAATACGGCCCTATGTTGGATCTCCAGGGCATACCTTAGTCGTCGACGAGCCTCCCCCACTGGCGGCGACACAATCTCGTCCCGATCATCAAACTCACTATCTGCCTGCGACGGCTGATGATATTCGTTCGCATTTGCCTTCTTAGCTTCTTGGATTTCCTGTTCCAGCTGGGTACCGCATTCGGCCACCATCTCTGTGCTCTTTGCGAGCACCTCCTGCCACAATGCAAGAGCCTCATCCACTTTCTTCTGACAGGCAAGAATTTGACCTCTGGTCAGTTTCGCGGACAGTAAACTACGTTGATCGGTCCTTATAGAGCCGTCTGATTGCTCCAACATGGCGTCAAGAACCTCTGCCACAGTACGCATAGGCCCTGACTTTTGCCCAAGGGCTCTGCGATTCCGGATGCCAACTTCGGGATGCAAAACTGTCTGACGAAGCCTGTCAAGGGCCACCCGCATGGCATTTTGAACACCGGGGTCTTCTGGATCCCAATCTGGCCGTAATGGATTACCCCGGACATCAAGTCCACATGACTCTGCGAGTTCCTCGAACAGACTTTGGTAATGCTGCTCCTCTACGGCAGTGAAGGGCATCGTGATGACATATCGTTTCTGTGCAGGAATGGAAATTTCATTCCTGATCATGCTTTTACTGTGCCTCATCGAGATGCTGTTGAACAACTTCTTGAAGGACGGCTTGTCCAAGGTTGTCAAGGTGTTCCACAGCTTTGTATCTGAAGCAAATGGCTCATAACGAAGAAACAGCAACAGACCGCGCAGATCTGGCAATCTAGGTGTTAGTCATATATGTGCTGGTCAATAAAAGACACAGAATTCTTGCCTTTTTGGATATCATCTTTCACTGGCGTGCCTGTGACACCCCAGGCATTGATGCGAGGGATACGCCTAGCTAGCTTTGCAGCGTTGTTGGTCCAGTTTTCCACCATCTGGGCCTCGTCGATGCACACTCGCCACCATGAAAGTTGGACCAATGGGGATTTGATCCGTTCGTACTGCTTCTCATTGCGCATAGACCGATCAGGTTCGTCCACCGCTGCCCAGATTTCGGTACGCAGAACCTCATAGGTGGTCACGACTACATCTTGTTCTGCGAGATACTTTGCGGAAATTTCATTCCCGTCCTTGAGCCTGGCCAATTTTCTGATACCAGGATAGAAAAGGATCCGAAGGCTGGGAGCGTGGCGCTTGAGTTCAGACAGCCATTGGTCCAAGAGGGTCGTAGGGGCGATGATCAAGGTCGCGGAGGTCGAAAGGAGTTGTTGGCCGAGGAATGGGTCAAAGACCATGACAGGGGACTGAGGACGCTGATGCAAAAGGATCAGCGAGATCACCTCCAGGGTCTTTCCAAGTCCCATTTCCTCTGCTAAGATGCCCCCTCGGAATTCCTGGAAGGCAGTGAACGGTCTTACATCCTTGGCAAGCGTGCGAAATAGGGGACTGAGGTAAATATCATTCCCGTCTGAATCCTTGGATGTGACAAAGGAGATTGGAAGCTCCGATGTTGTAGGAGAATTGTACGGGAGAATACCGGTTTGTTTTGTCTCAGGGTCTTGATACCAATGCACTCCTTCGCGCCGCAACATCCACTGGACGGCTCTTCGCTGGAATGGGTAGAGATTTGCTTCGAGCTTCGGGACTTCCATAGAGGATACCTCGGCATCCAACGCTGCCTTATCCGGGACACATGCGGCTTCGTAAAAATCTTGAGGGGACCAAGAGGGCAGCGCCTGACCAAGAACGGTTGTGAGATGCAGGTCTGGATACCAGGTACCTAAAACCATTTCTCTTAAGGTCTGCTGTTGGCTTGATTTCGCCTTTTTGCTTCCCCAAATTGTCGCCCTTGGGTTCCAGTTGACCTGGATGAAGATATGCAACTGTAGTGACGAATTATCCTGCCGAACGCACACGTCCACAGACGCCCAAATGCAGTCCTCATCGCCAGGGTTGAAACCTTGCGTTTCAGCCACCATAAGAGCGGATCGTACTTCAGCGGATAAGGCATCATTGTCCAACGGGAAGCTAGCTCGGAAGCCACGGGTACGCGACTTTGTTCGTGATGAGACGTACAAGGCCCATTGCCCTTGTAGCGAGTCATCGGGATCCGTATTTCGGACCTTCAACGAAACGACTTCTCCGATATCGATGCGCTCCAGTGGATAATAAATTGAAGGTCCCGAGGATGCCGGCGCCGCAATAGTCAGTCTCTGGCGCGCAACACAGATCGCGTCAGGCCCCGAGGTTCTGGGACGCTTGGCGGGGCGGGCTGCTGGTTCTCCTTGCCGTTCGTCGGCCTCTGTTGGAATCGCCCGCAGGTATTCCACGAATGCCGTGATTTCATCATCGTTCTCACGCTTGGGCGAGGACGACTGCGGCCTTGAACCTCCCTTTTGATTGGGCTTCGCGCGTGGCATTGTGATGGGCACAGGATGGCGGGCTTGGCTGAATCTTGAAGGATGTTTAAGTCGGAGGTGATGGAAGGAGAAAGGTAATTAGACGGTGTGCTTCTGATTTTAGAAAATTTACAAATCTTGATTGAAGATCTAATCTGAGGAGATGCGGCTGAAGGGAAAGACGGCACCGTCTTGAAGAGATGGATCAGAGGGGAAACGGCAACAAAGATAGCATGGAGAGCAAATGAGTCAATCCAATTGACTTGGGCAATCTCGCTACTGGATATTGTAGCCTAACCTCACTAATGAGATAAAAGCTCAACCAGCAAAAGAATTGATGAAAAAAGCGGGATGTATCCGCTAAGAAGTGAATGTGAATGTTCGCGAAAAGGAAGGTTGACCGGTTGATGTGTGTTAGTGTTGACAGGGGGTCGAGAAGCAGCCTTGTGGGGCCCCCCACATTGAAGCTTGGCATCGGTGCCTGTTTTCGAATTCTCTCATTGGCCCGACCCCACGAAAGGTATGCCAAGACATGCCCCACCACAAGACATCAGACGCCTGGACCCTTATGTGGCCCCTGCGCAACGTCTCGAGCAGGCGATTCAAGAAAACTTTCCGCTCAGCAAGCTGCAGTCCCGTCCTGGACTCGGACGTGTAAATCGGCTGTCAAGGCGCCAGCTGCAGTCTTGACCTGGCATGACCCTCGGCCGCCATCCGTCGCAAGGGGAACTTCTTCGCTAGGTAAGTTGTGTGTCCCAGCTGCTGCCAGTATCGGGCATCGCCTTGCAAATACCCTCATACTAGGGTCCTAGATCACATCCTCCTGGTTTACTAACTGTTCCTCTTGGTCCTATATAGCACGAATGAAGTCGTTCCGTTTACAGTCCACTCTGGGACTTTTGTTCCGGCCCTGTGCGGCCACCCCATTCACTTCTTATATCGCCCCGGGGCTCAGAGCGCAAGCGAGATGGGCATCATCTAGCAGCAACCAGCAAAAACCGGAGCTCCCCCTCGTTCCGGCGCCGATTCCATTCGTTCCTGACGTCCAGACTTTCCTTACTGTCATTGGCCGCGGCCTTAAGCAGCACGCCGAGAAGTTCCCCTCATGGGAAGCGCTCTTTACCCTCACATCCGAGCAACTCAGAGAACTTGGCATCGAGCCACCGCGGACGAGGCGATACCTGTTGAGGTGGAGGCAACGGTTCAGGGAGGGAAAGTTCGGCATTGGCGGCGACTTTAAGTATGTCCAGGATGGTGTTGCGGAACTCAAGGTCCAGGAGGTCGAGAAGCGGCCGGCCGAGTATATCAGACATGTCATCAATGTTCCCCCGGGCAAGGAAGTTGAGGAGCTCTTGCCTGAGGAGCAACACCGGGTTAAGGGATTTAAGGTGATTGGGACGAAGACCATCTCTGGCCCGTACGCCCTTCCTATGAGACGTGGTGGTGCCCGTGTTAAGGTGACCGAGGGCATGTGGGAGGATAGGAGAGGCCATAAGGTTGATGGTGGTGAGCGGAGACGTGCTGAGGTCCGTTTCAAGAGGCGGTTAGCGGAGCGCAGGGCTCTGCGCGAGGCACAGGGATACTATTAAGTACACGAGGGTTTACGACTGGGTGGTGCTATGTATCATGAGCATTGTGGCCATTTAGCAGCCAACCGGCGCCACAGTGCGCCGCGTGTAGAATCTAGATGTACAGTATATATAATGGGTCCCCAATTTGAGCGTGATTGATTGCGCCTCTTAAATACGAACTTTCTCTATAGCAAGCTAACTGATGCTAGGGGCATTCTTGCTACTTCGAAGGATGTTCGAGAACATGCAATAAGGGTCGCACGACAACGGCGTTTGAGCACGCAATAACTGGTTTACTTTGTTGGTTGCGAAAGGTTCCATTCAGTAGCCTGGTACTTTTGAAACCCACCTTCTGTTCTGGCTTCCTTTTTGCCGCCTCGACCGGTACTCTCCCAGAAGAGTGGTACCGAGAGGGTGACAGGCGGCAAACAAACACGCGTAATTTCCTAAAAGCGGCTTCAAGTTGCTGCATTGTCAGCGGTTAGTAAGAGTTCGAAAAAATGCCAATTTTTGATGTCAGTAGCGCTAACAAGCCTTTAAAGGAACGAGAAAATCCCATGAATCTAGCTCTTGGGCTGAAGTCAGGTCAAGGTGATTGTGGACAGCATGTATGAGGCTGAGAGGCTGAGAGATTCTGCAGAGCCGATGGCATCCTCGGAATGCTTCTGTCCGCAGACTCGGAACAATGCTCTGGAGCGCATAATCTAGGCTGAGACACCACCGACAAGTCTTGGGGGCCGCTGCGATGGCTGAGCACCGCCAACACCGCATCCTTCACGCAGGCAGCACAAAAAACATTGCTGCCATAGGCCAGTTGCTTGATCAACAAGGGCGATGATGGCAGTTCGAACAGATTTCGACTTTAAGGAGCCAGTCTCACACGAGTACTTATCTCTTTTACATCGCACTATGCACTCGTCTCTTAGCCTTCTCAGTTACGTGGTCTATTGCAAGTGAAAGTTCACCTATATATTTTAAAGGGCTCTCCAACAGCAATCAAGGCCTGCAGCATCGGGAACCGAATGCTCACACGATTGACAACTTTCTGACATACCCTCATCATTTTCTCCCACTTACCAACTCAACCTCAGACGTCGCACTCCCTGAAGATTCTCAGCACAGATGGAGATGAGTCAAGATTCCAACAATGCATACAGTAAGTCGCCTCAGGCAGTCCTTGAGTATTTGATATGACTTTTCTATAGGACCTTGTTAGACACAACTCTTATACACCACTTACCGATCCGGCACCCAGCTTGGCGCGTTCAGTAGTTCATCGTCGAAACACCAGATATATCTTTAGCAACTTCGAATGATGATCAAGATGCGCACGGCTTTTATTTATCACGAGGTATCCTTAGTCTCATTCGGGTCTATCCGACTGGGTGGTCGAACAAATGGGGTGTGGTCATGGAGCCACTCAACAAGAAGCACTTATTCGAGAGTCAACACCGAGCGGGTTGATCACGGAGCAACATCGACTGGACCGAGTCGTGACCGATACAGCACCAATGGTACGAGCGGGAGGACGTCTGTAGTCAACGAAACGGCGACAAGGGAACCTTGAATGAATAGCCGCGGACAGACACAACCATGCTCAGATCTATTTTCAACAACGGCATTAGAACGGAGGAATTTTGGCCCTTTTTCGGGAACTTGAACGCCCTGGCTTACGGACTGACCCTCGGAGCCGCACATATGCACTCTCAAGCGCGCTTGTCAGGGCACAGCGCAACCTAAACGCGCTTGTGAGGATCTGTTTCTAGGCAGAACTCTGAATGCCATTGATCCTTAACGCGGACAAGTTCTTGATCAACTGACTGCTTGGTTCCAAGAGACCGCAATATAGAACCGAGCCGCGGCAAATTCGTCTTGTCAGACCAATCAATGTGGGGCAACAGCCAAAAAATTACCGATCGTAGCTTGCGATCCCATGAACGATGCTAAAGATATCTGCGGCTGAAGCCATACGACCCTACCGCACCATGTTGCCCTACCAGGCCTACATACCTTCACACCACATACACAACGCTGCGCGCAACCCCCAATACAATCAAGTGTGGGGGAATATCGACGTCTAAGCGGAGATCGCAGGTGATATAGAGCAAATTGGCGCGTTTATGGCGTCTGTTTGGCAAGAGTGTCGCAGCCACAGCGGGATGGGGTCCGCTGAAACGTTACTGTTGCATCGGAAACACTGCGCCTCTCCGCGACCCCGCACACTCGGTAAGGCATTTTGCGATTCTGCCCTTTCGACTGTCATCAACGCGTCTAATCGGCCTGATTTTTTGAACGTTCGATCTCGAGACATCATAGATTATTGACGTTTAGCAACAGAATGCAGGTTCCCGAGCCGATCGAGACAAGCACTTTTGAGTGTCATTTTTCAAGCCAGCAGAGCTGGCGCTTGCTTGAAGCGTCTGGAGATTCACTCCCTGTCAACGATACGTTGATTTTTTTTCGAGCCGATACAGCATCCCGTCAATGGCCGATTTCTTTTCAGATAGAACTCCTAGAGTACAAAATCACGTCAATGTTGTGAATGTCGTCCAAACAAGACCCAAACCATTGCTTGCTTGAGCTCGCTAAAGCGCGGCTCCACAAAGCTTCGATGTTAAAATTAGCGGCGCTAACCCGATTTGGGCAAGAAGACCGTGGGACAAGGATCGCTTGGCCTTGCGGAAAGTTTCGTTTCATGCTTGGATCCATCCACCAATTAAACGTAAAGCTTCAAGTGAGAATAACTTCTGGGTATGGGAAAGGACTTTGAGGGAGTGCGCTTTGGCTGATTTGATGTTGATGGGTTACAATCAAGCTGGCGAATGATCCGCAGGGTTATGAATTAGATGCGAATGTCGAGCGAAGAGATTCCGAGCTTACGGTCGCTGGGCATTCACATCAATGTGGCGGCGGTTGATGCATCAATCGCTTGGCCTTGGTTAAGGTGATAGCAGAAGTAGTAGAATTTGATACTTAGGTGTGCAGAGAAGCATCCTGACTGATCACATCTCTTCAGATACATCATCACCTCTAAGGGTCGGTTTCCGATTCGTTGGCTGTTGTGTTGAAATTTAGAAATTATCGGCTAGCATCATGCTTGCTGGCGGCACAGGACGAACACTGGATACACAGAATCTCATAGGGTCTTCATGTTTTCCAGAATCACAAGCGACAAATGCCACACAAAGAATTAGAACAGATGATCTATCACAAGCGACAGCAGCAGATCAACTGTATCAGATCTATGTGGACAACTACAGGTAACAGGTCAGACATTCTGTCAGAAATGCGCAGTTTGTAAATAGTTCTAGAAACAGCTTTGTCTCACATATCCTTTCCTTCGTCATGTAGACAAAGCTGATAGTCTAATTCGGGAACCAGTGATGCTGTGGTAGCACCCGATCTCTGGATAGAATCCCATTGGTAACAAAATCTCAGCTGAAAGACGATGAAGTCAGCATGCTGGAAGATCTAGTGGGCAGCCCTAACATGGAATCTAACGTACCATCTCCTCGGGCCCTGTTGAAGTGTTCCTGATGCGTCTCTCAAGGTTGGGGAAAGCACACCATCACAGATGGGCACAAAAATAGATCCTTGGCTGTGAACTGTTGCACAAATGCCGGAGAACATCTGGGCCACGAGGATTTCGCCCCGATCCCGCTCCGCTGCCGGCTCAAGAGTCTGTACCAAAATCTCAAACTTCCACGACAGTTTCTGGTACTGTGGCGGTGCATTAAGCTTAATTGATCCACGTAAAACTACGATTCTCCGTCAGGGAAAACAGTATACATCTGGTCGAAATGAATTAGCTTAATGTCTTGGTGCATACAGTGTCAAAGTAGTTTGCTAAGAAAAGCATCCGTTTTGGTTCATTACAGTTTTCTAAAGGTGATTCTGTTTGTTCGACTTCGGCCGGTAAAACACAGAATCATCCAAACCGAACCTCGGTGCCGCTAGTAGTCGAGTCACTCAGTGTAAACAAGGACTCTTTCAGGTGCACTCAACGAAAGGTGGCTAAAATGAGAGAGCAACTGATATCTCAGAGTGTTTTTGCCAGGTACAGTGTAAATCCCGGTTTCATCGCCTGAGAGGGACTTGCCGCAGATAATGTTGAAGATGGAACCGTGAATGTCATCCTACGTAGCATATACGGATTATATAGCTGGAGCTAGCATAGCGCAACAGCACCCAACGTAAACTAGATCACAGCAGATTGATGTCATGCACTTCCACCTGTAGACCGACAGTCGAAGAATCTGTTCCTGGGCAGCCATGAACTACAGTTTTAAATCTACATTTACCAGAACTTAATAGCAGGCATTCAGCTTCTTCTCGGAGGCAGATGTGAAGTTTGCGTCATGATGTCGACTGGCAACCTACACATCCATTACTTTGAGAACCACATCTCGGAAGTCCGATCGGTGGCCGCGGGACGCACATGGCAGGGAAGTGGTCGATCGACCGGATTCTTGGCCCGAAACGCGGGATGCATATGGCTTCACCTAGTAGGCCCACCGTTCGAGCAAGAATGGGGACCTGGAAACCCGTTTTAAACCTTAACAGGCAACCTGGGTCCGCATCCAGTCCAATCGATGCGCTGCCATTCGTCGATCACTGCATACTCCAATCTTAACGGTCCTGTCCATTTTCCAGGTCTTCCTCTGACAAGCCACGATTCGTAACCACACACGCGGTAACGCATAAACGAGCAAAACGACGCTCCCTACTCCAGCATCATGCAACGGCGTGCCAGAGCCTAGGCCCTGCGGCATTTCTTCGTCAAGATAGAATGCTGGCTGTTGCCCTGCAGCCCAGGACTTTGCCATTCACTGTTAGCCTTAGCAATTGGCGACGGCGTTGGGCCATGAAAGATTCGGGTTTGACTTAGTCAACGGTGAGTCGGCTCGGGGCTAACCTCAGCATTGCCAGGTCCGTGACCGAGATCCATTAGTTTCTGAATTTACCGTTATTAGGCTTGCGCCGTTTCAATTTGGCTTCATGTAAACGAATGCAAAAGTTTTACACTTTCTCTTGTGCGATGCCACCACAGAGCCACAGCGGCTCTATGGACAGGTCACACGCCCCGAAGGCATCTTGGGTAGCAAAATGTGGAGTAGACATGCTCTTTTTGTTGGCATACGGTTTAGCACGGAATTGTGGGCAGCCCAATGAAACTCTGGTCGATGGAGAGCACCGTCACGACCACGCACAGCAGCAGCCCATATTGCGTCTGTCATGAGCTCCCAGGCGGGCGTACTGCAAAGGCTCCCCCACTCCTCAGCCCTGTCCTTACCAGCCCTACCCCCTGGGAGTGTTGCTACCCATGGACGGACGCCATGCTGGCGTGACTGTGATATGTACCTTCACTAAACATGGCACCATGCCTGTCTCATAGGGCAGATAGCTTGGTCCACCCCGGATCACCGCTCCACTATGCTACCCTGGACGTTTGTGGTCACCAACACTACCTTCAACCTCCAGTTCTCTCCGTCTTATATGGTGTCGCGGAGAACTCAACTGTCAGCGTTCACTTGACTCCCCGATTTGCTCAGTTCCCGTATCACGTTGACGTCGGAAATACCGAGTCTACCTAGTTGTTCTTTATCATCTACACCACTAAGCCCTTGTCACTTCCATCTTTGGGATAACTGCCTTCAACTCACCAAGGCAGCAGCTCGAGATTCTCGACAGCCTAGCCGCGACATCTAGTCATCTCTTCGTCATATTTAAGTGAACACCTGTTCCTGAGCATACGGGAACGAATACAAAAGGACAGAATCACGTCTCAGCTTCTCTTCCCGACTTGGCAGCGAGAAGATCCGGGGCATATACAGCAGCA